CTATCGCGAATTTAAGGGGCTACCACTAGCTCGTTTAATAATACTACTAGAAGGTAAAGCGAACTCCGGAACTATAAGAGGTAAGGAAGACTTAGAATCCTAGAAAGAAGAAGGGAGACCAACGATCTCCGATAATATCCGATCGAAGTTAGGATAATCGGTAGTAGCGGCTAACTACTCTAGATCAAGAGTAGAGGAGGAAGGCTACTTAGGAGACGAATATTTTTCATCGAGAATTTAAAGAAGCTTAGTATTATACTCTAATATTTTAAAACCCTTTTATTTTAAGAAAGCTATTTGTTTTCTTAACTATCGCTAACGCGATATAGCCTCTTAATATTGTTTTTATTTATTTAGTAATTTTTGGTATAACTCTGTAAGATAAGATTGTAGCGTAGATAACTTAGGCTCTAGTAAATCGAGCTCACTTTTATTCTTTTTAATATTAATAGAAAGTTTATTTTCGGTGTTACGTAATAGATCCTACTTATAAGAAGTATAGAAGTCTTGTTTATATAACCTACCTACCTATATATAGGTAGTATACTTAGAATAATAACGAGAATAATCTATTATATAAGATATACCTAAACTAAGGTAGTAACTATAAGGAATAGTAGTCATAAAACTATTCGCCTTAATATAGTCCGCTTATATATAATAAGTAACTAAAGAATCACGAGGAAGCTTAGGAGTACTTTCTAAGATAGAATCAGCCTTACGTTTAGGTATAACGGGATAGGAAGGATAGGAAACCTAACTCACCGAAGAAAGAGGGGGACCACGGATTTATAAGCTTCGAGGACGAAACTCCTAGGAAGGAGGAGGTGATATTACAGACCTATTAGGTACCTAGCGACCCAAACTACCCCACTAGTATTATAGGCTATCGAGAGCCAACCAATCTAGATCACGTGTAAAGGATACCCCGGTAAACTAGAAATCGTGTCACGTAATTATATAGATAGTAGACCGGTCGACGGTAGAACGATAGATTCCGCCAAGACAAATCTACCAAGCTACTATCTACCTAACTACTCCTAGGAAGACAGGAGGATATATAAGGACGTTTATTTATATACTTAGTTTAGTTCTTTGTCTTCAATCCTATATTGTTACTTATACCTACCTATACGGACTTACGACTCTTGACTAAGATATAACTTGATAAACACTACGAGCCAGACCAATACCCAGGTATCGATCTACTCGGCGCTCTACCTAGCATCGATTCCTCGACACGACTTCTAGGGACTTAGGCTGCGGTAAGGCCTACGGATAAGGCAATAGCTCAGTGACGACAGACGTATCGTTGACGTTGGAAACCCGAGGTGTATTAAGGTAACTATACCCTGAACTGTCCAACCTAACCGTGACCAGTTAGTTAGTGCGTAACATAGTACTATATAAAGTAGGTAAGAGAGACTACTAGCTTACAAAGTCCTACTAGCTAGTTACCCTCCTTAACACACTTAGTAAATTCCTTAAGGTAGTAATTACTTAGAGGATTAGTTATATAGTTAAGACTAAGGGACTACTACTAAATATATACCTAGGGGGAGAAAGGGTATCTTAGTTAACCACACTATCTAGGGGATTATTAGCTAGATATAAAGAGTATAGGGGTATAATAAGGTAGTAAGTATACTTATACTCGATATCTCTAGGGTATATAATAATATCTCTTATAAGAGATTAATTTATAACCTCTATAAATAATACCTAGGGCTACTAGTACTATAGGTTAGAGTATTCCTTATAGGGAGAAACACTAGTATATAAATACTAGAAGGGATATTAGCTAGTATCCTAACACTAACTAGTATCCCTTAGGGTTTACCTCTCTTACTAATCCTATACCTAATCTATAACGTAGATCTAGTAGATAGCTATATAGGAGCGAAGATAAGCGCCTAGGTAGATAATATAGTATTTATTATTATAGGGAGGAGTAAGTAAGAAAATATTTCTAAGCTATAGAGAGCCTACTAATATACCGATACCTAGGTAGCTAGATATACCTTAGTATTTAACCCTAAGAAATATATACTAATCCACTTTATTAACCTAGAAGGTAGAGATAAGGAATATATACCTCTAGTACTACTAAGTACTATAGTATAGGCTATAAAGATAGTAGAGAGATATCTAGGGGTCTAGCTAGACCTAGGGCTAAATTTCCGGTATTACTAAGACTAAATACTTACTAAAGTAGGGATTAGCCTATAGGCGCTATAGGGCTTGACTAGCTCTATATAGGGAGTGTCTCTTTTAGCTATATAGGCTATCTACTAAGTGGTAATAATCCTATAAATACTCTTTAGAGCGGTAGTATAGTACTTACTATTAACCACTACCCTAAGGGAGAGAAGCTATATAAAGTAATTCGCTAGTATATAATCGAAAGTAGTATACTTAATAAGTGGTACCTTTAAGATAATAGCTAGGGAAGCTCTTAATATAGAACTATACCTACTACTAATATAGTAATAGCTAGACTAGCTAGTCTAGCTAACTACTATTTATATATATATAGGACTAAGATATATAGTACTAAAAATAATACTTAGAGAAAGAAACTAAGTTTAATAATAGCGAGGTAGATAGACGCTAATAGAGGCCTAGTCCTAGAAAAGGGTAGATACCTAATACCACTCCTAGTATTAGTGCTATAGGACTAGGAGAGTCGAAAGGTATATATCTAGGTACTATAGAATAAGCTACTAAAGGTTTATATCGAAGAGGGAATAAGCGATAAATATATATAATAGGATCGCTAACTAACTATATAGACTAACTAAACTATATACTAATAGTAGTGGATACTAGGGTAGTATTAGTGCGGTAGTATACCTAGTCTATCTATATACCTAAGGCAAAACCTAGGATAAATTAAGGTTATATAATATAGGAACCGATAATAACGCTACTATATATATAGCTAAGCTATAAGCTATTAAGATAGCGTTAGAAATTATTAAAGAAAGATTTATAGATAGATAGTAGTAGGATTATCTAGTAGAGAGAGGAGTGGTTATCTTTATAGATAACTAGGTAGCTCTTAGGGCTATCCAGAATCTAAGGATACTATCTAGCTAGGTATACCTAGAAGGATACCTCCACTTACTAGAATAGTGTATTAGTAAGGTCTAGGTTAAACTACGCTAGATTCCGGCTTATAAGGGTATTCTAGGTAATAAGATCGCGGATATACTAGTAAAGATAGTAGCCACTATATAGGAACTAAACCACTATAATAGGTTTATCTAGCTTACTATAGTAGTAAGTAAGAGTATAAAATAGGAATCGACAATCGCGTAGGAGAAAGTGTAGATAAAGGGAGGAAAGACTATATAGAGGACTCGGAGGATAATTAAGGTACCGAATAAGTTAAATCTAACCTACTAGAAGGGCCTAAGGAAAGCGATAACGTTAGTACTAATCTAGCTCTATATAGGGATTATTAGACTAGCTAAATATCTATCTAAAATCAAGAGGAAAGACTTACTATAGTGTTAATATAACCTAGGAAACTAAAGCGTCCGATATATATTGCTAGAGTGTCCGCTCCTAGAAGAACTCCGGATAGATATAATAGAGGAATTATTTAGGGAAGGGGTATCGATAACGCTAGGAGAATAGGTAATATTAATAGAGATAAAGGTAGCGCTAATTGTGGCGAAATTTATAATTATATTAGGACTCCTAGGATAGTTTTAGTTAGTGGACTTAGTCACTATAGGTAAGGAGAAGGGGGTAGGGGACAAAAATATAAAACCAAAATAAGACACTATAAGTGCTAGAGAAATAGGACGTATAACCTAGTAGCTAGGCACTAGGTCTACCGAAGTTACCTTATAGTAAAGGAATATATAGAGAACAACGTTTATTACTAGCGAAGACGAAGATATATAGCGTCGCGACCTAAATCTATTCGTGTACGACCTACCGGAGTGATATAGACCTAGTAGTCCTAGTAATATAGGGACTCGGTGACTCGGGGAGCTAGGAGGGGAGATAGAGAAGTGAAGAAGTGAAGAAGTGAGGAAGCGAAAGGTACACTATAAAGAGAAAAGGGGTCTCTCTATACCTATAGGGACTACGGGAAACTATCTATATAGGATAGATTACTTTCTTTACGTTTGAATTTCTTATGTTATTTTGTATTTACCGGCCAGTTTGTGGCCTTACAATTCAGGTTGCGGGACCTTAAGAGATCGAGTCCTACATATAGGGTGGCTATATACTAGGGATACACCACCATTTGTCGTCGGGAGCAGGCTCTAGGACGCTATCCCCGTATAGCAGCATGTATGTAATTAGCGAGCTACATCGGGTCAATGAATTCATCATCATCATCATCATCATCATCATCATCATCATGTCCAAGGAAGACCAGCGACGGGAACGAAATCGACAGGCACAGCGTAAACATCGTGAGTCCTCCTGTTATCTTCGCTCTTGGTTCCATTACACATCTTTACCAAATCTCATCTGGGATCTGTAGGTGAATCTGTCAAGCAGCAATTGCAAAAGTATGATCGGCTGCGACAAAGTCTTCAAGAACCAGAAAATGACACCAACCCCTCAACACATTTAGCAGACCTAGCGTCCGGCCAACAACAATCTTACTCGTCACCATCAACTGGTGTAAACCCTTGTATTTACTCTCAATCGATGTTACCGAGCCTTTTTTTCAGAAGTTGAAGTCGATCAACTGATAGACCCACCGTTTACGGAACCTAATGATCCGCTCTCCCACTTATTCCTTCCCTCAGCAAGATATACCAAGGGAATATATAGTTCGCCGTCGACAGCAAACGATGGAGACTCTTCAACTGTGAGCTCTCGAGTCGAGGAGCACTATTCAGTGGTAATTACCTTTCCCTTATCACTCTATTCCCTCGTCTTCTGAATTTAATGTAAAATCGATCTATAAAAAAAAGGCCTCCCCTCCTTCAGACACGTCGTTTCCGCTTAATCCGAACCTCCTCTCCCCGTCATTGGAACTTGAATCGAACGCTAGGGCATGCAATAGGCAGGCTTCCGGCCGAACTTTGCTGCATCATGGCGTGATTCTGAATAGCGAAGAGATAGTTTCGGTATTGCTGGCTCATGTTGCAGACGTAAAAGCTCAGGATAGCGACGGACGCACGCCTCTTCACGTGGCTGCCGCTCTGGGATACGCCAAGGTAGGACAGTTGTTGCTCATGCATGGTGCTGCGGCGACGGTGTCCATGGCGGATGGACATGGGCTGACCGCCATGCACCTTGCAGTTCAAAACGGACACGCATCGATGGTCGAGGCGTTGGTCAAATGCGGCGCTGATGTCAATCTGAGATTCTAGTTAGATGGAGTTGTTTTGTAGCTTCGGAGAGTCCGAGTGAAAGGTCCGAAAAGGTCGAAGTTAAACAACCATTTAGTACTAAGCGACCACCGTATTTCTTCTCGCTCCAGTCGCTTTCTCCTTGTTTGAATGAGAAAAGAAAGTGTGTGCTCTATGTCCAATCTCTACGTCTTCCTGTAGGGTCGATGATTGGACAGGTCGCATTCCATACTGGCATTTTCAGCGGAGCAAAGAAAAAAATTGAAAAGCAAAAACATACAACAGTGAGGATTCGCTGGTGGTCACCCACCCAACTACTAACTCACCGGCGTGTGGCTTAAGTACGGCTGAGCGGACGGGAAGCCCTGTTTTCCATACCCTATGGTCGTATGTGCTTGAAATAGAAAAAAAAAATTTATAGAGCAAAAGTTTCTGCTCAGTGCCAAACAATCACCATGGTCCTATTCCCTCAAAGAGGTTATAGCAAGTGACTTCTGGATCTCCGCTCATATAAAAGTCTATATATGATGGTCCGTGCACAAGAGAGGCGTCTTCGATTATTCTCACATAAAATTATATATCCATGAACAGGCTGACATGACTCGATCTTCTACTCTGTACTTGATCACCCCTATTTCACCCCGGTACACACATAGTATCCCAGCCACAGTGTCTGACAACTACTGCCAACTCCCTTATTCCACGCATAGAAGTTCGCCAACGTGACCCCCGCCTTCTTTGCGATCGTCTCGCAGCTATCCCCGCTCACCACCTTATAGAACTTGTTGCAGGTGCCGGTCATCCCGGTCTGAATGGGCGTTGGTGTCGCTACGCCATTACCCTTCGTCGTGGTCGTCGTGGTCGTCGTGGTAGGCTTTGGGTTAACCCCTACAATGCTCACACAGATGTAGTAGTCCACCCATAGGCCACCGCAGTTGGTGCCAATCTGCGTGTTCCACGTGTACAGCTGGTTAGTGGTGATGCCGTATTTGCCCGCGAGCGCGTCGCATGTATCGCCCGATTTGACCTTGTGGAAGGCATCGCAGTTGCCCACGATGCCCGGCCGGGTTGGCGTCGGCGTTGTAATTCCGTTTCCGGTGGTGGTGGTAGTGGTGGTGATGGTAGGGGTTGTGCCGATGGTCTTCACGCAGACATAGTACCCCAGCCAGAGGCCTGAGCAGCCGGAGCCGACTTGAGGGTTCCATTTCGTAAACTGGCTTTGGCTGATGCCGTACTTCTGTGCGATGTTGCCACATTGGTCGCCATCGACAACCATATGGAACTTGTCGCAGTTCGCAACCATGCCCGGAAGGATGGGAGTTGGAGTTGCGACGCCGTTGGTTGGTTGCGTGGGCCCGGTCGTGGTAGTTGCGGTCGGTTTTACGCCGATGACTTTCACGCAGATGTAGTAGCCCAGCCAGAGACCGCTGCAATCAGCCTTTACTTCTGGATTCCAGGTCACGAGCTGATCGAGCGTGATGCCGTTACTGTTGGCGAGGGCGCGGCATTCATCGCCGTCGACGACCATGTGGAACTTGTCGCAGTTGGCGACCATACCCGGGCGGATGGGGGTTGGGGTTGTGACGCCGTTGGTCGGACTGGTCGGACTGGTCGTGGTGGAGGGCTTTGAGCCTACGATGGACACGCAGACGTAGTAGTCTAACCAGAGCGAGCCACAGCCGGCGCCCACGCCCGAGTTCCACGCGAGGAAGTCAGCGCGCGAGATGCCGTACTTCGAGGCGATAGTGCCGCAGTCATCGCCAGACGAGACAAGGTGGAATTTGTTGCAGGTCTCAATCATGCCGGGTTGGATGGGGGTCGGCGTGGGGATGCCGTTGGTGGCCGTGGGCGTCGTGCCAGAGGTTGTGCCCGAGGGCGTCCATCCTTTGATCCCCGTGCAGATCTGTCAGGGTTAGTCGAAGCAAGACAATTAGATAGAAGGGGTGCGCACGTAGTAGTCTACCCAGAGGTACTGGCACTGGGCGCCTATCTCCGAGTTCCATTCCACCAGCAGCTGGCGCGTTAAACCGGGATACTTGTTGGTGAAGGTATCACAAGTGTTGCCGGACTCCACCAGATCCCAACGGTTGCAGGAGTCAATCTGGCCTGGTTGGGTTGGACCCGGCGCACCAGCTGTGGTAGTAGTGGTGGGCGCAGATGTCGTCGGGGCTGGTTCCCCATAGGCCTCGACACAGTAGGAGCGGTCCGCCAATAAGTTCCCACATGTCTCCGTGATGGAGGGATTCTGAGAACTAGTCAGTCGCTTTACTCATTCACGCGGAATGGAATAACTCACCCATCGCCGGAAGTCGGCCAGCGAGATGCCCCAAGCGGACGGGATGTTCTCGCACGCAATTGACCCGTCATTGTCCCACCACCATGTACAGTACGAGGTGGTTTCCGGGTCATAGGACATTGACGGTGTCTCATCTCTACGCAGATTCCATCGCGTGGCGCCCAGGGCACCGGTCACGCTGAAGAAGCCAACGATGGCCACATGGATCTTGCCAACCATCTTGCGTTGGAACTGCCCTGAAGTTCCTTTCCTCTTCAGGCTGTGTTGGTAGGGGTCATTCCCGTCCTGATAGGACTAGTACTTATACTCCCGAGATCCCTACCCATCCCCAGTATGCAGGTAGTATGCAGCTAGAGAAAAATTTCCGGTCATGCGATAAACATAATCTCCGGGTCACCCGAATACGACGGGCTTAAATCTCACCCACCTCGTCCGATCCTATCCAAACAATGGATAAGCAGGCCAAGTCCGCTTACTGTGGGCAAAACTTGTTTTTTTTTAACCTAGCTTAGCCCCTGTATGGCTTTTGGGGTCCGTTCTTGGCGCTCTTGCAGGGCCACAGCCCTTCATGCAGGGGAACTAGGCGTTAGCGGCGGGCTAATGCAGCCCCGATGTTTGTCCCGAGGGCTAGCCTGATTTTTTGGTTCTGGATGGGCTGCTATTGGAGGCATGAAATTCGAAGTGGCGAGAGGGGTACCTCGGCTGCCGAAATTGGATGCCGTCAGATTCGTAAAAGACTTGCTCTACTCGAAGCGAAGGGATTGGAGTCGATACGATGTAACGTCGGGGAAGCCGCAGTGAGGATAGCTGAATAGCGAGTGAACTCTATTGAGTCTGGTTGAAGTCGGTTGAACTAGTTTATCTCAGGGCCTGAATGTAGACGATTGGTGGCTTTTGTTAGTTGATCGGGTGAAGACGTCTATTCGGATATGCTACCAACTACCATGCAGGGAAAATTTTTATGTAGACAACAAAGCGAACATCTCAATTTCATTGTAAAGAATAGTGATACACACGCACTGTAAACAAAACTACCGATATTCAGACAGATATCAAGTTTTCCCGATCAGTGATCGATATTTCAAAGTGTCCATTACCCCACACAATAGGCATTGCCTACTACCGTATTATCGCACGCTGAGTTGACACTGCGATTAAGCTGGCGGAACCGACTGACCAAAATGTTATATTTGGCCGCGATAGAGTTACAAGTGTCTCCCTTGGCCCAAAGATGCCACTTCGCGCATGTCGGACTCGTCCCAGTGCCCGTTGGACCAGGCGGCCCCGCGCTCGTCGGCGTCGGGGCTTCGGGCTCCTCCCAGATACGCACGCAAACGGCAAATGTCGCGCGCGTATTTGAGCATTGTGCATTGATGCTGGGGTTATACTTGTAGAACTGGCTGAGCGTGATCTTGTACTGGGCCGCAATAGCGGCACAGGTATCCCCATTCTTAAGCAGGTGCCACTTATTACAAGTGTCAGGGACGCCTGATTCAGTAGGCCCAGGGGGTCCACCCAGCCATCCGGGATGATAGTAGTGACGGTGGGATAGCAAGATGACGGGATGTCGGTTGGACTGGGGAGAACAGAGTCGGAGAGGTTTGGGTAGCAGTAAGGGTCCCAGTGGTCATGGAGACAACTGGTGTCCAGATCCCAGGAGTGCAGGTGGTATTCCTCATCCTCAAGACCTTCATCCCACTCTTCGTCGTCCTCGCCATTGAACGGGCAGAACTTTGACCGTTCCAAGAGGCCGGTCACTTGGGCCGGGTCGGGATCTTCGGCTGTGAGCGTGGCGATCGCAACCTCCGTAGGGAAGGCCCAGATAGTCGTCATGTTGACGGTACTCGTGATGGAGTCGGGCGCCGGTTCCCAGGTGTATGTGTCCGTAGGGGTCGTCACTGGCGTCGAGGTGGTTGGGGGATTCACGGGGGTGAATGTGCTGGTCTGCCCCGGGGGCCCAATGCAGATGTACTTTCCGGTCATCGTTTTGATATTCGCGCACTTGGTCCCTATGGTAGGATTCCATGATTGCAACATCAGTTCGTCTACCGATGACCCAGCCAACTTCATTAACGAGGAACACGTGTCCGCCACCACGACCTGGTGAATCATGCACTTAGACACTTCATCGAGACAGAGTGTGTCTCCGGCCGTCAACGGCTCCTCGGAACTGATGGGTAGGCCATTGTATGCCAAGAGCCGATCAGTTGCGACAGACAGAGCTTTGGCAATGGTGTTGGCAGTGTCACTGGCTTTAATAGTATACTTGCTCGCACATACTGGACTATGTGAATGTGAGCCTTCCGCAAGATTTCTGGGCACAGAGATGACAACGCTTACATTTCAGCAGGCGGGGTACCTGAAGGCGCCGGAGTAACCGGATAGGAGGTTGTGGGGATGCCACAGGATTTCTTCAAGGCATCGAAGTCATCCTGGTGGTACGCCGGATCTTCTCCCGGCTGGTTGATCTCGAGCTGCACCGATTTCATATAACACTCCGAGCACAGTTCATCTTCAGTGACATCTTCAAGCTTGTCTTTGCAGAAGCCCCCGTCGCGTGAAAGAAACGTCAGCGTTTCCCCATAAGCCCAAGATAGGAGAGAAGGGGTACTTATCTTGAAGACAGGTAGAGTTATAGATGTACCGAAGGTGCCCTACCACGTCGATTGGCGTGAAGGTAGCTAACACCGTATCGTTTGCTACGACATCCACCGAGTCGGTCCCACATCGCGACATCGCCTCCGTGTAGAGAGCAGACAGCGCCCCGGTGCATTCGGTGGTGCAAATCTGAGCCAACGAGGTCGACGGAATAAACTGTAGCTCTTTCTCAAATTCGTCTGAGCACTGGGTGATATTTTTGGCTAGAGTCGTCCGACATGCTGCTCGCACACCAGCTGGAATATGCGTCAAACTGGGGACGACGGAGAGGGCGCATGCATGGCTTGCGAGGCAAGTGAGGATTACTAGGAACCGCATCTTGCGGGATACACTGAAATCCATGGTCCCGCAAGAAGAGGATTGAAGCATTTCAAGACTCCAGGAGAGATATCAATCGAGGGGAAGAGTCAGGGTGTTCTGCATTGTCAGGCCGAGGCCATCAAGACTCCAAACAAGGGAATGCTAATGGATCTGACAGACGGCCATTCATTTCCCCTGGATCATACACCCCCGACGTGACATCGCTTCGGAGAAGGTGTAAATCAAATGTTTTACTACAGTCAAATTGATGCCCAGAGATAGACTCGCCAAGAATCTGGCCATGTCTGTTGTCAGCGATAGGGCTTGGCATCAGGAACAGACTAGCATTTAAACCTTGTCCTGCATGAAGATGAGTACTCTTGCCCCGAAACAGACATATCTCCTTGCACCAGGTCAGCCCTCATTCTCAGCTCTCATTTCCCTCTTCCTTGGCACTTCACAATGTGTGCAGAACGCCTCCCGCAGCCCCCACGTTACATGCCCTGGGATGCTCTCCATACAGCAGCGCTCGGCACGGAAAACGCCCCGTGCTGACGATCTCCACCCATGCCCAGACGTCGCCTCAGACCATCGCCAACATGGAGATTACTAGTAGTACAACCCTGATCGGACAATTTGACGAAGCAGACTATCCGCAGCGGAGATTATCCTGGATATGGGAATCCGGATATTTCCTGCCGAGGGGATGTGTGCCATCCAGGACTGAATATGTCCTGCGGTGCGTCCGCCCTCTTGCCGGCCTACTTTCTATTCTCGTTCCATTGAATCACCTTCATTTGATTTGAATGAACCTATCTGACTCTGTCGCTCCTTTGTTTTCCTCTGTTCTGTCATAGCATGGTCGAGGTGTGCCCCGGCACGTCGTCGCAATGCATCAACCACGTTCTTTCACCACGTTCTTTCCCTTTCTCATACTTCTTCTCTCTTTTTCCTTGTTAGTTCTCGCTCAGCAGGATGCTGTCTGTGACTCCGAGACCCCCTGCAAAGTCGGCTGCTGCTCCAAGTCCGGCAGCTGCGGCTTCGGCCCGGACTGGTGCAGTGACGAAAACTGCATTAGCAACTGTAAAGCCGTCGCCGAGTGCGGTAAGTATGGTGGCGACAAGAAATGCCCACTGAATGTTTGCTGCAGTCGCTGGGGGTTCTGCGGAACCACTGAGGAGTTCTGCCTGAAGACCGACGACGAGGAAAAAAGTTGCCAGAGTAATTGTGGCCAGCCAGACCGCGAGAAATGCTCCAATCAGCGGTGGAAGCAGCGCCGAATTGCCTACTATGAAACCTGGGCAGATAACCGCACTTGCGATGCGTTCCGACCAGAGAATATTCCCGTCAAGGCGCTCACGCATTTGAACATTGCGTTTGGGGGAATAAAGGATTCGCGGGTCACGATTAGCAGCACGGATATGATCTCGCGAATTGTAAAGCTGAAGCGCCGGAATCGGTCGCTGCAGGTGTTCATTGCGGTTGGGGGTTGGGCTTTCAGCGATCCAGGTAAGTGGCTTGCTTGTCGCGCCACGTGAGGGCACAGTTGCGTTGACTGATAGTTATTCACAGGCCCGACACGAACGGCATGGTCGGACATGGCGTCGTCAAAGGAGAACCGCGCAAAGTTTATCAACAGTCTCATGGATCTCCTAGAGACATTTGACCTCGATGGAGTAGATCTGGATTGGGAGTACCCAGTGGCTGGTATGTACCGCCGATAGATAATGTAAAAACCTTTTCTTCTGTGATTCCTACTGACACCCCGTTCAGACGACCGTGGCGGAAAAAACGCTGATTACAAGAACTATGTGAGCCTTCTCCAGGAAATGCGAGCTAGTTTCACCAAGCGCAATGAGATATGGGGTATATCCATGGCAATCCCGGCCAGCTACTGGTATCTGCAGCATTTTGACGTTGCCGCGCTGGCAAAAGAGGTCAGCTGGTTCAATCTCATGAGGTATCTTTTTCTTTCCAGAAGCAGCCACTGCCATCGTGCGTTGAGCGCAGAATGTTAATCCCTCATGCAGTTACGATATGCGTGGCAAATGGGATCAGTATAACGAGTGGACAGGCCCCTATGTCTTTGGGCATACAAATATCACCGAAATCGAGCAAGGGGTTGACCTCCTTCGACGAAACAATGTCAATCTTTACAAAGTCAGCCTGGGAATGGGATTCTACGGGCGAACTTTCACGCTGGATGATTCAAAATGCAGCGAGCCCGGCTGTGTTTTCGCCGATGCGGGCGTCCGGGGTGAATGCTCCGGTGAAGAAGGCATTCTCACATTCAAGGGTAAGTCGACTCCGTTTTAGCGCGGGATGAATATTTTTTTTTAACCTACATGTACTTGAACAGAGATCATGGCCCGGAAACATCGCCTCAACGAGCAGCATGAGTATTTTGACGAGAAAACGGGAGTGAAGTACATGGTGTACGACGAAACCCAGTGGATCACGTACGACGACGCCGAAAGTTTCAAGGTCAAGCGGAAAATGCTCGACGACGAGTGCTTTGGCGGCGTCATGATCTGGGCCATTGATCAGGATACGCCCGATTTCCAAGCGTTGGCCGGTCTTCTCGGCGACGAGTTCGTTAGCGACGCGCTCCTGGAAGGAGGCGAACTAAGCGATGACGAGAAAGAAGATCTGGTAAACGAGATGGGCGGGCTGACCGGCGATGCGTGTTATGTTCCAACCGGCTGTTTTGGGGCCGAACCCACCATTGAGGGAAACCCGGATTGTCGATCGGGCGATGTAACAGTTGGCATGGTGCATGCGCCGGGTGAGTCCCTTCAGAACTTGTATGGGGCGATGTCCCACAATGTGCAGACTTGCGCGAAAGGGACTTGGAAGCGGATCTGCTGCCCGGCCAAGACACCAGCAATCAATTGCCGCTGGGTCGGAAGACCTGACACCGGCTCCAAGTGTACGGGAGGTAAAGGCGAGAGTACTTGCGGGACGGGGCAGTATGAGCTTCTAACAGATAGGTATGCTGATGAGCTTGGAGAGACCAAGTGCTCAAGTGGGTCGGTCTCATTTTGCTGTGATCAAGCGCCGGAGATGCAGGACTGCCATTGGAGTCCATGTACGGTGTTTGGGACCTGCTCGACGGGATACACGCAACCGATCGCAACGAGGGGCGATTACTGCGAGGAGGGATCCTTCCAGAACTTTTGCTGCAAAATAGATTCCAAGCTAAACAACTGCGATTGGGTGCCTGCCGTGGAAAAGTTCACCAGTGGAGATGGCGATGGACCGAACCTGATAACTTTGCCAACAGCACAAGAGTGCTCAAAACGCTTCTGCCCATCCACGCAGTTCACCGCGTCCAAGGCCAAGCTGCCAAATCGATCGGCTGGGAAACGGGGTCCTTGCGATTGGGCGTATCCGGGTCTTCAGCATCGGTTGTGCTGTGACCCGGATCCAGACCGGGATCTTCCGTTCGATTTGAAGAAGATATTCCCTGATCCCATCGGCGAAGACGTTGCCTATCGGTATACGGACAACTACGGCAACAACAATCGTGACCCCCATGGGCCCGACGAGACGGACGTCGGCGACGATCCATACGGATTCATTGTCCTAGACGGCGATGAAGATGCGCTGCAGGGGGAGTTCCCCAGCGACTTTGAGTTCACGCACGCCGAAGATGGCACCGGGAAGCCAATCAAAAAGCGCGAGACCCTCTCACGCGATGACCCCAATTTGATGGACTGGGTCTTTGAGCACGAAGAGTCCCATCATCTCGTTTACTGCCGCAAGGGTCGGGAAGAGAACTGCCAGCGAGTCTTCCAAGGCGGCGCCTATGATACAATCATCGGGCTACCAGCCCATATTGGATCCGGCCCGTACGCGCGGATTGTCTCCATGGAGCCAGTGAAACCGTCGAGTCTTTCCGACTTCCACAAGATAAAGCGATCTATGGACAGTCACGACTCGACCGTGTACAACTTGACCATTGACTACCGGTTTGAGCTCATCAGCCGCGCCGACTCCAGGGTCAACCTGCGTATCGACTATACAAACCTCGTTCCGTACTGGGATGAGATGACAGGGGAGGATTCGGATGCCGGCTCGAAGAGTAAACGAGAGCTCCGCCGGGAGAAGCGCTGGTGGGGGACCTACTCCGAGTGGCTGAAGAAGCTGAATACTGTCCGCGTGTCCGACGAAGGCAAGTTGCCGATGTCGATCCACAAGAAAATGCTCCTCTACAGCCGACGGGCGCAATGCGCACGTAAGGGTCTGACGCTCAAGGCCGGGCTCGACGTGACACTGGATGCCAAGTTTGATATGAATGCCCGGTGGGCCTACTATGCACAAGGCACGATTGTCCCCTTAAATATCGACACCGTCTACACGTATTTCGAGCTGCATCCCGAAGTACAAGCTATACTAGAGATCGATGGCAGCGCTGAGATGATATACCGCAGCCCCCGGATCAGGATCATCGACACACTCTCCTACCCTGGGTTGGCTATTAAGGGCATCGCAGCGGTGGGGCCTACACTTGATCTGTACGGACAGATGGAGGCCGGCGCCACGATTGCTGGGAAGCTTAAAGCGGGAGCCAAGATGACCTTCCCTAAGTATGAGATGTATTTTCCGCAATCAGATGAGGCCAAAGATTATCAAAAATTCCCCACGCCCGACGAGAAGGACACCAAACGGGTGTCTGGCACTGACATGGTACCCATTCTGGATGCCAGTGTGGAGGCGAGCGTCCATATCGATCTCATCGTCACTCCCGAGGTGAATCTGGGGATCAAAGTCAACGCGCCCATGGTCAAAGGCGGCCCGGTTCTCGATGCCCAGATTGTCGGCTTCGTGAATAATACACTGCGCTTCCAAGTCGATGCGGGAGCCAGCGGAGGAATCGATAACCCACCGGCTGCTTCATACGACGTGTATGTCAAGTACTTCTACAACTTTGGTGAGTAGTCCCGCGCACCCTGTACAATATGTTGTCCTCTTACTTACGCACAAATAGGCTACGGCGGAAGAGCTGTGTGAGTATTGGCCCAATGCCAAGGAGACCCTTATCAAAACTGACATTTGTGACTGTAGCTTCAAATGGCTCGGCGAGTACGCTTTGAAGCGTAAGTTGCACATTCCTCTAATTCCTTCCCCGCACTGACGCTAAGATTTCCCAGCAAAAACTCTTTGGAGCGGCAAAGGCAAAGAGAAGATCCTCTGGGAACACCATGGTTCGACCTCAAACACCAAGCGCAACACCCTTGAGCCCGACCTCCTCGGTGCAGAGCGATTTATCCCAATCTACAACGCTACCGAATTCCTGGATGATGAGTGGGATACACCATCTGGCCTCTTAGCACCTCGATCACTGCATAAGCGCAAGACTCCTGAGGAGGTTGCCGCGTTCGGCCTCAATAAGGGCTTCTTCACCTGCAATGACGGGGGTCAGTGCAAGAACGGCGGTTGTGACGGTGACTCCTGCGAATGGAAGCCGAAGCCGTCGAGCCTGGCCCGACGCGCCGACGACGATGACGGCGACCCGATGGACGTCGATTCCAGTCAGAGCTGCATCAGCTCCATCCCCGCCGTGATGTACAACTGCAAATACTTCCCGGATCACCGAGTACGAGACCGAGATATTCCCGGTATTTGCCATAATGTGCTCCAGTTCTTCACGGACGAGGGTCTAGGAACGGGCCCCTTCACAGCCACCTTCCATATGGGCAGAAAGGGCGCCCCAGACACGAATCGAAAGTGGGTGTGTGGCGAAAAGTCCAAGCACAAGTACAAGTTCATCGATGAGAATGGCGCTGAACAGGAAAGAGAAAAAACGTGGAAGGATGAATGCGTCGATAATTCACGGGTGCTCTCCAAGTTGACTGATACGGCCATCGGCACCAATGGCAATAATAATTGGCTGAGCTGCGATGAGTTCCCTTGGAACGCGATGGAAGAGGGCGGCAATCCAAATAAGAACAGCCGGATGTGTGTGCCGGGCTGGCAGCAAAATATGCAAGGGTGGTTTAACGGCATTCTGAATAGCATGTCGCAGGAGGTGACCTGGACCGACGCGGACGACGAGACTCGAACGGCCTCTAAGTCGTGGGGGATTGACTGGGCGTCACATGGCGTCTTAGGCTTGGGTAGCCGCGTGGACCGTAACACAGCGTGGAATTATGGCCGCGTGCATGAGAAGAAGTTCACCTACCATCTCTTCAACTCCGATTCGGATACCACCGTCACCGGCTCCACGTATGAGGTCTTCAACCACAACCTCGCCCAGGGCGGTGACAAGAGCGACATGGCTGAAGTAATTGGCGCTGTGAATACGCTAGGGAACAAGAAGTACTCCATCACCAAGAATGCCTTGTGTCGGGCTGCTGGCACGCATCAGCACCCGTTCTGGAATTCCGCGGGGGTCTCTATGTGAGAACAGTTGAGTAAGTTTTATTCGTTCCTTCAAATCCCTTGGCTTGTCTGACAGCTTCTCCAGGTGCACGGTCGTATTCGACAATACGGCCGCCGTGGCCAAGATCAAGCGAGGCGAGAAGCCGACCCAAGAAGAGTTGTTCAATATCAAGAGTGAGTAATCCCTGAAGGAACCCTGTTTCCATGCATGCTGCTGACAATTATCCCCTGTAGGTATCGAGATTGCGGAGAATGAGCCCGTGCATGAAATATTTATTCCACTTGATGATGCAGAGCCAACTCTGTCGCCTCGAAGTATTGGGAAGCACCGAAGACACCGTGCCCATCATTCCTAGGGAGCAATGGCCCTGTTCTTTATGTACAATAGAACATTTTTATAGGAGCTTTCATAGGAGAATCCAGGAACCTACTACTCATAGCTAGTCCCACCCATCCCCTTCCCCCAAGTAGAGCTCCACATCTTCATCCTCCTCATCTGCCATCTCCGACAAAGGCTGCCCCTCCTGCCAATTCACCGCAATCTGCGCCGCCTCCTTGGCCCGCTCACGCACCCTGAACGGAAGAATCTCCCCCCGATGATTCACTGCCGAGACCAGCACCCAGCCTTCCTCGCAGGCCTTCCGATCTGCAATAAGAACCAGCACATTCTGTGCCCGATCACTCTCTGTCAGTTCCTCAGCCCGCTCCTCCCCCGTAAAATGCCGCCAGTCGTCATCCGACATCCCATCAAATAGCTCGGGGCAGTGCATCAGCGCCGCAACCAGATACCCCGGTACAGAACCCGGACGGCCGGCCGCAACGCCCGCGATGACACCCCCGTCACGCTGGGCATCCGCGCTCAATTCCCTCCGGTCCTCGAAGATGAACTCCTCGGGAATGCAGGAGACCTGGTAGTCCTCAAGGCCCTGCTGTAGAACTTGCTTTCGGAGTCGGGCGTACGCCATGTCCGCTGCCTCTTGGCTCTGCTCATTTGCAGGATCGCCGAACCAGGTCCGGATCCATAGCGTGGTAGAGAGCATGCTGCTGAGGGCGCGGTCATCTTCCGAGAGGAGGTCTTGCGGTACCCCCGCAGGGATATCATCGATAACTGGATCTGCGAACGTGGTGAGGGCATAGTCCTGAGGTAAAGTGGTCAGTGTGCGAAAATCGTTGAATGATTGAATGGGCTGGGTAGATAGATACATTTCGTCCGTATTTTCCTAGCGCGATCCATTTCTCAACCAGAATTCTTTTCTGCTCGTTTTGGGGAAGCGGGGATGCTGTGTCCCAGTTTGCCTAGTTGGAGAGTTATGGACCTGTCATGGATGTTTTTCTGGGGAACGGGGAGTTTACTATGATGAAATGATCAAACGGGAGGTACCCGAATTCGGGGATGTCGAGGTCTTCTCTCATTGTTGTGGGTGGGAGTAAATGACGTCGGGGAGGAAATGGGGGGGATGGTCAATGTACTGGTGAACAATCCAGTTCTTTAGTACATTACAATTTAGAACTAGCTTAGCCTTGGCGGAGCTATACTTGGTAGTTTTTGTCTTCTGTATGGCACCCTGGACCCATTTAACTGCCCTTAGAACCGATCCAAATCCTTCATATCGCCGATTTTGTGATAGAAGATAATATGTCATTCTCTCAGGTCCACGTAGTCTTCTGGGCTCCTCCATTATACATGGCCTTTTGTCACCAAGCCCTATCACTAGTTTTTCCCGAGGTACATAGACTATGCTACAGCATCAACGTCATTCCTACCTCTTATTAGACCCTTAACTACTACCAACAAGTGTCCGAGGGCAAAAAAATAGTTCAATCATAGGGCGTCACTTGATATATTCTACCTAGCAGCCGTAATATAGCGCCTTGCCTATATCTGCCTGTCAACTATGCAGCAGATTTTTGCTGCTACCCTTAATAAGTTACCAGCTGATCCACTAAGTGGAACTGAGTGAGTGAAAAAGCTCGGCAGCCGTTTTCATGGATTCAAGGATACCGCACTGCTCCCTCTTTCATCTCTAGCACGGTGTATATCTGGTCTCGGTCGCCTATGCCTCTGGAGAACGAAGCAACGAAATTGACACAGTGGCAGCTTGCAGCAGAATGGCGCTCACTGGCACTTGGGCATGTCGGGTACTTCCGATTTCTCTCGAACATATCGCCAACAATTCTTCAACCCAATTCCAACCCTGGCGACGCACGAGGCTTGTGATTTGGGACCTGTGGCGAATGCACAACGTTAGACTATGTTATTTAAAGATTGATCTGCCTAACCCGGGCGATAGTATTTGTCGGATATCATAGGCATCCATATGCCTTATGCTTGATATAGATCAACCGTATCAAGCATGCATGACATGGGACCATGTTTGACAGTATAAATAGGGTCTCAGTATCCTATTCCTACTTGCTTTCTCTTTCTCCTCAGTCTTGCTTTTAAATAGAGAGTATCATCATTATCTTTATCATCAGTATTTTTGGGAGGCAAGAAAGCAGATTATGGGCCGGGATAGTTGGCGTTGATCAATCGGCACGAGCGACTAGAATGCCACCCGGGCATAATTTTTCTGGGACAAACTTGGAACCTGGATGAGGGTTTCAGTGGTCTAATTGCCGTTGACGTTGTCAGGCTGCCCTGGTGCACAACAAGCCGTTCAGATGTCTCTGCAAAGTCTTGTACTGTACCCACCATCTCGGGCCGCGAGGCATGTGTATAGTCTGAACGATCTCTCCTTCCTTCCCCGAGATTCCCAAAAAGCTGCTATCAATATCTCTTGATTCTTGTTGGTAAACCCAAAAGAAACAACAAAAACATACAACAGTGAGGATTCGCTGGTGGTCACCCACCCAACTACTAACTCACCGGCGTGTGGCTTAAGTACGGCTGAGCGGACGGGAAGCCCTGTTTTCCACACCCTATGGTCGTATGTGCTAGTCACATAAGTAAAGCGGAATATATAGGACACATAGTCATATAAGGTAGGTGAAAATTACCCCAGGTCGGGCAAAATGAAGGCACATACATATATCAACCCCTTAATGTACGGCCTTTACTTTGACGTAGGTTTACGTCTTCGTATACATAGCAATATTAAAAATTAGATTGCATAAATAGACCTCAGCATAGTCTCAATCAGTCTTACCCTAGAGCTACTACTCTTTCTAGTTTCCAAAGTAGAACTGTAAATAGTATGGGGTTTCCACCCGCAGTCCGAGCTAGATTGAAAATAGACAAGTCCAATATATGATATACATTAAATACTAAGAATGAATGTTAATACTTTCGCCAACCAAAAAAATCAGGTAGATAAACAAATCTGCGGACCGACCCGACCGTGAGATCTTCAACGGGACGATCGATGGTTGCTCTTCGAAGTTCTGAAGTATATCTGTCAATCAATACGCAGACATGAACATATGTACGTACCTCACTAAGTCCCCAATTTCTTTTTCATATTATTGAAATATTATGGTGTCCTACTTGACTACATTTCAAAATTTGATCGCGAAGTACATCAAAAAGAACATGCTCAATTTAATTAAACATAAATAGAAACAAAAAAAGATGAGGGCCCGAAGCGCGATTCGAACACGCGGCCTCTCCGAATTTGAGATGGAAACCCAAACGGAGAATCATACCACTAGACCATCCGGGCGGAGTATAGAATGTGGGGCTGGTTCTGGATCTAGATTGCTGTTGAGTGAGTGTCGACACTATAAGCCTATAGATGCTTGAACAATACAATATGGTTATTAATATCAAATATAACAGTAAAGCCACTGATTAGAGCTGTCGGTTGAACAAAAGAAAGTCTGGCCTAAACTAGTGGTAAATATAAATGCGTCCCTCAACAAATATACACCATCAACATGTGCAATATATACAATGGCACAAATCCGGCGCCCCACTTTGCTGCGGAAGAATCCATGGATTGATTAGAAATTACCATGAAACCCTGTATTCTATGGCAAAAGGCCTCAAGGATTTGCTGGTAATGGTACAGGTGTCGATCTTATAACCAACTGCCATCACCCGTGGCCTCCATCCACCAATACATCAGCACTAGTCAATAGCTACCCGCAGCTGATGGCAAAAACACAATCGGACCCCTTTATTCATTCGCTCCAGAGACGATCGAGCATACTGTCTCCAAACATAAAATACTATTGCATCGGATCCTTCCACAAACCTTCCGTCATGCATTTACGGATATACCCAGGGCTCAGCGACTTAACGCGAATGACTGGTCCACCTTTCGGACTCCCCCATTCAGAGGCTAGGTTCCGCGTGAACTGATGAACTCCTGCCCTGGAAGAGCCACAAGCTGCAGCGTCAATTCCCTATAGCCATGTTAGTTCCAACCAATCATTTCGTCTAAGATCATGCTCACTTTTTTCACCACATGATCACTTATATTGGCGATCAATACCATGTTGGCAGGGAAGTCCTGCTTGAATAGTACCCGCGCTGCAGACCACGCGCAGGTAAGGGTACCCGCCCGGTTGACGTCGATGATCCGGCTCATTACGTTGATTGAGAAGCCAATGGATTGGCCGATTCTGGATACCACGGCGCAGGTTACAAGGCCTCGTAAGGGGAAGCGAGCTGCTATAAAGGCCTCCCAAGATAGTGCCTGGGTAGTGTCAGTGTGTGCGATGCAGTATTCATAATACCACAAGTTTGTACATGTGCTTACTGGGAGCCATGGAACAAAGCCAGCGTGTGCATCTTTAGCGACGACCAAGTCCGACTTCTTGAAAGTCGATAGTTCAACAATGTGGTTCTCTACATCAATTTCTTCACTATCAGCGGGATTTGCCGCCCGCCCTAGTTTAGTGAGTGAGGCGGCCCGCATATACTATTTCGAGTCGTTGATCAGCTTGCACCCCCAACAGTCAAACATGTCTGAGCTTAGCTTGCCGGAGGGACTCGAGAAGCCCTGGAATGTCGATGTTGACAATGTTGAGACTGTGCTTATCACTTCCTTACTAGTCAAACCTCGCCATCTCCACTACGACTTGAGCAAAGTACCTTATTCAAACTAACTTTATGCCACCGGCCACCTCAAGCCAGCAAGTAATCTGCCACACGATGCTTGTCGACTCGAACCGCGAGCTGCTTACAGACATAGTCAAAACATACACTAACATTCGTCCTCGGCAAATCAACAACAGAGATACTATAATATAGCACTGGCACCGACTCGCAAAATATTTTCATGAAGCAAGCGATGCAAACAATCGATTCGCCATCAAGGTTTCATTCATAGGTGCTGTTGCGTGGGTTGCTGCAGAGCCTATTATGGGCAACTTTGAGTTATGCGTCACAATGCTTGTTTGTGACGCTTATCTCATCTTGTGCCCGGATGGTCTAGTGGTATGATTCTCCGTTTGGGTTTCCATCTCAAATTCGGAGAGGCCGCGTGTTCGAATCGCGCTTCGGGCCCTCATCTTTTTTTTTTGTTTTTACTTCCCTCAATCAATACAATGACAACATGCAAGGACCGCTGTAGAACCCGACCGATTATTATAAATACTCTTAGCCTCTTTGTCACATTCTCTTTTTTATCTTTCGAAATAGAAAGAAGTCAGAAGAATTGGGCGCCCTCGGTGTCTTGCATTTGGCCTCAGGTAGAAATGCATCCAGAGGTCGAATAAGGTTGTGATTTTCTTGTCTTGGCTCATTTATCCTTCGGATATCAAGGTAGTGACCAAAGTTGGTTCGATAATGCGAACAGCTGAGATATAAAGAAGATAATTAAACTGAAAATCGTAGCATTTGTGTGTAAAGCAATTGATTCATGTATGAAACTCGATTATATTTATCATATTCATACACAGCATTTATGGCGGGCTTTGGTGACACCATTGAATGAATTCATTCAAATTGCCCAAGTCATCGGTAGCGGTGTTATCCATGTACCGAAGGTTGACATCAGACCTGCCAGTAGCATCTAGCGTGGCATTCAACAACCACCAAAGCTCCTGGGCGTGTTTCGGATACCCCAGGTGAAGGAATTGGTCCTTGTCCAAGAGACCGATGACAGAATCCCATATCCGTCTCCAGTTACCAGACGCACAGCGTATTTTATCCAGTGATAAATATCTCAACAGCCCCGATCTCGCCTGGAATGCCAGGGAATTAATTGCTATTGTGATATTCTTAGCAATTTAATCGATTGGCTGGGTTTGGTTGTCAACGTACCGTAAATCAGAATCAGGAGATGCTCCACTGATACCGAAAGACTCCATGGTATTGGGTCATTACCCAAAGGAGTTTCAAGCAATTGGGTGATCACGTCTTTCAGAGGCGGAAGCGGGAGATCTGTCGAGTGCGACATGGCAATCCTACTGAAAGAAGATGCACTTTCAGCCTCCCATAACCCTGCACTCCAAGGAAAATGACAATCCATTTCAAAGACCGATATTGATGGATGATTTTTGAAGCAGACTGTGAGGAATCCATCGGCTAGAAAGACCCAACACGCAATTCTTGAGATTGATTAGCGACAAATCTCACCTGGGAACAGAAGGACAAGGTAAGAAACAATGGGGATATGAAGTACCGTATGCAAACTTCCTCTGCCACTAAATGCATCCAAGTTCTCTCGTCACAAACCGTGGGAGCAGTTCTTCGCTTGAGCTGGAAAATCCCTAGGGATCGTATGGTAGATACCAAACATGGATGTCGGACGAGACGAATACGGCGCCTCGTTTGCACATTATCTTGCCCAAATTGAAGCATTTCGATGATGAGAGCACTCTGTATCAGCTGCACAGTTGATAGCAGATGCGAGGAATCCTTCGGCGAAGCAAGTATTGATAAGTCTGTAATTTTCCGAAATATGTACTCTTCCGCTACGTCGAAGATACCAAATGGTAGGGCCCCTCCATCTAATGGAATAGTATATGTCGCACCAGATAAAAATATTGAAAGTAAAAGAGGATTGGTGATGTTTCCTGGGTCGAAGGTTGGAAAATGCACCACTGGTAAATGCCAGTGAAGAGAGTGGAAGAATGCAGAGATAGAGGCGGAGATATTGGAGACCCCTAAGAGAGTAGAAAGCTCTATGAAATCAAGCGGGCCGAGCATTCCTGTGCCTCCGAGCCCCATTGACTTTGAAGTTTCGACCAGCTCTGTCATAATCTCGGATAATTGGTTGGAAAGCTTCGAAGGGAAGAGTGTATCAGGGGAGAGCTGAAGTGAATGATCATCGGCAAAAGAGGGCATAGTCGAGGGTATTTGAGAAGGGAAACTCGTGAGTTGAAAGTCAACATTAAAGACTGATATAGGATCAGTGGGAACAAGGGCATCTTCGATATGGGAGTTGAGTGTTTCAAGGTTTCTTCGAACGGAACATTTTGCAGTCTCCCCGATCGCCAACCTATCCCCTTGGAAAGATGGATTGGCAAAATGTTGGAGGAAAGAAAATGATCCACTGTCTCTTAAGCCAAATCGTGAGGTTGTCACAGAAGGCGAGAGTGAAGCTACCGCAGAGCAACTGGGATCCCAGGAAGGTATCTCTTGGGCCACGAAAGTACATTGTCGACCAAGGAAGCGACAGCGAGAGCATGGTAGATTCCTGTCGCAAGATACCTTGGCGAAGAAACACAACTCACAGGAATGTCTTTTCCGACCTGGCTTGGCTGGAGGAGGTGGAGGTTGATTGAGCTTTTTTGCACAGGTTTTGATATGTCTTCTTGTGACCTCACTTTCGACACATTAGGTAATGTTCATTATTTATGATGAATTACTTCACACACGGCTTCATAAATGCTTTGCTGCACAAAGGGCAGCTAGAAGAGAGCTGCTGTGTATCTACGAGGTGGTCAGCCTATTAATATTTTAAAATCGGGATCATTGGACCTTACGGGTCGCTTCATGGCGAGTTAAGTGATTCTTCCTCTGATAGGACTTTTCGCATAGTGTACATTGAAACATGACGTCGAAAAAGCAGCCTTGTCATAACAGCAGAGTGAGGAAAAAAAGAAAGGGGCGGGCGGTTACGGAGGTCAGCGCGTGGACAAATCCTATCCGTGCGTGGCCGGAAACCTGACACATTGAAAAGCTCCAATAATAGATTTAACTCTGATATTGTAAGTCGCGAGAGTTCGAAAATGCCCAAATCAAATAGGCAACTATTTTAAAATGAGATACTCAGAGGAATCGAAATTAGTCACGGACTGGGGCAATGCTGGTCTGTTCACGGAGTACGGAGTACGAATATGGAGTCTAGCTCTAAGGGTTCAACAAACCAGAGATCACTACGGAGTACGGAGTAATCCGTAATGGGGCTGGGCTTGGGCCATGCCATGTTATCCTCTGCAAGGGTAAATGATAAAGCACACTATAGATCATGCATTCCGTGATTTGCTAACGAAGTACTTCCTCCTGGCGGGCCGGGCGGGCCACCGGGGGAATAATGCTGATCTCAGGTACTCCGTAGGCACGGAGTATAATGATCAACAATTCAAACGTGGAGGGCAATTTAGTTTTCATGGTTGGTATCCATGGCATACACATATGCAATGGACAATATTTGAAAATACCGCGAACATGAAGGCTGAATGCCCAGAGGAGGGAGACTTGAAGCACAGATTCGCGATAGTTGGTTCCCGACGCCATTAAAAGTAAGCTATTTTTTTGGGGACATATGTTGTACCCATTTGAGCGACGAGCAAATGAGTCGAACTTTCCAAACCCCTGGCGTGCACGGGACCTGACTGCATCGCATTCGATCACAAGTGGATCAATGTAAGATTCCTGAACATTAAGGTATCATATCCACTAGTCGGGAAACTCTCGTTCGCTCTGGCGCATGGCTTCTATAATTGTTCATCCGTAGCTATAAATCCACCGTTTTCGAGGGCACATCACGGAGTTATATAGACCCCGCTGGACAGAGCCGAGAATCAAAGAGAACTACATGCACGAAAGACCGTAGATCTCGTTCCGCATGGGGAAATAGAAGTTGTGGGGAATAACAAGATCGACAGGATCGAAAAAGCGGTGGGGCTCACATCTCTAGCGCAGCCATGGAGGTCAAGCCCCCAAGGGTTAATGAACCATGGAGGACAAAGCACAGTGGAATTGAGACGCTGAAGTATCTTGTGCACTACCTCGGCGTCCGAAGATGCGATGTAGTAGGGAATAGGGAGTACAAAGTATCTTGCTTTGGAAAGAAGAAGCGATCAGGATTTATTTGCTTCATTTTATCTTTGAAATACGGAGTACAGTGTACCTGGCTAAAGCCCCTTGCACTCCGATAGCCGGGGTTCTGTATCAGGTAGGAGGCACATGATGACTGGCTCATTGGGGCATTGAGGGACTCGAATTTAGTTGAAGAGGTATTTTGCTGGTCCGATTTAGGATTACCCGGCTTACTCCGGCGGATAGCCCTATATTGAAACTGACACCTTGCTTGAAGTAGCCCCTGAACCAAGATATCAGCACAAAGAAAGCTCGAGATACGTGATGCATACGGGGATGTGTGGCTGGACTAGTTCGGACTAGCCTCCGAGCGGGAGCAATCAAATGAGACGCTACTGCAATTAGCGGGCCGGGAGTGAAGTGATAGGTCTAGCATAAAGGTCGAATATCAGATTTGGTTCATTGACCAACTTGTCAAAAAAAAGAGGCAAACTAGAAGCAGGGGACCAATCAGTAACTTATTTACAAGGAAAATGGGCTGGTCTGGTCTTGAATTCTCGCTTGGCGTTCTTTGCTGGGCTAGGCGATAGTTTGTGATGTAGATCGACGTTGCCTCCCCTATTTTTAAAATTGCTATATTGTCTTGTTCATGGGATTGCACATATAAGGCCGCCTACCTCTCAGGTAGATTCCCGTTTTTCATCTATTCGTTGTTAGTTTTCGATCGCTCGTTTTTGCTGGTTTCATTCAGCGTCCATTCTTTATTTCACTCTGTATACTTTCAATTCGGAACGATGAAGCAATCTATGATTGCTTCCCTTGCGGCTCTCGCAACCTCATGCTCCGTATGAAAACCATCGCTGTCGGTTCCTGTGGTAGTTGGAAATGGAGCTGACATGTTATGTTTATAGGGAGTTCAAGCCGCTGATAGCTTGATCAATGTGCCTGTCAATCTCTGCGCCGCCATCCTCGGACAAGCCGCATGCGACCAGAAGACCGCCACCAATGGCTTGATCAGCGTGCCAGTCAACGCATGTGTGGCAGTCCTTGGACAAGCCCAGTGTGACCAGCTCTCTTCCTCTTTGACCCGACGCGGCGATTCGTTGATCAGCGTACCCGTGAATCTTTGCGCTGCGATCCTTGGTGAGGCTGAGTGCAAGCAGAGAACCGCCAGCGCTGATGGCTTGATTGATGTGCCGGTCAACGCATGTGCGGCTGTACTTGGACAAGCCAAGTGCGACCAGTTCGCTTCCTCGTTGAGCAGACGGAGCGGCTCCTTGATTAGCGTGCCCGTTAATCTTTGCGCTGCAATCCTTGGGGAGGCCGAGTGCAAGCAGAAGACTGCCAGCGCTGGCGGCCTGATCGACGTGCCTGTTAACGCATGCGCGGCAGTGCTTGGAGAAGCTAAGTGCGACCAGGTCGCTTCCACTACCGGTAGCGGGGAGGGTTCCCTGATTAGCGTGCCTGTTAATCTCTGCGCAGCTATTTTGGGAGAGGCCGAATGCAAGCAGAAGACCGCAACCGCTGGTGGCTTGGTCGATGTGCCCGTTAACGCTTGTGCGGCTGTGCTTGGACAGGCCAAGTGCGACCAGGTCGCTTCCACCGCTACTGGTGGTGGCAGTGGCAGCGGTAGTGGTAGTGGCAGCGGTGACGGCTCCCTGATTAGTGTGCCCGTGGGACTTTGCGCAGCGATCCTTGGAGAGGCTGAATGCAAGCAGCAGACTGCCACCCCTGGCGGCCTAATCAACGTGCCTGTAAATACCTGTCTTGCAGTCCTCGGAAAGGCCAAGTGTGACCAGGCCTCTTCTCCTGGCAGCGGCGAGGGCTCCCTGATCAATGTTCCCATCAACGTTTGTCTGGCTGTTCTCGGTGAAGCTCACTGCCACCAGAGCTCCAACCCTAATGGTGGCCTGATCAACATCCCCATCGACCTGTGCTTGGCTGTTTTGGGAGAGGCTGAGTGCCATGATGCATCATCCACCCCTCCCCCGGCCGTTACCACCAACCCTGCTGTTCCCGGCGTTATTCCTGGTGAGACTGCCACTCCTGGTGTCCCCGGTGTTACTCCTGGTGAGACTGCCACTCCTGCTGTTCCCGGTGTTGTCCCTGGTGAGACTGCCACTCCTGGTGCCCCCGGTGTTGTCCCCGGCGAGACTGCCACTCCTGGCGCCCCCGGTGTTGTCCCTGGTGAGACTGCCACTCCTGGTGCCCCCGGTGTTGTCCCCGGCGAGACTGCCACTCCTGGCGCCCCCGGTGTTGTCCCTGGTGAGACTGCCACTCCTGGTGCCCCCGGTGTTGTCCCCGGCGAGACTGCCACTCCTGGTGTCCCCGGTGTTACTCCTGGTGAGACTGCCACTCCTGCTGTTCCCGGTGTTGTCCCCGGCGAGACTGCCACTCCTGGTGTCCCCGGTGTTACTCCTGGTGAGACTGCCACTCCTGCTGTTCCCGGTGTTGTCCCTGGTGAGACTGCCACTCCTGGTGTCCCCGGCGTTGTTCCCGGCGAGACTGCCACTCCTGGTGCCCCCGGTGTTGTCCCCGGCGAGACTGCCACTCCTGGCGCCCCCGGTGTTGTCCCTGGTGAGACTGCCACTCCTGGTGCCCCCGGCGTTGTTCCCGGCGAGACTGCCACTCCTGCTGTTCCCGGTGTTTCCCCTGGCGAGTCTTCCGTCCCTGGCACCGAGGCTTCTAGCACACCTGTGGGAACTAGCCCCGGAGGACCGGACTCCAGCTTGCCTTCTGGTCCTGGGTCACCTGCACACAGCCATGTTCCCTCCCTTACCGTTGGACGCCCATCCCCCACCGGCGCTTTCACTCGTGTCACTCCCAGCTTCACCAATGTTGTGACTGTCTGCAATGCTGCTTGCCACGCATCCAAGACTTCCAGCGGTCTTGTGGCTCACACTTCCCCTGCCTCCGGTGGCAACGGCGGCAAGCCCGGCCCCATGGCCACTCCCAGCACCATTCCGTTCAACGCGGCCGGCCGCGCGACTCTGTCCGGCGTTGCCATGGTGTTTGGAGCTCTCTGCGCCATCGCTATGCAGATCTAAGCGGTTATCTAAGTTGAGATGTCGATAAAGCTGGTAGCTATCAGGGACAGTTGGTCATGCTCAGTCATGAGATTTGTAGTTACTGTCGCGTTGGACATATCAGTCCTCCTATTCTTTTCCTTCTATGTTCAATGGTTAAATTAGCATGGATAATATAATTCCACGATATACGTTTTTCAATTGAGCCTATTCTCGGGATATGTACTCCGTAAGCGACGAATACATTGGTTGTGCTATTATGACAGAGGATGTCATTTGATTTGATCACAATTTTCACTTCAATAGCATAAGATAGTTTGATGCAAGATTTAACTTGTAAAAATGCTTTTCCTTGTGTAGCCATTGAGAAGAAGGTACATCGCGCGCTGAATATATTGAACATTAATCATTTCTCAGACGGCTCAATAATGGGCCATGTGATAGATCACACGCCACATCTTCAGGGGAGAATCTGAACAGTCTTGGTTAACTTTCAATTCAGACCAATTTCCCATTTTCGCGCACCATTTTAATGAAACCTGGCATTATCTTACTCTGTGTTCATCAAACTAAGTTCCCTATAGAAGATTTTCCCCAACAAAATGCGGAGAGGTACCAGGCAACCTGGTCATGCATTGAATCAGATATAAAAAAATTGCTTGGACAAAGGATGCTTCTTCTGTCTCTTTTTGCTGTCTACCTATAAGACTGGAGAGGGGATCTCGAAGATATCTGAAAAGATCGCCGAAAAGACCTATAAGACGTCGTAAGGCCGCATAAGCGCCAGTCTACGGAGTACTCGTGTATATTTAATACGTATTATGTGGATAAAGAGACCATTCAAGTGTGATCAGAATAGAATTCAACTCGAGCGAATTCCAAGATTGTCCCAAAACTCAGTAAATAATGAATCGATGGGTCGCGCAAGGGTTGGTTGGTTCCCACAACTCGACCCATACTCCGTATATGTAGATACATATGGAAATTGTCTTGGGCCCTTAGAGTACATCGAGTCCTCAATGTACCTACCGCATATTGGAATCTTGAGCATATTAGAATCCTCAGTAGAGCAGAAGAAAGGAGTAAAAAAGCGGAAAATATCAAAATGAACAAAAGTCAAAAAAATCCTCTGACCCGGGATCGAACCAGGGACCTCAAGATAACAGGTTCGAATGAACAGCCAATTACAGTCTTGCGCTCTTCCAGCTGAGCTATCAGAGGGAATTATTGAATGGTTTCAGGTTTTTAGAATATATAAAAGAAAGACTGCGCCCTTCAATACATTGGGCTCATTGCCATCAACAAAGGGGATTTGGTCTATGAGAAGTTTTGGTAGAGCTTTTTTGTTTTACAAAATGCGCCACCCAAAAGAGAGGATATAAAAGAAAAAGTTCTTTAATGATGTCGGCATACTGGATAGCAAACTGCTCCCCAATCTGGCTCGAGTATCTGCTGGCATTCCTTCAAGTGATTCATTCCATAAAAAACCCACCAGAAGTCCTTAAATTAATCATTTCACAAAACCCTCCCGCCAGCATATCCACCAGCGTGAGTATAAATGCGACTAAGCCAATCACAGATGGAAGTGGTGTAGACAGGTCCCAGTCGATCAAGTCCGTGACACTACAATCCTTGTCGATAAGGGAATTTACTTCATTGAGGTTATAGTAGGCGACCCGTGATTGAAAATGTTTTAGCTGCTCTAGATCATCAAGAAACTCTCGAAGCTGACACCAGTATAAGACAATATTCTCTAGCGGGGCACAACGGGCCAGATACATCTTTTGCGAACTAGAAAGCGCCTTGACTGAGAGACTCGATTTGGAATTGCTGCACTATCTGATGTCCGTTAATGTCAAAAATAGGGACCCACTGAGCATTCCCTGCATTGTAGGATCAAGAGATACCGAGGAAAATCGGTTTGGGTTAGTGGAATTGTGAATACCTTGTATTTTCACGAGGATGGCAGGGCGACGAGGTTGGTGATAACGGCAAAATTCTGGAATAGGGACCTGTGCGCTATCCATTAAGTCTGTACTTAATGTGGCCATATTGAATTATGATGGAGTCTCGCAAGCGATCTCCAGATATTATCTTTCCATATTCTAGGTACATTGCGCAATAATCTTACTGTATATCATTTTTGGAGCTTCGTTAGGTGATCTATCGAAGGCAATTCGTGAGTACCCCTACCTCGTAGGAGTGTACCTGAATGTATATATAGTAGACACGTTGTTCTTGTCTATGATTCGGTGGTTTAAACCAGGTCAAAATTCATCCGGACATCTGTACCCCTATAAGATGAATAGATGGGATCCTTGCAACGGTGATATTACACAAAGGTCACACATAAAGCAACTCTTATCAGATCGGGAACAGACTACGTCACACATTCTGCAGCAAAAATGCATTTTACATCGTGGTGCAGTTGCACAGCATCTATACAGAACATCTCTCGACAATCAACGGGATATATGAAGGTCGACATGTTTGTTCCTGTCTTGTGTATGGTTAATATTTTGTCTGAAACAAGGATATCGACACAGAAATTCTCGAAAAAGTTCACAATTGTATTCTAGATTCATCCTATTGAAAGCATCTTGAGTCTGATCTTCTAAGAGTCACGATTAATCTCAAGAAAGGCTGCATGATAGCTAACTCACTCGGCGAGGAAGCATTGCGCATTTTCAAATTGAGATTTGGACTTCAACAAGTTGTCAATGATATGTACCATTTGAGATGAGCAAACTTGGCCAAACCACATATAGGGACCAATGAGGCGGTTCAGCTCTACACCTACGCTATTTGAGAGAAGAAGGTAGAGACTTCTTACCAAGTTCCCTATGTTTATCGAAATGTGAAGAGTGTACCTATATCAAGGCCTAACCAGAGCTTGTTCCCTGTGACCTGAAGTGAACAGAAATACTGTAATCTTTGATCTCGCGCTGGGAAAAGAAATCATCTCCATAAATTCAGCATTTGAAGGATTCTACACATAAGATTTGCCTCGCTTCTCTATTGAAAAATCTGGTTCCGCCCTCACAATGCTGTGGATTGATGGGTTGTGTGAATATGAGAAGAGGGAAGAGAACCCAGAAATTCAAAGACAAGTTGTAATGCTGAAGAAGAACGGCGGATCACTGAGGGTAAGTTCAAAACTCAGAACGAGGATGCGTGGTCAGAGGTCGAAGCTGATGTGGGCAAGTTGGACATACCCCACCATGGTCTAGTCAGCATCCCACTCCAGGAAGATTCATCTCATGGAGATAGATACCACACAGAGTCCTTGAAAGATGTGTTGATGGCTCATGGAAGCTTCAGGATTGCAATGCAAACTTGGACCCCAAAGCAAAACGAAGATCCGTTGGAACAAGCGGTTGGTGAAGTCAAAGCCATTAGCCTCTTCTTCCCAGATGTTCGATCTAAACATCTTCGGATCTGCATGGCCGCATGGCTTGGAGTACTCTGTACCGTTGATGATCTACTCGAGGCGATGAGGCCTCACGAAGCCGAGGATGCTATTCTGGCAACCATTGCTACTTTGCAGGATAGTGAGAGAGACAATAAGATAGGTGAGTTAAGATTTGAAGGATATGGGTAGGGTATGCTTACAAGAAACACTCAGTCTGCGAAGTCTCTCCCAAGGCCAATGTCTGCTCTCTCATGTCATTGTTTCAGAAGCACTGTTGCCGGTATCTCTCAGATGCAGCTGCAAAAGATTTCTTTCGCGAAATTTGCACTGTATTCTGTGGCTTCATGCAGGAGATCGACTTTCAACAAGGCTACTTGAAACGCGATATGGAGAACTACATGGAGATTCGAACACGAACAATCGGAGTTGCGCCTTTCTTCAGCCTGATCAGATGCGACCTCTTCCCCGCCGACTATTATTCAGACAGTATTTCGGCCATACAGAAGGCAGTAAATATTGCAGTTGGCCTCCAAAACGATCTTGTTGGGCTTGAAAAAGACCTGGAAGAGAAAGAGCCAATGAATGCCGTATTTGTCAGTATGGAGGAGCTGTTGTGGAAGGAGGAAGTGAAGGGAACGAAGCTTGCCGATACAATTGCGGCCGTTTGTTCATTGCATAACTGCAGTATTGCGGAGGTGGCACAGATACGCCAGAGGATCCTGCAGACAGCAAGAGATGAGTCCGAAATAATTGTGGCAACCTCTCAGCTTCTCTTTACTGAGACCCATTTTAGATGGTGCACCACGGCAAAGAGGTATAGAACGCATTTAGAATAGGTTATGGTGATGGAGGTGCATTCTGCCAATCAAGCATCAATTCCGGGTTTTATGTCTCCAGATGTCTGATCAATTAGTAAATGCTTCTCATATGACCAATTTTAGTTGGATAATGCGATATGGCCTGTGAGAGTGTGGCCATGGAGTAGTCGCCTGAAGTCCAGGAGTTCTAGCAGATTGTTCTTTATGGCCAGTGGATCAGCCAGTTGTGCATACAGGTCAGTTTCAGAAATCACACACTACGCGCAGCATGATACAAGAATTGAAGGCGAGTTAGGTGACATGTACAGCTTGCATTTATACTTTACTTGTATAACTGAATTGTCTGAGTGTGAGAGTACGACAGCAAGCCCTGGTTCCCCCACTCACCCCCAATCCCACTTTGCTTCCAGCCAGAAATGTAGCCATTTGGATTGGGTACTTCAGCGCTATTGATCCATACTGTTCCAACTTCGAGTTTTCGCGCAATCCGCTCCGCGGTACTGGTATCCTTGGCCCACACGCAGGCTCCTAAGCCAGTATCTGTCCCATTTGCCTTCGAAATCACTTCATCCTCAGTAGACCACTTTGTAAGCGGAATGATAGGACCGAACTGCTCCATTTGGACGATGCGAGAATCATGTGGTGGTTGGTCTATAACCACAGGTGCGATGAAAAGCCCGGGCTGCTCGTCCGTATCTCCCCCACAAAGCAACGTATAATTCCTTTCCTTGCAATCCGAAATGATATCTTTGACCAAGTTGTACTGTATCTTATTTTGAATGGGACTGAACAGAGGCGACTCGTCCCCGGAAAGGTCGATTTTGATGTTCTTGACTGCCTCCATGAAGGCGTCCCGGAATTCTTGGAAAATAGCCTCATGCACATAAATTCTTTTGGTAGCAACGCACATTTGGCCCGAATGAAAAAAGGACCCAGCAGCAACTTTAGGAGCAACGTTTTCGATATCGACGTCGGGGCAGACGATACTTGCGTCGTTTCCACCAAGCTCAAGTGTGACGCGTTTCAAAGTCTTGGCCCCGTTTTCCGCTACTTTTTTCCCAGTCGCAATGGACCCGGTGAAACTAATCTTGTCAATTCCTGGGTGAATAGTCATGAGCCTTCCCATATCGTTGTCTCCGTTGAGCGCCTGGAGTACGCCTCGCGGAAGCACGGATGTCGCAAGCTCAGCGAACTTCAAAGTAGCACACGGAGTGAATGGCGATGGCTTGACAAGTATGCAATTTCCCATGACGAGTGCTGCAGCAATCTTGCCGGCGGCTAACACGAGCGGAAAATTCCAAGGGCAAATCGCACCCACCACTCCTATGGGATGATGGGTAGACACGATCTTGAGTTTATCGTTTTCGTATTCCACTTTATCAGGCAATGACTGAGACGCTGGCATTGTAAGCTTTCCCAGCTAAATAATATTTCTGATGTAGATTCGCAATACCATTAAATCTGATAAAAGCCAAAGTATCATCAATCTCTATGTTTGCGAGGAGGTTCTGTCAAGCGGCTTAGCAGTGTCTTAAAATTCAAAACATGGAAGGAGTTCATTACGGATTTTCCGGTCTCCGCTGCCAGAGGGACATGTATCTCACTTCTTCGCTGTTCGAGTTCATCTGCCAGCTTGAGCAGATATTTCTGTCTTGCTTCGACAGACAACAGCTTCCACGATTTAAATGACACCCTTGCAGCTTCGACTGCATCGTCAAGATCCGTCTCATCTGCAACTGCCACATCCCATAGGGCTTCATTAGTCCTGGGGCTGGTGACCGCTACAGAATCTCCGGCCCGACGCTCCGAGTTGATGATATTGTAGAACATTTTGAGATATCTCTGGAGAAAGAAAAGAACTGGATCTAGAAACCACCGACATTTCAAAGCTGAATTAAATATTGAATGCTAGATGAACAGTGGGCCAACGGGCTTCTCCCACACCTGTGACGGGGTTTCTACATCATTAGGGAAACATGCCCGTATCTCCGTGTGGGGAAATGCCGACAGGGAGGATATATCCGATGGTCAATTTCAATCATTTTCATTTCTTATATGTGAATACATGAACTACCCATTAACTTAGCATTTACTTTTGAATTAAATCTGAGTTTTCTGGGTGCCGCGCATTCTGACCAGTGAATAACTGCCACCAATTATCCTTCCCGAACTTCACAATGAGCTCCAGCACAGAAAAAAGAGCAACATCAGACCAGGTGGCTGCAGTCCTTCAGAATGTAAAAAAAACCCTATTGCCGCCATGGGCGCTGTGTATTGTCTCTAACAAAATACCGTTCAGCAAGGTCGTAAATTCTCGTTCGAGATACAAAAATTCCCGATCCCAACCATCGAGCCTAAAGAGGTTCTAGTTGAGTTAGAAGTTACTGGTGTCTGCGGAACGGACCTTTCAGTAGCCTGCGGCTACCTTGGACGATGCCAAACAATTCTAGGCCACGAGGGCGTAGGTCGAATTGCCGCTGTAGGTTCTTTGTGCACAAGCAAAGCAGCTACGGTGGGCCGTCTGGTTGGCGTTGGCTGGATTCGTGACGCGTGTGGATCTTGCCACGTATGTGATGATATGAAAGATGAGACACGATGTCTAAAGCAAGTTTTCAGTGGGCGTGATGTGCCGGGTACCCTAGCCAGGTATACAGTCGTCCCGGAGAGGTATATCACGCCTCTGCCAGATGGAATCCCTAGCGAAATGCTAGCCCCAATAATGTGTGCCGGTGTTACAGCTTACAAAGCGCTGAAGGTGGCGAGTCTCGCAATAGGCTCATGGGTCGGCATCTCTGGAGCGGCAGGTGGAGTGGGATCGTTGGCATTATCATATGCAAAGCATATGGGCTACCGGCCTATCGCAATCGACCGAGGAGAAGGACGGAGACTTCTTTGTAGAGATGCAGGAGCCGAGGTGTATTTGAATTTCGAAAAGGAGGAAGACCTCAGGAGCGCCATGCTGGTACAAACAGAGGGCAAGCTTTGTTCTGCGATCATCGTGTGTGCTGGAGCTGCAACAGCCTACGAAGAGGCCTTGAAGTGTCTGGATTACCACGGAACTCTGGTCGCAGTAGGCATCCCCCCACCCACTTCAAAGATATCACTTCACCCCCTTGATTTGATCGACAATGGGATTCGGATTGTTGGGAGTATCACGGGCGATCGTGTGGACATTGCAAATGCTGCTGAGTTTGTTCGCAAGGGTTTGGTGAAGCCACGAGTTACTGAAGTTGGGCTTCACGAACTAGAGAAGTATGTGGGACGTGTGAACGAACTGGACGGAAAACTTGTGGTGCGGCTGAGCGCAAAAGACGGGCGAAAAGACTTGATGAGCTCTTTGTGAGATTTACATGCTCGTCAATTAACCAATAGATAGGTTGTTCTGTTGTTCTGTGCAGATCTGGGGGGTAAAGGATCATGATGGGAGCTCTCTTGAGGATCACCCACCAGTGTTGTGATAGAGCTGTGTTCACTTCACCTATCTAGGATGACTTGAATTTCTTGTCTTTAATATCAGCCAAAGTATCACATGAAATAGTCAGCAAGCGTAATAGTCGCGTATATCTCACAAATGTTTGCAGACTCGCGTATAGAATTGTGCCATGTTCAGCTTCCACCCCTTACTGGCATAGAGAAACCCTTTTTATGACATAACTACTAAAGATTTACATAGATTAGGAATCCCAATATGGAAGGTAACCTGCAGAGGAAAATTGAGCCAGGAATCGACCAATCAGCCTTTGCTTCTGCATGTACCCCCAATGATTAGTTCGTGCTTATTGCGGTAATGTAATTTTCCAGCAAATCCTTCAAGCTGGAAGCAGCCTCATGATGCTCATGATTTATTTGATTGGAGTGGCTCTCTTCCCAGAGTAAAGCTAAAAACAAACCATGACTCTATGTACAAAGCCCAGACATTCAAAATGCCGACGGGTGTGCGTATACGGGAGCAGACCCAATGGCAGTGATATATTCCAACTAATTGAGCCTCATGCAGGGTTGTCAATGCTCTGATTGGTTCATCGTATGAAATGCCTGCTGTTAAACCAAAGGTTACACAAGGTAAGCAGACACAGACACTCTACCCGGAGGTCTGTAGTCTTGCAATCTCTATCATTATCCTAATCTTCATAATAATCTGACATAGCGGAATTAATAGAGCAGATTTTTCAACAGTAGATATGGTCCATAGAGCGAGAGGATTCCAGAAGGGAAAAATAATCATGGAAAAAAAAAACCAAGTCTTTTCCCGGGGAAAGTCCGAGATTGTAGATCATTAATTCGCGCACTGACTGAGTTTGCAGATCATCTACACTGACTCGACTCTGTTTTGCCAAGCATTGCTAGTCTGACGCACATGCAATGCCCCAATTGCTGTCAATCGCATGAATCTTTCTTCACCACGGGAGTCTGGGTGATTCTCGTGATATCGCAGAGATTAGAGATGCGAAGCTGTCTCTTCTTGGACCCTTCAAATCTCAATCCTGGAGGAACGTTTGATGAGTTATATGGTTCCATTCATGGTACTGGCCTAGGTGTGCATACCTGTAGATTTTAACCTTCAAGGCTGAACTTGGCCTTCCACCACTTTCTGAAAGAAAAATCGGACATTTGAGACCCCTTGCCTGGATGAATGGTGTCAAGATTCCCACGTGTATTCAAATTAGGTATATGATGTAACGTGGGGGCCACGGTTGGTGACTGGAAGCTGAAGTGATCTGGGCAGTGTATTGTGTATAGATATATCTTTTCAAAACATGGCGCAGAACTAAAGAACGCAGATTGATAAAGCCCGTTTTGTGTCTTTTAGGATCTAGCTGGATAATGCTATAATTCCTCCTAGATGCCGAACACCAGCGAAATGTAACCTGAAGGGCACTTGAGGGAATGTACTGTACACTCAAGAATCAACGTTCATTCCATACTTCATGGCATTCCGCTAAGTTCTTGTACGCGATGGTGAGGGTTACATAAAATGGCACGATGAAATTCACGGACATTGGGTAACATCGCATATAAGGCGCCCAAGTATATGGTGACACTGCATACAAGGCACTTCAGGATAGGGCGGCCCTCCATACTTGATCTACACCAAGACCTGGGCACCCGGAACTCACCCCGAGAACGAACCCCGGAGCCGAATCTGATCGCCCGCTCACCCGCAGGGCGCGAGGGAGGCGCCAAAGCCCCACCCAAAACTACCTCCAGCTCACTGGAATGTCAACTTGACAGATAGACGTAAGAGGTAATGCTAATTTTGTCCAATTACATTGGAGTGATAGTGGACATTTTAAGGTCCTCAGCTAGACATGTCACATGCATGAGCTGCTCAATTACCTTCTTGACATGCACAACTGATCACAGGATTGGTCTCTCTCCAAATTGATCCTTTGATATCCAGGGGCTGATACTGTGTTTATTAAAGATACCGAATGAGCATAAATATGGCCTCAAACCCTGCTCATCTGCTTAATCCTTCACTTGCCACGGAGGATAATATCCCCACCACTGAGAAACTCACTATTCACGCACGATAAAGTATGTACCAAGCCCCCAGAGTATTGAAAAATTAGCTACCAATGATTGAACTTCTATGGATTGCACTGCTTGGTACAACTGATTCTTAGCTAAGTGACATGTGAAGCAGATCCTTCACATATTATTCTGGAAGCAGTCGTATAATCGTGTCACTACGCAGCAACACCGAGTCTAAATTCGTACTTTCAGAATGCTATGCACTTTATGTGGGCTTCAAACATCGACGCAAGATACCAGCTCCGCGAAAGCAAAGGCAGCGGTGGCGGATCGCCGTCGTGAGCAGAATCGTCGGGCACAGAAGCGGTTCAGACGTTAGTCCAGATGATCCAAAATGAAACGTTGATGATATTGACATTTGGCTCGTTCTCGGGTAGAAAAAATTCGTGAACGAAAAGCCACCCCAGATCAAGATCAATCGCATCCGCAAACCGGCGGCTCGGATGCCTTGGACGGCATTAGCCCAATAGCCTCCAACGCATTGGCACCACTCACACCACCCAATACAACGTGTATTGGTCACAGGCAGTCCCCCATAGGCCACTACGAGGAGAGTCAAGCCGAGAATATGATGGAGTACGATTTCCTCTTGGACCCCAACGACCAATGCGGGATGAATAAAGGCGCGGACGACTTCTGGACAGCGACGCTGAAAGAGACAGCCCCGTTTTCTGCTGCTATTACCCTTGTTCCACCTTTGGAGCTGAAGGATAACAGAGGATATTACACAACCAGAAACTCGGATAATCCTGTCGTTGACAACGAAAGTGGCAGAATATCAGCAGGGCCGACCGTGCTTCATCAAGCAGTCCAGACCGGAAATAGCAAAGTTGTATCCCTTCTACTCCAACATAACGCAGATTGCAACTCGAAGGACAATTCGGGGCTGACACCTCTGTTGTGTGCGGTAATCGGAGGCTATGAAGAGATATTAGAGCTATTGCTATCACATGGGGCCGGGATAGGGCATGTTGACAATGCTCATTGGTCGGCCCTTCATTGGGCTGTGTTCCATAATCGTCACAGGATACTGGAGCGACTTCTGAATCGCTGCAGCGGAGACACTTCGTTGCTCAACATACGAAACAAGGATGGGCAAACACCGCTATCAGTCGCTGTTGGCGCGGGAAGTGAGGTGGCTGTGAAACTGCTACTAGAATTTGGGGCCACGGTTAACGTAGAGTGAGTGAGTATATTTGTATTTAGAAATATAGAAAATTATCACCATCATGGAAGATAAATACATATCTTCTTTTGTGCCCAAGGCTGAAGCTGCTTCATTGGCTTTTTAATCCGTGTTGTGACCAAAGAAATGATCGACACGAAGTGGCCCTGTAATCTAATCTGGCTATTTCAAACAGACTCATAGGCCTCGGACTTTGACCTTGACCTGAAAGCCACTCTGCTTATTGAAAAAATAATCATGGGTCACCCAGCTCTTACTCGAGTCCACTAGAACAAAATCAAATTTGCGAATCAACAGTGGTACAATTTTGTAGATCTCACTAAGAGCAATCTGTGACGACGTTAGCACTTATACTGTACCTCGTGATGTAGTTGGGCTAGTCTTTGGATAGGCTCACCTGTTTGCCAACGCAAATTCTAGTACCCGCCCCAAACACTAGGTTATTGCATCTTTCCATATTGGGGTCAGAGCGTTCGATCCATCTTTCTGGACGAAAAGTGTCGGCATCCGGGCCATATACACCATCATCTCGTCCTATAACAGCCGCATTCATACCAACTTTCCATCCTGGTGGGATGTACATTCCTGCTAGCTCAATTCCAGCCTGATCCACGACTCTAGGCATAGTAAACCCTACGCCAGGATGTAACCGCAATGCCTCTTTGATCGCTGCCTTGAGAAATGGGAGTCGGACAGCTTCGGAATAACTGGGGAATTCGGATAGTTTCCCGCTCTCCACGGCTTCGTCAACCTCTTTTCGAAGCTCTTCATATATATATCGATTTTTGGTGAGGTAATAGAAGACTGCTTGCAGTTCAATCATGGTGGCGTCCGCGCCTGCTGTGCTATCAAATCAAGTATATCAGCAGATTGTATGTGTGTACGAAATATATGCTCTATACACTTACAGAGCTGCGAAAGCCTCGTTCTTGACGTCTTCAATGCCGAAGTCCGATTTTTCCCCTTTCAAATCGACGATGGTGAGTAAGTTATGCAAAAGATCTTTTCTCTCCTGTTGTCCATGAGATGCAACAGCAGAGACTCTGTTGTCCACGCTCGTGCGTGCCGTTTCGATTATGCGATTCATGCCCCTGAGCCCTTTGCGTGCAGTAGAGCTGAGTGTAAACAAACCCATAATCAGACCACGGACTAGGGGCGAAGAAACCGCTGCAGTTGTGAGCACAGGAAGCATCACCTCCAGGGATGCAAGGAAAGCGCCTTCGTCGCCTTGATTCTCAATAAAGCCGAGGGGGCGACCAAAAAAGAGCTCTCCTATAACATCATAGGCGTACCTAGAGAAATCATTTAATTAATATATAGCCTATATTCTTAAGAAGAACTCTCACCATAGAAACCAATCTCCGAGATCAATCGCTTGATCAGGAATGGTACGCTCAGTCATACGCTCGACAAACAAGCGACTGCAGTTGTCAATGTATGACTCTAAAGTCAAGACAGTAGACATACTATACACGCTGCTCACGATGCGCCTTCGCTCAGAATGCAGCTTTTCGTCAACGATAGCAAAGGCATTGGGATATTTGGAAAAGGCTCCCACATCCCAGATATGATAGAAATCAGACTTGTTGAGTGGTGAGGTTGTGCTATATATCTTGCGAATCGCTTCGGGATCTGCACAAGCGACCTCATCTGGTGCAATGCGAACAAGTGGGCCATATCTCTTGTGCAATTCCCGTTGTACCACATCCAGGTTTCCTTTTGAGACAGCATGGGTCAGCCATAACCGGGTGACAGATGACCAGAACGGCCCAGGAACTTTGCTGAGGGGATGTAAAGTCCGGCAGTAGATACACCGAGACACCAGGTACCCTAAGACAACAATCAAACCAACACCGAGGATGAAACCAAGAGTCATTATCGCAAGACGAATTGGCTTTTTGGGTTAGTCAACCTAAGCAGGGATTCTGCTTTACTCTGACCATTCCACAAGAATTCGACAGAGGTTCAGATAGTCTTCAGGAGTGAGTGTTTTGTAGCCATAATCCGGAGCGTAATCAGCATCATCACCAGTAATTCGCCTAATCCTAGGCAGTAAGCCGTGATTATCCCACATTACGCCAAGCCTCAAGGGGTGTGCTTGCAGATCATCCATGCAGATACCGACCGCAAAATACATACCCCCTTGATTGATTTTCACAGCTCGTACGCTCAGGCTCCACGGAGTAGGAGTGGTAGTTTTCTACAGGCCATGTAGATCACCTTACACTAGAAATCAGGTCAGCGTGATGACAGCCTTTTTGCCTTTCTCCCTCCGTTGACAGGCCAGCCGCACGGCTCTCCACAGTCTACCCGATAGGAAGGGTTCGAGCATAATGAATATGACCACCACATTTATTAAGTGTGCGTTCATGCTGCATATCCTCTGATCGGCATTCGCTCAGTGATATCAAACACTGGTCTGCACTTGGAGTTCATCAGTTGCCTGTCGCAGTATGGCAAGAACAGCTTTCATCACCGGTGCCAATGGCCTCAGCGGTAGCGCCATTGTTGCGCATCTCTGCAACACAACCACCTCTGCCGAATGGGAATCTATCATTGTCACTTCGAGAAGTCCCTTAAAAGCTACTATCACGGACTCTCGGATCAAGTTCATCGCTCTCGACTTCACAAATGACGTTCCCTGCCTAGTGGAAAGGATGAAAGAGATCTGCGGTCCCGTCAGCCATGCTTATTTCTGTTCTTACCTTCACAAGGATGATTTTGCAGAGTCATACACCGCCAACAAAGCCCTCTTCAAAAATTTCATAGCCGCCATCGACAAGACAGCCCCCAAGTTAGAGAACGTTACTTTGCAGACAGGCGGAAAGTACTACAATCTCCATGTCGAACCCGTGCCCTCTCCAGCGCGGGAAGACGACCCACGCCGCTATGGGCCATTTGAGAATTTCTATTTTCCCCAAGAAGACACACTGACCGTAATGCAGCGTGGCAAGGCCTGGTCGTGGAATGTCATACGATCGGAGGCCATCATCGGTGCAAACTCGCAGCCGTATGGTTTGAATGAGGCCCTCACCATTGCCATATACTTCTTGATCTGCCGCGAGCTGGGTACCGTTGCCCCAATGCCGACGAATCAGCGATACTGGGAAGGAACAGAGGACGTGTCATACGCACCTTTGATCGCCGACCTGACTATATTCGTTTCGACCCGGAAGTCATGCGCTAATGAAGCTTTCAACGTCACCAATGGAGATTATTTTTCCTGGCGCTACATGTGGCCACGCCTCGCCTCAAGTCTCGGTGCCAACGCCGACTCGCAACAGCATTTCGAAAAAGCGGTGCCCAGAGAGGGCGAGTTACAAGTCGAGTGGCGCCTGGCCGAATGGTGTCAGGACAAACGCAAGGTGTGGGAGGACTTGTGCGATCGTCAAGATTTGCCGGGTGCCAAAGCGACATTTGACCTTGCCGGCTGGGAAGTGGGAGATTTTCTCTTTCAGAGGACGTGGAGTGCTACATTGAGCATAAACAAAGCGCGGCGGTTTGGATGGACTGGGCACATCGATTCCTACCAATCGTTCGTCAATACGTTCGACAAGTTCAGACAGCTCGGCTTGATACCTCAGTAAACCATTGAATGTCAATTTCCGGTTCATCGAAAACCTATTCTCTCGACACAACTGCAGCTAGTATTTTACCTTAGTTCATTCATCCGATGTAAACTTTTGGGTAAAACAACTTTTGTTGTGCTCTAGATTGAAAACAAATTACCGTCCAAGGTCGCGTTACCCGTTGAGATTCAACTTGGTAGGAATCCACAGACCGTTCCTTCCTTCCCTCTTTGGGTATCAAATGGAAGGCGTGTGGTCTCCAACTCCTGGTATAAAACCCCCCCTCCTTCTCTCTCCGTCTCCTCCATCCATCCAATCCCTCCCTTCAAATTCTTATATTAGACCATCACCCATCGATCCCTAGTCTACAAGAGCTCGAGGCATAAGCTTTCACCATGAATTCGGTCCTACTCCTACAGTCCCTACGAGATAGTGCTGGGAGAGTTGGCATTGAGGATCTTCACCTTTGGCCTCATTAGCCCTTTCTAATTCAGTGAGTCCCAAAATTGCAGTTCAAAAAAACACATGTCTCCGTGACCGGTACTTGAATGGAAAACATATCTTGAGAAGCAAATTGTGAAATTACTCCGGGCCACACTCCATCTCCACAGGTCTGTGATCACAAGCCAGAGATCACATCCTTCTACACCCTCTTTAACCTGGCTTCCATGATCGACCAGTCTCTCGGCGTACTGGTTGTCGCTAATACCTCTAGCCCGACCTCCTCCAATAATGCCTTCTGCTCCGCCTCAGACCTCTGTGCACCTCCGCACGATGCCAACATGCTCAGATCAAACCTTGTGACGTTTTTAGTAGGATTGAGGTCCGATGCTAAGGACTCATGAATCAATAATCTTGACTCAGGGCCCATGGCGGCAGCAAACTGCGAGAGGTATTGTACGGACACATGATCGGCATGGTTATGTAGGACACCGCGAAGGTAGTACACACGGGCGCCTTTGACAGGCTGTGGGTCCGCCATGTCGTGGTCCATGACTTCTACATCTGGTAGCGAGTTGGCCGCAATCTTGCTAGTGACTTGGGGAAGGTCTTGTAGAATTACGCGACCCCGAGAACGTGGGAAGGCGTTTCGGACACGCATAGCCTGATGACCGAGACCGCCACCACTAGATGAGACAGGTTCAGTTTGAGATTTCATGTTCGTCTCCCAGATTGGGGGCCCTACATGTCGACGAAGAGGATGTCATCAGCATTAGAATTGCTGAAGACAGTCTCGAATGGATAGAAGCTGACAAAATCCTCCTCTTGGGTCGTACGAGGGAGTGTCATGTAATCGTTGAAGTATGTACTTAGCCGTGGATCCTCCGACATGCTATCCCAGAATGTTTTGCTGGTATTGGCGCCAACCTGCCAGGCACAGTGTTTCGCATCAGGTAGCACGTTGTAATCGTTGTCACGAAGCCAGGTTGGGAGAGCAAAATACGAGGTCATCAAGCCAATTCTGAGCGAATCATGATCATCAGCCATATTATAACTCAAAGAAGAAGGTCAAATATTTATTTAGATACTGACTGGGTCATGACGTTGCCTTTCCGGTAGGGCTGTACATAGTCCCTAGTAATTGCGTTTGCTGCATATTGACCCAAGGAGATTTGGTCGACCATATAATGTGCATCCAATAGACGCATGATCCGAGCAACCAAGGCTGGATCAGCATTGAGCTCTTTAGCGACATCGGCGGTGCTAAGAGGCCCAGAGTGTTTGGAGAGAACGTCAAATATGCCCATCTCACAGGCCACTCCGGCACCAAACAGCTCCAACGGTGCCCATGTCTGCGCTTCAGCAAATGTCATGGGGGTATGGAGCTGATGCACAGCCTTTTCAGCAAGACGCAAGGCTCGAATGCGAACATTCTCATCCTCAATTTCAGAATGGAATAGTGAGGAAACTCGACCACAAAGAGCCTCAAATTCCTGAACCCATTCCTCAGTGGTAGACATGGCGATGTGAAAGGGTTATGATGCTACCCAGCCAAGACGTGAAGGCCGGAGTCTCCACATCTTATATACTCTGTGCACCCATAGCTGACCACGTCAAAGAGTTAGGCATATGCATGTATATTGCAGTCTTACATTTACCTTTGCAGATGGCATGCTTACGTGCATATAAACATGACACCCCGTGATGATGCCAGGCTGCGATGGCTTACATAGCTTACTATATTGCCGAAATATGTAGAGAGTGGCATTCTATATAGACGCTGATGCATAAATAAGAATAATGTAGAGCTCAAATCTCTTGTCAGCAAATGTTAAAAACACAAAAAATCTTTTCAGTCGATGTTTATAATCCCCATTCTTGAAAACTCATTCGCTTCCCACCTTCAGCTTCCACGCCATTTTCAGTCCGGATAAATTCATTGGATACATCATGACGGTTGATCAGCTCAGCCGTATCCAGGCTCTTGCAGCAGAAATCGCCGACTTGAGTAGGACAATCGAGGGTTCCTCTGAAAGGTTCATGGTCGACAGCCTACCCTCCCTGAAAAAGTCCGAGGAGCTTGTTGCTCTTGTGCAGTCTCCTGCAGAGCACGCTACGTCTCTAATCGTAAAAACAATGGAGACGGCTGTTATCAGGACACTTTTGTCGTTAAATGTCCTTCAAACTATTCCAACTACAGGTTCAATATCTCTCCAAGGCCTTGCGATGGCCACTGAGACCCAAGAAGCCCTGCTCGAGCGTCTCTTGAGGGTAGTGACAAGAACAGGGTTTCTTATGCGTGATAATGACGCATATCAACATACGCACACGTCCTTGGCCTATGCTGGGCCGCTCGGGGCGCTTTTCGCGCCCTGTTATGACGAAGGAATTCGGGCTCTGATCAGGCTGCCCGAGTATCTTTCCTTGAAAGATAGGGAGGAGGCAAAAAGTGCCAGGTACAGCCCATTTACGTGGAATGAAGGCCAAGAGGGCAAAACTACATTTGAGATTCTGTCCACGATGCCGGAAAGAACAGAAGGCATACACACTTTGGCGTCGAACGTCCAGCATTTACGGCCATACACAGGGTTCTTTGACTATAGTAAGCTGATCCCCGAGGATCATGAGAGGCCCGTTTTTGTGGATGTCGGTGGCGGCAATGGACACGTTATCAAGGAAGTCTTGCAGGCATTCCCTCAGATACGCCCCGAACAGTGTGTTTTGGAAGATCGTGCGGAGACACTTGAGCTAGCCAGGACAACAGGTCTACTTCCGGACGGCGTACAGCTTCTCGAGCACGACTACCTCACTCGTCAGCCAATTTCGAATGCGATGGCATACCACCTCCGCGCAGTAGCTTATAATTTGGGCGATGTTGAACTTGTCCAACTGTTGAAGCAAATTGTGCCAGTCATGGGTCCCGATTCAAAAGTTTTGATTGCAGAGAATATTCTGTTTGATGACAACGGCACTGTCTTCAGTACAGTGTCAGACATGATCATGTTGTGCATCGGAGGCAAAGAAAGAACAGAACGAACCTTTCGTAAAGTACTGGATGAGGCCGGCCTGGTGGTTGATGGCATCCATCGTGCGCCTGGATTGGAATATGGAATTGTGGAGGCAAGCTTGAAGATCTCATGAACCCATAAAGTGAAGGACTAAATTTAATGGCTGGATAATTTTCTACCCCATGTTCCCCCATAGTATATAGAGAAGCGTGGAAGTTATGCGGCAATTTTGAAAGTCTGCTTGGCCATCAGAATTTTTCTTAAATAATTAGACAGGAAAGTGGAGAAAGACGCTGATGGCAAGTCATCACGGTGGCCATGTCGACGTTGAGATCGCCGAAGGTCTCACTGGATTGCTGCACATGCACAGGGTTGAGGATCACCAAGGAGATCAACTGAAGAACGGATAGGATGGCGACAAGCTTGGAGAAGATGACCTTACTGAGCCATATATGGTTCGTGAGATTCGGATATAGTTGATATAGATTTTGATAAATACGGCACTGATATATATATAGCTCTGTATCGGGTAGCAGATAAAAATGTTATACCTCTATGCTTGGATTGTATAGTATATCTGTACAATATGTGCTGCTGAGAATGACTACACAAAACCCGATATCCTTATAGATTTACCAGTTCGTAAGAGTTCTGCTTGCCCACACTACATTCGCGGGTTACTCTCACACGCATGTATGCCACTGAATAACGCAAATTTACTCTCAAATACTGCGTCAAAGAATGACTTGTCATGTCTAAACTTCCGCAAAGCCTATAAAGCCCAAAGCCCAAGGCCCAGCCCAACCAACCCCCAAATAGGCTGGGCTTTGAATAGGAGCATATTAGGGCCCAAATAAGACAAACATAAAAGTTGAACCGCCCTTTCAGGATTATCAAATTACTTCTGTTTTAACGTCTGTTTCTTACCCTAATCCCTAAGGTAATGAATGTTATATTAAATTTAATGTTTTAGAATAACTTCCTAGTATTCTCTCTTTATAACGTGAAAGAATATAAAAAATGCTTTAATTAAAGGATGTTTAAAATTATAGAGGTTCACTAGAAAGTGGTGATATAAATATATCCAGGGTCAAAATATTAATATCTACCATTTCGGTTCTGTTAAAACCCCCACCGATCGGATTTTGTTCAAAATTGATATATACACTTATAGTATTCCCTTTGTTAAACTTCAAATTTTCAACTTGATATAATCAGTGGAACGTCGTAATACAACGATACAGAGTTCGCTTTATCCGCGCCTACCTAATGGGTTTTATGGGGCCCCACGGCCCAACCCACGGTGGGCTGTGGGCCTAGGGTCCGGGCCCATTTATGAGCTTTGCGGAGGTCTAGTCACGTCTTTTGAGATATCTTGTCACAAGTTCCTATGCTTATCATCTTGCATATTTCAGCCATGCGTTGGTGGCATCCTTGTAATCATACATTGATTACGCTCTAGTAAGCATGCATTGCTTATCTGCATTCGCAAATTATCTAGCATTGAGTTTTCTCAAGTTACTGAATTCCGTACAAAGTATGATATGTCACTGTCTCCGTAGAACTCCCTTTAAATCAGGCCCAGAGCTTCTCTGCAGCATAAACTGGACAGCCTTTTGTCTGTCTCCAAGTATTAAAATAATACCATGGCCTCCAATACAAGTCGATCCGCTCATTTGGCAAAGGTTATCACTGAAAGCAGCAATAAGATCGAGGTATATCGTCAGGAACAAGGACTACCGCCCCTAAGTCTGGGACCTGATGCACCCCTTGATGTTAAATACCCACCAGATGTGGAAGAATGCCGAAGAGCTCTTATCGATGCTAGCCTGGAGTTGGGCGACCTAGCGACAGGTCCTGTCGAGCTTCGCCTCGTACCTGGATGGGCAGTCATGACGATGTTTGGTGTGACCCAGTTCATCTGTGACTTCAACATTGCCCATCAAGTGCCTTTGACAGGCGATGTGTCGTATGATGACCTCTCCAAGGCTGTCAACGTCACTGCTCCCGTACTCCGTCAGGTCTTGCGGGCCGGCATGCCCTACCATATGTTCTACGAGCCACGGCCAGGCCACGTGGCGCACACGGCGACGACCAAGGTCATCGCGAGGGAGCCATTGATCAAAGACTGGACCGGCCTGTCTACGGACGTCTTGTATCCCGCTGGTACTGGTTTAACCGAAGCCTTGAGAAAAGAACCCGCGGCCAACGATCCCGCCAAAACCGGCTTCATGTACGCCAAAGGAAACGGCGAGTCCGGTATGTTCATGTACCTTGAGAAGCACCCAGAACAGGCTCGAAGATTTGCAGGCGTTATGGGAGCATTCCATCAGGACGACGGATATGCGCCACGACACCTCATCGACAGTTGGCCGAATGACTTTCAGGCCGGGAAACTCGTTGACTTGGGCGGATCCACGGGCGCTGTGGCATTTGCGCTCGCTGAAGAGTTCCCAGGACTTGAGATCGTCGTTCAGGATTTACATGGGGCACTTGAAACTGCTCAAGTTCGAGAGGGCAAGAATGTGTCGTTCATGCCTCATGACTTCTTCAACGAGCAGCCTATCAAGGACGCCGACGGGTACGTGGAGCCTGATGTATTAGATAGCTGGATATCGCGCTAACTGTTGACCTCATTGATTCTAGATTCATGTTTCGTTGGGTCTTGCACAATTGGCCCGATGTTCATGTCCAACGTATCCTAAGAGCTTTAGTCCCATCCCTCAAACCTAATAGCAAAATCATCATCTTTGACGAAATTATGCCTCCGGCTGGCTCGATGAGCCTGAGCGTCGAGCGATGTCAACGGTAGGTTACAAGTCTCACCTTACGTTTTCTTCTTCTACAATGCTGATGACAAATGGTCCAGAAACATTGATTTCGGCATGTTGACTCTCTTCAACTCCAAGGTATGTACAACCACCAAGATCATCAAATCTTTCTCCATTCTTACATGCGAGTCCTTTTCGCAGATCCGTGATGTCGAGGAATGGAAAGAAGTTATCACCGAGTCCGATCAGCGCTTTAAGGTCGCGGGCGTCAGATACCCTGAGAATTCTCGACTGTCTCTCATTGAAATAGTATGGCAACCATAGAATTCTAGTATAGATCCCATCCCTCGTTGGAGACATCTTTACGGGGAATCCACACTCTATATTCCGATCTAGAACAATATGACCTATACCAAAATGATAGGGGTTGGTGCGTAAACCTCAAGTTTGGGTAGTTACTGCCGTTTGTCTGACTCTGCCTCGCCGCAGATGGATGGAGAAATCCAATACCTGACATGAAATAGCCTGTCATATTGTAAAACAAGTACTCCTATAAACTACAACCTTTTCAGCATATCCCAGAGCCGTTCTTACAATTTAAGTCCCATTATATTGAAGCTAGTGCACTGTTGAAAAATGTGGTTAGAGTTTCGCATATAGGTTAAAGCTTTTCTAACTGCAGTAGATTTATCAACCTTCTCGTAAGAGTGAGTAAATGAATAACTTTGAAGCACGATTTAACAATTGCACTTTCTCATAATCTTGGACACAGTGTATATGATTTGCTCTCGTTATGATCCAAAGAGCACATGGAATCGATACCCCCAAAAAAACTAATATCACAAGCCATGAAAACGAAAAGGTCTGTCTAGGAAACCAACTTTTTCAGATCACCAATCGTTGTCACTTCAAGGTAGAATGCATCACGTATCTCAATGCCAATATTCTCGCGCAGCTTCTGTGAGATAACGAGCGACATGAGCGAGTCGAGACCAATATCCGCAATTTCACACTCGTCAGTCAGTAAGCCTATATCGACCGCAAGCTCTTCAGCCAATATGTTTAGAGCGCGTGATGCAGCATCATCGGTATCAACAGCTTCCTCATAGCCGCTGTCGCTGTCGGTCTTTTCTACCAATTCATTCGGAGGTGGCGCACCTCTGGGCGGTAGAAGATTGTAATTGGAATGAGGCATAGTCTTTGGAAGATCAACAGACTGATTGATCGGTCCAGAAGTTGGGGGAGTTGAAGCGGATGCAGCATGTCCTCCATTCATATTCGCCGCCATCACCATCGCCATTGCTCTTTCCTGTAGGAAACTTGTAGATGGTACTGGAATTGGACCCGACGGCTTTGTCTTGGTAGCGGGAGTAGGAGCAGCCGCGTTTGCTGGGCGAAAGAACCGATTCAGCATTACTCTCGGCCACTGCCTAAACAAAATCGCTTCCACCACGCCCACGATTTGACTGTCCTGTAAAATATAGACGTCACCGACGTAAGAGCCGAGTTTACCGTTATTTTCATTAGCCTCTGGCACCATCCTCACGTATGCAAGATATCGATCGCCAGGGACCAACGGCTTAGCGAAACGCATAGACTTCCATGACGGCGTGATGAAGAAGTTGCTGGTGTTGTCAAAGTGTGTACCCCCATTCAGAATAAAACCAGACAGTGATACGAGACCATCAATAAAATGTGGTGGTACAGCCCAATCCCCTTGGGTGTCTGCGGGGAAAATAACCTCGGCCACGGCTTCATCTTCGTTGAGTATGACCCATTGCATGGTGCGATACGTGTTAGAGTAATCCACCAGCTTACCAAAGAGGGCGTACGCTAGATCGGTGGTGAGTTTGCTGGCCGTACCATCGAGTGACATAAGATTGAGTGCATCAATGCGACTGGTAACAAGTTTGGTAGTTCGAACCCAATTGGACAGCCAGGCCGAAGCGTCTTCGTAAAAGGCTGTAGCATGGCAGTACCATTTGTCATTAGCCGGGTTGAACCACTTAATGCGAACTTCTCCTTTCTCGGCGTTGGCCTCAGCTTGGACAAGAATAGGATGTGGATCGAGAGAGCTTGAATCTGGCACCACTGGATCGTGATACTCAAAATTCGCCACGTTGATGCCCATTCCACTAAATTTCGACGAAAAAGCTTTTTCTTGGACTCTTTGGGCCAGCGTAAATGCCATGTCGGCGTGAAGAAACTATCACATGTCAGGAGGTGTGAGCAAAGGTGGAGCCTGTTTTGAACATACCGAAGAAGCAACACCATAGCCATTCATGGCATGTCCATTTATTATCTCTTTGAGTGATGCATCGGTCATATTGCATTCGCCCAAAACCTGTCCTGTCAATAAGTCGTAATTCTCGGAGTAAAGTCGTTGAATACTTGATGTTCGAAACCCGCGAGCAACAGGAGATGCTGGTTCTGGTAAAGCCAGACCCTTGGTCAAATTCCAATCTCCCCGGTACTGTATCCAATAGTTCTTGTTGTTCCAAGCATACGTCGGTACGGAAACAAGTCGAAGTGCGTGCTCAAAAGGACGATGGTACTCATTCCAGTCGATGTTAAGACCAATCTCGTATAGACTGTTCAGCATCTTTACCAAGGATGTCCAACTTTCGCTATCTCGTCGTAAAGGCGAGCATGTGAGGCGAGTCTCGGCGAGTGTACGACTGATGAAACCGTTGCATACTGGATGAGGGCCCAACTCAACCCAAACGGTAGATTTTGACACAACACCAGCTTCGCACGCCACGTTGAGAGCACCAGCGAAGTCCACCGTCTTTCTGAGGGAAGTTGTCAAGTACGATGAGTCAATGTTAGCCCCTGTCTCTATGACATTTGAGTCTCGTGGAGAGATAATGGGAATTCTGGGGGCGTTGTAAACAACGTCCTGGGTTTGGCGACTGAGGTCATTGACGACATTGTCCATCTGAGCCGTGTGATATGCATGTGGCACATCTACACGCGTTGTTCGAAACCCTGCTTTGGACAGACGAGCTGAACAGGCATCCAGATTCTGAATGGTACCGCCAATAACAGTCTCATTCGGACCGTTGATACAAGCTACTTCGAATGGCAAGCCATCGGCTTCCCGCGCAATATCTGCCACTGATGCGCGAACGGAGACCATGCCATGGGTGTATGATGAGCAGTTGGACTCCAGAATGGCTGCTCGCGTGCCAACTAGGAAAACTGTATCACTGTCTGATAGTACACCAGCAACGGCCAGTGCGGCATATTCACCCAGGCTATGTCCAATGACGGCACATGGCTTAATACCAAATGTTATGCAAAGTCGAGCAAGCGCAATCTCAGCACACACGATCGCGAGATGTACGGTGGAGGCTGGCAGATCTTCACGAACACTCATTCTATCAATGGCAGGTAGGAAGGATGGGAAGTTCTGCCGACGTGCAAGACTGTCAAACTGATCAAGTTGGCCGCGGAAGAAGGGTGAGTCCCGATAGATCTCAGCTGCTATTCCCACATAGAAAGTGCCTTGACCACCAAAAACAAAAGCGACCGGGGGTTGTTTCACCAAGGTCGGAGTCTGAGCAATCGCAGTTTCGACGTGTGGTTGAAGCTGTTTGACAGCCTCGGCTAAGGATTTCACTATAACGGATTTCCGGTATGCGTAGTGACGCCTCCTGGCCGAGAGTGTGTAGGCAACGTCGGCAACGGATAAGTCTTGCGAAACCTCAATATACTCAACAAGGCGCTTGATGTTCAAGCTGAGAGACTGAGCTGTCTTTGCAGAAACAGTAATAGCGTGAAATTCTCGTGCGTCCTTAAATGCCCGTGGCCTCGTGCTGGCCTCTTCGATAATCATGGCCGTGTTACCTCCAGCAGCGCCAAAATTATTGACCATGGCAAGCCTCCTATGCGTACCAGCAGGGCCCCAATTGGCTGCTTTAAATGGAATCACGACGCCCATATTGTCCAAATCTGGTAAAGCAGGATTTAAGCCTGTCTTCACGCCGATGTGAGGCGGAATGATGCCATTCTGGAAGACTAGCATGGTCTTTATGAAAGCCATGATTCCCGCAGCAGCCTCTCCATGACCCATATTGGCTTTGACTGAGCCCACGTGCAGGGGTATGGGCCTGTTGCCACGAAGACGGGAAGGCGCGAAAACACTGGTCACAGATCTCATCTCAGTAGGATCGCCGGCCTGCGTCCCTGTGCCGTGCATTTCCACATAACCTACCTCTAGGGGGTCAATACCCGCTCGTCGCACAATTTGGTTGTACAATAGTGCCTGGGCTGCGTCGTGAGGATGCGTGATTGAAACAGCTTCCGCCGAATGAGAAGTAGCTGCCGAAAGGACTACCGCGATGACGTTGTCGTTGTCGGCTTCCGCATCTTCAAGCCTTTTCAAAACCACGCTTCCGACTCCATCTGATCAGAAATTCCAGTTAGTGAATGCCAAGGGTGAAAGGGCGACGGCATACCTGATCTACAGTATCCGTCGGCTCCCTCATCCCATGTCTTACAACCCCCTGTAGGAGAGAGAAAGTGGCCTTGGCTGAGCCCAGCATAAACATCAGAGTTAGTGAGAATATTCATTCCTCCCTATGGCGACAGAGCCAGGATTTGATCAGCTCTTCGAACCTGATAGAATTTTGTGTGGATCCGTGAACTCACAGTAATGGCCATGTCAACATCTCCACTCCACAGTGACGAACACGCGGCTTGAATAGCTGCCAAACTCGATGAGCACGCCGTGTCAACACTAAAGCTTGGGCCCCAGAAATTGAGAAAGTAGTTGATACGCCCTGGACCAAATGCTCTGCATCCACCTGGAATAAAATAAGTACCTACTTCCTGCCCAGAGTTGACTTCGCGATAGTCATCACTGGCTTGGCCGTAAAATGTGCCTACACGCTGGCGATGGGTGACGCCTCGACCGTCGACATAGCCTGCGTTTTCCAGAGCCTCATATGCCGTCACCAATGCCAGGCGCTGCATTGGGTCCGTTTGTTCAGCCTCTCTGGGTGACATGCCGAAGAACATAGCTTCAAACTGCCCTGGATTATCAACGAAGCAGCCATAAGAAGTCTTTGACGTGTTATGTGCTTTTCCCGTGGGATCAACATGTGTTTGGACGTCAAATCTATCAGGAGGAACATGCCGGTGCATATCTTGGCCCTGCATCAACCGCTCCCATAATTCTTCGGTCGTATCTGCTCCTGGGAAGCGACATGCCATTCCTACGACAGCAATCTTCGACGATTTTGTGTCTTTTGGTGGACAATTTCCAAGAACGAGATCCAATACAGCTGGTGTCATGGCAAGGTCTGACACCGCCGCTTTAGGCAGTTCAATCTGCCAGCGTTCCACCATGTTCTGATTATAGTGTGATGGCAGTATGCTGACCAGTTGAGCTGATTCGGGCATCAGCTGCTTCAGTTGGTTGGTGACAACGTCAATGACCATGTCCCATCGTACCCGCTCGGTCAATATCTCTTCCATGATCTGTTCCAGCAGGGGCCCAGCTTCTGTCTTCCGGAACGGCTCTCCGCTCACGGGAGATATTAACGGGATGTACAACTCCCGTGTGGATTCGATCATTGGGAGAACTTGCCTCACGTGCTCCGCCCCATACACGTTGTCGGTATGCCACATACCCTGTATTTTCCTCATTGCCACATTGGTCGTGTTTTTGAAACCATCGCACTCAGCAAAAAGCGCCTTCAGTGTGCTGGGTGGTCCACCTATGCTGACCGAGCTTCCGGCGTTATCGACGTTGAAAACAGACGCGCGACTGGTTGATGCATACGCCTAATACATATGTCAGCATATAGCCAGCGAGTTCAATTCTGGTTCCTTGCTCACTTTGTTCTCATTGAACTGATTTACTGCATCGCGTGCGTCTTGCTCACCCATCCCGTGCACACAATATACCCAGGCGCCGTTGGCATTTATCTCATCTTGAGAGATCTCCAACGATCGACAAACTTGATCGACAACCAGTCCAAAACGAAACGAGATTCTCGCAATATGCCCAGCGATGCTCGGTATCATTAAGATGCTTGGTGAGAGGCCGATCGCAGCTGCCGAGAGTAAACCTGATCCTCTTCCGATCAGTGAGGTGCTGACCGGTGTGAAATTGTATTCCAGTGGATGAGCCTCATGATATCTTGCCAAAATATGAGCTTTGTTATCCGCATTGAATGGGTGAAACATACGCAACAAAGCTTCCCACCTGAAACACCAAAACCAGAACTCGCTCAATGGCTCCACCAAGTGGTGTCTTCCTTAATTTCAAAACGTGATCTGTCAAATCGAGGACGCTTTCGAACGGTGGAATGAGATCTCGGTGGCGATGACTTAGCCTGCTGCATTCGTCTTTTACTGCTAGTGTCACACACTCCAGCAACGATGCAAGGACAACATGATCTCGTTCTTTACTGAGCAAACTTAGCTTTCTGAAAAGGGTTCTTTGATCTCCCTCTGGGTCTCCCTGAGGAATTTCCCCCGAAAAATACAAGACTTTGGCCGATACCATCAGGACAATATTTGCTTGTTGAAAAGTTGTAATATGTGATCCCGACTTTGGCAGGTAAATAGGACTTCTAATGCAACCATTTGAGTCGCGCTCAGAGCCAGTCTGTTACTCAACATTCTTCTCTTACACGTCAGCATATAATAGATTACAGCATCTAGACTGCTTACTTTGCTTACCTGCACATCTCTAGAGCTTACCTAGGTATTGGGACCAAAATCTCTAACCCCTCTTAGTAGTGGTATTTGCTTCCCAGCCAAATTGCAAAATCATTAGCCAGCTGTAGTGATTGAGAGATGACCACTTGGACCCCCGCCTTGATGGTAGTTCTGATAATGCAGCGTCACTTTGAGTACCGAGAAGTTGCTTCTATTTGAATTACTGTAATACTCATATTGAGAAATCCTGTTTCTGAGCCAAGTTGACTTCTTCTATTTTTGATCTATAATGAAAATCCACACTAGAATATGCCGCTTATGATACAGTTTATACTACGTTAGCCATGGTATATGACCCAAGGATCTCTCAGGTCTGTCATTCATGTACTTGAATAGTTCTTCGTGATGAATTGCGAAGGTTGCTATCTAATTATTTAGCTACAGATAGACTAGCATGCACTGTGGAATAGCAGATATTTGAGGATAGTACAATTTTCTTTTCCATCATAAAAGGCTCCTATTGGTGTATGTAAATCACTAATATAGTCGCCGATAGCTTCTTAGACTCTGCGAGAATAGAAATCTCGGATCTAGATTTCCGTACCCCCAGCGCCGTCGCGACAAAATCCTGCATGGTCACGAGAAAGCCCCAAGCTACCATACTCCAATCGAGCTTTCAAGCCATCTATATTGCTGTTCTCGAAGTCCTGAAGCTCACCCATAGGGAGTATCGAATGCATGGCGCGCATACGCTGAAGGGCTGCTGTTTCCTCTGGCGAAAGCTTTCCGAGGAGCTGATCTTGCTTAGGTGTGCCTTTTGCCTCCACAATGTTGGTCAACTTTTTTTGCAGTTCCGTGTCGTGTAGATCGTTCAGCGCATTGAGACAGAGGTTGATAGTCTCGGTGATCGACTCGCCTTTAACTTTTGGTGCAGTCTCCTTATCTGCGGCCCCCTGAATGACTGTCCAAATTTGCAAGTGTTAGAGTCACGGTATGAAGCTCATATGGATCAAGCAGAGCGAAGAAATTCAATGGAGTGTACGAGGGTATCTCACCTGGCCTGAGGACTGCGAACGCTCGATCAAATCCTTCCTCGTCGAGGTCGGACAGGATGGGCTCTTCTTGCATCCGGATTTGCTTGAGAGCAGCCATTACCACTACAAGGAACAACGTGTAGCCTTCGTCAACCTTTTTAGCAAACCATCTGGAGGCATCGAATTCGTTGCAATCGCCTCTGATGCATGCATTGATAGACGTAGCCGCTGCGAGGGCACTCGAGAGGGCGAGATGATGACCAGACGAGAAGAAGGGATCAATAAAACATCCTGCATCGCCAACAATACGGAAGTTTGGACCAGCATACGCGCTGGCACTGTAGGAATAATCTGTCGCTTGCCTGATCCCAGAAGCTAGTTCAGCCGGCTCCAAATACGAAGAAATGGTGGGACAGAGTGCAACTAAGCTCGCCAGGGCCTGAGCGTCCGTTGTGCCTTCTGGCAACGCCTTCTTCTTGGCAAGAAAAATGTCTTTTCGAACAACAGCCCCGATTGATACTGTGCCGTTGTGTAAAGGCAACATCCACACCCAGCCTGACCCATCTACGTACGGCCATATACAATTACCTGGTCAGTGACAAGTAACAAAAATTTGCATATACACTTGACTGACTCACCTCTCATGCCTTCGGATATAGGCTGGTTTTCACGATCTGTCCCTGGACTTGGCGGAATATTACCCTTGAAGTAACCCCACATAGCAATATTTCTGAAGCTTTCGTTGAACTTGCGATTCTTGAGGTACTTGGTTGATAGAATACCAACACGACCAGTTGCATCCACCAAATAATCGAACGAGATGGTACCAGAGCTACCATCTTTCATCTTCCATTCAGCCGAAATAGGTCGTCCGGGGTTGGCTAATTTATGCTGGCTGGTGAACATATCGCTCTCATAAGCCTCGAAGTTCACTGACTTCAACGAGACATTCTCGAATGTCTTTGCGCCACTCTTTGCGGCATGGCGAAAAAGGATCTCATCCGATTCGGATCTCACCACGTTCCAGGAATACCCATTAGGACCGTTGGCCCTGATGAAGTCGGTATCTGTGATGGTATTAATTCAGGTCGTAACTCCACACATTAGGGTGACACGGCTTTTACTAACATCCTGCACTCTTTGCGTTCAGCTTAAAAAATGCACCGAGCTGAATCCACAGTTAGCCTATACGGGCTTGCACAGCAGAGATAAAGTCTCCCGCTTGATGGTTATCTCACCTTCTTCTGGAATCCATGCTGCTCGAAAGTATTTTCAAGGTCAATGAAACGAAGAAGATACCGCATTGAAGGGAGGAGACTCTCTCCGATGTGGTATCTGCACGAATTAGTGGATCAGCAGGCAATGTGTGGGGCCTAGCACATGGATTCATACCGGGGGTGACTATCTGCTTCGAGCAAGACAACATCAACACCCTCACGTGCGAGAGCGGCGGCGGTATAAGAACCACCGGGACCACCACCTGCCACGAGAACGGTGCAAGACTGAGGAATTGCCATTTTCGATACAAAATGCTATGAATACTGAATATTCTATTTAATTGTAGTTGGGTGTTGTGGAACCTATAAAACAAGCCACAAAAGCCCTCTGTAGATATACATTTATTGCATTCCAAGTTAGTGCCCTGGTGATTGGATTATCACAGTCAGCGTCATGCTTACAGCGGATTATCTGTGCTTACCGAAGATTGTCGCTCCAAGCACCACAAGTAGCAAATAGAGCAGGCACCTGTAAGCATAAGCCCGGCTCATGACGCCCAGTTGGGAACTGTAATTCCATCGCTTGACGATACTACAAACATAGTCAATATAACTACAGCTACTCAAAGCTTGTCTTAGCACACGTCGATCTTCGCGTTCTGACACGATGACCAATACCAGCGAAGTTGGTCAGAATTTGAATTTATTGACCCGTACAAACTTTGTAAGTTTTGCGGTATTAAAGGCTCTACTAACACATGATGAATGCCCAGCCGGCCAAAACTCTGCGCACCGAGCGCCAGGTAACTCTAGGTCTATAGACCCGACAGCGCCTCAGTCGGGGAATGGCACATCCTTCCTCCCTAAGATGGTTATTCATCATTCGGATATCTATGACTCTTCGTCAACATGCCAAAGATTTGCGGCCGATCATGCCGCGCCGCCAGCCGTCTTCTTCAGCTCATTACCGTTGATCTTCTTCCAGCTGCCAAACAATCCAGTGATGGTGGCAACACCATAGGCGGCGATTGTAATCGCAAAGACAGCTTTCAGACCGACCATGTAGGCATTGATGATGACCGAAACTTGCGACGCCGTAAAAACTTCGCGGACTTGCGTTGCACCGGTCCCAATAACTACCGCCGGGTCGAGCTCGGGGAGCCTTTTGGTAACCGTCCCAAGCAGTTGATTGTTAAAGACGCATTGCGCTGCTGAAAGAAAGAAGGCTCCGCCAACGGTTGTGAAGACTAGAATGGTGTTAGCACGGAGAATTTGTAGGCCAAAATGCATTGAGGACTCACAATTGACGATGGCTGTAGCCTGTGACATGTCCTCTGGTGAAGCATGGACTTGCGCATTTGACATGGCAATTTGGAATGTCCAACCAACGCTTAAGCCAACAAGAATCTGATATCCAATCCACTTGCCAGTAGATGTTCCAATATCAAAAGTATAGAATAGACCACAGCCGACGGTTCCCAAAACGCCACCAATAACCCAGAACAGCGGTACGATGCCAATTTTGGATAGCGCAAATCCTTGTACAATGGCAGCGAGTGTGAGTGGGATTATGAGTGCAAGCATTTTGACACCAGATCCGATTGGACTGTTGTTGTAAACGCTCTGGAAGTAAATCGGAAGAAAGTAAAGAATGATGAAGTAAGCGCCACCAAAGAAGAACATAAAAATGGAGCCCACGGATATGTAGCGTTTCATGAACTGGAGAAACTTTTGTATTAGCATATATAATAGCAGGAAAGGACTTGCATCATGGCTTACCAGTCGAGGAACAATCATCGCACGTTCCTTCTGGTACGTTTCCCAAGCCACAAAGACTAGAACCATCACGAAAAAGCCGACCAGCAGTCCTATGACTTCGCTGCTCTTCCACGAATGTGTTTGGCCCCCGTACTGCAGAGCCAGCAGAAATGAAACGATCAGTCCCATCATAAGGGCCCCGCCAACTAGGTCCATCTGCAAGAACTTCTCTTTGGGTGTAGCCTCAGCCGGGGTTGCACTACTTGGAGTCTTGAAGAGCAAGAAGATCGTCCCGGCAGCAAGTCCTCCAATAGGCAGGTTAATGTAGAAGCACTATACAGTGGTCAGTGATAGGCTCAACCAATACTCAATGTTCCTCGTCTTACCCAGCGCCATGACACTTTGGCAGTAAAGGCGCCGCCAATGAGGGGTCCCAGAACTGCGGCGATGCCATAGGTTGCTCCAGTAAATCCTAAAAGCTGTGGACGTTTTTCAGGAGGCGCAGCAAATCCGATAATTGTGAAAATTCCCACTCCCACTCCGGCTCCGCCAAAACCGGCGAGCGCCCTGCCAACTATGAGAGTTGTAGGGTCTTTCGCCACGGCGCAGATGAGACTGCCCACCTCAAAAATGAATACTGCAACGAGAAACCAAAGCTTAATCGGAAAGTACTTGTAAAATTTGCCCCAGGTTGATTGGAAGCCTGTAATAGTTAGTCATTTCGTACCGGAGTGAATTTAGGACAGAAGATCCCAAAAATTGTAAACGTTTCGCAAAGAGCCACTCTGCGTGGAAAGTTAACATGCCATCCATAGAAAAATGTGTTCATATAACTAACCACTACCATATGTCATCAAGTATGCTGCCCCATACCAAGAGACTTTGTTCAGGTCATGGAACTCGTCCGTGATTTTGGGAATCGCCGTGCCGAGGATAGTCTATCGATCGTCTTGATCAGTTTGTGCGGTGTTTTGCGAAACGGGTGACTGACATTGTCAAGTGCGACCAAAAACATGCCCAGCATGAGTGAAAGCATAACAGCAGCTAGACGTGCACCATGCGGATATTCATCAGTCGGATGAGCTTTCGCATCGTGGTTGGGGATATCCAGGTTGCTTCGTTCTGAGCTTGAAACTAGGGTAATAGAACGCCGCGACGGATCTTCGACCGTCGCTTGTTTATCTGTGTCGATGGTTTGCTTCTCCATTATTGACCAAGTTCGCAGATTGGTATTATGACAGGATTAACATATTGCCCCTTCGCACATTAGGAAGGTAGCTTGTTTATGTATGTCGACTTCGGACGAATTCAAGCCGCAACAAACAAATCCAGGCAGACGTGTCACATCTCCGAGCTAGATCAGAGAGTTAGACAAGGGATGCCACTACTTCGGCCGAATCAAGCTCGACCTCAGTTCAATTTCTGCTTTAACGCTAAGGAGGCCTTCTGAGCGGCAGTATTATATATTGTACTAGCCCCAAGGGTATAATTTTCAGATGCTCCAATAGGAACTGTAGATTATGAGATATAAACAAGAAATTAAGACTATTGCGAGTTAGCCGTTGCCCGCATAGCTCGGCTGAATCGTCCGAAGGGCCAAGATTCCCAAGTCTCGGACGAATCCTGATTAGTCAGCGCAAACATGCCCCGGGGCCCCTGGCCTGTCGGGAGATCCCGAGATCGCACGACCGAGAAAATGAGATCTAAAGCCTGGTCATCTGTAACCACAACAATAGGTGTCTCGGACATAGCACTAATCGTTCCGGCCCGAACTGCTTCATAGGGATCTACAATCTTGCGCACTCGGTCAAAGGCTATTTTTTCTTGCCGCGGTCGTTGCGACAGTCCACCGGATGATGAGTGCTCTCTCGGACGAACGCGTAGCGAAGCGCAGAAAGGTTCGCAAAGGTACACACAGTTGCTGGGAATGTAGGCGGAGAAAAGTCAAGTGTACCTTCTCGTCTCTGCATGATTCAATATGCATAACATGTCAACGTCGAGGCACGAAATGCATCAACCAAGTAATCTTGGAGCAACCGGAAATGGCTGAGAGCGTTACAGGAGATGCTGAGCAAGACGCTTCTGTTAGTACACCGCTAGTGGGCGAGAGTGGTGTTCGCTCTCATCCAGGTGCTATTGCTGGCAGTTTACCGCCGTCTTCCTTTGCAATACATACGAGACCGGCATCGCCAGTGCATGGCAAAGTTAGTCAGCATCTTCACATACCTACTTAGGTACCTAGGTCGGTACATGGCTATTTACTAATGTCATGATAAAGCAAAAAGATGCATTCACTCGCCTACAGACTGAGGAATTACCAAACCAATTCACGACACTTCGATCTCCACCAACGACAATCTCAAGCCATGGCTCTATTCCGGAGGCTTCCGCATATCAGACTATCACTCAAGCTCTAAGAAGCTCTCTCCCTCCTCAGAAAGACATTGAAATCCTGCTCGAAAACCTCAGCAGCATGTCCATCTTTTGCTACCAGTCCAGCTTCAAGCTATGCAGCTCGTGGCCGAGCGAAATGGCCAAAGGGCAAATGCCAGTAGCCAATCTCCTATATTCGGAAAGCCACCCAGTCTTGTTGGCAAGGCAGATGCTGCTTTTCGCAGTAGGATTGCAACACCTATCTCCCACAAAAGCGATACCCGGGCTCACTAAGCATCATCGCGCCATCATGGAGCAGCTAGCAGACTCAGCCATCAAGCTGGTGAATACGAATGACGTCTTGCTGGGTACCTTGGAAGGTCTCGAAAACCTCATTCTTGAGGGCTTTTATCATATAGATGGTGGCAACATCCGAAGATCCTGGATCACGATGCGCCGTGCTGTCATGACAGCACAGCTATTGAGCTTGCATCGACCAGGTCACTATCGCTTCAAAGTCGTCAACCAACAAAGCGATCTGGATCCTGCGGTCATGTGGGCCTGCGTTGTTTCCACAGAGCAATTTTTATGCTTGCTACTGGGTCTTCCCACAAGCACCAGCGGTGCGAGTTTTACAATCCCCAGAGCAACTAGCGCTTGTGTCGAGAGCGGAAACTTGCCCGTACTTATCCCGGATGTGGTACAGAAAATTATCGAACGAAATCAGATGCAAGCACCCCAGCAGGCACTTGACATGACTCAGGAGATCGATCAAGAGCTCTTGAAGGTCACTGAGCAATGGCCACCTGCATTCTGGCGGCCATTACAATTCGCGGGTCTTGAAGTAAACTCGGTGGATGCCTTCTGTGAAACTCGACGAGCTTGGGACCATATATTTTATTATTCTTTAGTCAACCAGCTCCATCTGCCATACATGCTAAATCCAAGGCATATCTCACAGAGGGTATACTCGAGAATCGCCTGCGCAAGCGCCAGCCGTGAAATTTTGATCCGACAGATTGCCATCCGTACGTTTAACCCTATCACAGCAGGCTGTCGGATGAGCGATTTTGTCGCTCTGATTGCGGGCATGACACTGATGCTCGCCCATATCTTGAGCCACTGTAACCAAGGTACAGAAAAACTACTCATACACCACCGGGTTGGAGACCGAGCGGCGGTGAAGCGGGCTCTTGAATGCATGGAATCCATGTTGGAGCTCCATGAGGATGCCCTCACATCTAAATGTGCTACCCTACTGAACAATTTACTGGATATTGAGGCAGGGTCTACAGAGAGCCATCCAAATGACGGCCAAAATGACGGCCAGAACGTGTTGATAGTGAAGGTGCCCTACGTTGGTGTCATCAGAATTGCGCGGGACGGTATTTCTATCACACCCTGCGACATGGAGCAGGAGCAAGGCCCAAATGATGGTGTTATAATTGGGGGCTTTGGATCTATCCATGTCGGAACACCAAGCGATTCCGATCGTCATATTGATGTGGTCACATCCGATGCTGCAGCCCCACCAGCAACCACGCAGGCCGTGAGGCCCTCATCAGCGCGGAAGCACGGGGGATTGGCTGCCCAGGTCACCTCTGGAGATGCTTCCGCCCTGTCAGAAGAGACATTTCCCGATGCTTCTGGCGGCATGGAAGATTGGCTTTTCCAAGGCCTCGACACTGCGTTCTTTGATGTGCTGATGAGCGGAGCTGGGGAGCAACCGCTGAATGGCACTGAAACTGAAGGATGGAACTTTACAATGTCCCCATGAATAATTATAATGCAAGATGTGTAAACCTCAAGGATTACCGTGTTGTTTGCTCCTTATGAGCTTTTGAGTTTTGATGCCGGGGATCTAGATATATATAGCGCGTAACCGTTGTCATGCCACGCCATCTGGAATTTGTAAAGTATTATTCTATATAATAATGAGCTTCCTAGCGATGGAAGATAAAAGGAGAAATACGTAGATGGGGGGATGTCAAATTGCGCAAAGTCGAAAACACGTAGAACAACTAGGAGAAAGAGGGCAAGGCGTTCTGGAACACTCAAAAAGATGATGGAAAAGAGGATTGGAATCGGCTGGAGAGGTGACCATATTGATTTCGTGTGGGCTTACACCGAATGCCCCTTCGCGGCCATCAATTACCACCTAGTTCGGATCGTAAGTTGAGCCAAAAGTTCCAATTTCTTAGACGATGGCCCAGCTGTATCGCATCCCATTTTTACCCCTTACCTGTAAATGGTGCTGAAGTGCTTTTCCACTGAGCTTGAACCGCTCTGAATGTAGCTTGGCTCAATTCCCTTGTATGTACCAAATATTATGTCACAATTTAGCATGATAATGCTCACCTACTGTTCTTCAGCCACACCTACTAGGAAAAAGAACAAGAGCTGCATTGCTGAACAAAGTGGGCCACGTGATTCCACGCTTACCCCCCTTCCCACGTTGCCACATTGCACATTTACTTCTACGTAGACCTCTGCATTTGAGATTACATTCAGGAAAGAATACCCCAGTCAATTTCTCACCATGGACACAGAACTAGTCTTCTACGACATTGCCATGCGGCCCCCAGTTGAGAAGAACAATACCGCCGTAAACCCTTGGAAATCCCGTCTAGCCCTGAACTTCAAATCAGTCCCCTACTCAACCCAGTGGGTCCCACTCCCCGACGTATCCAAGGTTCGGACAAGTCTCAATATCCCTGCGTGCCGCAAGTTCGCCGACGGCACAGACTTCCACACTCTCCCTGTCCTAGTGGACCCCACAACATCTCAAAAACTCGGAGATTCCTTCGACATAGCAGTCTACTTGCAAAAGCAATACCCAGCCGGAAACGATCTCTTCCCGCCTCAGTCCCTGGATTACGTCTTCAGCCCAGATAGTGAAATCTTAATTCCGTTGTCTGAATGCGACGAGGGTCAATACCCCCAATATGCGCGCTTCAATATGAATATCGATGCTGCGTTCACCACGCACGTCGCACTTATGGTCCAAGGGTTGCCGCTTGATCCTGCAACTGCCGACGTAACGAAGGCCGAGTTTGTTCGGCGGGCCGGGGTGAACCGTTGGGAGGATTTCGTAGTCACGGGCGAACATCGCGAGAAGCTGATTGCATCCTTCCGAGATATGCTGGGAGGGCTGGCCAAGATGTTTGGTAGTGAGGGGCCATTTTTGTTGGGGGATCGGGCTAATTATGCGGACTTTATTATTGGGGCCTGGTTGAGGATGGCGAGCAAGACTTTACCTGGCGAGGAGTGGGATTTGGTCAGAGGGTGGCATGGGGGCGTTTTCGGAAGGCTGCATGATGCATTGGAGATCTATGCGGTTGCTCGTTAAGGGGCTCATTGACTTTGGTCTTGAGGTCCATGGCTGCTGGACCCTACACTACTTCTGATTTGTACATACTTTCCAAAGATACATAGCTAGATAGACTACGTACTGTTGGTGGCCTCGCACTCGACGTATATGTGTTCTCAGTTTCTTGACCAGGTGAGTTGGGAAATACTCCAGATATAGTACCTCGCTCTTAGCAGTCCAAGCGCTTATCGAGGAAGTCTCTTTCATGTTATATTATTCATTTCACTACTTCAAACTATACTCATAGTTTCATTACTTCCTATGTCCACTGTTTAAAATAGCGATGTAGATATCAATTATAATCAATTACATTTTTAATACCACGTTGAATTTGCCGTACCTCTCTGTCGGTGCCGCTCCATTTGATTAGAGGTCCCCTAGATTTTGCTTCTTCTGAAATGCCGCTCCAGATTCAGATATACTCTGCCTGATCAGCCAAAATTGTAATGGCACAGCTCGGCAATTGGAAATTCAGAGAACTTTCAAGATTGCTATTATTGAAAACATGCAGAAACATCCGCTTCGCTACATACTACTCCTGTAAATACCAAATCCGAAGCATCTACTACTCAATCAACCTGACTCTAGTCGGCGACCCCAGCGACGGCTTAGCCGTGACATCCAAGACCTGACACATGAACATCCTCTCCTCATACACAATCTCACGATCAAACGTCCTCACAATTGTCACCAACGCAATCTTCACCTGCATTCAAGTCAAAGCCTGACCCAGGCACATCCGCGGTTCCTTCTCAAACAATCTCCACGCGTCGCGTAGAACAAAATATGGATTTGCGGGATCAGTAACGAGGTGCCGTTCGGGATGGAACCTTTCTGCGTCCCTCGAAGAGATCCTCCGGGCGCATGGTGGTACAGTTCTTGGCGAGGACCACCGATGGGTATATAGACTATTCTTTGCCGTCCACGAGGGGGTTTTGGTTTGGTTGGTCGCGGTGGAGGCTAAAGCCCATTGGGGGCTAGAGGCGGAGAGCTTCTTCAATGACGGCGAGGGTGCAGGGGAGGTTGCTTATGATATTGGCGTCGTTGCGGAGGACATTTGCTGCGGCGGAGGGGTCAGTGCCGAAGAGAGTGTTGTGTTCTTCTCGGATGCTGTGGAGGACTTGGGGGTGTTTGCTCAGGGCAGCGTATGTGTACCCACTATTGTTAATGGTGGAGTAAAGGCTGCGAAGGTCTTATGCATGGAGTGCTGGCTGATGTGTCATTACTAGCGAAGATGAGCGTTTTGACAGACGCGATGGGCATATCGATGGGCATATCCCGTGTATAATTATCTCAACTAGTATAGTATCATCCGAAATTGGGACGCTTGTACCCACCGTCTTGCCGTCCAGCGATGACTGCCAACCCTTCATCTTGGTCTTAGACTTCGGGCAGGATGAAAAGTACACCTGGAGCTTCGTTGGAACTCTTTTCCCATTAGACTACCACGCAGACGATATCCACGGTGGTAATCACAGTGTACTCAAGAGCAGTGACTTCTCTCAGGGCGATAACTACACAGAGAGCTTGACAGCTTCAGTGCAACTGGTCCGATGGGATTTATTAGAAGAGTTGTATAACTAAGTGCTGGGGGTTGCAAATGCTTACACACATATACAGACTCACCTCCCATGCCATGGACGGAGAATAAAATCATAGCGGCCAGGTTGTTGAGAAATGTTTATGTCGGATATCATAGGCATCTATATGCCTTATGCCTGATATAGATCAACCATATCAAACATGCAGACATGGAACCGTGGTTGGCAGTATAGACAGGGCCTCAGTATCCTATTCATACTTGCTTTCTCTTCCTCCTTAGTCTTGCTTTAAGATAGAGAAATATCATCATCATTATCTCTGTCATCAGCTTGACTACGCGAGGAGTTATACCTGAGGTGAAATCTTTGTGAGAAAAATGCCAAAAGAAGTACTCCGTAATATCTACACGTAACCGTTCTTTCCACTACCAGTTTTTTTCTAGATAATATGAGTTTGAATTACATGGATAGCTGATAAGGGCAAGGGACCATTGGCCGCATTTACCTAACTACGAGAGAGACAGAGAGAGAGAGAGAGAGAGAGAGAGAGCGGCGAGCAAACATATTCAATGTGGGGAGCTAGGTCCCATTAGTCTGAAGCACAAACGGTCTCAACAATAGCGCTCATATGTCCGTGCGACCACGCCATTCATGAGCCCGGAGTATCCAATCACGAACAAGAGCTTCAAAAACGCTAGTCTCATCAATAGGAAGACCATGCGTACCACGATCTAAAACAACGTAAGTTGATCGTGGATAGAGCTCCAGCAAGCGAAGGCTGTCTCGGTAGCCCACGCTGTCGTCTTGCCGACCGCATACAATAAGTGTAGGTGCAAAGAACTTAGCAGTTTCATCATCCAGCGAAAAGGATAACTGATATCGATCTGGATCCGCTCGTATCGGATCTAACACCTTATTGTCTGCGACTTCCATCGCTGGAAGGTAGACCTTGTTGTATTTTGCCTTCAAAGTTTTGACGTAGGCAGGTGTTTGAACGAGAACGTCTCCAAGCAGTGTCCTATCTTCAGCTGATATTTCTGACATGAGTTGCTCATTTGCGACCAAAGGCTTGAAAGCATCAAGATCGCGCTTGCTGTCCTTTGGCTCAATGAGCGGGACGCGTAACAATAAGCCATCGACTTGTTCAATGTATTTTTGAGCAATTGCACGTGCAAGGTAGCCACCACATGATGAGCCCACAAGTAAGAACCTTGACTTCCCAAGTCGGGAGTCAATGAATTGCACCAGACGATGGAATATATCGTCCAGATCCTTGACATCATTTGCAGGTGTTGTGCCCATGCCTGGGAGGTCCACGTAAATCCGGCGAAGTCCTGGTGTTTTATTGAAAATTGGCTCAAAGTCTAGCTGCTCAACTCTTCCCTCCATCTCCCATCCATGGATGATTAAAACGGGAAGACCTTCGCCGACTTCATGTGCAGATAGAATAGATTCCATTTTTGTTGCCGGAAAGTGATTTTGTGAATAGACGAGCAGGAACCAGAGGAACTCAGTAGAAATTGTTCAATCACAATCACGCCATATCCTGGTGCTGACAAAGTGCTATTCCTAGCTTGATGTGTAGAAACAGATGGATGGAGAAGAGAATTTGTCAGATTATTGCCAAAGGTCGCCTAATTTGCTGAGTTTGCATGAAAAGGGAAAATACACTAACCCCGATTTGAATCTAGTGCACCATGTTGTTAGGTTAGTTCATATTTCCCGACATAGAGTACGGAACGTACACATATATCACACTTCATACGGAGTACATACATAATCTTTTGTACTTTAGGTATAGGGGGTCATGTTTGCACCGCTTGCCTAGTGCGCCGCAAAGCCCACAAACAAGCCCGACCCCAGGCCCGATCCCAGGCCCAAAGCCTATTGGTGGATGCCTCTATCGCTCCTCTTATAGCCCTTCTAGGGGATTCAACCAGCATCTTGTAATCCCTGTATTCTGACCTTCGACTTAGTATGTAGTCTCTCAATTTCCAGAGTTTGCAATCGTAACAGCTATATAAGCATGTCTTGGATTTGAATTAAATATGACCGAGAAATGTCGGAATTGGAACTGCAGAAAGATGAGTAATAGCGTGGATATATATTTTCGATGTATTCATGAGTGCTACTATTCAGTGAATCTCTTTAACTTAGTAAGTTTCCAAGTAGCGCGTTATCTCGTGTTTCAAGCGCGATTTGTAAAATCAAGTATCGATTGACTATATATTTCATAGAATATCAGAATTTAACCCTTAGATAAAGGCGAGCAACGGGGTCTATACATACAGCAATTAAAAAGTCATGTTGTTTTCCTGGCAAATTTGTTTCGTTTGGGATTTTTGGACCCGAAGATAGGGCCAGAACCCAACCTTTTAGTGGCTGGGCTTTCGGCTTTGGGGGGTTGCGAAGCGCTACGCTTGCTGAAGTTGAGTACCGCCTTTCATGTGGTGCGATGAGAGGTTCTGCCACATATTCTACCACTTCATCAATTCTAGTTTGCATTTAGAAAGAATTAGATTCTAGTCAAACAAATTGTGTATTACGCCTATGTCCTGCCTTGATCTACTCGAAAAAGCTCTGACGAGTAATTTGAAATGGAACTATTGGTTGACGAAGCTGAAACTGAGTTAGTTGATGGAATTGAGGATTTGAGGAGCTGGCCATAAGGAAATCCTACGGAGTGAGGTCTGACACGAGTGGCTCACATTTATTATTGGTTGACATGCAGTGTAGGTAACTGCTATCTTCTACAATTGCACGGAGGAGATTTGGGGATCTCAGGAATTCGACGGAACAAGTCGGTGTGTACAAGCTGAAAGGCGGTGAGGTGGTGATGCAAGCAATCCAAGGCGCGAGTATCAATGTTTGTTGTACAAAAAGAACCGACATTCAAGCGAGCATGTATGCTTTGAGAAGGTCTTAACAGCTTTGCCCAGGCATTATTGAAAAAAAAAAAGTTGTATCAAGGTTTCACCTTTGCTAGATTAGCATAGGTGAGAATATCCCTTTTGGTTGAGCTATATGTGTATGTATTTTTATTGTACTTATCATAAGGGGAAATTATCCACTTGATCCAGTTCAAATGACACCTAATGCACGAGGCCGGATATTAGGGTCGGAGCTGAAGTTAGTTACGACGTTAGTTACGACTTCACCGTCCTGGACGGCAGCCTGCAGAGCGGTACGCGCGGCTTCCTGAGTGTTGCCTGTAATCGCGGGATGGAAGCGCAAGATGGATCAGTTATCATGTAGGACGCGAAAGATCTTGCAACTCTATTTCTGTATGTACGTACCTCGCTGAGATAGAATAAATCTTCTAGTCCCCACCAGAGAGCGCCGCAACTTGAATGACAGTATTTATAGCAGATAAGGCATATGTATCTGTGCCTGCTTCGCTGCTGTGATCTTCTGGGTGGGTGCCATATACACCATCTAGTCTTCAATGATGATAGTATAAGTGGTTGTACCTCCAATCCTTGTTGCGTAGGTCCCTTTGACCACGAAAGCAATAGGCCGATTTCTCATTAAATAAATTAAACCTGACCCTATATTCAGAAGTCGGTCATTGTATAGCCTTCTCTTGTAATCCTTAGATGCGCGTAAAATCGATCGTCAAGATGACTGCTTTCCTTGAATACTCCAGCATGCCTCGGACAATAGTAGGTATAGTACCTGATATACCAGGCAGTAATATGAAATGGTGTGCCGCGGTAAGACATGTTGTTATTAATGATGGAACCGCTGGTTTAAAATAGCCGGTGACCCGAAGAAGGCAGAGAATTTCGGAAACCCGAGCCCGCTCATAGGTCAGTTACTAATGAGATTGAAATCTCAGATATCCTCTTCATAGGGTCCACTGTGGCATATAAGACATTTTCTTACAATACATGACGACATCCGGAATTAACCTAAGCATACACACTCTCGCACATCTTTAAATAAACCGTAAGTACCTGGCAGGGATTGTTCTGATTTGACTGAAACGAAGCTTGATCCACTCTGTATGGGGCGTTCGAAACAACATACAATCATATGGGTCGCATTATCCAATTACTGCGCATGTGGCTTATCGGCTTCGCCTATATTTAGTGAGACTAGGTACTTGCACATATTTAAGCTATCCCTATCGATACATTCTGTACTCCGTATCGGGTCATCATGTATTTATCCATGGATGTCGGGAGTAGGGGAAACGTTCTGCTCGCTTACTATCACCATGCACATAGTAAGACGAAAAAACAAGCTTCAGCCACAACCAAGGACCCTTAGGAATACGAATAGGACACTGAGGCCATGCATCTGACACGTCGTCAAGTGCCCGCACGTCCCGAGGTCATGATATCCAGGGTAAAATACTCCGTACAGAGTACTTGTGGACATGTTCACGAATGCCCAAGCATGGTAAAAAGAAAAATCAATAAACAAGTGCTGTATACTAAACAGGATTACTAGGGGTCTATGCAATTCTAGGCCCGTTAATGGAATTCAAATAGAAAACCGCCAGGATAGGTATTTCCCCGGGAGTGCAAGTACCTAGGTAACTGTACGTAAAATATGTCCTCTGCCGGGTGGGGCTTTCCTATCTTAGCTGCTGCCGACGAGGGCGCTCAGAGTCAGGCTCACTGGTACGTACATAGTTTGCTGGGTCATCTGCTGGTAGAACAACGTCTTAAAGATGTTATTAGTATAAGCCAGAATGATATGGATGTTAGAAAATATACCTCACACCACCTCAATGCGTGAGCCGGCAAGGATTTATCTTACCATGGGTCCTTTTCAACGCGAACTCCATTAACCAGGAAAATAGGGGGATCAGTTCGCTGGCGTGATCTAAGCTCGCTAATTTCGTATAGGTGAATAAGGGCTTTGATATTCACTCTTTGAACTTTTCCGAAATCCGTGTTTAGAACGGCTTGTAGTTGTTTCATTCGCTCTTCGGGTTGGAGGATATACGGGATAGGACACGCGGGGCTGAACTCGGGAAGCGGATTAGGTATGTTGACAAAGGGTATATGTGGTTGGTGGAAAAGGTGAAATAAGTGGAGCGCTAGCCCTGGAGGTACAATGCTTGGGCAGTGAGCGAGGTGATTATGTAATATTAGTGTGGCTCAGTTTTTACTGAGCAAAAAGCGGCGAGTCCTGAGCATCAAATCGGAAAGGGAACGCCAAGAGAGTGGCAGAGGAGATCAAGTATGTATAAGTTTGTTGTATAGGTATGTTTTACGTGTTCCAGAAACATGGAATTTATATTTCGAAGGCAGTCCCGAGCGATACAGCTGCATCAGTCTCAGCACATAAAACAGAGGTGCGGCTGGCACAGTACATGGTTAAAAAAAATCCTTTTATTGGGATAAATTCTTAGGTCAAAGCACAAGCTTTCCTCTTATTCTCCATCAGAGCTGTATCATGCAATTCTGTAATTAATTCGAATGTAGCCAAAAATCAAAAAACAACTGTTCTATTCTATACTATGTATCAAAAGTATCCCACCTTGACAACACCCCCAATGATTCAAATTCTAGAGCGCATCCATTTTTGACCCTGACATTCCCGTCTCAGTAAAATCTGGTATAGCCGTTTGAGCCCATCTTGGTGGTGGATTCCTTATTTATTTTTTCTCGGTACCGCCCGCCTTCGACGTCACATCTTTGATTTTAGAAAAATGGAGGAGGGAATACAATTTAAAACAACTTGGAATTCCCGGTTTGATGGCATATTTGCCCACTCTTGAGTTTGCCATCCTCGGAGCATATATTGTACTTTGCCGGTTTATCCCCTCTCGTATTTTAGATAAGACCAAGCGAATCTAGTGGACCCTACATATGCACCTGCATGTACGAGGTACAGACTCATAACGTATTTAACGATCCCGTCCCGTCTACTCCGTAGTAAAAATGCTTACATAGTAATTCGTAGGCGGAGAGCACACATTATCGTAGGTTTGCTAGTCTTTACTATGAATATTGGGCTCCTCATATAGCCTTGTGTCTTTTTTGAATGGTTTTTTCTAGTTAGTTTTCTATATGATTTCTTTCTTTTGTTGTAGCGACAGGGTAAACAAAGGGGAAAAGAGTAAACCAAAGAGCCAACTTTCCAACCCACGGACAAAAGACTCAGATCCTTTGGATCTATCTGAGACACCAAGCCAAGAACCAGCAAGCGGCGAAATCTCAGTGGATCGATAAAATCTGACCAAGTGGGTCGGTGGTGTATACGGGACTATGTATAGCCCATCCGTTCGGCCCGATAAGGCGATGTGCTCCATAGTAAAAATGGCTGTGAAATCTTTGAATTCTTTGAAATCAGTAAAATAATAGTCTGTCTCAGTTAATATTCTTTGTTCTTTCATTCATCTCACTCTCGTTATCTACTCATTTCATTCGTTATTGAGTCGCGCATCCTTCCGGCAGCAGGTTCCTGCTGATAACAGTATTATATACGGAAATGCAGCGCTCAGCTTTCCTCATACTGTCGTTTTTGAGCGTCTCTGCCTTTTGTTGGCCCTACGACGAACCACTCGCTAAATACAATCTAAACGAAAATAAAAATGCGCAGCACCCTATCGATTATTCGGGGGCGTGGCTCGACCATGATCCTCACCCATCGCCAGATAACTGGCGTCTGCCTACATATACAATCTTTTTGGACCGTATAGCAAATGGCGACCCCACAAATGACGATATCAACGGGACCCAATTTGAGCATGTGATCAACTCGAATCAGATGCGCCATGGCGGTGATTTGGACGGCTTGATAGATACCTTGGACTATATCGAGGGCATGGGATTCAAGGTTAGTTGGACCTAGTCTCATGGGTCGTATGATGATTATATCGCTAACCACCTAAAGGTTATCTACTTCGCCGGAACTTACTTGATGAACTTGCCCTGGGCCTACGATGGGTACTCGCCGGTCGATACCACTCTCCTCGACATGCATTATGGAACGCTAGAGGACTGGAGGCGGACTATCGACGAGATTCACAAACGGAACATGTATGTGTTGGTGGACAACACATTGGCGACGTAAGGCAATCTTCCAGATGATAGGATATGCAAACGCTGATCTCAAACCACAGAATGAGCAACCTGATCGGATTCAAAGGACACCTGAATGATTCAGCCGATTTCAAGGCATCAGAATACCAAGTTCAATGGGTCACCGACAGAGAATATGCCGATTTCAAATTTGGTAACGATTATAACGAAACTTGCAATTATCCCAAGTTCTGGGACGAGACTGGAATGCCATTAACGACCGGAGGAGTTGAAAGCTTGAAGGGTTGCTATAACAGTGACTTCGATCAATATGGAGAACTAGAGGCATTCGGTAATTTCCCCGACTGGCAGCGCCAACTGACAAAGTTTGCCTCCGTGCAGGATCGGCTGCGTGAATGGCATAAGCCAGTCCGTGATATACTGACTCAACATTCCTGCATGCAAATCGCAAGTCTGGACATTGATGGTTTCCGCTTTGATAAGTCTGTGCAAGCCACCCTCGAGCCACTGAGTGAGATGCTTGCCGTCTACCGTGACTGCGCGAAGCGTCTTGGCAAGCATAACTTCTTCCTGCCCGGCGAGATCACTTCTGGAAACAGCATGGGCAGTCTTTACCTCGGCCGCGGCCGCCAGCTAGATCAGCGTCCGGACAATTCACAGCAAGCTGTCAAGCTTACGAATCAGTCAGACTCGATGTTCCTAAGAGATGATGGACTGCAAGCTTTGGATTCCTCCGCATTTCACTACACCATCTACCGTTCGATGACCCGTTTCCTAGGCCTAGACGGTAATCTAGTTGCTGGCTTTGACTTACCCACCGACTTTATCGACGCCTGGAATGAGATGCTCGTGACGAACGATTTCCTCAATGCATTCACCGGAGAATTGGATCCTAGGCACATGTACGGTGTCTCGAACCAAGATAACTTCCGCTGGCCGGCTCTTCAGAATGGCACAGATAAGTACCTCCTAGGTCTATTCATCATCTCGCTGGAGCTTCCTGGAATACCCCTCATCTTATGGGGAGAGGAGCAGGACATGTACGTGTTCGACGCTACTGCAGCAAATTATATGTTTGGGCGGCAGCCCATGACGTATCAAACTGCCTGGTGGACACAAGGCTGCTTCAACCTGGAAACCGAGAAGTTCTACGATTTTCCGATCGAAAAGGGACGCGACGGATGCAACGATATCACTGTCACGTACGACCAACGGAATCCTGCTCATCCACTCCGCAACATCATGAAGCGCATGTTCGAGATTCGAGCCCATTACCCAGTCGCCCAAGATGGCTTGTTCCTCGAAACGCTGTCTCAACTTACAGAAGACATCTACCTTCCTGGTTCTTCTACCACCCCTACAGTCACTGGTCTTTGGTCTGTCTTGCGAAGCTTTTTCCCTGGAGTACAAACAGACACAATCCAGGCCAACGAAACCCTCTGGCTTGTGTATCAAAATGGGAACTCGACCAAGACGTATGGGGGGAACTGCAAAGTTATGAATGGGTCCTTATTGGCCCCCTTTGAGTCGGGAACAAAATTGAAGAACCTCTTCTATCCTTACGATGAGCTTACTTTGGAAGATGGCCCGGACAAGTCCGAGAACGTGAACTCCTACGGATGCGTCCGAAAAATGAAACTCCTTCCATGGGAATACCGAGCCTATGTCAAGACCGCCGAGTTCGTTAAGCCCGGCCCTACAGTCACCGACTTCTTTCCCGGGCACGATGCTCGGTTGCTATCTTCCGCAGATACGGGTGAAACTATGCCTGTTCAGCTCGGATATTCTACAGAGATGGACTGTGAAAGCATCACCAAGGCGGTCTCTCTAAGTTCTAGAACAGAGAAGAATATCACCGCCGAGCTTGATACATCTAGTGTCAACTGCACGAAAGTTCCTGCTAGAACCTCGAGCAAGAACTATGTCGGAGAAGTCCCAACCGTTTGGACATGGTCTGCAAACTTGAAGAACGTCCATCATGGAATCCATCAACTGACCGTCAAAAATGTTTCCTCTTCTGGAGTTTACACCAATTCGACTGACAAGTTCTTGCTACGCCTCGGTTCCCATGAGAATCCCCTGATTTCTCCGCTTGCCAATTACTCTACCAGCCTAGTCCACAAGTCTGGCGACAACCTTTACCTGCAGCACAGAGCTGCCGGTGCAGATATGTTCCGATACTCCACTGATTTTGGTCGGAGTTGGAACGACTGGGCGGAGTATTCAGGTGGTAACACGACTGTTACCATCCTACCTTGGCGCGGCACCGATGCTCAGAAGTGGGAGGGAACTCACATCCGAGTGCAGTACTTCTCAAGGCTCACTGGAAGCAGCGATTACCTCCAAGAAGGTGATTATGCAAGCGACAGAGTCAGAAGATTCCCTCACATGTGGTTCAACGGTCCATACAATCAATACGGCTATGATTCAGGATTGGACAGCAAGATGAAGTACGATTCCAAAACTTCTCGCTGGAACTACGACTTCGTCTACGAATGGCCAGCCATTGGCCAGCTGAATGTTTGGGGCACAGACAGTGATGGTACACCTGATAACACTGAGGTCTACGGTGATGTCGGCAACTCCTCATCGGTTCAAAAGCTTCCGCCATCATATCTCGCATCCAACGTCATCAACATCACCAGTCCTCCCCCATTCCCGCATCTTGGTTGGAAAATCTCGCTTAACGATGGCAATCTGAGGTATGAAATGATCCCGATCGGATCTGGATGGGCCCAGTTGGTGCTCTATATCCTTCTCTGGGTTATCCCCATACTTATGGGCTGTGCTGGTGTCTTCATTTTCATCCAAAACTTCTACCGTGTCAAGCTCAACAAGGATGGCAATGTCGCCAAAGCAGAAAAATTCCCTGTATTACTCTGGGGCAAAGTGAAAGGAATGTTCGCCAAAGATGATGCTGAGGAGATCCAGATGGCACAAACCGGTTTGCCTGCAAACATGGCTCTGGCAGGCGCGAGCACCCAACGGCGTACTGTATTGATTGCTACTATGGAGTACGACATACAAGATTGGCAGGTCAAGGTCAAAATTGGTGGTCTTGGAGTAATGGCGCAACTCATGTCCCAGAATTTGAAACATCAGAATCTAATTTGGGTGGTCCCATGTGTCGGTGATATTGAATACCCCGAAGACACCCCCGCTGAACCTTTCGTGGTCACAATTCTCGATCATCCCTATGCGGTCAAGGTGCAATACCACGTTTTGGACAATATCACCTATGTCCTCCTTGACGCTCCAGTCTTCCGGCACCAAACCAAGGCAGAGCCGTACCCTCCACGTATGGATGATCTGGACAGTGCAATCTACTATTCAGCCTGGAACCAGTGTATCGCTGAGGTAATGAAGCGAACACCCTCGATTGACCTCTATCACATTAACGACTTCCACGGCTGCTTGGCACCTCTGTACCTGCTTCCTTCGCGAACTATACCAGTTTGTTTGTCCCTGCACAATGCCGAGTTCCAAGGACTGTGGGCTCTGAGGACAGCTCAAGAAAAGAAGGAAGTCTGTGCTGTTTTCAACCTTCCAGTTGAAGTAGCGACAAAATACTGTCAGTTTGGCAATGTCTTCAACCTCCTACACACCGGTGCTAGCTATTTGCGATTCCATCAACGCGGCTTTGGCGCAGTTGGTGTCTCCGAGAAGTATGGAAAGCGCTCATTTGCCCGTTATCCAATCTTCTGGAGTCTGGGCAAAATCGGCAGTCTTCCCAACCCAGATCCCTCCGACACAGGCGCCTTGAAGAAAAACCCCGATGTGCAAGTTACGATTCAGTCTACCGACGAGCTGGCCAACGACAAAATCCAGGCACAGAGATGGGCTGGTTTGAATGAAGATCCCAACGCTGACTTGCTGGTGTTTGTGGGAAGATGGTCGAAGCAGAAGGGAGTCGACTTGATTGCTGATGTGATGCCGGCTGTCTTGTCCGCCAGACCCAATGTTCAACTCATCTGTATTGGTCCTATCATCGATCTCTACGGCCGACTGGCTGCTATCAAGTTGCAGCGCATCATGGAAATGTTCCCAGGCCGTGTATTTTCGAAGCCAGAGTTTACGATCCTCCCCCGTTCGTGTTTTCTGGTGCCGACTTCGCCCTAATCCCATCTCGTGACGAGCCCTTCGGACTCATCGCGGTTGAGTTTGGTCGTAAGGGTGCACTTGGAATTGGTTCTCGCATTGGAGGTCTAGGCCAAATGCCTGGCTGGTGGTACACTGTGGAATCAGACTCAGCCCGCCATCTTTTGCATCAACTGAGAACCGCGATCAAATCTGCCCTGGATTCAACACAAGAGACACGAGAGGAGATGCGTGCAAACTCTGCTAAGCAGCGATTCCCTGTTCTCGAGTGGGTTCAGAAGCTCGAAGTTTTGCAACGCACATCTATCCAAATCCATCACCAAAAGAATCAACTCACCGTTGCAGGCTCAGCGCGAGAGTCTCAGATCTTCTGGGAGACGGAGGCCCCCGGCTTGCGGGACTCCTCAATGATGATCCGCCCTGGATCATTTCAGTCAGCGACGGGAGGTGCGGATACGCCACCAAATAGAGCATCGCAGCCCGTTCAGCCTTCCCTTCTACAGCTACAGGCAGTGGAAGCCCAAGAAATGCAAGCAGCCGAAAACAACAGAGGTAGCATGTTAGCTCGCAACCTGTCACTCGGTCGACGTTCGGGACCAGGACAAGGCAGAAAACGTCTTGTCAAGAAGTCGCAGCGTGAGAGTCAGATGCTTGAACCGCCTGTCGACGGCGACACCACGGATGCTGAAGAAGACGGTACGCAGGAGAAATATATATCCCAAGAAGAGGCTATGGCGGCTCTCAATTCACCTCTCCAGGATCTCGGCACAAACCCTAGGAACAACCATCACTCCCGGGGCTTGTCTAGCTCGTCGGCCTCAGAGACATCGAATTTCCTCTCCAGAGACTCCTCCCCTGTGAGACTATCTCGTGATCCTTCTGATGCTGCTACACCTTTCGTTCACTCCCAAAATATTTCTGTGCTCTCCCTGCCTTCTGTTGTTAATGACCATAACCAATCCGATTTCCATCTGCAAAAGGTGGATCCGACCTTTACGGACAGCATGGGCAACTTCACGCGGCACTTCGAAAAGCTTCTCACCAACCTCAACAAGAAAAACTCGATCTCAGATTATTGCATTGAGCTTTATCTGATGAAGAGTGAGCGGAAGTTCTTCTATATGTACAACGATGCGCAGTTGAAAAAGCAACCCAAAGAACGCCCTTTGACGGGTGCTGGCTTGGAACAGACTGCGGAGACGCAACCATATAACCTAGTCACTGAAGGGTCAGAATCCTCGGAGTCTAACAATACAGATGAGATCGATCTGTGGCTCGCTCGTCTGGGATACAAGAGACCCATTGCCGTCCAGCGCTTTATGAGATGGCGTGTCGGCAACTGGCCTGTCTATGCTCTATTCTTGGGTCTTGGACAGATCATCGCCACAAACTCTGCGCAGATCACCCTTCTGGCTGGTCAGATCGGTGAGACGGCGGTTAAGCTCTATGTTATCGCGGCAATCTACTGCGTTTCTTCAATCGTCTGGTGGTGTCTCTTCTTCCGCTTCCCATCTGTGATAGTCCTCACTCTTCCCTGGTTCATATATTCCATGGCTTTCATCACCATTGGCGTTTCTCCCTTTGCACTCTCCGATCTTGGTCAAGCGTGGGCTCAAAATGTTGCCGCTGGAATCTATGCCGCAGCATCTTCCAGTGGTTCCTTGTTCTTTGCTCTCAACTTCGGTGACCAAGGAGCCGTCCCTGTGAAGGATTGGATGTTCCGCGCAAGTCTCATTCAGGGTATCTCACAGCTTTACACTGTTGCCCTGTGGTACTGGAATGCCAGAGTCACCGCAGTGGAAGTTGGAGGTGTTTCCACGGCTGCGTTGAATTCCTGGAGACTGTCGGCTGTGGTGATGCCCATCGCCGCAGTTTGTTTCATTATTGGAGTGCTCCTTGCCCTTGGCTTGCCCAAGTACTATCGCCAAGCACCTGGAAAGATCCTCTTCTTCTACACATCCCTCTTCCGTCGTCGTATCGTTCTCTGGTTTTTCTTCATGGTCATTATCCAGAATTGGTTCCTTTCTGCGGCATTCGGTCGAAACTGGTCATTCCTCTGGTCTTCCCAACACACCAAGGCATGGGAAGTTACTCTCCTGGTGATCCTTTTCTTTGTCTTCCTGTGGGTCGGCGTGATGCTCCTCTTCCGCTTCTTATCCAAGGAGCACAGTTGGATCTTGCCCGTCTTCGGCCTGAGTATCGGTGCACCCCGATGGGCCCAAACGTGGTGGGGAACATCCAATATAGGTTATTATCTTCCATGGGCGGGCGGTTTGACTTCCGGCGCTATCGCATCCCGATGTCTCTGGCTCTGGCTTGGCGTTCTCGATGAGATTCAGCAAGTCGGTCTGGGAATGATTCTCCTACAGACCCTCACGCGAGTACACGTCGTGTTTGTCTTGCTAGCCGCGCAGTCCATTGGTTCTATCGCCACAATTTGTGCTCGTGGATTTGCACCAAATAAGGTCGGCCCAGCAGGCATCTCCCCGAATGTGGGATCGTCGCTAGACACACTCGGTAACGCATGGTTCTGGATTGGCCTTTTCTTCCAGCTTCTGGCCAGGTCAGTTATCATCCACCCCTTCATTTTTTGGCCTTGTACTAACCATGATTGCAGCTTTGGGTTCCTTCTATTTTATCGCCGCGAACAGCTCAACCGGCCCTAGGTCAATTACCCTAGGTCAATTACTTAATAATGTTGTAAATCTTTCATGTTGGTATATAGATGGGAAGGAGTTGGAATTGATTTTTGTCTAGTTTAACTACAATTTAGTCTCTAATGTACATGAACCATTGGACATAGCCAAAGATCTGTCATCTAGATGGTACAAAATACGATATGTACAGTAGAGACTTTATGATGGGTTCTTGGTCATTTCTTGGTATGTTGCTGATATATTCTACCTTTTTCCTGTGGCTTTCATACTTTCAACGGCACTCACATGAGACTGGTTATACTTAAAAGAAGCCTCGGTTAATCGCGAGACCAACGCCATATTCTGTTGAGAGTACAAAAGGTCAATTTCCGGGCAGATTATGCATGAAGTAAATCAAGACCTTACACAAACGACACCGCTACTAGTTCGTGTGACGCTCCGCCGGTCTCTAACGTCATAACCGGAGTGGGCGATCGAAATGTCTATAGTTGGTAGTCTAAGACCGATTGGATCAATTCCAACATGATCTATAATGCGTAAACTTCTGGATGAGGTTGTTGATCTGTTGATCTGTCCCACTTAGCGACACTGATAGAAACGGATGCGAAATATTTCACCGAACAAATTACATCACAGAATAAATTCATCAATCCACCCTGAGAAACCTCATCTTTCAAAATAATGTTGTATCACCAACATTCGAAGGTCTAATAATTCGAGCAATGGAATATAGGAGCCGGATGAGGCAAGGCCCACTGTGCATCATACCCAACCCATCGTCCTCTGGGGTCAACACCGAAGTTTTGGGGATTGGTTGAGCTTTAGGCTGATTTCTTATATTCTTTAATGTTTTCCAGATCCGAGATCCGGCATGTAAATTCTCTACAATTGAATTATTATGGCAGACAGTCCACCCGCTGCGTTCACGGTCACGGAGCATGTTATTGATACCCAATACATCCGCGAATTTCCGAATGCGACAATTCCTCAAGATTCGCCTTTGAAGCTTGTGGTAAAAAGGTATACGCCTATCGATAACCCGGATCCTCGACCAGGCAATGTGACCATTATCGCGGCTCCTGGATGCGGGCTTCCAAAGGTGTGTACACGAGCTTGTCATATCACGGATTTTATGGACCAATAAGGATGTCAGGAACTTTACGAGCCGCTATGGGAAGACATTCTAGTGCAAAGTAAACAACAAGGATTTCGGATTGGGTCGATTTGGATTGCAGATATGGCGAATCTAGGTGCCAGCGGTGTTGTAAATGAGGAGTTGCTCGGTGACGATCGTGAGTGTATCTATTTCTACATCTGGACATCATGGCTGATTATCACAGCGTCCTGGTTCGACCATCCTCGGGATATCTTATACATGGTTAATCAGTTTCGCCATGAAATGCCGAGACCCATTATTGGTATAGGGCATAGTATGGGTGCAACTCAAATGTATGTTGCTTGACCAAAAGGGCAAACTGACTAATTCCAATTTCTCACTCACCAGGGCTCTCTTGTCGATTATGCATCCCCGCCTGTTCACGTCGTTGGTCCTTATCGAACCATCCTTGACAAACAGCGTATTGGTCTCCGCAATGTATGCATTATACGCACTCAGGCGGCCGGACAGTTGGGCGTCCAAATCTAGCGCGATAAAATCGGCTGCCAGTATGTGCCAAGGATGGGACTCTCGTGTCGTGGGGCGGTGGAATGAGCATGAATATCGCAGCTTACCGACGACCATTTACCCACACACAGCTGTGGAAACCGAATCTATCGACGGGCCAGTAACTTCGACCAGCTCAAAATATCAAGAAGCCATGCTCCTTGTTCGACCGAACTTCAAAAGTCATACTAGTCAAGCACTAGCAGACTCTACCAAAGCGCCTACGTATGACCGCCTGGCATACCCTGATATCATCGATCCTCCAGACCCATGCATCCCCTTCTATCGAAGCGAGGGACCCATTGCTATGAAGATGCTCAAACATATCCGGCCATCAGTATTGTATTTGTATAGCGAGGAGAGTCCTATGGCAACACCAGAGGCCCGAGCTCGAATTTTAGAGAGAACAGGTGCGGGAATTGGGGGAAGCGGCGGAGTGAAACGTTTCCAAGTTAAGATGACAGTTCTGCAAGAGTGTGGTCATATGTTGCCTTTTGAAAAGACAACTGAAACCGCTGCGCTTATTGGCTCGTGGATTGGCCAGTCTGTACAGAGGTGGCAGAAAGATGAACTGCGAGTGCGTCAGAAATGGTCTAATCAGTCAACTACGGAGGCACTGGCTGCACCTGCTAGGTGGAAACCTATACTGGAACAGGTTTTCAGGTCTGAAGCGCAGAAAAATGTGTCCAAACTGTGATAACGTGCGCCTACTCATGTAGATTTCGGTTATTTGATTGTTACTTACACTATGTATTGTTTCCTGTTCTTAAGTCGAATGCCCTGTAAGATATTGTTTCTTATCTATCTAGGATTTTATACAACTAATCAATACTAGTTTGGCTGCGTAGCTGAACAATAAATATAGAGTGATATATCTTACAAAAGGACGGCCACCATGAGCGCCCGCTTGATCGGTTTCTGATACATTCATGAATCATACAGGATACCACTGCGAAACTACAAAAGCTTTAGATACAGCTGATCGGGAGAGTGGGGATTCTTATCCTGATACATGAAGCTAAAAATCAAGAATACAAGTCGCATGGAGTAATCACAAAACGTTTCGGCTAGAACGGCATAAAAATCTACGAAAAGTCCGGATAGTAGACTTGATATGGTTACACATTACTCGTGATATGCATGCAAGATTCTGCTTGGGGACAGTATACACGTTGACAGAGTATCAATTCCTCCGAAGTAAGTTCCGCCCTAATTGGTAAAATGCATAACCATTTGAACCCGGCGCATAATGTTGTGGTGGTGGGTTGGTTCCTTCGGACACGGAGTAGGTACCTAGTCCAGAGATTTGTCTATTCTTAATACAGCTCTCCTCCTCTCTTTCTAGGTCTCCATAGAGGTCCTAACAATAATCACGTTGCGAAAATCCGGAAAGTTTGTCAATATATAAAGATTCGATTGTTGAGCCAAAGTTGCCAATCCAGGTATGCAGCAACCTGTAAATGTTGCCTAATTTGCAAACTCCCCTCGTGGACTAATGCCATTTACTTGATCCAGTACAAGCGAGAGGTATTTGCTGGCTTCGTATCTTCTTCAAAACCGTCACGCCACATTGAAACCCCGAGGTTTTCACGGGGAAGATGGTGCCTCTCACATACGACGTGTTCTTCCTTTGGTTGGTATACGCAGTGCTTGTCTACAAAGGCACTAAAGTTATCTATCGGCTATATTTCTCTCCGCTGGCCAGATTTCCAGGTCCACGCTTGGCAGCGGCCAGTGGTCTCTATGAATTCTATTTTGACATTATAAAAGGAGGCCAGTTCATGTTCGAGCTCGAACGTTTGCATGACAAATACGGTCCTATAGTCCGCATCACTCCTCACGAGATACATATCAGAGACCCCAGTTTTTACGATACGGTCTACGGCGGGCCAATACATAAACGAGACAGAGACCCTAAGTTCGCTCTCGCTGGAGTACCGCTGTCAGCCTTCGAGACTGCGCCACATGGTCTTCATCGTGAGCGGAGGAGATTGTTGAGCCCCTTCCTTACAGCCCAAGCCATCACAGGCATCCAGCCTCTTATTCAAGAAAAGATAGATTTGCTCTGTGGCCATCTGTCAAGAATGGTGGGTACAGGAGAGATCATGGAGTTGCACTCTACCTGTGTTTCTTTTGCCATAGACGTTCTGTCTACATATATGCTCGGCAGGGAGAATTGTTATGGATATCTGGACAATGCAGTGATAACAAATGAATGGAAGATGTGTGTTAACAGCATTTTTGAGTGGCTGGTTCCTCTCAGACATTTTCCATTCATGCTCAACCCAACACGCATGTTTGCTCAATTTGCTAGTTCGCTCTCTCCCACTATTTCCTGGTATATAAAATTGGAAGAGGTATGTTCAATCGATACCTGGAATGATAATATGCTGATATTGGATTAGAAAGTCCGTAAAAGTGTGAAGGATGCATATGACAAGCCAGACGGGGAGTCGGTCATGTCGAAGATTCTCTCCAACGACAAATTACCTGACAACGAGAAAGAACTTCCACGCCTGCTAGATGAATTTGAGTTCGTATTGATTGCTGGCACTGATGCGCCGTCCCAAGTAATAGCAATTACTCTGTTTTATCTTCTTTGGAATCCAGAAACATATCAAAAGCTCAGAGACGAGTTGAACGAAGCCTTCCCTGTTCTGGGCGAAGCGGACTGGACCAAGTTGAAGAGCCTTCCCTATTTGGTAAAACATCAGCAATTCTATCATATTTCCACATGCTATACTAACAAAAGCTCTTCAAGTCTGCTGTGGTCAAAGAGAGCCTACGACTTTCTGCCGTCGTGACAACAAGGCTTCCACGTATTGCCCCTGATGAGGATTTACACCACGGCGAATGGACCATTCCACGAGGGGTATGTCTTTCCAAGGACTCGCTATATATGTTCTGCAGTCCCGTCATTCTGTTTCTTTATTAATATATTGCTACAGACAATTGTCAGCATGACCACCCATTCTATCCTACGGAGCCCCGTGATCTGGGACGAGCCGATGAAATTCATCCCAGAGCGTTGGATGGGACCTCCCGAGGAAGTCCGTGAGCTGGATAGATACCACGTTCCATTTGCAAAGGGCAACTCCAGTTGCATGGGACCTAGGTGAGTTGTTTCTAGTGCTCCGCCGTAATTTAGAGCAGTGGTATTAATACACATCAGGATGGCCTACGCGTGGTTACACGCAGTGGTAGGCACTGTGGTACGCAAGTTTGAATTAGAGCTTCACGAAACTGACGAAAGTAATATTGAGATTGTTCGAGACTGTTTCAATGGAGGGACAGTTCCCGGGCACAACAAGATTAAGGTCAAGGTCACCAAAGAGCTCAACTAGAAGCTCTGGTTACGATGTGAATCATCAGTCTGTTTTGGTTTTCGGAAATTCGACTCTAATTTGTCCCGAAAACTCGGTTCAAACTTCATTTTTGTCATTTGTCTCGGGTTTAACATCTGCTACTTTTCTTCGGGCATTAGAAAGCTGTATGGTCTATCCTTCTACAATAAATACTACTTCCTGATCGTATTTACCCTAATGATTTTGCTTACTGGGAGGATTTGTCATTCTCACAAGAGATTTACAGGAATTTGGTGTGGTCCAAAGCAATATAATAAGAATCAACTAAGACATACTACCATTACTACTCACATATGTTTCAGGCCCTAGGGCCGAGGCTCAAAAATATAATGTCGGTCGATCGAAAGGTTTCCGGCGGCAATCTCCATCTGGTAGTGCTCAGCAAGGGCGATAACCCCAATGATCCAGCCGCGCTGCGCAAGGTCCTTGTCGCAGTTCATGACTGGGAGCGAGATCCAAAGGGCTTCCTGATGATGCATGGCCTCGTAGTTGGTGACCTTGCAGTCTCCCTCCCGGCAACGGTCAGCCATTAAATCCATTAACTCCTCGTCGGAAGAGAGGCGGTCCTCAAGGGTAAGTTGCACTGAGACCCACCACAACTCGGGTAGGGTTCGGAGGTCCTCGTAGTGAGGGAGCCCCTCCGAGAGGAAAATAGTACGTGTGCGTCGCAGGGCTTCCCGCTGTGCTGCGTCCATGGCTGCAGGGGCTGCGCGCTTCAAGAGCCGAGGTATCTTTGATTTAAAAATAGCTGCGAGGGTTGCGGGCTCTGACGACCGCGGTCTGAATCTGAAATGTTTATCTGTTTAGGAAGCTGGGGCTTGGTTTGGTTTTGATATAACTGTGATGAGGAAGTATTGTTCTGTCTGATGGTGTCTGATGGTAGAGACTAGATGGGGATATTCGAGTCTATTTAAACGGAAAACAGCGAAGCAGAGCACAGTCGTGTAGAGGACGCTGTCTTTGACCTGCAAACAAAGTCTTTTACACTCAGGTTGTTACAATGCCTTTCGTCGGTCCTTTGACAAGGCAATATAGCACCCGGCATATTAAACAAAGCCTCGAAGCCTTTCACGGCTCAAAATTCGAGATCAAACCGCTAAACAAAGCCTTCACAAATGTCGGTAAGCGATATCTCTTCGAGTAACTTACATTCCAACTGAATCTTGGTCAAATGCTTGGTGCTTCTAATGAGGGAACAGTGAAACATTTCCGATGGTGCCAATCAGTCCAACGATCACTCAAATTGCAAAGTTTTTTTTTTGCAGCGGTGATATTTCCTAAGCTACATTAACACTAGGAGACAATGTCACAACTCAATTCTAACAGTCTTGCCAGGATGGATGTGCCCTGACTCGACTTTACGCGTACTTGAGTAAATCAAGATGTCGAAGAGCTTGTGCAAGGGGAATTGTGGTTCAGCATCTTTTCCCACATTTCCAGTAAAGAAAAAAGAAAACAATACCAAATAGCTAGCCAAACATAATTACAAAGCAGCAAAATCAATAGGAGAGTTCATTAATTGCGTACATTAATAACGGCGTAGCTATTGGTCTACCAAGTAAACCAGATGCGTCATTTTTATGCATGTTCCACAAACCGAGGCATCTCGCGGGCTTCGAAGACCGCCCATTACTCAACATAGTTGGCAGGGAAAGGTCCTTTTTGCCCTCGCAACTCACCCTCCCACCAATCATCTGTGCTTTGTGTCTTCCGCACAATGCGAATGCGGTCCCCTTCTCGGAAACTCAGGTCGCCATCCCCCTGGCCATCAAAGTCATACAATGCTGTGACGAAAACTGGACGGGAACTTGCTGGTGGTGGCGGTGGGGGTCTCTTTTTCCCTGCGGCAACAGTCATAGGTGATACTTTGGCCTGGAAGCAGTCTATGTTTGGACCGGCAGGTGATCTCACTACCCCCGATGGGACAGGGGTGGGCTGTGGCGTCGGTAATAATGTCGGGCGAGGAGGGTCGAAGTAGTCGCCGCCCGTCGAGAGGGCCGGGGATCCCGCAGTGTTTCCAACAGGAATTGCGTTGCTCCTATGACTGATGGTTGATAGGGGCGGAGATGGAGGGTATTCGGGCACGCAGGGTGTCTGGCTCGACGACCCTGGTGTCTGTGATCCCCGGCGGAAAGAACCATGGAGCGAACTCGATGAGGTTCTGCTGGATATGCGGCCTCCAATCGAGGGACGTTTCTTATTCTCCTGGTCGGCTGCCGCTCGGCGCATGGCCTTGCCTTGGGCCAGGCAGCCGAAGTTATCTATTTCAGCTTGCACGGGGTTGAAGGCTAACTCCCAGTCTTGGACAACTTGTTCCATGGCTGGTGGTGGGGATGGGAATCCCTCCTCTGCACAGTACGTGTGAAGCACTGTGTAATAGTGCGCAAGCATGCGATTTTGAATCTCAACCTGTGCTTCGAGGATGTATGGCGTCAGGGAGAAGATGAGAGCAATCAATGTTGGAAGTCGCTGTCGTAGATCATGGTCGGCAGCTTGGTAAGCCTGGATGCTGATTAGGGTTTCTTACTTTGTGAATAGTGTGGGGCATTGAGATCATTTGTACCTCTTTCGTATTGGCAAGTTCCGCCTCCGCTTTGGCAAGGCTCACATTTTCGCGATCGGTGCGCTTTTGTTTTTTCGCGAGGCTATCAACACGTCCTTGCGATATTTCGAAGTCAGTCTAGAAGTTGGAATATCAGCGACCATCAATTTACCAAGAACTGCCATTCTTCATTGTGTACCTTCTTGTTGTTTCGCTTTTTGATCGTTTTTTTCATCGGCGCAAGGGACTCTTTGGCATGCGCAGCCGGCTGGGACATGCGAGTATCGACAGCACTGAGTTCTTCTATGAGATCGGTACGCAGTTCGTCATATTCTTTGCGCAGTCGATTTGTCCGAGCTAATCTGATGGGGTCGGTTTCCACGGCTTTGTGATTAGACGGGGTCTCCGAGGATCCAACGATAGGACCGTAGAGGCCGTCAAACTCATCGATAAGGCAACTCTGATAAGTCGCGATGGAGACCCAAGCATCACGCCAGGCTTGGGTAGACTCCACAATCTAATCAAATAACACGTATCAGTAAATGGGGTGGAACGCGCGTCTTTGGGGTAACATTGTCTACCTTTCCCAGGAGCATATCTGCATCGTCGAAATCTTTGAGAAGCACAGCAATTTGGCTGTCATCTGCAGACGACTTCGTCGTCAGGCGACCAAAGCGCCTCGACATGTTCTGCATATTGGGCAATGGGTTTTTGGAAGCTGAGGGAGTCGAAACGTGGAGAGGTAACGAAACTGTCGTACGGGCACGATGGAAAAGCACAAGCTTTAATTTCAAGTCAACATGCCACAAACGTAGAGTGATGTGGGAGGAACATCGAAAGAAGGGGCTAAACGTCCCCCATAGACTTGGCCCCAAACCTGGAAATGTTTCAGCCTTTCATGCGGCTCTCGCCCCGACCCCCTCAATATTGACCTTTCGGGAAGGTGGTATGTTGATCACCTTGAACTCATCCCACTTTACTCCGTGCTTCGCACTTTGTAGATAAATACCTAGATATTATATGACTACGCATCTTACCTCGATATTACTGGAAAAGACGAGCCATCTGACAAGGGTATGTATACGCATGCCTTTTAGGGGCTTAGCTTGTGAGTCATAAAATACAATACCCAAGAGCAGAAACAGAAGATATCGTAGATGTACCTAGAGATTGTTGATATTAGGTACATCTTAAGTATTTGCAATCCATGGATCAATGAACTTAACATGATGACCTCAGAACTCTATATCCACGTGATCTAGCACATCAAGGCAACTGCGATTTGAACGTGCCGTAGATACTTGGTATTTGTTCCCTCTTCTTCGATCGTAATTTCATCTCCTCCGTATGGGATACAACGGTTAGATCACAGAAACGGCCTCCTTCTGTTCTAAGCAAGGCGCCCTCGCCTTCGCTCCGGTTTTAGTTTAGCCGCAGCTCTAGTCGTTTTTAGGGGTTCCCTCAACGTGCTCTGGAGTCTGGCTATCTTTAGCGGGTGACTCATACGAGGAAACTGGTAGATTCAGTCGAGCTCTCTATTCTTGATTGGAGTAAAGAGGAAAAATTGGGAGTCTGATATTAAAGATCATATCTCGTCAGTTAGCCTCGAGAGGCGTATTCGACGTAGTATCTAAATCTCGGTAGTCCAACGAGGACAAATTCGACCAATGAAAGGAAATATATGGTCGAAGAAGTAATGCGCACCGGATAATCAATTTTGAAAAGAATGACACTCTTTGAAACTGTCCGTTACTCATATTAAAGGATACACACAAACACAAATGTACATAACCATCATATTCATCGATAGGACGTCTCGTTCAATCAGCCCACATTAAATACTGTGCCTGTACCAATTTAAAGTGAACCCAATCTGCTCAGGCTCACCCGAAGAAAGCATGTCGAGAAGTCCACGTTTCTCCAGGTCCTGACAATACTCCTTGTTTGAAATGAATTCCTCTCACAGTTTTAGTCGATTACGGTCGAGGAGGATATTTTCTGGGCGTAGATCACCATGCGCGAGGTTAAGTGATTCTAAGAAAGCGACGCCTTGGGCAAGATCGTTCATCCATTCCTTTCGTAGGGATAGAGGTTCTAACTTTTCCACTTTGGTAACCACCATAGTTTGCTCGTCCCGGGTATGGTTTCCTTGTATCCTATAGGAGAGCGATATATCTATTTGGTGTGGTTAGTATATAGACCTATTGGCTGCTATTCTATATCGCACCTCTCATATACTCGAGAAAGATACCGTTGTCTGAAAAGAGAAAACATTGAACGATAGAGGGACAAGGCGGGTTTTGCGAGAAGATTCGGTATATCTCGACCTCTTTGCCGAATTGTTCCTTTTCAAATTTTGCAGGCTTTGGGACCTTGACCACGATGCGAGGGTGAACTTCGTAAACAAAAGAAATTCCTCCCCCCAGATCCAGTGCACACTTGGGAATTGGTTTTGAATATCCATGACTCAAATATTAGTGGAGACGCGAGAATGCTTTGAAGTGCAGGACAGAAGAAGTGTTTCCCCTGATTTAAGGGGCGGAGGTGAGCAAAGGGGCAAAAGTAGGGCCGACCAGCACAAAGCACAGGGATGCAAGCTTCGTTTTGAAAGCAAAAGTGCTATTTCTATTTGACCTTTGAACTCTCGCAATTTTAGCTTAACTGCAAGAATAACCTCATTTAGAAATTAGCAGGATTCAACCGACATTTTCTCTCCCTTTTGTGAAGAGAAACAACACTTCCATTACAGTTTGACTGATGTAACTGAGGCAGTGAACGGTGAAGATACAAGCTCAGTTCCCAGGACGGACGAGTTTAAGATGTTTTTGCAATATCGGCTTTTATACCCAATGTACATTGACAGCAATCCCACCCCAATGTATACGTATACCCACTAGATAAATGTTCGACTGTGTATTCAACATAGATAGCACAACATAGGTTTAGTAACAGTTCAATAGTGATCCATTTTGGAACACAGAGATTCAATTTTAAGATTGTTTTAAATGTCCGCCGAATCCATCTTCAGTAGTGCTTTCTTCCACCAACTTTCCTCCTCCTGTACAGCTGCAATCCGGCTCTTCGCCTGCCGGAATCCATGCCCTTCTCCATGGAAAACCACTAGCTTAGACTCACGACCAGCCTTTGTCATCATTTCGACCATTTCCTCCGCCTGGTTCATAGGAACGACCAAATCCTCGTCTCCTTGCAGCAGCAACAGCGGCGCAGTGATTTTATCTGCCTTCAAGCAGGGACTGCGTTCGCTGAAAATGCGGTTTTTCTCGGCTTCATCTGCATTAGGATCAAACAACAAGGCGAATGCGTAATGGCTCTCGAACTTATGAGTATCCTCACAGAGAGCCTTGACATTGCCTATGCCGTACAGAGAATTTCCACCGGCAAAGAGATTGGGGTAATCACAGAGGGCTTGGAGCACGATGTATCCGCCTGCACTTTGGCCGCGAATACCGACTCCGGTTTGATCAATGCGGCCAGTGGATGCCAGATATGACACACAGCTAGCAGCATCTGCCGTGTCAATAAGTCCTAATGGTATTTGATCAGTATTCGAAAGGAATCGAACAGTCTGTTCTGGGAGGAGTGCAGTTCTCACCCCATTTGCCATTCAAAATATCCCGGTATGCTCTCCCGTACCCCGAGCTACCTCCGTAATTTACCCAAACAACAGCATAGCCCCGAGAAGTCCAGTATTGATCTGTAGTATTCAGACCGGTTCCAGTTTGAGACGTTGGTCCGCCATGGACACAAACGATCAAAGGTGGCAGTGCTCCGGATGGTGGCTGATAATCTGGGTTCTGGGGTGGGTAGAAGATGGCATGTGCCATCCCTTCCAAGTTCTCGCCATGAACTCTTGGGAAAGATATATGCTCCGGCTTGGATACAAGAGAAGTTGGCATGGGGAAGTCGGAAGCTGCCTTGAGTGCATTGATATTGAGGGTGTCGGTGTCCAATGTAAAAACAGTGTTGAAGCTTGTCTCACTGGAACCAAGAAGCGCTATCTTTGTGTCTGAGAGGGGAGTATCTGCTAGAATAATCGTGTCTGTCACTGGCACATTGAGGTCTCGCCAGGAGTCGTTTGACAGATCTATCATTATGAAGCTCCATCGAGCATTCTTTGTGTACGACGCGATCATCGAAGTCGGACTCAGACAAATGTATGTGCAGCTGGTAAAGGAAAGCGTGGGTCAGCTATCAAATCAACAGTCGATCTCTCAAGTCAAAATCGAACGTACTTCCCTAGACGCCAGTCTGGCTGCGAAAAGTCCACTTCTTCTAAGCCACGCAGGGCTATCCGTTCGCATTCCAAGGTATCAACTCGAGTCCGATAGAGCTGCCAATACCCCGAACAATCGCTAGTGAAGTACAATGTATTATCGAGGCCCCATCGTGGCTGGCTAACACTTTCTTTCTTGGGTACGCCCGAGACAAGGTGGACATCTGTGATCTCGCCATTATTCCATTTAGCCACATACAGACGGGCTCCTGTCCATGGCATATCTGGATGAGACCACTGAGTCCAGCATATTCTGCTGCCATTGGGGGAGAACTGAGCAGCACTGTAGAAATCATCACCGGAGGCGACGTTGACTATGTCTCCGGATTGTATGTTTACCGCCACGAGTCGGTTCCGAACTTCCGATGGCAAGGGCTTGGAGTGGTCTTCTTCGATCGCCAAAATCCATCCTGAATGTGCGTGACTATTAGACAAAGAGCCCATAACGGAAGTGCTCGCATAGCGGATAGCAGTGTCTGTCGTGGTGATCCGCTCTACATGACCCGTGGAGGGATCCAGTTTATGCAGATCCTGTGTCTCCCGATCAGAAAAGATGATATGCCCATCAAAAGCAATCATCGATGCGCCGCCATATTCATGAACTTTGGTGCGAGCGTCATACCTAGTAGACCCTTATTAGAAGTGGGTTCATACATGGCTAGATCTCAGGTATGTACTTGACCGGTAAGATATCACGTCCGTCACGACCGGAGTACTCAACAACGCAGCCTCGTCCCTGCTCTTTAGGTCGACCCTCGATGACATAAATCTTTCCGTTCGATACCTAGAAAGGTCACTCAACATTGCACTATGGGCAGTCTTCGTATTCTTTGAACATACTGCAATGGATTCGAACTGCACACCATCAGCACCAAGCAAAGTGGAGCTGATCGGGCTCTTCCATTGACCGAATGGGGCTGTAATAGGTGACATTATGGTTGTAGCAATAGCTCGATTATCTGTCAAGTTGATACTCCTGTTGAAAAAGTGGTTTGGTATGGGCGTTGGCGTTGGGCGAATGAAAAAAAATCTACCCCGCAGAGACCACAACCTGGAGGCTGACCAGTTGTCAGCTGAACCTTTGGTATCTCGACCCAGATTTGATTGAGATGCCTAGGTATCGATATAAAAGTGATCAATTGACTAACCTCTCATCGGCATCTCGAATATCTCGAAAATCCCTTTGGATGCATTCGTGTCTTTTCTATACCGTTTTACTGGTCTTTCTTGACCCCTAGAAACGATTTGTTGAATACCTTGTTCCAGTCTCTCTGATGGAAATCCTGATCACCTAGGTAGTCATTCACAAATAACGGAGGAATTACATGTCTTGATTTCTCTCCATTCTCCAATACTGCTTGCTGCCTGAGGCCTTACAAGCCCCCTCTGCCTTATCAGCTTATCGCATTTTCCACTTCCAACGCGAGACGCGGTTGAAAATACATTTCGCAATTCCATTTGATCCAGCGCTGAAGCCATGAGCAAACTCGATGTTACATAATGCTACCATGATGTCCACGCCTTCGTCTTCCACGCGTGGTCCCCCGACCTCCCCGCAGGTTACGGCCTCGGTCGTGAAGTTTCGCTGCCTGTACACTCACGATCTACGCCGTAAGTCCAAACGATGGCACGATGGCTACCTTCGATATCATAAATTCAACAAGCGTGTCATGGTCTACGATGACCAGGGAAACTTTATTGGTGACCACCACTGGCGATCTCCGGATGAAGTACAGGATGGTGACGAGATGGAGCTGGACAAAGGGGTTCTAATTGAGGTGACCGAGAACATGGGCACAACAGAGACGGATATCACAACCCTTTACGAAAAAAGGATATCTAGTCAGGGCTCACCGCAGACTAAAGCCCCGGTGTCCCAAGTCCCTCGCACCTCTACCCAGACCTCGACCCAAACCTCTGCACCTATTCGTTCATCCGGTTCGTCCCAGTCATTCCGTTCACTTAACGATCTGCTAGGGATCAAAAGGACTCCAATCGGGCATTTGGTACCTCCATATGAGGAACGACGTCCTTCGAGACCTACATCCAGCGTTCAGGCGTCTGCACCAGCACCGAAGCGACAGAAGACATCATCGGTAATGAATCTAAGCCTTGAGCAAGGCTCGAGTGCCCAGAGTGAGGTCATTGATTTGACCGATTCAGCTGATTCAAATGAGAGACCCTTCGCGAGGCAGATGCTAAATCAAATAGCAAAGGAACTACCTAGACCCGGGGGTGATTCTACTTATGCACCCCTGGTAAATCGTGAGCAGACGTCGATAGTTCAGTCAAAACAAACTCAGCCACTGAGACACAATCCTCCATTCTCAACGGCCCCCGCTCCAAGTTCATCTGAACCAACACTTGACAAGGCAGTCTGTACAGCCATCAAGGGTGTCCAATCTGAAAGGTCCCGGCGCAATGAATCAACAAATGCACTGCCCTCTATCCAACCGTCAAAACCCCCCGGCCCCTCGTCGAAAGGCCCTCTTCCCATCCCCCCCAGGAACACAAAAAGCGAGGCCTCAACAGAATTTGCACATGGAGCAGCCATCAATCACCCGTGCAAATCAAGCAAAAGCCGTGTCACGCCTGACCCCACCACACAAGTCTGACCCTCCGAGGATCTCAAGAGGCTCCTCCCCAGGTGCACCTAGACAGCTGTCTGCTGGCCCATCTATACCGCAGGCGCCAGTACGTGCAGTCACCAATTATGTTAAACCTATTGAACCTGCGAACAATCAGGCTCCAACGAACGTTCCACCTCCAACGCATTATTCATCTCCAGCCAATATTCCACCTCCAGCCAACAACTCACCTTCAACGAACATGCCACCTCCATCGCATCCACCTTCGGTAATACGATCTGGGGCACCTATATCGTCTTTACGCATGGGAACCGGGAAGCCACGCAGAAAATTGATGTACAGTGCTTTACTGCCCGGTGCTTCACGAACTCCATCTCCGGCGACCTCAGACACACTTCCTACGAGTGCACGCCGTGAGCCGGCCACAGAATCCCTGGAACAATAGTTAGTATGTACCTACCCTTCAACTGGGATCGTGATATTGATTTATGTGTAGCCTGGCTGCCGCACCAGGTGATTCCTCAAGACCAAACGAAGAGTTTTTGCCCTCAACCTCGACTCAATTTATCTTTGACGAGATGATAGATGGATCAGGCTTCAAATCCCCGTCCACTATCAAAAGGCTCGCCGGGAAAAGGTCTATCGATTCACCGTTGCGCAAATCAATTTCAGATCCAACCGCATTAACTGCCCGCCGGGTCAGAGCAGGAGTATCATTCCATGCAGCTAACATGGAAGACCAGCCCAAAGAGCAGGGCCCATGGACGTCCGAGGCATTAGACTTGTTTGACTTCTGGCCTGTTGGACGATCCAAGCCGCCAAACAACTGAAATACTGTGGTCCGGTCCAAGCGAAGAAAAACAAGCAGGCTCCAAATCATTGACCGATACGATGGGCAAGCCCCTTCCAAACTACTTCCAAGGCTCTTGTACAATAAGCTCTATGGCCCCATGAAACGCAACCGCGAGGTCGCGGAAATACCACTCGTCGACTATGCTGATCTCAAAGCCAAGGCAGTGAGTAGGTGTCTTTATTATTCCTGTGAGAGACACAGACAGATCTCCGACAGATCTCCAATATCCAATTCAAAATTGCACACATTGCGAAAATACGGCTTGCAATTCCTGTCGTGGAAAACCAAACATTCATACCCCGGGTTCCGCTTCTCTTCCTGATATGTTAGGACTTACGTTGAATTTGAAGGAGACCCAGAACAATGCTTGAAGACATCAATGAAACGAGCGGAAGTTCAACACAAACAAACAACCAAAGATACCCATTTGAATTGATAATAAGTACATATTCATCCACTCATCCTATAAACAATCCACTCACAACAGTATCAAATAAACTCCTAAATCCCCTTCTTAACCAAAACCCCAGAGATATAAGGCATAGCCGACCACTCAAAAGCCCTCTCCAACTCAACACTCTCCCATCCCCCATCCACGTCAGCAGCAGCCCTCAAAACCGCCTCTGTATCCCTATCCAAGCAACAGTCCCCGATGAACCAACTCCACCCAAGAGCCTGATAGATACCCTGCACAACACGGGCTACAATCGACCCTTTCGCCCGCCGCCACGGGTTAACAACATGCTCCGTAACAAGCAGCCGCCCACCAGGCTTGAGCATCCCATACAACTCGCCGACCGTGCGTTCCATCTCCGGCACAGAGCACAGCACTCGCACACAGAGGATCGTGTCGAAGATGCCTGCGCGCGCGTCGGAATCATACGCATCCAAAACGCCCGTGCCCGTCGCTCTCAATGCGGGAATTAGTTCACTAGCTGCTACTCCTGTCGGCACGATGTGGTAATTGGAAGAGATGTTTTCTGCCACTGCCTTTTCACGGATCGAGGAATGTAGGCTTTCGCATGGCTCCGCGCCGTATAGGGCTCTTATTGCTGGTGAGGTGAGTAGTGGCATCTGTGTGCCTGTGCCTGGTCCGATGTCCAGGACTATCCCTGAGGCTGTGCGGAGAAGTGGAGGGATTAAAGCTGACGAGCCGACTGGCTCGGGGACTTCTGTATTGTTCGGGTCGGATGACATTTGGCGGGGTGCTGTGGTGATAATTTGATTAGGATTCATGTTTTTCTTTGCTTTATCTTGATTTCGATAGGAATCTCAATAGAGCGCTCTCCTTTCTCACTGGTTATGTAGAACAGCCAATAGATATGGTTTCCACTCTAGGTTTGCTGATAATAAATGTGAGGGCTGGTGGGTAATACTCACAGGTGAAATCAATCCAGAATCTTCCGAATGCTTCATCGCGCAGTCTCCTGGTCTGGGTAATTGGGGCAAAGAGGTGGCCATTCTTGAAGACAGCTTCGGTGCAGACTCGGACGTAGTCTGTGGTATTGCAGTTAGTGAGTTGCCAAATTGGATCTAGAAGATGAGAAATTGGTGCTGATGTGACTCGATGACCGACAGAATACAGAGACCGTTCAGTGAAAAGACACAAGAGAAAAGAACTATTGATACAACATAGAGACAATACAAGAAAGTGAAACCACGTCCACCGGCATCAAATCTCATATATTGAGATTGAAGCCATACGGTGTCTGTTCGGTGATTGTTCGGGGTCTGTACTTACGGGACATCGCCCAGGCCATGATCTGTGCGGGCTCTAACATTGCAAGCATTCGCCCGACAAACGGTGGAGGGCCTTCGGTAGACATGGTGGTTCGAAGATGTTCGAGATTCGATATGACCAACGCCAATGAATGCTGAGAGGAGACCGGTGGAGATTTATATACTTGGGGCGCAGATTATATATCACGTGACCTGAAGCCCTGCCCTTGCAGGAACTTCGGCGTTTGAAACGCCACATCCTTCTATGACCGAAAATCAATGGACAATAACTCGGCTTACAGATCGAAAGTAATCAGACGTGTTCCAACAAATTCCAACGAGTTGAACATAGACTAATATCTAGCATCCTGGTCTGGTGCAAAATGCACAAATACTCAATAGATGGTTTCACCGGAAGAAAGAGCGGAGCCTATCAGTACAAAGACGACGGCATGTAGTGGTCACAGAAATTATCAACATAAAAGGAGAATATAGGAAAAGAGCAGAGTCAGATTGGAGACACGTTTCCAGCAGGGCGCCAACTGAATTATTGAATGAAGGACAGAGACAGTAGGAGAGTTGAGATCTGTAGAGAGTAAAGAAAGAAAAAGATCGTAGGTGAAGACAAGGCGAATGAAGTTGGGGTGAAACTATTCAAGAAGTTTCAGAGCCCAAAGCTTTATCACCAAATGATTCCAGTTGAGTTTCGGTGTTTGGTGTATGAGGAATTCCACGCTCGTGCGGAAGAGGTTAAGGTGAAAACACTATTAGAAGGATTGCTGGTTGGACAAGAAACAGAAGAAAAGGAGACTCGTCGTCATTATCTTTGTAGGTGACTGGAGCCTGGGTTGAGGACCTGCCCACAAACCCTACGAACAAATGCCAATCTCATAGCACGATGTTCAGTGACGGTGGGGTGAGTGGATACGGTTGATCCTCGGGCTGTACCGACTGGTGCGAGAAAGAGAGCCAACATCGTGCTTGCCGTCGCAACAAGCGCGGACATTTTCGAGTCGGTCTTGTTCCTGCGCTTCGACCACCTGTCTCAGATCATCGGCACTTTCTTGCCCATGAAGACTTTCATTGTGGATACTAGGAGATTGACCTGGCCGTCCCTTCAAACTTGCGATGGACCCCCGAATCGAACTGGAGATGGTGCTGAGTCGTGACGAAGAACGTTGGCGATCATCAGGAACTTGCAATGATGAGTTTGGGTTTGGGACAGGTGAGCTGAGGGCTGGTGATGCGCGCCCGCCGAGAGTCCCAGAAGATCGCATGGACATCGCCGAGGCCGCTCGCCGCTGTTGCTTGTGTGCATTACGAGCGGTGCGGCTATTGTAAGACGAGAACGACATTCGTGCTGTCTGGCGAGAGCTAGATCGGAAGCTAGGGGGGTTGAACTCGTTGATATCGTCGAGGGTTACGCTGTTATTGTCCTCACAGTTTTCGTTGGTCTCTCTTAGAAGGAGGTAAGACAACGCGTTGAACCATGTTTCGTGCCTCTGGCTCGTCGTAGCCGTAAACCGGACTCGTCGACCAGGACTGACAACCTCCAAGCTCCTGCAGTGAAGACCCGGAGGATACGGGTTGTCATCGGCAACCACTCGAACAGCCTCGATAGGCACACTCTTGGTACGGAGCTCACTCTTTCCGGCAGTTTGTGGGTCTTGGGTACTCCAGTACAGAGTACGGGTGTACGGGTGAACCCAGAAGTATCGTCGGTGACGTGTTGTTGACATATCCGATGATCCTGTCTTGCGGGTGTATTTCCAAAGGAATTCACCAATCATAGTTTGGGTAATCGCCTGGATCATGCGTGGGTCCGTATTAGGTCCATAGCCCTGAGGCATGGCGCCAGCATGAGGTGCCATATTGAAACGCTCCTCGATCTCAGATGCAAAAGACGAAACTGAGGATCGTCGAGACATCTGGCTTTGACTTCCTCTTCTCATTCTGGCCTGAGATGAACCAGTTCTTGAAGAGCTAGCGCGCGCAGCCTGTTCGCTTGGCGTAAGTGGGCGCTGGGAGTTCATGCGGTACGCCGATGCTGGTGCCAAAGGAGGCCCCATGACAGAGGTAGGAGATGGCGGAGCGATGTCGATAGACCTCTTCTCTGCTGCCATGATAGCTTCCCGGTGATCGAAGGGCAGTGGGGGGTGACTCGCACCAGATGTCTGACTGGCGGCACTGGTAGGCCGGCGGTGAGTTGGCGTTGTCGACTTCACAGACTGAATTTGCGAAAGGCGAGGTCGTGTCGGAGCCTTGGGGGTCACGTAAGGGGCTGTGGCAATCTCTCGTGAGTTGTCCGTCACCTGGCTGTCAGAAGAAAGCGGGCGTGTGGACACGCGATCCATGAGGATTTGATCTATCTGCTTAGAGGACAGGATTGTCTGGGATCCTTGGTCCATGCTTACTGAACTGGATTGTTGTCTAGCAGAGCGAGTAAGGGCGTTGCCAGAAATATCGTTCAAGGCAAGTCCAGCACCAACAAGCTGATCACTGTTGCCTGTGCTCGTACGGCTGCGAGCAGCGCCAGTTGGCTGGTCTTCGTGGATAATGACAGCTGCCTCTGAAGCGTTTGACTCTGTCGACTCAGTTTGAGTAGAGAAGTCTGCCACCCCGGGGATGACAAATGGCATATATTTCACTGGATGAGTTTCCACAGAGTGCACAGAGGAGAATGACAATGCCGGCGTAGGAGCAAGGCGAGGTCTTGGAATAATAGGCTCCGTGTATGCTGGATCGAGGGAGGAGATTGTCAAGACCGGTGCCTCACGCTCACGTTCTACGTGTTTGATAACATCGACGTATTGAATGACAGGTGGTTCGGGCTCAGGAACAGTTGCTTTGACTGGCGCGGTGGATTGAGTAGTGATCGAAGAGAATGTCAATTCGGGCACCTCGCGCTCACGCTCGACGTGCTTAATAACATCAACGTATTGAATCACAGGCTCCTGCACTGCAAGGGTTGCGTGGACAGGGGCAGTGGACTGGTTGCTAATGGAAGAGAACGCCAAGTCTGGCACCTCGCGCTCGCGCTCAACGTGCTTGATGACGTCCACGTATTCGATAATCGGCTTTGCTTTAGCAAAAGTTGCGTCTATGGGCGCAGTGGATTGAGTAGCGATAGAAGAGAAGCTTGGATCTGGAACTTCACGCTCACGTTCAATGTGCTTGATGACATCAACGTATTGAATGACAGGCGGCAGCGGTTCAGGAGCAGTTGCTTTCACCGGCTCAGTGGTTTGGGTGGTGATAGGGGAGAAGCTCAATTCGGGTACCTCAGGCTCGCGTTCGACGTGCTTGATCACATCGACGTACTTAATAATAGGCTCCGGCACAGCAAGCGTTGCCTGGACAGGAACAGTGGATTGATTATTGATGGAAGAGAATGTCAACTCGGGGTTCTCGCGCTCACGTTCGACAAGTTTGATCACGTCGACGTATTTAATGACGGGTTCTGGTTCAGGCACAGTTGCCTGGATTGCCTTGACAGGTGTTGTCGACTGAGCGGCAACAGACGAGAAGCCTAACTTAGGTACTTCTCGCTCACGCTCAACGTGCTTAATGACATCAACGTATTGAATGACAGGTGGCAGCGGTTCAGGAACAATTGCTTTGATTGGCTCAGTGGTTTGAGTGGTGATAGAAGAAAAGGTCAATTCCGGCACCTCAGGCTCGCGTTCGACATGCTTGATCACATCAACGTACTTAACGATAGGCTCAGGCACAGCAAGTTTTGCATGGACAGGAGAGGTTGATTGGGTTGTGATGGAGGAGAAGGTCAGCTCGGGCACCTCCGGCTCTCGTTCCACGTATTTGATCACATCAACATGCTTGATGATTGGCTCAGGAACCACAACCGTTGGTTGAATGGGACTTGTAGTTTGTGATGAAATTGAAGATATCGTCATTTCCGGCACTTCCGGTGCGGGTAGCTGATGCTTGACAGGTGAAGTGATACCCCCGGTGATGTATGAGATGCTCAGATCAGGCCGTTGAGGGGCAGAAGGCGAGGTCTCTTGGGAAGAAACGGCGGCTATTCCCATCTCTGGGTTAACCAAGTGAGGAATTTCCTTCGTTCCCTCATCGATCTCCCGGTCTGCTGTTTGACTTGGCCGAGTTGCGGCGATACCAGCAGCTCCAGCAACAATGCCAGCACTAATGGAAGACATGTGCTCCCAAGGCTCAGTCATAACACCAGAATCGACCATTGCGGGCTTAGGTGGTGCATCCAGCATTGCATCCGAGGGTCTTCGTGAATCCGATGCAGGCTCCATGCGTGGTGTCGAAGCCTGGGAGGTCACTTCGTCGTCCTCATTGCTATCGAAATCTCCAAGTTCGGCAAAGAGGCTCTGGCCTTCTTGCGCTGCAGGCGCTGGTGCAAAGCTGGGTGCTACAGATGCGCGGGAACTCGAAGGTCGACTGGTTGATGCAAATGTGGCCTCTCCAGATGGACGAATGCGTCTCGAAATGCTGCGTTTAGACCTGACACGGGGTCGGGAGACGTGCATTTGACTCGGAGAGCCAAATGCTCCGTCGTATTCTTCTTCGTCGGAGGACGCAGAGGCCGTGCTGTGATATGAGCTGCGATCGCGAGCTTTGGCCATTATCAAGGAGGAAGGGACTTGGCTGCGAGGAGTTGTCTGTACGTTGTGTTCCGTCTCGGTAAGTTCTGCCGAATCGCTGCTGTCATCGGCCATGCTTTCTACACCGGTTTGGAACGCTTCGCTCTCAGTTGCGGTTGCCCGCTCGTTGGCTGTTTCAAATCCATCTTCCGCCTCGGTAGCTGTCTGATAGATGTCGCTAGGTCCATCAGGAGACTCCGAGCGAGGGCGGTCCTTGGTGGATACTGCCTTGGTGTAGGTTTGGGTAGGACTGATTTGACCGGCATTGTCTTCCCAATCTGTGTCATGAAGCTCAACAAATGATTTCTCCTTGCGGCCGGCGCCTAGAAGATCTGGGCGGGGGGCCTTTCGGGACGCATCCTGCTTTGTCTTTTGGCGTTTGCTAGCTCCGTTTGGCACAGTGCTGTCACGGCGCCGTTGCTCAACTTCATCCCGGGCATCTTGCAACATGCGCTTAAGCTCAATCTTTTCGGTCTTCTCACGGTGAATTGTGCTCTTGAGGTTCTGGATCATGCGATGAGCATGGCCCAGCGAGCTCTTCAAGGTTTCCGATTCAAGATGGCCATGTCGAGGAGTGAACTTGTTGGGGGATTGTGGCGGAGAACTCTCAGGTGTGATATGCTCTGGCTCATCACCCTCATTGTCGTACGGAACATCCCTCGAGCTTTGGTTTTCATGCTCCCGGAGCCTCATGGCAACTGCCTTGGCAAGCTCTTGGTTTTGAGAAGTCATCTCCATCAGCTTCTTTTGGAGCGCGGACTTTTCCGCTTCACCGGAAGTCAGATTCCGCCGCAAAAGGTGAATTTCGGCATCATTTGCCTTCTGCATAAGACTCTGGTCCTCAAGTAACCTCGTATTGGCTTGCCTCAGCTCCTCCAGCTCTCGTTCCACGGCGTTCTTTTCCGCATTAGACAATGTTATAGTACTGTTGAGCCGTTGTTCACGTTCCGCGGCATCCCTCGCAGCTGCCATCAACTCATGTGCTTGAGTCTCTAGCGCCCAGTTTTCGTCCTTGTAGCGTTGCTCACTGTCATCGAGCGCTCGGATCCTTTGTCCATACCCCTCTGCCTCCAACTCAAGTCGCGATTTTTCCAGGTTAACAAACTTGAGTGTCTCATCTCGTTCTGCGAGAAGAGCTTGCAGTTGGCGGACCTGGGCCAAAAGTGAAGTGGAGATTTCAGTCGCAAATTCGATATCGTGGACACGGTTTGATGGTTGGTTGCGCTGTTTGCGAGATGGAACGCTGACTTTGCTAGGGGAATTTGTGGCCTGACTGGCAAACAAAGCGGGACTCAGGGGTGACTATCAAGATTTTATGTTAGTTCAGCTATAAATAAATCGGACCAAACTCAGATGTAAGACCCAGGCGGTACCTTTTGATCGAAAGATGGCGTCCCAAGCTGGGCATCATCCGCGCCTCCAGCAAGACGTTTGGGTGCTAAAAATGCACGTGCCGATTCACGGCCGATTTCATTGTACTCCTTCTCCAAATCCGCAAGTTTGCGTCGCAGATCTGGACCAATCTCTCCCTCATTTTGCTGCTGCTCGACCTCCTTCAACTGCTCGGATAGCTGCCGCTGCTGATCGATGAGGGCCGTTCCTAGCCTTGAAGCCTCCTCCAGTCGACGCTCTGTCTCCACCAAGTGGGCCTCGAGGGCCCGTTTTGCCTGTGCTGGTGAAGACGCATTCAAACTGTATAGCTGTGTGTCAAAGGACGAGTTTCGATGGGAGTCGCGAGACGCAGCTGGCCTTCCGGAGTTCGCAACAAAGGGGTCTTCCATGGATGCAAATGACCCGGTGGTCTCAGCGTTAGATGCGGTCATTATTTGGGAATCGGGAGCCTCAAACGGCGTCTGAATCCTCTTAATGACGAGGACACAGTTGCCGTTGAGATATCGTGCACTCGCGGGTTGATCTTCGCTCCAATTCTAGACTGCGGGCATCATCCGGATCACCGCACTCGGTCAAAAACTGTTGTCGCAGGATGCTTTCCGTTTGGATGTTTGCCGAGCCGACCAGCGACCAGACGTTGTTCGAGATTACCACACGCTGATATTGGTGATGGAATGGGGCGTGGAACACCGTTCAGAGATGTGGAAGGGAAGAGGGGGAAAGCCCACACGATTGAAAACAACAAACACCGAGGACCTTTGGACGAATCAGTGAGCTCCGGATGAGATTGGCCAGACAGGCGCGTAGGGATGCAACTAACCACAACAAAGTGCTCGGGATTGGTAGGAGATCGCAAGCTTTCGGCCTGAATAAACGAAGGACAAAAAGCACAATGTAAAAACGAAAGGACAGTTATTAAGAAAACAATGGGGGAAAAAAAAGAAAGGGAAAGGGAGCGTAGGGAGTGATTGGATAGGTCGAGTTTGGAGGACTCGGCGGGGGAGAAAAGGGAAGAGAACAAGAATGAACGTGCTGTTATTATTGCCAATTGGCGCCGGTGTTTGGGGTTCATGATCGATAATCACCCCATACGGGGGAGTCGGATCGTCGAATCTACGATATTGAGCTACAATATTTCCTCAGAATTGGAATCTTTAAATTTACTATAAAAGCGTATAGAGCATATCAAGAGCTGATTCGACAGGCTGCTGCTTGTATTTTGGCGATTTTCGCTATCAAACGCGTCCCAAAGTGAGGAGGCAGTTTGTCTTGTTTGCAATCATTTTGTCATCTGCTTAGTCATTTTCGAGGGTTCGATTTCCATTATTGGAGAAGTTCGGGCATCTTCCAAAGCTTATAAACTTGATATCTGACATACTTGCTCGGGCTTCTACGATTAAGACTAAGCTTGACCGATACCCAGCATACACAATATGACCGAAGAAAGCGAACTCGCAGACGCCGTGCCCCAAGTCGCTTTCAAGAAGCGCTCCAAGGGCAAAGCCAACTTTCGCAAGAAGCCCGCGACGCCACCTCCAGCTTCTGACTCCGACTCCGACTTTGTATCGTCCGATGATGATGAAGGGCGACGGATTAAGAGACGACGTAAGAATGCAGCTGTTACTGCATCCTCCACAGCAAATGCGACAAGGAAACATCGTGCAGAGGACGAGCCTGTAACCGCGGTTCCCGCTCCATTGACCTCGAGCAACGATGCTACAAAACGTTCCGACTGGTATGATGAGGACCTGAGTGAGAAGAACTTGATGGGCACAACCCGAGCAAATCCAAGCTCTACCTCGCAACCGGACGGAACCTACAAAGGCGCTGCCAACTATCAATCTTTCATTCAGAAAAACCCCGATGCACCAGGGAAATTCGGACCCGTCAAAGCCTCGACCAACGTTAGGACTATCACAGTGATGGATTATGCCCCCGATGTGTGCAAAGATTGGAAACAAACTGGCTACGTGAGTTCTGCCCCCGCTTCCATCTATCTATTATGAATAGTGGCTAACCCGTCTGAAATCAGTGTGGCTTTGGAGATAGTTGTAAATATCTCCATTCGCGTGAGGCGTACAAGGCAGGATGGGAGCTAGATCGCGACTGGGAAGTCAACACCAAGGGCAAGCAATTAAGCGGGCGAGTGGTTTCTCAGCGAAAGGGCGCGGGCAAACTCGAGGAAGACGATGAGGACGATGAGGATGAATTGCTAGAAAGCATCCCATTTGCCTGCCTCATCTGCAAGAAACCATATCAAGACCCTATCATCACCAAATGTGGGCATTATTTCTGTGAAGCCTGTGCCCTACAGCGGTACCGGAAAACCCCATCATGTGCTGCCTGCGGCGAGGGGACTGGGGGTGTCTTCAACGTTGCAAAGAAGTTGAATAACTTGCTGAACAAGAAGCGGGAACGTGCGCGGAAGATTCGAGAGGAGGCGATTGCAAATGGGGAGGAGGTTAGCGATGAAGAAGGGGATGAGAGTGATTAGCCGGGTCCGTGTACCATAATATAAACACAAGAAGCAGCTGGACTGCAACGCTTGTCCTGTGGCAAGGTATCAAAATTATCTACCCTCTCATTGTTGATTATCCCCATTAGTCTACGTTGACAGGAGTACTTCATATGCGTTTGAACGTAGGAGTAGGCAGTCCTGGGGATGCATTCAATAACAAATCAATTGACCCCGAGACCCTCGTAACAATATTCCAAAGATAATACGTATACCGTTTTTCAGGCCTGGTACTAGTTTATAGAAGTGGATGTTGGGTGTTGGGACACTATCGGTACTCCGTACAGTTTGCAAGAAACAATAACTTACACACCCCAAAATATATATCGATATTGCACGGAGTACAACCCGTGTATTTGATTCCAAATAATTGATCACCAGCTCTAATTAAGCTTATAAAGTCGGGATCGATGCCATCGATCATTTCTTTCAGGTTTGACCGGGCATATGCAGGTTCAAATTTGTCTGATATGGTGGCGTTACTATCGCGGAAATACTGTTCGCAGGCAACCATATTCTTGACGGTTTCTGCGCGGATAGGAACATTGTCTTACATGAATGTCTATTCCGGCCGATTCGAGGAATTGCAATCTCCAACTTCAAGATACCTCGCTAAAAGGTCGAGTACAGGTGTGGGACCAGCAAATAGTCTATTCTCGGGATGTACTCCGTACCATATACGTACCGTTTTAGGCTTCTGTCTCAAAGATAGGAGCCTGTCAGGAGCCCATTCACCGATTACCGAGACTTTGAGCGATGTACTCCTCCGTACTCCGTACAAAGTATACCAATCCGATAGTCAAAAAGCCAACATCCGCTAGCCCCGAGAGATCACCGAGATCTTCACTGGTCCAAACATCAAACGAATTAAGAAAATGGTACGTACTTGTCTCAACCACGTGGCAGGATTGCAGATATTCCAATTGATAATCCATTGTCATCCAACAAGGATATAGTACATTGTTTCAAGGGCAACCCTATTTCAAGATTGTTCAGGCGGTACATGGTAATCTAAACGTGGGCTTGGAGAAGAATGTCTCGCTTGGATGTTCCCCGCTTGAGTAAATTAGGTGTCGCTCCCCGCCTAAGGAGTACAAATTGGCCCCTATCAATATAGCGCAACGCGACTACCGACTTGCATTCTCACGAACCTAACTGCTCCCGAGAGATTGACATATTTCCTTGTCCATGTTTCTAACATTGTACTTTTATGATATCGCATCTCTGCTCTCATAGGCCCACAGACGTCAGTACAATACTGCAATGCCGCTGATAGGCCAATCTGTGACCTGATTCTGCCACACCCACACGCCGCCATCAAATCGCCCACATGTCCCCGAACCTTTAAAGGGTCCGATTCAGCTATGGAATACCAAGGAACGCAAAACGTGTCCGTTCCATGTCTTCGTAAGTAGGCTGTGTATCGAAAGAGTTCAATTACAGCCACGAAGGCTCCAACCAATGACACAGCCCCACTGTAATACGAGCCTATATAACGTATTGCGCGTTACAATCACCACAGGATCGCTCCAAGAAAGCTTTTTAGATTGGCAGTTCCAAACCTTCGCGCCTGTATTCCATGGTACTGAAAAAAACAAAACGTGTGTGTCGCCTCAATGGATTTCAGAGAGCTCTGCGATTGGTTCAATAATGACGTTGCCTAGGTCTGACTACGTAGGTACGTATGTAAAACTCGTGCGAATGGGGTCCATTCCTTTAACGTTAAGCCTTTCTCCCGTTCGTCCATGGCTCAAGCGTACATTCTAATATTCTACGCTGAGAAGGGTAAGCGTACCCCAGAGCCAAGCTTTGCCACGTCTTGGAACTAAAGGGTCCAAAACTCCAACCCATGTCATGCCAGGACCAGTATGTGATACATAGTAAACATAATAAAATATATATCGAAGTAGAATCTACGTGATAATTTCCCATCGTAAATGAAATCTTTAATTTGAACATGCGGGAGCGAATGCAGAGTCGAGTGGAGACTAGTAGAAATCATAGACCACGTGCTTGTATTCGAATCCTTCCACCATACGGCAGGAGATTAAGCTTTATTTTTTCACGAATCAGCGATTTCCATGTTCCGGCTATTAGAGAAGAAAAGAAGAGACGTTTTATAAACACTAGAACAGTTAAAGTGATACATGGTCTTAGAATGACATGGTATAACGGCGGTTCATTGAAATCTCAACACGTAATACCCATATGGAGTACTCCGTAGTGGAACTCTAAGGAACTCTGGTACGGCAATTTGAGGCTATAGACCCCCTGTTTAAAGATGGACTCCCCTGAGCTAACGCCTCACAGTGGCCAATAATGATATGAGCATGACATTTGAAAGTTCGGGGTGCGAGTCCACTATAGAAGCTCCCCTCTGCTCTTGGATTGGACTTTATCACCAGTACATTATCTCCCTACTCTGATTTCCCCTTCAATTATTATTTCAACCTTCGACTGTCCATTCTGTATCTTGTCTGGTTTCCTGAACTTGCTATCAGCGCTGTTGCGACTTAGGAATTTGTCGTCAGGGATCTTGCTACTTGGAATCAAGTTTGCCCTTCTATTTCACACCATTATACATCAGAAACAGTATATCCCAATGGCTTATTGTTGAACCCACTACCTTGATATCACTCCTACGGGTTTCTCTCCACGGAGTCCCCCGGAGATCTCTCCTGTGAATTCAGAATGAAGGGTGGACTCCGTATCGCAGGGTTTGGCGTCTTGTGCCTCGTTTTATTCTCACTATATTTACTGGAGGCGCACCTACAAGACATCTGCGATCAATATAGCGCCGGCTCATATGTGATCAATTGGCTAGATCGCAATGATACCGCCCCAAGTCCACACGGCAAGATCATACCGGGTGATAAGGTGATTGTCATGGCCAAGCTGCAAGAAGAGCCTACCAAATGGGTGGAAGAAGAGCTTCCCGAGTAAGTGATTGTTTGCTTTTCAACACTCCGCTGAAGTCGCACGACTGATTGGCTTTCTCTCTACACAGCTGGCAACGAGCAATCTACACTGTCAATCCCTCCCCCGAGACACGACTCAACGGCAGCGCCCTTACGACCCCATTGAACAAAGGCCACGAGTCCATGGCCTACTTCACGTACATAATTGATCACTACGACAAGCTTCCTTCTACCGTTGTCTTCCTCCACGCTCACCGCGCAGGCTTCCTCATGGCCTGGCATGTTGATGCGCCACTTCATGACAATGTCATAGCTATGCGCAATTTAAGACTCGATTTCGTTCAGCAGAATGGCTATGTGAATCTTCGCTGCAATTGGAATCCGGGCTGCAAGAGCTCCCACCGCTTCAATAGTCATGTCACCGACGAAATCTGGTCGGATATCTTCGACGGGACGAGTACGCCTTCGTTGAATATGTCCTCGCCTACGGAGCAGGAGGTTGCGGGCATGAATTATCTTCGCAAGCCTGCCGAGATTGGCGCCGCATGCTGCGCTCAATTTGCTATCTCGCGCGATCAGATTCGGAAGCGTCCGTTGGAGGATTATGTCAAGTTTCGGCAATGGGTTATCGATACGGAACTTGGAGACGCATCGTCGGGGAGGGTTATGGAGTTCTTGTGGCATATTATCTTTGGTATGAAAGGGGTATAGTAAGTTATGGTCAGTGACATTTCGTTGTATTCTTGAACTGACGGTCTTTCGCAGTTGTCCTGATGAAGAATTATGTTATTGTCAAGTTTATGGGCAGTGTTGAATCTGCTCTCAGCTTGAGTATTCATTGCCCGATTCAGCGTCATCTCCCAGGCTGATATTGACATATCGTGGGACATGTGGCGTTATTCGCCCCCTTACACAGACTTTTCCGTCATTATGTGCAAATGATTTCATTGCGTGAGTACAAAAACCCAACCGTACAGCACCTACGTACTTGGAGTTTGGGCAACTATTTCGTTGCATCGGAGTTTTCAAGGGACGTTTTCTTGCTATTCATAAATTCGTTGCGTTCAAGCGAGTTGAGGACAGTGGCTCGTGAACATATTTCGTCACTTTTATCGATTGACATCTGAACATATAGAGTACATGAAATGTTTATTCTTACCATTTGATTTCTCACTTTTCAAGCATATATCTCAGAAAACTCACATCTTTATATGTTCGACCTCCACTATCAAACATGACTCCGTGCTTTACCTATGAAGTAACCTTCAAGTGGCCAAAATATCTTATCATTCAAAATATAAGTTTCTTGATTCTATAAATAACGCCATACAATCTCAAGACAGGCACTAATTACCAGAGATAGTTCGGATACACTGTTTTAGATATTCACCTATCCTCTGCACGTCACCAAGACAAGCAACAGTTCCAACGTACCCATCAGGCCTGACCACCACCAATGCGCCCTGTGTCGGGCTCACACCATAGATACAATACGCATCATCTAAAGCTGACCCATCATAGAAGCGCATCTCAGCCTGTTGCTTCACGCACGTCGGCACGTCATTCCACTCAAAAGACCGATGCAGTTGGGGATGCAGAATAATCTGCTCGATAGTCGACTTGGGGAACTGCGCTTCGAGTAAAGTGATTGCTTCCAGTGCTTGCACTGAGTCACTGTTCTGATCGAGAAGGTCGGTGGATGTCAGACATAAAATGCGGAAGCGGCCAGTCGAAGGTATGTCTATGGAGTTACTTGGTCAGATATCATGTTCGCACCCAAATCCTTCTTCTCGCTTGACCTACCGTCATGAATATCCCGCTGCCACCCATCAGCGTGTCGCAGCAATCGTACATTGAGTAATCTCCGACCTGGTCTCAGGATTCCGGATATGTAGTCCGTTCCTGTGACAGGGTTTGAATTCTTGCTTTTGATATGATTGTGCAAACCGTCTCTGATGACTAGCATGTTTTCTGGGTACTCCACACCACAGCCGCTGGTAAAGCCATTGCCGAGCTCGAAGGCCTGTTGGAACTCTTCTTGTGTCAGTCCTTCAGTTGCGCCCATCTGGCCTGAGAACATGGTAGAGAATTTCCGGTCGAAGTCGATGAGCTGCTCGGCTATTTCGTGACGTTCTGTCTGGTATGTGCTGAGTAACGGGGCTGGGCTGTTGGAATCTGTTGGTTCTGGTACAAGCCCATTGATGTGATACATGAGTTTCCAGGCTAAATTGTAGGAGTCCATCATTGAAACATTCATGCCTTGGCCAGCCTTTTCGGGTTTGAGTTAGCCATGTCCTCGAGAGAGTAGTTTCTGTGAAGACTTACTTTCGGGCTATGTGTATGGCAGGCTATATATGTATTCGTGTTAGTTGGATACCGTGCAGTCCTTTTCACAGCGAGCTTACCGTCCCCAACAATGAAAACCCTCGCCACTCCCTTTGAATCATTGACAATAAACTCAGGCGAGACACGCTGGCCAATTTGATAGGCAGCCCACCAGTCGATAGCATCCTCTTTGGGCCGAAGCGAGTATGGTTTGATTGCATCGGCAGCTTGTTTCAGAATCCCCTCAGGGGTAATCTTACTTCTCCGCTGCCGAGCATCTTCAGCCTTCACACCCTCTACTCCATTTGGCGTTTGATCACACTCCGGGGCCGCGACCTCAGGAACTTGAACATATAACCGAGTGAGGTATTCGCCCGTAGAAATCCTCTCTCTCGGGATAATCATAACGGACCCTGCAGGAGAATGAATAGCACAGCGGCGACGAATATCGGGGAAATCAGTCTCAGCAACCATATCAACCACACCCCAGATATGATCCAAAGACTCCCCTTCCAGCCGCAACCCCATACACTGTCGGACGACTGAATGCGCCCCATCCGCACCAACAAGATGCTTCGTGCGAACTGTCTTCTCGACACCATTTGTAGCCATAGTCACAATCACCGGGAACTCAGCATCACCTTCTTCGTCAATTTTGACTTCCACAACTTTTGTGTTTCGCACAATCCCCCGCTCGGAGTACCGCAGCAGGTCGGTCTCCATGATACGCTCGATCCGTCCCTGGTGGATGGTAGCCTCGTACCGGAACCGCGCTGGAGGAATAACTTCCGGCACAACGGATGTACGTTCGATTACTTTGTTTGGATCAAGGGACGGGTTCCAGAATGCAAATTGCCACATCTGGCACCCTTCGTTCTCGATCTCGGTTGAGATCCCGAGTGATTTGAAGACCTCGAGTGTGCGGGGCTGCACACCATCTGCTTGGCCAGATTTCAGTGTGCTTGGCTTGGCGTCGATACAGAGGAGGGATGTATCGCTAAGCCCATAGCGAGAGAGGAGGAGAGTCAGCATTAGGCCCGCGGGTCCGGCCTAGATGTTGATGTTAGAATTTCTTCTTGTTCGAAAGTTGAATACTGTGTTGGTATCGGGGGAATTGGAGGCCACATACGCCGACCACAACTGCTTCGTATTTATCTTTGTTTTGATCATTGCATTCGAATGGGGGTGCTAGTCGAGGTAGGGGTAGTGCAAACGATGGCAGGACTCTTAAGTCCCGAGATGAGTAGGAATATTCAGTGAAGACCGGCATTGCTGTTCTATGAGTTGGGAGCAGATCAATTGAGAATTTTGATAGCAGAAAGAAATAGCTAGCTATTCTTATAAACAGCTTCTAATCTGGGCTGGCTTTACGGGGTAGAGCTGCAAGTCCCCCGCCATTCTCTTCCGCGGGGGCAAACCGTTACACCCCAAGGATTTGTGATGATCAGCGAAGACTAGGCTTATTGTGGTTGAATGAAGGCTAACCTGTCTTCAAAATGTGTGCGGAAAAGAGGGTGAGGGTTCGGATATATATCTACGAGACATATCTTCACGTATAGAGTTCCAAAAAGGAAACAACCACCAGGATACTACAAATGAAATTAGATGTAGAGGATTGAAAGCTCAGACTGACCGAATCTTATCTTTCATTTACCGAGATAGATCATCTTCTCTCTATTTTGTCTAATTGTAACAGGCGTCCCACAATAGTGGAGTCTCACCCCGCAAGATATTGGGGGAGGAACAATCGGCTGTGGGCATCGGCATTCATCGCTAGAATCATTTGACTATATTGCGAGATCTCAGTGATCCGCATGAGATCTCGTATACAATGTAAATTTATCCATAAGCACCCTTGCCCTCATCTAGCACCGTAGAAAGAACATGCGCAAAAGCCTGTGAAATACCCCAACGTCCACCCCGCTGTAGTAGGTCAATCATCCCATATAATTGATCCAAATCTGTAAATACAGAGTACTCACTACTCTGCGTACTACCAGGACAGCATGCAGCCTCTGCAGCCCCTTCACCCAGCAAGTTGACCTCCGGCGACGTAAACGCCTCCGCACTTACAACATGTTTGGGCGCATATTGTGAAACACACAAGTATACCAGTGCTGCCGAGAATAGCGCACGAGGGACATGTAACGCTGGCTCGGCGGATATACTCATGCGCTCGAGATACCGGGCGATCAGTGATGCGTGCACGAGGCAGCGGCTTGCATCCACAGAAGAGGCCCATTCTCGTGCCGATCCCGATGCTTCCAGGGCCGGGGCCCGACCATCTCGCCCGACTGCTCGTTCTAGAAGGTCCATGTCTGCGTATAGCGATATGAAAATGGAATGCCACAACACGGGTAGACAAAACGGGTCTTGGCCTGTCGTATGGTATGTCTGCCACCACTGAATCAAGAGATTGGAGGTATCTTGACAGACTAGATGGTCGAACGCTTGCGACTTTTTGGCATCTATGAGACGAGCGCTGATTCCTTCAAGGATTCCATACGCAGTAAATCTAGAGTCTTGGCCTGTGACTGGGAATGGATTGGTAGAGAGTTGAGCTTTCAATTGATTTTCACTCTGGATTTGAATTGATTGCTTTAGAAGAACTTCCCATTTGGACGCAGTAGGAGCCGAGAACAATTCGTCAGATGCCAGATGGGGAAATTGGCGAAGTCGATGACTGCGAATCGGTTCGTGGTGATACAGAGCAGCAAGCTCGGCATCGTGGATATTCAATGCGGCTTGAACTCGGGCACGTTGTTCGCTATCAATCCATCGATGCCAACTTTGTTCAATATCTGCGCTGCTCAGAATATCTTGTGGTTGGCTGCAAAGAGCACCTAATCGATTTGCTTCGCGGGCCCATGAGGCAACTGTCCCGTGCAATACATCTGCCAGAACAAGGTACTTGGGCTTCCCAGCTAGAATAGCATAGGTTTGACCCAAAATAGCAGCCTGTACCATAGACAGGGCATCTGGTCGGCTTTCCGACAAGAAGGATTCCCATGATGCTAAAATCGCTTTATCCAGCCGCTCAAATATGCGTGATCCCTGAGCCAGTGCCCGAGAAGACCCGACAAATAAGCTGCCAATGGAGCAGATTGAGAGGAACAATAGAGAGTTTTCCACCGTTGGCCGAAATGAAGGAGCATGTATGACTGGTAATAAAGGATGAAACCGATGAAAGTATAATTTGGCAAAGAGGTTCAGTTGCTCTGAGGATGGTAGTACCTCATCCTCCATAGGTCGACGGAGCTTTTGGGATAGTCCAGCTCGGTAAGATTCATTTGCCTTCGTTTGTCCTGGCAAGTTTGCTCCTATGCCGGCAAATTCTCGATTTGGTTGGTTCTCATCAGATGGCGACATATGGGTGAACCATTTTCGCTTGACTGTGTCCCCAGCCATGTTTGAAGCTTCAATATCTTGAACAGCGCTTCGAACGGGGGTGAAAACATCATGCTCTCCAGTAGATAGACTCGCAACAGGAAACACATTCGGGATCTGCGCCCATTCGGATATCGTAGAGGTTATTGAGAAATCAAGCGCACTGACATCAAAATCGTCTTCAAGGAACCATGCTCCAGGTCCTGAACTGTGGGCTGATTCACCTACTCCACTTTGTGTAGATGCAGTGGGCTGTCCAAAATCGATAGTATTGATGTGAGGTATACTCATTTGACTCGCATTGACAGACAATTGTGGGGAAGCATGAGTTGCTGTATTAGAAGGTAGCCCCGAGAAAACTCTCAACGAATCAGCTGCAGATGGAGGTGTGAGCATCGCAGAACTGTCAGCGAATCCTCGTGGGGATACAGCTGTCAGGCTCTCCTGCACAATACTGTGGCTGCGCTCATGCCGACGCAGGACATCGCTAGCAATATTAATACAAGATCAAACTTGTCTGACCGTCTGGGAAATCTCGTACCTCCGCGAATATAGTTTTCCACAGACAGGGCATACAAAAGGCCTTTCTTTGGTGTGACCACGAATATGTCGAGTGAGATGCTCTTTCTTAGAGAATGTCTTGTTGCATGTATGGCATTTTCGATCATCTCATGAACGTGTCCTATCCATATCATCTGTGGGCTCGAAAATTGGCGGGGTGATTTGGTTGTACTATTGGAACACGGATCTGATCAGACGAAAGACATTGGTCCTACATGTGTCTGATAGAAACGCTCCGCAGAAAGATTCTATGTCAATCGTTCTTGCCAAGATTGTTTTTTCCCGCAGCAATATGCAAATAGGTGTTGAGGATCAAGTCTGGGGTTCCCCCACTTCCCCACATTTCAGCATAAAATGGCGGTTAGTCAGCCAGGGGGTTCTTCCAAAGTTCCACCACCAAGATTCCGACCTCCCAGCCAACGTGGGAGGGTTTCCGACCAAGCGCTGCCTATTACTGCCAAGGTACCACTTCAGATTCCTCAATGATGGAACCTGAGCCTTGAGTATTTCTTGAATAAAATATGTCCAATCTTCTCAAAGTTATCTCGTTGAGTAGCTGTAGCTTTTTAGATGCTGCTTGTCTAGACATTCCTTGCTAGCCTAGCTTTACAGTTGGAAGTATAACAAGAATTAGCCATACGGTATAGAGTAGAGGGTACAGGTATATAAACTGACTTTTCTCTGCGACATATGATATAACACATGCACAGAAAAGTAGGCTATAAATGATTTAGGCACCGGGAATCCATACAACATACTATTAAAAATTTGCTTGGGCACTCGATTCAAACCATCCAAGTTATATATAGAATTCCGATTCGAGTGTGTAAATGACTAATTCAATGCTATATGCAAAATCCGAGGAAACGAAATCCGAAAGCATTAATATTATTATTGTTGCCAAAGAACAATGATCTTAATATTGAACATTCTGGAATAAAACCGACTCGGCGAAGATACGTCGGTTCAGGTAGAAATACATCCTGGAACCTATGGCTAGTATAAGCAAATTTAGGAACTGAGAAGGCATGTATTCAACTGCTCCAATGAGGGATATTTACTCTCAAAATGTGAATTTCCTTTTCCGTCATTCGCTTCTAATGGTAAGGAGAATACATAGTCCGATGGATGAAATGAACTTATGAGAAAAAAAAAATAATCATACGAACAAAAGTGTGTAGAAAAGAAAATAGATCACGGCTAATAGATACCCAACGCATGGCTTACTCACCCGAGCAGGCTACCCACCCCTGTGATCGCATCTCCAATGTTGGGGAGATTATATGTTGGGGCAAACTTCTGATGTTGGTGATCAGCTCACGGAAACACGAGCCATCCGATTGGCCAGTACAACATACTGTAAAGCTGCCATTGGACTCTGGGTTCAAAATAAGGTGGGGACCGCAGCAAAGGAAGATTTGACCATTTTGAGAGTATATGAAAAGAGATCAAAAGAGACCGGGTGATTAAGCCTGCGTGCAGGAAAGGCTTGATAGGTAAGAAAATTGGTAGCAAAATCTCTAAGCATGAATTCCATTTTGAAGACAGGCGATTGACTGTTACCCGGCATAGGCGACCAGATCGGCCGGCGGCTTCCGGAATACACTCGGGAGCCTAATTGGGAGGTTCCGACATTGGGATATGACGCTACTGTACTCCGTTGACCCACTCAACTTGGGATCCCGAAAACTCTCGGCTTCCCGAGGAATGCCCCATCTTAGTAAAACGTCATATTATGTCTAGCTTGCCACTTTCGGGATAGGGCCCAAACAAAAGAACATAGAACAAAGTAGCAAGCACAGTATAACGTTTATGTGAATTATCGGTTTCGGAACTAACTTGTGAATGGAGTTTTCGGCAGGCTGTACCTAGCGCGGTTCCTATTATTTCTGTGTCACTTCTGTTCCCGGTTCTTCGCGGAACTGGGATTATTAATATGACCCCCAATTGCCTATTTAGCACGTGCGCGTTACAAATTCACCTGCTCTTAGGAATATATAACCGCATCCTGGCCTCCTGGAAACATTGAGTCTATCCCTCTCTAACTGCAACTATTCAATTTGCCATATTTTGTGCCATACAACTACGTTCAAGTCGCTAATAGCTCAAAATGTCATCTGAAGTTATCAATCAAGTTGCGATTCTTACGGCCAAACCGGAAAAGCGTGACGAGGTAAGTCAAGTCTTCAACTCCGGCTAACATACCCATGTCCCTTCGGGTCAAGGTTGCTGTTGTCATCAGGAGTACTTTTTCTTCCCCCAAACATAGACCTTTGAACTGACGAACTTTCGTCGCGTCCTACCTATAGCTCGTTACGAAATTAGCCTATATTACCCAGAAGGTTCAGGAGAACGAGCCTGAGACTATTTTATACTATGCTTACTCTATTGCGGATACAAATGAAGTCATAGTCGTTGAGAGGTGCGTCCACACGTTGTCATCTGTTTTCCCTTACCTATTGATGGTCTTTCTTTGACACACTTTTCCTCAGATATGTAAACCAGGACGCATTGGACAAACACCGTGCTGCACCATACTTTCAGGAGCTCATTAGGGACGCCCCAGCACTGTTGGCAAAACCCTTTGAGCTCAAGTCCGGCAGACACTTGCTACAAGACTCGGCACAAGTTATCCGCCTATGATTTGCAATGAGAGTATCTATTTCTTGTGACTCAGTGCCTTCACTTTCTTCACTTTTTGGAAACCTTGTGTCCTGTACGTAAGTATTCTGTATAACCTAACGCAATAAATTCGCCTCGTCGCAAACAGCGTCAGCCGGGTTTGAATGTAATTTTTGAGGTCAAGACATTGTATAGCTAAAATTGATCAGAAATTGTTGCTTTATTGACTGTCCCGTATCGGGATTTAGCGCTCGCATTCAATAAGTGACATTATACAATTCAAATATCAACACATTTTGCGTCTAAGGTCGATACACAATAATCTGTAAAGGAAAATAGCCTCCCTGGCAGTCTGTCGTAGTTGAACCCAAAAGGCTTCTCCTTGGTCATCTCCCACGGAGGACTCATGTCGGTTGACGGTGTTTATCAGTACCGGTGGTCTCAAATAAAAGGTCGCAAGGCAACTTCGTGAGTCTATATGGGCATTGGTTATGTATGTTTTGCTTTAATTGCATAATATTTGCGATTCAGTAAAAATCAATGAAAACTCCCGGGTCTAGTCACTTTGTTAGTTCGTGTGTTGGAATACACACCACTCAGAGCTTCAGTATTTTTTTCCCTCGGTTTTCGTGGAAAGCTCAAGAAGTGAACGGTGGTGACCATGGTGAAAGTTTCTAGCTCAAAGGGCAACAGGTAAGCTACACTTGCACGTTCTGACTATCAATATACGAAACATGACGGATATAGCATTCAACCTGGGTAAATGAGGGCCACCGTACTTTGAATTATCGCAACCCTACCTACAGTCCAAAGAGACCTCCGCCTGGTTCGGATACTGCTAAATCTTTCTTGATTATGAGAGGAAAAGAATTATTGATTGTATTAAGTTATTCACTGAGAGAAAAGATAGAAGATCAAAGAGGTAAGGAGGAGCAAGGTCTTCATCTGCCTACGGCAGAAAGGCTGCCTCTCAACTAGACAGAATCCTCAGATTTGCTCTTGATCAAATCAACCAAACGCTTGTTTCTACTTTGTTCAATCTCTTCCAAGTTGGCCTGCGAAGTCCACTCATTCACTCTCTCCTTAAGAATGTCGACATCTTGAGAATTCAAGTCAAATTCATGCCGGTGCATATCATCCAACCACGTTTTCAACGCCGGCCCCAGGTGGTCCATGAAATGATTGAAGTTTCCACCTCCACCAAGAGTGTTGGTCATGATAGGTCCAGTCAAAGCCCAGCGAAGGCCAAGGCCAGATGTCATAGTTTTGTCTAATAAAGTCAGAGCAAGTCGCACACATTCAACCGAATGGAATATACTAACCAAGGTCCTCGGCTGAGACGATACCCCTCGAGACAAGGCTATAGGCTTCCGCACAAACAGCTGCTTGAAGCCGGTTCGCAATAAACCCAGGAGTCTCCTTCTTAACAAGTACCGGATCTTTGCCCAGGCTTCGGTAAAACTGAAGTGCAGCCGTCACGTACGCATCACCCGTTCCTTGGTGGGGAACTACCTCGACCAGGGGCACTAAGTGCGGGGGATTGAATGGATGGCCGATCAAAATACGGGCCGGGTTTTTGTTACATTCAGTAATGAATTCCGATGAAGGGAGGCCGGAAGAGGACGATGCGATAAGCACATGCTCGGGGGTATTTGCATCCAAATGGGCGAAAAGACTGCGCTTAAAGTCCAGCCTCTCTGGTCCGTTCTTACGTTGGAATATCAATCAGCAACAAAGTCGAATAAACCTCGCTTTGCGATGGTCAACTCACCTCTTGTATCAAATCTACATCCCCAAGATAAGCGTCGATTTCCTCGACAAATTTGAAATTATTCAAGTATTCGTCTTGTGTCACTTTGGCATTGGGTATGCTTGGCCAGTGCTTCAGCAACTGATCACGGAGTCTGGCCTCAGCTCCTGGCGCTGGGTCCGTCACAATGACCTTCAAGCCCTTGGCCAAGAATAATGCCGTCCAACTGGCGCCGATCACACCAGTGCCGATCACACCAACGGTTTTGATTGGAGGAAGAGCCATGCTTTTGACTTGGTAAGCGTGAATTCCAATTCCTGCTTCAAATTGAGATTCTATTCTGTTTGACTGTGTGTGTAATGAGGCCAATAAATAGTCAATGGGTACGGAGTACCGAGGCGGCGAAACAAGTTCAGAGGTACCGAGGTCTACGCACTCAATCGGGAAAGATGCTCCTCGGAAGTGTCTACTGGCTTCCGCGATTTCGAGGTCGAAGCCATCCCGAAAGAAAGAAGATTCTATGGTACTGCCGGGTTCCGGCTGGTTCAAGCCTTTCACGGAGCTCGACGATCTCTGCATGATTGGACGGAGGCATTTTAGCTTTTGTGGAGCTTGATACTTGCAGCCAATGACAAAAAGGAAGGGAAAAAGAATAAATTGCTCCGGTTCCGTTTTGGGAAGCGCCAAGACATCCGGTGCCATTTGCGGCCTTCCGACTCGGGAGCTTCCAAGCTTCGGAATGGGATGATCCATATCTTTCACGGATCGTTGTGTCTATGGCGAATAGGCATAAATACTTCGCCACAACCATGTGTTATACCCGTTCGTCTATGGAAGCTGCACCAAGCCTGCGCTGGTCTTGACTCTTGCCTTTAAACAAGTCTTAGTCCTTTTTCTTCTGCTTTTCTTCAAAAAGTGATTTGGCAACATTCTGCCAGATTCACAATGGCACATCTACACAAAACCACACCGAGCGCCGATATATACGGTCCTGGGACTTTCATGGATACGGAATTCATTCCAGCTCCCCAGGACACTGCTCGAATTTTTGAGTATATTGCAAAGAACACTCCTGGGTTCACTCAAGACAAAAAGCTATGGGATACAGTCAAATTCGAGGGTAGCGAGCTACCAATCATTCCTGGCCCATTCAAGGCCCCTCTCATTGCAGCTGCTCTACATGCCATGTGTGGAGTTGTAGCCCACGAAATTGTCGAAGATCGTGATGGCACATTGGCACGTAGCCAGCAGGTTACTGTCAACACCGATCATGCTGGTATTTGGTTGGGAAAGATTTTTGCCGCTTCCGTGGAAGGGAAAGAAGTATCCGAACTGGTCAAATCGGGTCAACTGTCGACCCTTTTTCAGCGAGACTTTGACCAAGGCTGTATGGCCACACCGATCAGACAACGAACTACTGCTATCTACAAGACAAAGACTCCAGGTGTCTGGTATCAACTTCACGGTTCCCTGGATCCCATTCCGGTCCTCCAATCGATGGGAATCGATCCTGATTACCCTGCCAAGACCTTAGATGAAGCTTATGACTACATCAGCCGGCATGTAGAGCAATGGACCGCAGACGAGTTGGAAATGCACAACATCAAGAATGGCTTTTGTGGCAGCATCTGCTTCACCCCTCAAGGCTGGTCAGACACGCTGATGGGAAAGAGGCTTGCAGATCATCCACTAGTCTGTTACTCTCGACAGTCGCATGCAATTCCGACTCCTCCCTCCCCCTTGCCCAATATCACGGGCGATAGCCGGCCTCTAGCAGGTATCAAAGTGATTGAGCTGGTTCGCATTATTGCCGGCCCTGTAATTGGCAATATACTGGCCGCTTTTGGTGCCGATGTCATTCGTGTGAATTGTAGCCGATTAACAGATCTTGGTGTAAGTGACGAATTTCCGCCCTACGCCTGGTCGAACTCCTTTGTGCTGACTGGTCATGTGTAGGCCTTGCAACTCACCCTGAACACAGGGAAACGCACTATCGATATTGATCTGAACAAAGACGAAGACAAGTCTCGATTGCGGGAACTTATCGAGGATGCCGATGTTTTTGTTCAGGGCTTCCGCCCTAATGCGATCGCAAGGAAGGGCTTTGGCGTCAACGATCTCCTCGAGATGGCCGGTAACCGTGGTAAAGGCATAGTTTACGTCGAGGAGAACTGCTATGGCCCGGACGGGCCATACCATGAAAGACCCGGCTGGCAGCAGATTGGGGATGCAGCCTCGGGATCGTCTTATGTGATGGGCCGGTCTTTGGGCTTCAAGGACGGTACTAGCGTTCTTCCGCCGCTTCCGATATCCGATATGACCACTGGCCTTGTGGGGGCTTTGGGGACTATTATGGCCCTCCGGGATCGGGCTCGACTAGGCGGCTCATATCGGGTAACAAGCTCTTTAGTGAAAGCCGACGCAATTTCATTGGAGCCCGAGATCGGTCTTTACTCACCGGAAGTTGTTGAACGGAGCAATCAGTTGTTTAAATGGGGCCCTATGAATTCTTCCCAGTTTGTGATAGAGATTCTTCTCGTCGTCATGGATGGATGGAAGAGGGTATTCCCGCAATACTTTGAATCCGGAACTAAATCGCTCATGACCAGTTTTGAAGATGGACCATGGGGCCATGTGGACATTCTGAAGCCTGTTGTGCAGTTGAGTGATTCCGTCATCACACCTCGCTGGTTGACACCTTCGGTTCCCCATTGTTATCATCCTCAGAACATACAATGGCTGTAGCTTGATCCTTGGAGAGTGGTTATCTGACTTCCAATGGTGATGGCGAATTCTGACATTACATACTGGTCATTAGATTGATTTGCTGTGGTCTGGAGCAGATCTGGGGGTTGCGATGCTGTGATTCAAGTCAACGGCAGTTAGTGTGTAGATAGGGGCAAAATTTGCTCAGATTCCATCCTTTGTTTCCCATATATCTTCTCCGATTAGCAATCATACAATCATACATTCTTAGTTCTATCCCTCAAATTTGAACAACAGTTTTTGGTTGAGATCAAGGGTATATAGGATAAAAAGATTGTTTCGAATAAGATGTAAGGGAACTTACAATTGACCCAGGGTAGAACTCAGCCAATACGCTAGAAAAGACCATGAATACGTCAGATCAAAGATATTGAAGCTTTCGACACTTGCTTTAATGCAACTTTGACCCTGGTGGTAGGTTTGATTCCTTTTGTGTTTGAATGTGAGCCTCATGTGATGCATTAAATACGGCAAGAGCATGTCCACCACTTTGGTGCAATGAGCTTTCAAAGTTGCATTGGTAATGTTAATCTTTCAGCAGACCTACGCGGCGAGAAAGGTATATGTGTGATTTAGATGAGTCGAAGCCATTGCTACATTCCGCATCTTTCGGCCGGACCGGTCTCGTCGTCCAGTTGTGCAAAAAACAAAGGCCAATCGTTCCAATCAAACGCATAATTTTCGAGCCATGCCAAGTTTTCTAGATTAGTTTGAGACTCCTGCCCTTCCATGGTTGCGCCTTGTATCATTGTGTTGTCATGGTTGATTGCATCTTGGGGGCCTTCTCCGGCAGCACAGTCTGTTTCAGAGCTGCGCATATCAATGTTTTCTTGGATCAACTTGAGAACAGAGCTGCATCTCGAAGCCAACGCAGCGTTCTTTTCATACTCTTTCAAAATATCACGAGCCTTCTGTAAAAGGTTTTTCAAACGAGCAAGGGAGAAATGTTCCACTATCTGTGAGGACATTTGTGCTGCAAGCAGAATAGTTACCGCCATGTATATATCTGATCATCGTTAGCTGCCCCGTTGTCCCTCGTGTACAGGAGTCACTCACATGAGACAGTGTACCAGTTCGATGGTAATATATACGCTTGCGTCTGCTCTGGTAGATTTCTGACGATGAAACCTATCATATCCTCAGCAGCTTTGACACATTGAATCTGGCACTGAAGGACCACGTTTCCGATGATTTGAGCTTCCGAGTACAAGTTGACACCAGAAGCGTTTTCTGCTTTTGAATGGTGCACCTGTGATAGGAAAGGTCTAAAAAGGAGGAGTCGGACAGAGAGATATCTGCCAACAAAAATTAGTCCGCGTTTCACGTTTGCAGGTATTAAGATACAAACCGGGCGCGCAAAACGTTTGCTTGACGTGTGATGTGCTTTGTCGGCGTCGGATCTTCAAGATTCGATGGCATTCGAAAATATGAGTGAAGACTCTCGGCCCAATTGCAAAGGTCTGACTCTATTCTAAACAGGCTCGTGAATTTTTCAAAGGATAATGGTGAGTTCAACTTCATACCATTGGAATCTCTGCTTGAGCCAAAGTCGGCTTTATAATCAATGGAGTTATAGAAGGTTTCCAGCACGTCTCCTATGATGTGATGTAGTTGACAGAATGATATGTAAAACTTCGCCTTCGAGGGCAGAGTCATATTTCCAGTGCCACCAAAATCCATTGAGTATAGCACTAGAGTATCCAATCCTTTTTTGCAACAGCTTGGGAAACTTTAGGTGCGCAGCCAAAAGTCATGGAAGCAATCCTATATGTAGAGTTAGTTTGCACGCTGAAAATATCCACCGCTCATACTATACCTGTCCATCATGATACATCCATTCCAAACGCGACATGCAAGGTCCCGCTCACGAGAGTCGTTGATAGATTCGATTGTCGCAGGCAAGTGCAACCCCAGATCCTGTGCAACATGAATCGCCATGCCAATGCTTCTGAATGATTTCTGGGGTATTTTATCATGTTGAAGATACACCGCTGTAAGCAAAAGGATTTGTATGATTTCAAAATTGTAAACTTCCATGAGGTCGTAGGACATCAATCCTTGGGCTCTCTCAAAAAAGGTAACTGAGGACTGATACCGAGAGAGAGGCGTTGGGGTTTGAGAAGCAACACAAGATATGGCGAATATGAGATTGAGAATGCAATGCAAAGCCCTCTCGTTCATAGAAGTTTCTGCATCGTTGGTCCACAGCGTCTCGTATGCGTTTTCGATAGACGATCTGTTCAACCAGGGGTAGGCGCTATCCACATAGTCCCAATAAAGACTCAGTAAGTTGTCAGCCACCTTCCTTGTGGGAAGAGCAAATTGCATATCCGAAGGTTCTCCATGACCCTCCTTTTTCTGCAACTTTGGCAATCTTTCAAGCGGTCTGAGCGACATTCCACTTCTTTCTTTCCCTTTATTCTCAAAGCCTCTTTTGGAGCATGGGGCATTTCCAACTTCATGCAAGATATGCACTCGACTAGATGCCCCAAAAAGACTGCCGTCAGGTACGACTCCCTCATATAAGCTAGCCTCATCGTTATTTTCATTTTGAGAACAGTTGTTTGGACATGTAATGTCTCTTTGCTGTTCAGTGTTACAGAAGGCGCTGTCGATCGTGACCTTCTCAAGGGCAGTATCTGAGCTGTGTATTGCTCCCCGCGTAAGCTGATCTGTTTGTAATGGCACTTGACAATTCTTATATTCTGAGGGTGTGTCTATTCTAAGTACTTACCGCACACCTGATGAGGGAGAGACTCGATCAGCCCCACGGTATATACATGCTTCCGGACTTTGTTTCCTCTTTGAGCAAGGCCCGCATACTAACATGACAAATGTGAGCACGATACAATTGCACTCTGTGGGATACGTAGTTTGATTCGCTTACCTGGTCTAGCACCATCGCATTTTGTTTTCTTGGCTTTACAAACGTTACATGCGACACCGATCTTGCAACGTTTTGGTTTTGGTCTTCTCGGGTGTTCTTGTGGGGAAGAATTTTCCATATGAAATGAGTACATCATTCTGCGATCAACGTATCAGAAAGGGGAAAGACTGTTGAATTCCGAAGTCTCCGTGATCACTCCCGAGCCCGGGATCTCGGGACCTCTTCGGTCCATTATGTCATCATTCATCCCGTTAAAGTGCTCCGTAGAGGTCTCCCTACCTGGCGCTCCGCAAAGCCCAAGCCCACAGCCTGTTCGTGGGGGCCCATAAGGCCCCATTATAGATAGCCCTTTTAGGGGGTTCGACTATTTTCTTGTAATCGCTTCATTTTGACCTTCCACTAGTTATGTAGTCTTTGTATTCCTAGAATGTAGAATGATAGCAGCTATATAATTTAATATTCCAGTTTTAACCAGAGGCTGACCGATAGAAGGTAACATATCGCGTAAATGTTAGTATAATTATCTTGATACTGGATATATATTTAGGATCTGCGCAAGCGTACTACGACTGAGAAGCTCTGTAATTCATAAATTTTGTAATGTTTTCTCGCATTTTCAAAAGTAACTAATTTACCCTGTGTTCGGATATCAATTTCGTGAAACGGGGTCTATATAAAGTCATAAAAAGGGTGACGTTTGCGGGTATTGTTTGGTGCTTTTTGGGCCCTAATAGACCCCTATTAAAATCCCGGTGGGCTTTGTACTAGGCCTCGGGCCCACCGGTGGGACCGAACATAGGGCCTAAGCCCCTAAAGAATGTTGATCTGAAAGGACCACGGCCATACGTGAACAGGCAAGTTGGATACTTTCGTAACTCATTAATTAGGCCCTAAAAAGCGGTAACCCTGGATGCCACGCCAAGATGATACCAAGTAAACTTCAGCCTTCAATACTTTTTCTCAAAGTATTGTTCAACTCGTTCTACAAGATCTGCTTTTTTCCCTGCTGTAGCGCGGCCATGTGAATGCAAGAATTCCTTCAGCACAACCACCGTAAGCTGAAGGTGAGCGCTATCATTAGTTTGGTCAAACACCCAAGAGAATTTGAATGCTCACCTTGGAAACTGTACCCTTCTCATAGCATTTCTTCACCTCGGCTTCCACTCCGGAGGTGCTGTCTTCAACTTTCACCCGCTTTGCTGGATGGTCACCAACAGCCTCGATCTTTGCACCGCGCTTTACTAGCGTAGAGGTGGCTGCTGATCCGCCGAACATCTCGGATGCCTGCAATTTCAGTTCGTCGGCCCATTTGAGGATATAATCACCAGCGCGCTGTGGTTCATGCGTTTGGTCAGTAAATTCCCGTAGATTTCTGGGGTCATGGAAGCCACCAACCTTGTGGACCTGTCGGTACTTAGGTACGGTCTTGTCATCTGGTGATTCTGGGTAATCTTCATCCAAGGCAATAGCCTGTAAGATGCGATAATGCCATTGAAGTGCTGCACATTGATCAGTGTCATTCTCCACAAATTGCAATGAGAAAGGCTCACAAGGGTTCGGATATTTTGAAGGTTCATACACAGCCTTGGGAAGCTGCAACTGGCGAACAACATCGCGCATGGCGTCATTCAGCGTGTCCCCTGCCCGGTTGACGGTGCTCTGTGGATTTTGGCGCACATCATCTGCGAAAGGAAGAGGGATGATCCACATTCCAGGTGGAATCTTCTGCACACCATTCTCGTCAATCTTCTCGGCCCCGGCAATCATAGCAGCTAAGACTGGTGAGGCATTTTTACGGGGGATAAACCAAACTAAAGCCAATTTTTCAGATTTCAGAAGTTTCTGCTGCAATGCAGAGAATACTCGTGTTGAGCCAATGTAATCCTCTTCTGAAGGATAGATGAACGAGGGGTGTTTGACATTGGCCCAAAACGGGAGGGCTGACAGTGGCTTGAATCCAATGATACGGATCACAGGGTCACCGAAGCTCCTGAGAGCCTGTTGTTCCTCGAGGGTGAAGGAAACCTGCTCACCACCAAACTTGTATGCCTTTCGGATGTCAGATTTCTCGATCTCCTGTCCTGTGTCATCGGACATCAGAGTTGTGACACCTTTAGCAATCTGGGCAGTTTCGCCCCCTTGCCAGACGAAGCAACTCCTAGCAGGCTCTTGTTTTTTGAGGAGCAAATATCCATTGACGGAGATCTTGAAACCAGGTCCAATCTCGAGTGGCACGTTCGAAAACAGCGAGCGGCGGGGCACAGATCTCGAGTTGATGCTAGACAATAGAGAATTGAGCAATGAGAGTCCGTCGCCCTTGGCTGTCGATGTGTTGGTGTCTGGTTGTAGGTACGCCGGGGCATCTCCATCACTGGGCGATGTTTTGTAGATGATATCCTACCAATTGTGAGTATAGCCCCATCTGATCAAAGCTAATAACCTACATCATAGAATTTAGAGGTGTCGAATTCATGGCCTGGCTGAGAGATGGGGAACAGTTCGATATTGACACCAAGATCGTACAGGTCCCTTGCGCGGACTGTTGCAGCAGATCTCATTCCCTTATTGTCTGCGTGGGGATTGTCATTGTCGGTCACGACAAACAGTCGCCGAGATGAAAAGTTTGGAGCCTTCGATGTGAAGATTTGATTGGCGCAGAACAGCATATTAGCCATCGAGACTGGCTCTTCTGACGGTTCCAAGACCTTCAGTACATCATCATCAGCATCTACTGGAGATGCGAGAGACCGCAATTGCTTGACTTCCTGAGCTGATGGAACATTAAGATCGGTATAGAGATAACAGTGAGGATATGAAAGATCACCACGGTCTTCCTCATTTTCGTCATAGAATTTAGAAGATTTTGTTCCATAAAGCAAAACGCCAATCATGTCATGAGGGTTGGAGATGATGCGCTGTTGCATCAGATGGTATGCACACTTCAAGGCTGCAGACGCGGGCGATTCGTCACCATGTTTCTTAGGATCAGGTGATGGACGAGGCGTGAGCATCGACTTGCTGATATCTATAGCAAATAGCACCGCATCCTTCACTGATTTGAAGCTCTGTGTAGATAAAAGTTAACAGTCGGTAACTATATCCCCAGCTTTTGATACTCACGGTCTCGTCGAGCTCTTCGTCCTCGTAATTATCCTCCTCGCGCGCGTAACTATCTTCAGCCATGATTGCAAAGCCAGGGAAACCTTGGAGTTATGAAGATATTAAAAGGTTGCCAGTAAATCAAATCCAAAAGTATTGAGACGCGCTCTCTAACGCGGGCGACACGAAAGTCAGGTGACGCTGGTGCCTGAAGCTGCTGACATCCCCCTTCGGTGATTGGTTGACAGCCGGTGGGCTACGGAAGCTACGTAAGGACCCAGAACCGGATTCAAACAACTCCGAGGTCCAAGTCGGATATAAGTTGGAATTATCATTTCCTCATTGATATCTTCGTCCGACTTTTTTTTTGATCCGTTCCCACTTATAATCTTTGGCCCAACCATGGCATTCCGCAGCCCTTTCGCGATCTCCAGGCAATTATTGACTGGGACCACCTCCCTTGGAGGGAGGTCGGCAATTAACAGTCGATTGAGATGCATGACCAATCAACGAGGTCTCGCGACGGTAGTACCGCCAGTCACACAAGATGCGACAGGCTCCAAGGGCCCAACGGCTATGGTTTTTATGAACATGGGAGGCCCTTCCACAACGGACGAAGTGGAAGATTTTTTGAGCAGACTATTTGTACGTGTCATAAAATGCTGTAATGGCCCGACTGAATCTATATACTAACACATTGAAATGCAGGCCGACGGTGATTTAATTCCCCTGGGACGATTCCAATCGTATATCGGCCCCCTCATCGCCCGCCGAAGAACCCCGAAGATCCAAAAGCAATACGCAGACATCGGCGGCGGATCGCCCATTCGGAAATGGTCCGAGTACCAATGCGCAGAAATGTGCAAGGTATTGGATAAGATCTCCCCGGAGACTGCGCCGCATAAGCCTTACGTTGCCTTCCGCTATGCTGCCCCATTGACCGAAACCATGTATGAGCAGCTTTTCGCCGATGGATTTGGCAATGGCAAGGGAGGACGCGCTGTCGCGTTTACGCAATACCCGCAGTACTCCTGTTCAACAACCGGCAGTTCCCTTAACGAACTGTGGAAGTGGCGTAATCGTCTCGAGGGAAAGCGCGCCAATGGAGGGTCCGAGCCGACTGGCGCAATCCAATGGAGTGTCATTGACCGTTGGCCCTCTCACTCCGGTCTTGTGGAAGCTTTCGCACAGAATATTGAGGCTCAGCTGGAGACCTACCCAGAGGAGAAGCGCGACAAGGTCGTGTTGTTGTTTTCCGCCCACAGCTTACCCATGAGCGTTGTCAACCGAGGTAGGCTGACGTCCCCTGGTTACTTACTAGAAGTACACTAATCACCCTCTCCCACAGGCGACCCCTACCCCGCCGAAGTCGCAGCGACAGTTCATGCCGTGATGCAACGACTCAATTTCAAAAACCCTTATCGCCTGTGCTGGCAGTCTCAGGTTGGACCTAAAGCGTGGCTCGGGGCCCAGACCAGTGATACCGTTCAAGAGTACGTCAAACGAGGCCAGACTGATTTGATTCTGGTTCCCATTGCCTTTACAAGTGACCACATTGAGACACTCTATGAGCTCGATCAGGAGGTCATCCATGACGCCAACAACCCGGGTGTGAAGCGTGCAGAGAGCTTGAACGGAAGCCCAGTCTTCATCCAGGCACTTGCCGACATTGCTCGTGATCACTTGCAGAAGGGGGAATTGTGCTCTCGCCAGATGACATTGCGTTGTCAGGGCTGCACTAGCGAGCGATGCTTGGGCCAAAAGAAATTCTTTGCAGGCCAGGAAAATGCTTCTATGGTGATATAAGCTGATTGGGCTTACACGAGTATTTTTTTCGGCCTTGCATGTATGTGTACACAGCACTAGGTGTTGGGGGGCGTTAAGAGTATAAAATTTCGGGTTATTGTACGGTATAATATATTTTCAATTCTAGACAGAGCCCCGATATATATACGCACTGTCAGGATGACACCTTAATATATTCCAAGTCCGTGCGGAGATTCCGGAGTTAACGCCAATGATGGAATCCCGATAAGAATTCAAGGAATCCTAACCGCTAACATTCCCCCTCTTTCATATGAATCCGTTTTAATTCTTACAAATCAACTATGCGATAATCTTGGAATCTTGGGTTCTTGTAAAATCCTGCAATCATCGCCAATGTCATCGACTTCATCATGGAAAACGAAGAACTCTTTGTGGGGGAGCCCGATATTGCGCAGATGGGCACATCAGAGAACCCTCGTACTGAATATGTGAATGAAACTACTCCCCTAATTGATGGAGCCGATGGGCTATCGCATCAACCGCCAACTTACCTCACGGATGATCGGCCGAAATGGAGGAACCCGAGCGTGAGTGACCACGAGGTTTGCAACAAAAGCATCAGGAACAACTGTCTAACCTGTAAGCATGACAGATTTGGTGGCTGCTCCCATTCGGTGTCCTTTTTACCCTGGGCTTTGGTGGAATGGCTGTGCCCAAGATCAATTTAATCATGTCGCTCATCTGCCGAGATTATCTCGCCGAGAAGATCACCCAAGACCCCGGCTTCACCTACCTCCCTGTAATATTTGGCGAGCACAACCCTCAGTGCCAGATCCCGCAAGTTCAGTCCCTAGTCGCCCAGTTTCAGCTCTATCTCAATCTTATTGCCGGTATTCTATCAGCATTAGTGAGTCCCCGGTTCGGACACTTATCTGATCGTTACGGAAGAACCAAGATGATCGCGCTGGGCGCGATGGGTGCGGTACTCAGTGAACTTATCACCGTCATTGTGGCTCAATGGCCTGAACAGGTTTCGGTCAATATGCTTCTGGTTGGAGCCGTTATGGACGGACTAGGTGGATCATTTACAACCGCACAGGCTTTGATCCATTCATATGCATCTGATTGTACCCCCGCCGAAAAACGAAGCGTGGCGTTTGGTTTATTCCATGGTGCTTTGTTCTTTGGAATCGCCGTTGGACCTGGCGGTGCTGCATTTTTGATCAAGCATGGAGGCACGCTGATCGTCTTCTACATTGCACTCGCATTCCACGCAACTTTCTGTCTATCGGTTTTCTTCATCGTGCCTGAATCTTTATCCAAGGATCGGCAGCTCGCCGCCCGCGAAAAGCATCGCCTGAAGATTGTGGATTCTGACTCTCCTAAATGGTACTCTTGGCGTGTCTGGAACCCAATGAACCTGATCACCCCGCTTGCAATTCTGATGCCCGCCGTTGGAAAGCCAAGTGTGCTATTCCCTAACCGCCGCGGTGCCAGTCCGGCTCTACGCCGGAATATTATGCTACTGGCTGCTATTGATACCGCTGTCTTTGGTGTTGCCCTGGGTACAGTACAGGTTATCATTATCTACGCCGAATACATGTTCAACTGGGGCAGCGTGGAGTCCAGTCTGTTTGTAGCGACCATTAATGTTGTGCGAGTGGTCAATCTTTTCCTGGTGCTCCCACTTATCTCCCGCTTCTTCCGCACCCCGTGCAAGGAAGACGGAACCATTCGCGGCTCAGACACGCTGGACGTTGTTCTCATCCGCACATCCATAATATTCGATATATTGGGGTACATTGGCTATGCTCTGTCCAAATCACCATCAGTCATGATAATGTCTGGTGTTGTCGCCTCTCTAGGTGGCATGGGATCTGCAATCCTGCAGTCATCTCTGACCAAACATGTACCAAATGAACGCATTGGACAGATGCTCGGTGCCACTGGTCTCCTGCATGCCCTTGCTCGAGTTATTGCACCTACTATCTTCAACTTAATTTACAGTCTGACTGTTGCAACCTTACCTCAGACTGTGTTTGTGGCACTTGCAACTGTCTTTGGTGTAGCATTCCTTATGAGTCTGCTCATCAGGTCGCATGGTATGTCCATCTTACTGAAATCCTACAAGAAGTATACTGATTGTTGTGCTAGTTACCCTAGAGGGTGGTCCTCCTGCCGATCTCAACGCGGAAGAAGATGCCGACGAGCATGATAGACTTTTGCTATGACGGACGGTTCTCCAAGTTGATAGGTCGCGTTTCCTTTAATATGCTATATATCCGCTCCGTTGGCATCTGTCCCAATAGAAAGATCTATAAATGATTGAAATGGACTCTTTTTATTTTGTTTTTGCCTCATAACTCTTGTCGATATATGTAGATGTTGGGTACCTAGATGGATGCTACAAACACAAGACTAAAAAGTGATGTGAGGAACACATTGACAGATCATCTTGCTAATCATGTAACAGCTGTAGAATATGTTGAGCTCGGCCTTTGACTAAATTTTCCGCAAGATATTTGATATTGTGTAAGATATAGTTAGACAGGAAGCTGTGGAGGATCCGGTTAGATCCACGGGTCGTATGACCAGGTCAGGCTCCGGCGGGCGGCACCAACCTAAGGCGCAAGTTGATTTGCATCGGGAAAAAAGAAGTTGCTCCGAAGTTACCCTACTCTCGCAGCTTCAATTGCCTGTACACATACCTTGGATCATAGCTGGTGATTGGAGTTAATCGTGTGTCTTTCATTTCAGTTACGTCCTTACTTCGGAACATTGGTGCGAGGCCGCTCATGCACGACTGGTGAACTCGCGCGCAACCCGCGCTCAGCACCTGCAATATGCTTGTCCGCGCCGCAAAGTCCGGCTCGATAATACCATCTCCAAATGCCCTCCGAGTGCTCCGCCAATTGGCCCTAGCCGGCTCAACAGTTGGCGGATTCTGCACCGTTGCAGCCCTCACGTATGAAGCTCATCGCCGGGTCCGCATCGCCGAGAAGATCGTCGAGAACAAACGAACGTTACACAGTACCGCGCCGAATTACGATGCAACATCTGCTGCTAAAAGACTCAAGGTGATGATCGAGGCGGCGGAGGCTGGCGAATTCATGGGCATTGAATCCCTGAAGGCGAGGAATCGGAATGTACCTGACGGGCCAGATGAACCGGGGTTCGAAACAGAAAAAAATGGTCCAAAGCCCAAGCCCAAGCCCCTGGTCAGCTTGGAAAAACACCATGCTCGCTCGAAACGTTCGCTCTTCGGAAGTAATCCAATTACACAATCCCACTACACTGGAAACATTGATGCTCCAAGCTTGGCCCAGAACGCTGAAATTCTGGCTCGTGAGAAACAACAGGGCGAAATTGCACGAGAAGCCGGCAAGCTGCCCTTCGACGCCGAAATACGCAGGCTGTTAAATCAAGACCGGGAAATCACTGCTGCGAATTTGTTCTTGGCGCACACTCGGCAGACACCCATCATTTCTTGGGAACGCAGAGAACTTGCGTGTATTATATTCACTGCAAATTGCATCAAAGGAAATCTGTTCGTTGCCCGAACTTTGTTCAATCGCTTGGACAAGGTCAGTGTCGTGTCGGGGGAGATGTGGGCTACACTGATGCATCTGCTTGCGAAAGAGGGCCACATCGACTCTGTTGGCGTGATATATGATAAATTCAGAACCAGCTTCGTTGTTCCAACCCATCTATTGGAAGTCATCCTTCGATGTCTGATTGAGTCCAAACGGTTGGACTCTGCCAAATATCTCTTTTTCCAGCGCTTTGAGGATGACCGCGACTGCGGTCTATGTGGTGCTTATCTTGACGGATTATGGAGGAAGACTAGGAGCATGGAATTGCTGTCTTCTCAACTCGGCCTCATTCTCAAACATCTCGAATCACTCGATCGGAAGCCAACTGAGAAACTCTTCAACCCAATGGTTAAGGCCATGGTTGAAACTGGCCGAGCCGAAGAAGCCGAAGCTATGGTCAAGGCAATGCCAACACATTATGGGACCGAGCCTGGATGTCGGACCATTGGCTTGATCATCTACAACAGAGCACTTAACTGTGAATGGGATAGAGTCATGGATGGCATGCGTGCTATGCACGAGCACGGATACACTGAATCAAAGAAGGACTTCACTATGATATTCGACCGTGTATTCCTGGAATACTATCCCACCCACACGGGCCAACAAATCCTCGACTTTGTCATTGCTTGCATCAACGATTTTGATATACAACCCGATAAGGTACTTCACCGACACATCCTCGAAGCGATCATTGAAAAGGGCAACGAAGAGATGATCACAACAATTATGGACATGGCCCGTGATCAGAATTGGAATACCGGCATTGACGATGGGTTTATCAAGTCACTCTTGAAAAGCCGAAAACTCGCAATGACCGACAACCCGGTGGGAATCTGGCGGCTGAAGCAAGCTGCCAAGAATCGACAAGATCATTTGACTTCTTCCCGGCGCATCCTTGGGTCTAGTTCAGACACTTGGGCAGTACGAGGAGACAAAATTGCCCCCATTCATATTCCCGCTGAGGAATCTTTCCCTCGAACAGTAAGTGAGATGGTGGCCTCCAAAAATGCCAGTTTATACGTTCCGCTCCACAAACGGATGGAACACTTTATCAACATGGGCAGACACTCCGATGCTCTGGCAATTTACAACCACGCGACCACGGGTGGTTACGTTGTCAGACCACTGCACCTGAAGCTAGCTGTGATTGCCGCGATTCTCAGTTGCAACAAGACAGGCTTGGCAAACGCGCGGCGTCTGATTACATCTGAATGGGATTATTGGAAAAATGTTCCTGCTCTCCGTTACAGCAAACGTTTCACCTCGTGGATTCCCATTTTCTTCCAACGGGTCATGGAGGTGGACCCAGAAGCCATTGGGTACGGCGGCTTGATCAAGATGGCCATTTTTGAATATTATGACACTTGTGCCAATACCAATGGTCTTTTGGTGAAGCACTTCTGCGCGACTTCTTCCAGCCGTTACCTCATTGGAGGTGGAACGCCAGAACTTGCCGTCGACCTGCTTACAACAATCTACCAATCTCGATGGCGGCTTTCTCATGGCTTCGATCAGGTACTGTTGAAGATGCTGCTACGTGCGTTTGCCAAGGTCCATAACTTCAAGGGGGTCTGGTGGTGCATAATGACAGTCCTCTCGCGGAATGAGCCCGTCAGTCGAGACTTTGTTGTGGAGGCTACGTCTCAGTTGGGCTCATTAGAACATGCGATCAGATCCTCTGGCTCCTACGAGGCCACGGGGCAAGTGTTGGTACTCCGGCAAATCGTGGGGGCTCTGGAGGCCAAGTCTGAAGGTGATTCGCATTGGTCGGCCATCAACGTTCAACCAGAATTGAAAAAGGCGAATCGCTCCAGGCTATTTAAACCCACTGAGCAACAACATTTACTGCCTACCACAAACCTCGAAGAACTCATCATGAACTTTGATGAAGAGTGGGAGTTGGATATGTTGCTTAGGCGCAAGCAGTTTGACGCTCCTGATCAGGCAAAATGGTGGGCTGAATCCAATGTGTCAAAACTGCACACCGTTCCTTCAGAGGATCCGGAATACCCTTGGAACAATCCAGCGAATTGGGGTAGGCATTATGTGCCGGAGAAGTACTCATCCGACTATCACCTGGAGTTTTCACCTAGGGGAGCATACGAGGAGTATATGGAGTATGAGGATTATCAGGGGCATCTGGCGTCTCAGTGAATATGTATAATAATGTAAATAGTACAATAGACCCAATAGTTTCATATAAATTGTGTTATATCTGAGATCAGTCCACATGGATATAGATAATCCCGTGATGTCTCGTGCTGCGTAGAATTGAGAAGGCGGAGAGCGATCCTTTCACATGTCACGCCACCCCTTTCTATCCAAAAAAAACCACATCAGCCCATTAACACAGCCAATTGACTTTCCTTTAAATCAATTACTTCAGCCGATAATGGTCCTGCCCCTATTGACTCCGTTCTGACAAAATCTACTCTTTCAAACCCAAAAATGGTCTCCCTACTCAACGGCGACGCCTCCGTCTCCCCGGCCGCTCAGCGCCGCATCGATCATCACGAAGCCGATGTTGTAATTGTGGGTGCTGGAGTCCTAGGCTGTGCACTTGCAGTCGCACTGGGAAAGCAGGGACGCAGCGTGATTCTGCTGGAAAAGTCGTTGGAGGAGCCCAACCGCATTGTTGGTGAACTACTCCAACCGGGAGGTGTTCAGGCACTCGAGCAACTAGGGTTACGGGACTGCCTGGAAGATATCGATGGCATTGATGTGAAGGGATACTGGGTTTCTTACCACGGCGAGCCGGTTCTCCTCGAATACCCCAAGTCCAGCCCAACCTCACCTGCACCGTTGGGACGAGCCTTCCATCATGGTCGATTCGTGATGAAACTACGGGCAGCGGCTCTGTCCTGCCCTAATGTCACAGTGGTCGAAACGAAGGTGACTGGCCTTGTCACATCGTCCCATACTGAGGAAGTCCTTGGAGTCGAGTGTGTGACCAAGGAGGCCAAGGATTGTTACTTCGCCCAACTTACCGTGGCCGCCGACGGCTATAACTCCGAATTTCGCAAGGAACACCACCAGTACACACCCAAACGGCGATCAAAGTTCTATGGCTTGGAACTCATCGATGCCAAACTCCCCGCCCCCAACACTGGTCATGTTCTCATCAGCGATAACCCGCCCGTGCTCATGTACCAGATTGGCACCCACGAGACCCGAATCCTTATCGATATCCCCGATAAATTTCCTCTCGCCTCGGTGCAAAATGGTGGTGTCAAGGGTTATATGCGAAATAGCATCCTGCCCCAGCTCCCAGAGGGTGCGCAGAAGTCATTCTCCGATGCGCTAGAGCAAGGCCAGCTACGGTCAATGCCGAACTCGTTCCTGCCTGCCTCGGCTAACAAGACACCCGGCTTGATGATTCTAGGAGATGCACTCAACATGCGGCATCCTCTCACGGGTGGAGGCATGACAGTGGCGCTCAACGATGTCTGTCTCATCCGCGAATTGCTCAGCCCAGAGCGTGTGCCCACCCTCTCCAATACAGGCCTTGTCCTCGAACAGCTAGCCGAATTCCACTGGAGGCGAAAGAATTCCTCTTCGGTCATCAATATCCTCGCACAAGCTCTCTATGCGCTCTTTGCCGCAGACAGTACGTATGCTCACGCTGCTATTAATTTATCGATAACTAACTCTCTATCCATAGACAAAAGCCTAAGAGCTCTGCAGCGTGGCTGTTTCCGCTATTTCCAGATTGGACCAGTCGGCGGCCCTGTTGGGCTGTTGGCCGGTCTGATCAAGAAACCCCTCGTCCTCGTCAGCCACTTCTTCTCCGTCGCCTTCCTCTCCATCTGGGTTCTACTCTGTGATACCCCTGTGACCCAGCTTCTCCTGTTCCCATACTACGCCTTCATGATATTGTATACAGCCTCTGTCGTGCTTTTGCCATATGTCTGGACCGAGATCTGGTACTGATTTGGCTTGACATTATCAATTGGTGTTCTGTTTTTCCTCCAAAAAAACGACAATGGAGACAGAACCCCAGCGTACAAGTCTACATTTTCTCCCTGGTGAACATATTTATGTCCTTCTGTTTTAATAGCCCTCTTCGTTCTGTCTTTGTCTTTCGAGCGCCTTTATGTGTGATCTAATCTTGTCCGGCATTCTCCCACTGCATCTGATACACTGCAAGATCGGTGCTACCGATGTACTGTACTATATACTCATCACATGCCATACTATTATCTCAACGATAAACGATACAATGTCAATATATTCCGAACAAAATTCTAATAGCCAACGCTTTTTCTCCGCTAATGCTCCATAAATATGCCAGAGGAAACAAGAAGGGAATCAACTCCAATCCGTTCACATGATGTCGCGTCCACCCGTAGCTCACCGACATACGCATCATTCGCAGCCATCCAGCCCCAGATACACCATACAGACAAAGACGGACAAAAGAGCCTATCAACCCATCAGAATAAATCGACGCAAAGCATATATGCCAATACACCAAAACAAAACGAAAATGAAAACGCAAAGAAGTTAGGCGCAATCGGCCTCGGGGTCGTCACAGGTTCAAGCCAGGGCAGATCAAACCCCAGCCGGAAATTCGAAGTCCAACTCGTATTCGGGACAAAGAGTGACCTGACGGCACCGAGTGATCGAATCACGCAATTCTGGACGAAAGAGATGCTCGAATAGGTCTCGCAGATTATGCCGTAGGCGAAGAAAAAGCAATAATACAAATACATGAAGAGTGAAGGGCATATCATCCACATCTTTTGTTTTCCTGTTTTTTCTTTTTGTTTTTGGGACATTTGCTGTCGGGACGTGGACTCTCTGGTATATGTGCGAATTTTTATAGGGAATTTGTGGTTTGTATGGCGAATTTGATAATGCGGATGCAGCTTGCTTCAAATGAGGGTTGGTGGGTTGAGATGGGAGGATGAGGATGAGGATGAGCACGATGAAAAGGGAAAGGGAGAGGATTTGAGTGAGACTTTTCTTTCTTTCCTTTGTTCTCTTGGGTCTTTGTTATTTGCATCTTTGCTATGTGCAGCCAAGTCTCTCATTTATTGTATAGACCTCTATTGGCTGACAGCACGCAACAAAAGACGACCTCGGGAGAGCGAGTTGAAAAGTTGAGAAGAGTCAAGGACAAGGCAATCCAGATATCAGATATGATTACCTTGAGCAGGAAAAGGATTCTTTTTTCGAAAATTTTGGTTGGTTTCTCATTGGCAACAAGGCAGTTAATCTCTTTCTCTTTTGTACAGAACCAGGACCGAAAAAAAAAAAAGAAAAAATTTGGCATAAGAAAATGAGGAGCATCAGACACAGAACCAGGTCTAACCATTGAAACACAAAGAACTCCAAACAGCTGCAAAGAAATCGTCTCGGTGCATGGGAGGCGTTTCCTGGAAAATGAACCGGCCAACTTTCCCGATGGCAACGAATGCATGCATATATGGACCCTAATTCCTCATGGGGAAAGGGGAAATAAAAAAAAGCAAAACAACATATTTCAGGGGAACGTGAGTGTTTGGGGGGTACCACGTGGGAATTTGGAATCGAGCAATGGAATCAGGTTGGATGTGAGTATCAACTCGTTCCTTATAGTCGTGACTGGAGATAGTTTCGGGCAATGATATACACTTGATCAACCGCCTTTCCGCAAAGAATCATCTGCTGGAGCGGGCTCATGACCGCCGTTGATGCTGTTTCGAGGCTCTATTGACGACTTGGTGTTCTTGCGGTTCTTCTTCTTGGTAGTCTGCCATCCATGGTTGCTATCGTTCGTGCCGTTAGTCTGCCCGCCTGATCTTCGGGACGAGTCTGTGTGTCGATCTTTAGTGCCTGGAGCAGCACTATGAGAGCCGTCGTGTCGGCCTTGGCCTTTAGGTTTGCTCTTGCCATTGACACCGTTTGCCTTGTCGGAATGGTCTCCATTGGTGCGGCGCTTCGAATTGGTTGACTGGTGCCGATTCTCATTCGGTCCAGATGCAGCAGATTTCTCACTCATCTGTCCCGTGTGCTTAGGCTGCCCGCTTTCCTTTCCTGGTCCTTGTGCTGCATCATTCCTTGGTCGATCCGGACTTGTCTTCGCGGGTTGCTGTACCAGCTTCTCGGAATTCGATAGGTGGTAGTTCTGCAGCCGACTAGCGAGAAGCTCAGTTTGGCTATGCACGTCTGACTGCTTTTCACCGCCTACACCATTGACCTTTTGTGTTTCCGTAGATGGCCGAGTGAAGACAGCCGAGTGCTCCAAGTCAAAGGACCCGGAATCCTGGTAATCTTGAGACAAGGAATCGGAGAAACTTGCAGGTGTGTTTATATTGTGATCATCCGACGATGTATAATGGGTTATCGCAGAGTAAGGATCAATCAATTCAGGTGCATATGCCGAGCGGGGCTCACTCGGACGCACCGATCCATCGACGATCAACGGACCGGGTGCAGCTGGGCGCGGAGCGGATTGAGCCGGTTGCGACGAAGGCTTGGAAGTTGGAGTGTGCTCCGAGCGAGCTGTTTCTGATGAGAACGATCCCGGTCGGTAATCTGGTTGAAGGGGAATAAACGAATATCCATTCGAGACAAGACCCATCTGTGTGGACAACGGTGGCAGCATAGAACCTTGCTGGAAGGCTTGAAGCTGTTGAGGAGTTATGTAATAACCCAGCACATCTTGCTGCCGGTTGTCATCCACGGAGTTTGGGCAAGATCCATTGCTAGCAAGACTGTTTGAGCGCATCGCGTTCTCGTCACCACTGCCTTCTACGCCTTCTGGTGACTCCGTGGTTGGCCTTTGTTTTGACCAGTTGTCCGAGGGTGGCGGCATGTTATAAAGGGGAATATAGCTGGGAAGAGAGGGTGAGCCTTGAGGCCGTGCAGGCTGTGAATGGGCACGCAGAGACTTCGGGGATCCGTTGGCAGCCGACAATCGCCGAGAGTTACGACGAGTATCAGGCATAGCACTAACAGCAGACGGCGAAGGGGGTTGGTCATGGTCGCTTGCGAGCCAGCACCAACCGAAGCATAAGTAGGGTTATAAATTGTTTGCTGGCGCTGAGTAGGGCTGAGAGTAGCATGGCTTCCTGTTCCTGTCCCTGATCTCGGTCTCGAGGTTTCCTCCGGAAAGTCTTGTTGTTGAGGAACTGGAAATTGGATAAATGGCTGACGGATGAACACCGGCGGTGGTCTCCCAGTGATCAATGCCTGACTATGCAATTGCATCCGCAATTCTTGCTCCTGCGCCTGCAAAAGCTGGATTTGTTGATATAACTGGTCATGCAGAAGATACTGGGCTTGCTGTTGTGCCTGCAGTGAGATATCTGTTGCATTGCCAGTATTCGGCTGGCGGAAGTTGGACTTGTTCCCGGTGTTGGACTGTCGTCGCCCACCAGCGAGCCCACCTCGCGAATACTGATTATTATATCTGCCGCCACGGTTTCCACCCCGTCCACCCCGCGATGGCAGGGAAGGCGTGAGAGTTGGCCGTGGTTGGGGTGGCGGTCGTTCCCAGGTCCGCTCCTCTTCTGCCGGGAATTCAAACTGCTGACAACACCCTTCTAGGTCACCGTTTGCGATATACTTGAAAGCCCTTCGCAATTCCAAATGTAATCCCCTGAACGAGGTGTCATCGGCGGTGTTGCCTAAATTCCTTGACGTGTTGAACGGCTCCTCCACGCACAGTCGGTTGTTCAACATCAGATGCCACCCCTTGGCTTCTTTGTTGATCAGGGTGCCGTCTCGTACTGAGATGACGTTCTTCTCGTAGTCAAGTTCATAACCATAATACCGGAAGAATTGAAAGAGCAACTCGCCAACCGATTGCTTGTTCTTGCGGCCAAATTGAGACAAGGTCTTGAGGTCGTCATCGAACGAGCAGACCAATCCGTCGTGGGTCATTCTCTTCTTGTGGGGACGTGCTTGCAAGCTTGGGAGAATCGGAGGATTTCTCGTCTGCAGGAAATTAATGATCAAACAGATCCAGGTATAAGAGCTAAGGGTCCCCCCAAGTGCCGCATCATTGAGGATTCTGCGCTTCGTCCAGTATTTGACAGTCATCGCCAAAGGCCGCACTCGTTCATCCACCTCAACATAGGTCCGAATCATTCGTGTGTTTTCTAGCGCCAAGGTATTATTGACATTCATGTCACAGGCTAATCGGAGTTCCGGGTCCCAAATCTTCACTATGGGGACCTTTGCGTGCGACACACACACCACGCGTTGCATCCCGTCTGTTCAAGTCAGTCGGCCATTCAATCAAGTTGTGTCAGCAAGGATTCCTTACGTTTAGCTAACACCTCAGCCAACAGGCACACATGCTCCAATTCCTTGTAGTTGGTCGTGATGCAAATATCCACTGCTCAGATTAGTATGTGTTTTTGCCTTCCTATCGCTTGGGTCCAAAAAGAGGGAAGAAACCCTACCATCCGAGTCACTAGAACAGAGCTTATTCCCTGACGAGCCAAAAATGTTCGCCTTAATATTATGACCAGGCCATTGATCATTGAACAGCTTCTCCAATTTCCGAACGAGTTGTCGTCGTCGATCATCACTCTCAGCAGATGGTAACAATCGATCATACAGATCCATGATCTCAGTTGACAATTTTTTCTCCTCGCCCGGGCTGAGTTGCTCCTTCAACGGCCCCTTCTCCTCCGGTAGTATATCTGCCCCTAGGCTATACGGTATCCGTCGTCGAAAATATGCCATGGCGGTCTCATATTTACATCCTCCGAGCGGTTTTCGGGAGGACGGGGGTAGATGTGTGGCCTCAGAGTGGGTTGATCGAGGGGAGGTGCTTCCGCGGGCGGGGGACGGCGACCGGGAGTGAAACGATAGGTTGCGCGCATGTTGATATGGGGTTGAAGGAAGGGAATTAGACTGGTGCGAAGTTAATGGAGGGCGAGCGGTCTGGGGCACGTCAGATTGCGGCACATCGGATTGCGGCATCCATGCCATCGTGGAGGGCTGTGCCGACGCTAGCGAGGCGACGTCACGGTGGAGGGAACACTTCGCATTCCCATCGAATTTTGCGACCATATAGCAATTCGCAAGTCCCACACCGTTGTGGTTCGTCCGTACGGGGCTCGGCAAGAGGTAAGAGTCCACTCCCACACACCACACAATATAATCCCCTCAGTCTCCGCTCAGTTGAAAATCACCGGAGAAATTTCGTTTATGATCGATAATGGGCGGGGAAAGATCTGGTACGTGTGTAACACGTCAAGGGCTCGTTGATATGTGGAACAACCAGGAAGCAGATCGTGGTGGGAGACTTTCAATCGCCCTCGACCAAAGTCGCGAAAAGCCGAATTTTTTTTTTTCGTCTTTCACTCGGGACCGATAAAAATTGAAAATATGTAAAAAGACAATGCCTCAACCAGGAGATGAAAATAAGACACGAAAAGAAAATAATATAAAAAAAAACGGTCTTCGTGAACCAGAAGAGAGCGGACGGAGAGACGTTCGAGGATTGGATCAAAGAAAAGAGACAAAAAATGGCCGAAGTACTGGATGAACCATACAGTCCGTTTGTCCCTTCAAGCAAATATGTAGGAACCAGCCTGGGTTACCGATTGTGAGAAAAGGAAGCGTAGTCCAGAGAGGGGAATTTGAGAGGTTGTGAAGATGAAGGTCAGCCCCTGTCGGCGGTAAAGACACTGCCGACCGTCCCCTCAAGAAACTTGGGTCCTCACAACATCAACAAATTTGTATATATAGAATTCTAGGAGATAAATCTACCTAGGGCAGGTATATGGGGGATTTCCAAGTTCGAAGAGATGTCGTGAGAACGAATTAGCGTTAGAACGCCATGAAAGACTATTTGGGCAAAAGCTCTCTCTCATCCCTCATGACAACAATTAGGGGCTGATCTCCTTTGTCCCTAATATGATCTCTCGCTTGTCTATTTATCACTATACATCACTGTTTACCGCTTGTTTCTTTCTTCTCGGACTCCAGTAACCCCGATTCAGAAGCCAAAATGCGGCAAACCAGTGCCCGCAGTATCACCGAGCTATGCATTCATGCAGGTACCATGACGACAGATCGATAACACAGTGTTGTCTCTCGAACCCCCAGAACTACTGACTATTGAGTCAAGATATCAATTCCTAAGAAAGACCCCTATATGATCTATCTGTGGTCTCCTTTTTCTCTCCTGATCGTCATTCTTCACTTCTCCCCGCGATCAGCATGGTCCTTGCACGTGCTGCACTAGTATAACCTAATCCATGTTGGCCTGAGGCATAACTATGATATAGATGTGCTTCGTTCAAAGAAGTAGAAGGATATGGTTCTGCCCACATTCCTTCATGACCCGAGGACACTCATCCAACTTCTTTGTTTTGAGCATGGCCCACCATTGAACTCCGTCGTACTTGACTCCAGAGTTAAGCCTGTGGCCCCCCACATCCGATGAGGTTTGATATAATGAATCCTGGGAGAGAATAGTCATTGGACTAATTGCCTCTTGGGCTAATTGAGTTTTCAGTCGTGCGATGGCATCCTTTGTTTATTAGAACTTGGAGTCGCCACTTTGGAAATATGGGGCTTGTGTTGGCGTGTTTCTTTGTAAACCAGTAAGCAACTTCAACTGTTTAGCACTGATATCGAGAAACTATCACGGTAGTTCCAGCAAGTAGCCTCCACAGTCATAACATAGCCTTGCTGCCATATAACCAAGCATCTGGCTAGTGAGACTAGGACTAGATTCGGCCGATCACAGTTTGTTGTACGACAGACGAATGGGGAATCGTTACGCTCCCAAGGTAACGCGGAGGCATGCTTGAACGTATCGCGCTAGTAGTACATTTCCGGGGGATTTGAAAGCAGGTCTTTATACCGTATCTTCCCGCTACATTGACACGGGCAACAACGGAGCGGGATTTAAGGGAGTTGATACCGGGCGAATGAACTATAAAATGCAAAACACCCCCCCTTCAAGAATGGATACAGTCGAGGCCTGAAATATCCTATCATAGAGTCGGATCACTCCGATTGCATCTAGAATTAGTCTCATGTACATAATGAAGAGGGAGAGGGCTGCTGACTGGCCCGTCGAACCGGCTAAGTACATCAACATTGCAGCCCCAGAGCAGCCAACCCAGCTTAGAGGGGCGCGGACCTTGCGGAAGACTATAAAATAATGGTGACCGACGGACATTGCCCCACCTCTCCTGAATCGACCGAGTTGGTCAAAGCACCGTTTAAACTGTATCCTGGAAGCAATGTTACTACAGCATTTTTTGTCACATCTACTCGCTTATATAGGTATAGCTTCCCGTCCACTTTCAATGAGGTTGTTCAAAAACTTGCTTGAAGGCCGATACGAGATTCTCAACATTTTGAGCAGGCTGCAGCAGGCTATATATACTCATTGCATGCCTTTGTTCTAACCACTGTACATGAAGCTGCAGATCATATTCCAGATACGACTGAAGTGTTCACTTGCAGCCTCTAATGGCGTCCAAAGCCAGAAGATTCTTGGCAAGCTGACTGCATAGTGCAGAGCCTTTGCAGTCAGGGTTGGCATCATCATACATTGACGTTGACTCCAGGGAATTCCTTGTTAGTTTGAATCGGGCTATATGATGGGAATCTCCCGGATTCTAGAAACTTAGCTTTGAATATTGTACCGAAAGTACACAGAAGTACGGAGTACGGAATACTAAGCATATATCTACTAGGGCATTAGGGCAACACAATGTCAATATTCTAAGTGGGGAACGGGGAAGTATTTCGAACATTAATATACATCAAGTATAAAAGACGAAACATACAAAGGACCAGTACGGAGTACGGAGTACAACATGCTAAGTGAATAATAAGTAATAGTAACTATCAGACACGAGAGAAGCTCGACGCTTAAGCACACGCCCCCCCCGGTGCCCCCATCCAATCTCCGGTGACCGGCCCCATCAGTGACGAATAAGCGGCGTTGGGTTGCCGGGAATTGCCGTGTTCGAATTGATACAGGTGGTAAAAAAAGCAATTGAATGGACTATAGAATTTCATTATAAGCATAGATTTAGGTATATAGAGAGAATAGAGAACAGAATAGACACAATAAGTAACAATATATGTAGAATCAAAAGAAACAAATTTCTCTTAATTTTCCGTACACTATTTCCTTTACATTACCATTTTATGAAAAAAGCCCCCCCTCCATAAGGTAATACACACCCACATCTCCCCCCATACCTTCTCTCCTTTTCTCTTCTTCATCCTTCCAATTCTTGGACCTCTGCCTCGTTGACTCGTGGTAGACTGAAATACTCGGAGGCCTTTTTCCCCGTAAGTACCTCTCTACTTGGTTCTATACCCATATACAAAAAAAAAACATTGATAGCGGAAAAAATACCCCCAAATTTTACCGAGAGGATATTTTTTTTTTTATCCAACGTGGAATACTTTCTTTGAATGTGTTGAAAGAAGATCGCTGGTTGAGTGTATTGTGGATCGAAGCTCACTTTTTTTTTCTCGACAGATCGCCTCTGACCGGATCATCTCCCTCCTCCCCCTGAACTGTCGCACTTTCGGCTTTGACCTCGACAATGTCTTCGTATTACGAACCTCAGGGCTGGCAAGCACCCGCTGCGCGCCAGGCCTCTTGGGAGCAGCCGGCGCCTCCCTCCCGGTCAGGTATGTGATCAAACAGCCGAGCGCCCCCGGAGCCCAAAAAAAATTAACATTTGACAGGATCGAGTTCGGTCTCCCAGCGCGAGGATATCCCAGCCTTTTCCTCCCAATTTGACGGTACGAATGCACTTCTACTTGGATCTTTACAATTGTTTCTCCGAATCCGAATCGCACGCCCGGGGCAAAGTTGGGTTTGAAGCGAGGCGGTTGTGAACATGCCCCGGGCATGTTTTTTTGGGAGCCCATTTGGGACGAGTGCTGATCTTTTGCGTACAGAGGTTGATCGCGCGATCGACAATCTGGTCAAGAGCGGGAAGTTGTGGAATGCTCCTCGGCGGGATTCGATGCCCATGATGATGGGCCGGCCCTACCCCGACTACGGTATGTTGCGGGCACGGATGGCACCCAGAACGCGTTTCTGACTTGTCTCTTGACAGACCCTCGTATGGGTGGTGGCCCTCAGCGACACCATTCGATCAGCGAGTTCGATGGCAACCGCATGCCCCCGTCTGGCAATGCCCAGGGTTTCTATGCCTCTCAGCGGTATCAGGGTCGTCCCAACGAGGTGGAACAGATGATGCAGGCGAAGCGTCGGATGGCAGCACAGCGTGAGAGGGAACTCCGCAACTATCACCAGGAGCAACAGTACAACCGAAGTACGTGGTAGCGTCTGTCTTCTTCTTTTTGAGCCTCGTTATATTCCCCTGTCGGCTTTTTTTTTCACTTCCTTGCATCTATGTATCCGTCGGCCTGTGTAATATATTTGGTTTGGCTTCTTCGTTTTTCTTTGAACACGGGGTTTTAATACTTTTCTTCTTCCTTTCAAGGCCTCCTCGCCGAGATGTCTGCATCCAAATCCGACCGCTCCACCAGCCCGGCTGCCGTGAGCGAGGACAGTCGTCGCGAACTCCTTGCCCGCCAGCACCGTGCCCTGTACGGCAACGAAAGCCCAGCCTTCTTCCCGCCCGGTGCCTTCTCCGATGACAACCCACGCCCAGATAGCCAAGCTGGCGGCACCCCGTCGTCCGGTGTCCGTGGATCCTCCCCGCGAGCCATGGACCCATTCGGCCTAACACAAGCTAGCGCCACCAGCGATGCCACGGGCCTGCAGTCCCCCTCGCGCGCCAACAGCACCTCCTCGCCTACCTCCGCCATCAACGCCAGCTTTGGCGAGCAGCCCGTAACCTCGGCCTCGTCACCCGGTGCCGACTCGCCCTCATCCCGCCAGGTTAGTTCTAAGCCCGCTGCTGGTCCTATCGGCTCCGTCGGTCCCATCGGCTCCCGGCCTGCCCCTGGCCAGACATCTGCGCCCACTGCCAACCCCGCCTTGAACAAGCGCTCCATCACCCCTCTGCCCTCGCCGCTCGGGCTCGGCTTTACTCCCACTGACTCCACTGCCGGCCCCGCCACTGAGCGCACCTCTTCCGCCGGCCCTAGCCCAGATGTGACCTCTGCAGCTGGTGGCCCTGGCACCAAGGATCAGGCTGGTGGTGTTGGCCTTGGCTGGAGCAACGGCAGTGGCGTCTGGAGCTCCAAGAGCGGGCTCGGCGTGCAAGCCTCTGTTTGGGGATAAATTACCACAGCCCCCGATTTCTGATTTTTGATGGCATTACTCCGAATGGGCGCTTGTTGCATATTGGACTTGGGGTATTTTCTTGCTTACGGCGTTGTGAAATGAGAAAAAGCAAAGCAGACGGCTTCCGTTGCTCTGAACCTATGGGCTCTGAGCCCGGCATATATCAAGACTGACAGTGATACCATGTGTCTTGCGCTCTACCCGGTTCGATCATGTGCGGCTTAATCATGTTTACCTGGGTTTGACCTGGGTTACTACCAAGCGAGGGAAAAGGACGGGGCTTACTGGGGGTTGAAAATATTTCCCAAAGAGTCGGATCTGTCTGGATCATACATGATGCCTTCTTTGCCCGTGAGGTCTGGGGTTGACGTTATTTTTTTGTCTTGCTTTCTTGTTTTTGCTCTTGCGGTGCCCGTGCGAATATGGTCGGAAATATGGCGCTTTATCTGTGATGCTCGTGGGCTATGTATGAACTGTCTCATTTTTCTCGGTGTTTTTCATGTCGGATGCACAGGTCTTATCTTTTTTTTATTTATCTTTTGGGGGTGGCGGTACGGGAAACTTGCACATTGTGATTTTTATTTAATTTTGGATGCCTTTTTTTTTACTACATATCTCTATATGGAGATGGGAGGCGAACCGAGGCTCAAAACGGATGTTTATTTGGATTTGACGCATTTTCATCGTTTTCATTTCTTTTCCTTCTTCCCCTCTTGGGAAAGATTTGGGTATAATGCAGTTGTAAGAAGGGCTAGGTTTACTGGAGTGTGTTTACTTATTATCTTGAATGGATTCTGGGTTTGGTCTGGTCTTTCTGAGCTTGCTATGCACTTCATCAAGGGAAAATTGTGTCCCTACGTGTATCTATGGATATCTATCACTATCTTTATCTCTTGGTTGCTCGGCGCCTGTCCTACAAAGGCACCATGACGTGTTTCTGGCTTCACGGTAGGGTGGTTGTCCCTCCTATCTAGGGCTTTCCATCTGGCAATGTGTTAGTCTGATGTATTCAGGTTCTGGTTTGATCTTGGTTCGGAGGGTTTACCACGCTCTTACACTAATACCACATGGTCGTTCTATTCTAGCTCAGTCCTAGTACCGAGAGTTTCGATGTTGCTTCTGGGGTATGCTGACGAGATACACTTATGATAGGTGGTAAATTGCGAATTTATTTATTGCCGAGATGAAGATTGGTAGTTTAATCTGAACAGGATGAAAGTAGCAATTTTCGAAAAGAATTAAGCATTAGTTGAAAGCACGCAAACAATATCAACTTCTTCTCTCATGGTCCATGGCTTCTCAAGATCAAAGTAATGGTGACACGGACTTGAGGACATCCAAGGCAGCAGATAGAACAAAATCTGAGAGATTTCCTTATATGTGCAGTCATATCCGTAATTCCCCAAGGATGTACAAAAGAGGAAGAAGACAAACGAGGAAATTCACCAAAGACAACGGTCAGACAGAGCTGGTGTTCACTGCGGGTGGATGCTCAGGAATGTGCTCAGCAGGGTCTTGATCACGATATTCTGCAGCAGAAGGCACGGCATGCACGATCTTCCTCTTCGCAGTGAAAAGACCGACAACACCACGCTCCTGGTTGACCCCAAGCCAGGGCTTGCGGGCTTCACTCAAGACCTTTTGGGCGAGGAAGTAGATGAGCTGGCCGATGATGATCAACACAAACGCAATTGGGTACATCCAATGGATCTTATAATGGAAGACTTCGACGCCAATGATCACACCCCAGAAGTTCATCGTGAGCATAGAGACGTTGAAGAAAGCCGCGGACGAAAGACGGAACAACAGCGGGGCGAGACAGTAGAACATGCTCAGACAGAGCGTGTAACCGGTGAGGTATCCGCCGACCTTTCCGTTCCACTGCGCATTGTTGAAGGAGGTCCGGTCGAAGATACCGGCCTGCGCGCCGTTGATTATCATTCCGAAAAATGACATCTGGCCGAGCACCTCGTACACAGGCCGAGTGCTGACGAAGTACTCCTCCCCCGTGTTAGTGAGGCCATAGAAGGACGCACCGAGCAGCGCAAACAAGTCGCCCTTCAGCTGGTTGCCTTTGGATATGTCTCCGCCGTTGGTGCCAGTGATGTGGTCCGAGGCGATGAGAATGCCCATGCCGCCGATACAGATCACAATGCCGAGCACCTGGGTGAAGTGGTAGCGCACGCGCAGGAAAGTGAATGAGATTACGACGACCACGACGATGGCCCAGAAGTTGATCAGTTGCGCGCTTAGCATGGTGGTGTATTGGTATGCTAGCACAATGAAGTAGTTGCCTTCTACATCGCAGAAAGCAAGAATGATGTCTGCGGGGGTGGACGGTTAGACGAGACTATACATCGAATATGTGAGGGGAGGGAACGTGTGGCATACATTTCCAGCCGTCACGGTATACCAGTCGGAGCCAGCCCTTAAAGCCGTAACGGTACATCGTATAAGGAGTAAAAATGGTGTTTAGGAGAACATAGTTGAGGAAGGTTTGGAACGCAGGGACTGCCCAATGTTCCTGACCAAGTAGCGTAGTGAAGGTACTGGTCGAGGTATTGGCAATGGCGAGAACTTGGCTGTGAGCGATTGAGTTAGGATTGAAGGATCAGCCGGTAGAGTTTGAAGTCACACTTACCCCAGAATCACGGTAATATAGAATTCTTTGGTCCTGAAATAGGCAAAGAAACCTTTCTTCTGATCGACCAGGTCCGCAGGTTGCACAGAGGGCTCGGAGGCTTCCGCCTGGGAACTCGAACTCTGTGCGACTACCCGAGCATCATTAGGCAGTGGGTGGTCTACACCAGACGCCTGGACAGTGATTTGGTCCTTCGACTCCGACATAGTGCGAGGTCCGAAAGCGGGGTATTCGAATGCAAATGGCAAACCAGTTGCAGGTTCAAGCAATAACGTGCTAAAAGGGAGCTTTATAAAAATTGAACGAGCGCAAAACTCCCGAAGTCGCTCGTGTGTCGATATACCGTGGTGATGAATAGGAAGAAGCAGAAATCTCAAACCTTACGAGGTAGCCCGGAACAGGCGTCTGGAACCTTTCCTGATCGGGCAATCTTCGATAAGAATCTTCCATGGTATCAACGGCCAATCAGCGGAGGGAAAGTGGGGGCGGTGAGGGTCTGTGCTGCGGACAGAGCCGTCCATCTGGTCTTTTATGTCAGCAGCTTGAAGTAAGACAGCTGACACTTGGCGAATACTCAAAGAGAGGGCTAGTCGTTGACCTGGGAAGTACTTCCCGTGTACCCCTCCGGAGCTTGGTAATTATGTGGAGATCCATGCGTTGAGTTGCAGAGAATATTTATAGATTATAGATTGATAGATGAATCTTAAATTATATTACGGAGTCCCGGGTGCACAAATCGCATTCTGTCATAAATACTTTATGACATATAAAATCCATTCCGAAAACCCCTGAGAGAGAATGTGGATGGATTCCCCAGCTCTGCCGATCACGGAAGAACACCAGAATGACGAGGACAAAGTAGTCTAAATTTTAGCATAAGCTGCATTCCTAGTAAGATAGTGTAATTCTGTGCACAATCGATACATAGGTACCTAATCCCGGGTACTTATATCGCCTGAAGTTGTCCAAAGTATCTATGTACTTTAGGTACCTTGGGGAGAGGTGGAGGAATCTAGATAAAGTCGGGATCAAGTAAATTCTAGAAGATCCAAAAAGGTCCCTTTTCTCAGATGTTCTAAAGAAGCTTCTTTTGCCAAAACTCCTGTGTTCCAAAGGAACTCAAAAATCCCAAGTACCTGCCGAGGCCATCAGGTGGACCAGGTCTGTTCCCCGATCGTCATCCCCTCCGCAGACTCTTTCATCATTGCGATCTCCACCTCCATTCCCTCTTTTCGTCCCTTTCAAACCCTTTCTAAACAAGGCTCGACACAATCCTCCGATAACCTTTAATTTAATTTTATTTTTTCCCCCTACCGCCTTTTGGCTCTCCTCTCGCGCCGGTGCACTTTTATCAGGCCCGGAGTGACGAGACGCCGTTCCCTGTTCCTGCCGGACCATGGCGCTGGAAGTACAGCCGCCCGACGGTCGCAAACGAGTGAAGGTCTATGAACTAAAAGACAATGATTGGTTTGACCGAGGGACTGGCTTCTGCACGGGTCAGATCTTAGGAGTGAGTTGTCGCGTGTTGTGCGCGCACTATGGGAGCGACGATGATTCATCGCGCGCAATCCCATGCGCATCACTATCATCATCAGTAACTGATCGCTTTGGACTAGGAGGAGCCTCGTATATTCGTCGAATCTGAAGACCTACCAAATCGCGTTCTACTCGAGACGCGGATCACCAAGGACGATGGCTATCAAAAACAACAGGGTACCTATCCCGCCATGATCGTCCCATCATTGCTTAGTGTCCCTTTAGAACTAACTGTATGACGCGATTCAGAGACTTTGATTGTTTGGACGGAGCAGAATGGCACGGATATGGCGCTGAGTTTCCAAGAGGCAGAAGGCTGTGCGGTCATTTGGTGAGAAATCAACAAAAAAATCTTTACGCGCATGGACTAACCCATTCAAAGGGACTTTGTCAATGCCGTTCAACAACATCTCTTGAGTCTTACTTCGGCTGGTAAGGTTTGTCGCGTGTTTCAAAGCTGGCAGCTCTAATTGTTTTCCAAGATGATGCCTTGTCCGACGACCTTGATAGCTACCAGTCCATCGTACTACCGGCCCCCGAACTCGTAAATCTCCCCGAAATCGAACAGGTTGTCCGAGCTGCGAGCATGACACAGGGCGGTCGAGATGCGTTATCCAAATACATCATTCGCGACGAATACATCGCCAAATTGGTGCCACTAGTGACAATTGCCGAGGATTTGGAGAGCTTGGTCGATTTGCATCGTTTGTGCAATATCATGAAATCTCTCATTTTGCTTAATGACAATAGCATCATTGAAACCGTGGTCGCCGATCATGTCATCCTCGGGGTGGTTGGGGCGCTAGAATGTATGTTCTACCCGACTTTACCCTGACATAAAGCCCAATGTGATTGATGCTGACGACAACAGATGACCCTGAATTCCCCACACATAAGGCAAACCACCGACAATACCTCGCAGACAAATCGCGATATAAGGAAGTCGTCCCGATCAAGGATCCGCTTATTCGCCGCAAGATTCGGAGTACATGGAGGCTGCAATATCTTAAAGATGTGGTGCTGGCTCGGATTTTGGACGACCCGACATTTTCGGTGCTCAATTCTCTCATATTCTTCAATCAAATGGAGATTGTGAATCACATCCAAGCAAATGGGCCGTTCCTGCGAGACCTATTTCAAGTCTTCGACCCGAGAAATCCGGACCAAAGGCGCAAGGATGACGCCGTGCAATTTCTTCACCAGTGTGCTGGCATCGCGAAGAACTTGCAGGCACCATCGCGGGCCCAACTGTTCGCCAATTTTATTAGTCATGGCTTGTTTGCAGTGATAGCATTTGCCGTCAAGCACTTGAATCCAGCTATGCGCACAACTGGAATTGATATCCTAGTGGTTCTGTTGGATCACGATCCAGTCATGATGAGAGGTTATATGCTCAAGGCTGTCAACGAGAAAAAGACACCACTCACAGACACCTTGATTGACCTTCTTCATGTGGAGACCGACCTTGGTGTCAAAAACCAACTTGCTGATGCTATCAAGGTCCTCCTTGATCCTCAGATTCCTATGCAGGATCCGCTTGGTCGGGCTGGACCCGATTACCTCAAAGTCCGCACTCACAACCTTCTCTCTGATGCATTTGTTCAGCAACATTTTGATGAGTCCTCCAAAAGGCTTTTCGAACCGCTTAAACAGCTTGCAAATCGCACAGCTCGTACGTGGTGAGATTCTTGGTTGATGAAGAATTTTGCTAATTTTGAATCTAGTTAATGATTTGACATTCCAAGAGGTCACCCTCTACTCGCATCTTGTTGATATCCTCACCTTCTTCGTCCGCCAACATCTTTTCCGCACACGTAACTCTATCCAGAGTGAATCCCTCGCGCCTCGCGTTGCACAGCTTTTGCGGGTACCCCAGAAACACCTCAAACTCGGTGAGTGTAAGGCAACTTTTTACGTAGAAGCAATAGCTAACCCAAACAAGTCGCCCTCAAATTCTTCCGCACCTTGATCAGCCTCCAAGATACCTTCTACCAAGCTCTGATGACACACAATAACACTTTTGAGTTGATTCTCGACATTGTTTATGAGACAATGCCGCGCGACAACCTGCTCAACTCGGCCTGTCTTGAACTCTTTGAATTTATCAAGCGGGAGAACATCAAACCTTTCATCCTTCATGTGGTCGAAAAATATCGCGAGAAGCTCGAGAACATTGTTTACGTTGATACCTTCCAGAGTCTGATTCTTCGATACGACCAGATGCAGGGATACGGAGCGGAGGTCGACACGGCGCTTTTCAGTCAGGATGACAGTAATGCTCCGCGCAGAATTCCCCTTAATGGTCAGCGTTGGCAGGGAGCAAGAGAGATGGACCCAGCAGAAGAAGATTATTTTAACACGTCCGACGACGAAGACGAGGTAGGCACCTTTTGAATTGAGACAGTCAGAGCAAACGGCTAACCAGACAAGATAAAGTGGACACAGGACCGTGCAGCCACTACTGATGAAGCTTCAAGCGAACCCCTCTCTGCGGTCGTCAAACCATTGGTTGACTACCCAGATGACGACGAGGAGGACATCATGGATACCAAACCGGAAGGAGCAGAACAACAGTCAGTGGCCAGTCCAACCGAGACTTCCACCGAGGTTTCTGCGTCACCACCCACCTCGAACCCCCTGCGCCAGAGCGACTTGCAGAGAAGCGTCGCCGCGAAGAAGAGGACGATGATGAGCTTAGCAAGCTTACTGCGGGATCGGGACCCAAACGAAGAAGTTCAACTAGCAGCAATTCTGGCGCCTTCATCATCAACCGGAAAAACTCTGCCAGCTCATTGACAGACAAGAATGCCTCACCGGCTGCTCTTAATAGGGTCACCAGCACCGCGCCCAAGAGAATTGCCATCAATATTGGATTAACGGCCAAGCCCCTTTCAGAAACGGACAACCGCACAGAAGTGATGAGCGAAAGCTATGAGAAGGAGAACCGCGACGATAGTCAGGGTAATGAGGGTGGATAACCATACCTCACAAGCCAGGCGTTTCTCTTGAATTCAGTTTCTTTTTTCCATGGCCTAGATACCAGACTTGGTTGCGGGATCCCCTATATTTCATCTCTTACTGTTCATTGGGCGATGTCCTTTCTTCTTGTTTCGTTCCGTTTTTAAGGGTACTTGCCCATTTTCCTCCTGGTCATATCAGGTGTTGCCTTCTATGGCTTGAACTATGAGTGTTGATGTACATGGCATGGCGTCTGGGCAATGCATTGGATCTAGCCTTGCGGTGTCTATTCTTTTGATTTTTCTGGTCGGTTTTAAATTATTGGCCAGTGAAGGATCCCTGCATCCGTGAATGGAGTCGTTGCAATATATCCCGCTGTCTTCATGTTTACGTGTTGGAATTATCTGTAGTGCCTTATGTACGGTCTGCTCAGTATCTGCCCTGCCCACAAAATACCTATACAGCCCAGGAACATATATCTCGGGATTTCTTTTAGTCTTGATAAACGACTTGTGTATTTTGGGTGATCAAGGGGCTAGCATGGTATATCTAGCTCTAGACGTAGAGTGCTTGGATCCACCAGCTACCCAGGTCCGACCTCACCTCCCTATCAATCCCAAACAATCCATTCAACCACCCAGAGGAGTCACGTACGCGGAATATATATAACGAAGGGGCAAAATTCTCGTAATTATATCCCTCCAACTGTTCCTCTTGCCCTAGACTACCACTCACCAACTCCAGATCACCCAACAACTCCGTAGCCATCTATACCCTAGATGAAACCCCATGATAGAGTCTTACAGCAGACCCAATAATCCAAGCCAAACAAAAAATGGCACCCGAAATTACACCAAATACCTTTCTCACCACTACAGGTTCTCCGTCAGACCAGAAGACGACAATTTTCTTCATCTCCGGCAATCCGGGTCTGATCGGCTACTACCACCCATTCCTCTCTCTCCTCTCAAAGTATCTAGACCAGCCAAAAGAGAGACATTCACCAAGCCCACCATCATTTCAAATCCATGGCTGTTCTCTCAGTGGCTTTGAAATCAATGAACACCAGCCGTCGCCGTCACAGGACAATGGCATCGATCTCAACTTGGAAGATCAGATCTGCTTTGTTCAGGGAAAGCTCGCTGCCCTGATGGCAGACGAACCCAACCTTAACGGTACCGTGAATTCTGGAACCAGACAAAAAGTCATTCTGATTGGACACTCCGTTGGTGCATATATCGCCATGGAAATCCTGAGGCGACACCGGGAGGAAAGCCCCCAAAGCACCTTCAATATCGTCGGCGGAGCGATGCTTTTCCCGACTGTCAAGGATATCGCAGCGTCACCCTCGGGACAGAAATTGACGGTACGTACCATAAATTCCACGTTCATCTTGCCAGATGCTGCGTTTTCTCTCATCTCGTGCTAATATCTGCTCGCCTGCATAGACTTTGCTGTCGATCATCCCCCGTCTTGCCGTGGTCGTGAGTTTCCTCGCACGACTGCTTACGTTCCTGCTCCCGACATCGCTTCTTCGATATGTGATCCGCATGGTCATGGGTGATCCCCCCCGTTCATGCTTTGGACACCACTTGTGCTTTTTTGAAGAGTCCGCGTGGGGTGCGGCAAGCTTTGTATGTGTTGTGTTCTTCCGGCTGTGGTTTGAGTTTAGCTAATTACTTCGCCTGGCTAGATATATGGCTGCCGATGAAATGAAGACTATCACTTCGGACAGATGGAGTGATGATGTCTGGGGTGCTGCATCGGCGCGCGAGCCTATCGCTAAGCTGTTTTTCTATTTTGGTCGTAACGATCACTGGGTAGCTGATCAGACGAGGGATGATATTGTCGCGGTGCGTGGGCGGAAGGGAGAACAGGCTGGGCCAACTATGATTGTCTGTGAAGAGGGTTTGCCACATGCTTTTTGTTTGAGTAAGTTACTCTTTATTGACCTTGACTACGATTGACTACGATACGTAGCCTTGCTGACAGTCTGTAGAACACAGTGATGTGATGGCGCAAAAGGTTGCAGGGATGATTGGACAGATTGTGGCCTGAAAAAGAGGCTATAGTTTCTACAATCTATGCATTGGATCAGGCATGTACTACATAAAGACAAATGAATTTCGCCATTGGCGCAGACTGTAACGGGTATCTCAAGAGACGTTACGCCACGCCCATTCCCATCCGAATGACAAAGTGCCCAAAGCTATTCAAATATGCAGAAATAAATCATAAAGCTAGACGCCATGTTCAAATGATTGAGGGATCCGAAGTGGCCATTTTGCACTCTAGTGCCCCTGTCCATTGCCTTGATGGGCTAATCCTGCCCTCCGGAACAGATCTCCTAGCACATCGGATTGCGCCTGCGGTGGGGGAGCAGGAGACGGCATTTGCTGAGGCATCATGTGTTGGTAGTTAGGTTGTTGTGGGTATAGTTGCTGATGCTGCTGGTGCTGCTCGGGGCCCACATGGTGTGCGCGCACACTCCAACCGTCGTCCTGAGCGCGCTGCTGGCCAAAAAGATCCTTCAGCGAGATCTGACGTCCCATAGGTACCCCAGCCTGTATTTCCTCTATCGGGGGAGCCGTTGTGGAAGCTGCCGCTGCCGCGAGGTGTAGGCTGTTCTGGCGCATTGCCTCGAGGCGCTCGCGAGCTAGCTTCAAGCTCTCCCCAGCGTGGGTGGCGCACTCAAGGATCATCTGGGCATTGATGGTGCGACTCTCTGCGGTGGAGTTTGGCGGCGGCTCTGAGTAAATCCAAAGACCGTAAATGCGCACGTTGTTCGTGGCGGTCTGGTTGTTAGGCACATTCTGCGGGTGCAAGGGGTCGGCGATGCCATTCTGTCCGGATTCGCCTTGAGAACTTTCTTCCGCTTTGAGAATCACATAGTCATCTGTAATTTCGACATTCTCTCTGTCGGTGAGGGGAAGATCGAAGTTGTTCAGCCCGCGGCGGTTTAGTACGAAGGCAGTGTAGCGCTCTTCGCCTAGATCGCCTTGTGTTTCCTGGCACACAAACAAGGTTCCTTCAACTCCGTTCTTTTCCCATTGTTTCGTGGTGGGACTGAAGATGTAGACCACTGCGTAAGGGGCGAGTGATAGGATGGAGGTCACGGAGGGCTTGTGGCGGCGGATGACGGAGAGGTTGAGGTCTTCGTTCGAGCGGAGCGGGGGTGCAGGTTGTTGCTGCATGTCAGAATAGTATGGGGTATCAGATTCATAATCGGTGATGTTGACAGGATTGTGATTATTCTGTCTACGAGGTTTGCGCGAAGTCATATTTTCTGTGGGAGCCATTGGAAGGTGTGAAAGATGCGGAAGGAGCTGGGGCATATCGTCATTGCTCCGCCTTCGCGCTTATCCGCTTCTCTCTACCTTCGATTCTCAACTCTCAATCCTCTTTTCTGTTGAACCTCAAGTAGGATATTTGGATACTGGCATATATTTCATTTCTTCCTGTTCGATTTCAAAACACACCTCTGTTCCCCGCGTTCTACGTCATGACGATACGAGCCTTCTAAACCTTGGTGGGATGAACTTCTGTGATGAAATGACCGAGCCATTGTCGCATTATACAACTGATACTCCCAACTCTTTCTATTTATCCTATGGTAGCCACCGTCGCCCTGTTATCATATTGTGTCAACCCTTACAGCCTATTTTCTCTTGCCGGAATTAAGAACCGCGCAAGCGCACACACTCATACATACACCACGCTACATACTGCCGCCCTACCAAGTCTCAACCCATAATCAAGCGAGGCAAAGAAGCTCCCTTACTTGCTGGCTCCACCGTATAACCATACACCATGAGCAGCAAATCCCAAACCTCGTCCTCGTCCGCGTCAGAGCACAAGGGCCACGAGTCGGAATATGCAGAAGAGGCCAAGAACCCAGAACTCGATGTTTTGTCACTTTCGCGTGGAGTTAGAGCAAGAAAAGCCGAGTACACGCGCCGAAGATCTATTCGAGTCAAAGTCGGCACGTGGAATGTAGCCGGCATCTCCGGCACTGAGAAAGACGTCGGCAGGTGGTTTGTTCAAGGAGACGGGGTGTGCGAGAGGTTCTCCGGGACAAACTACGCACGGGAGCCAGAATCTCAATCGTCCAGTAAGAATGACCAGCAGAAATCAGATCGCGCCAAAAAAGGAACATTTCACTACAGCCCCGAAGAGATAGACCTCTACGTCTTGGGCTTGCAAGAAGTGGTTGATATTTCGTCCCCAACGGAAGCTCTCCGACCATATGTCGACTTGGCGCCATCCAAGCGGTGGAAGGAGGCAGTCCAAAAGGCGCTACCGGGAGGATATGAGCTTGTTTCCGAAGTCCAGCTGGTCGGTCTGTTGCTTCTGATATATGCGTCACCCGCCATTGGAGACAGTATTTCCTCTATTAGTAGTACCTCTGTTGGTACAGGTCTGATGGGGTACATGGGAAACAAGGGCGGAGTAGCAACGCGCCTTGTCCTGGGCGAAACGACCCGTTTGGTCTTTATCAACTGTCATCTCGCAGCAGGGTCTGACAAAGGCAGTTTAGAGCGACGCAATTGGGATTCTTCTCAGATTGTTCAACGTGCTAAATTTGACTCAGTCTGGTCCGAGGATGACGAGTCGGGCGAATCAGGTGAAGCAATTGGAGATGAAGATTTCACTTTCTGGTTTGGTGACCTTAATTACCGCCTTGATGATATCTCCGGCGACGATGTGCGCCAAGTCCTCGCTCGGCATACAGCCAATGAGTACGACAGAGAGCGCCAAGAAAGGCAGTCGTCAAGCCATTCTGAGGACTCTACAACCGATTTTGGTGATGAGTCGCCTTCTTCCTCTCCCCCCGAAGAAGAAGAAACAGGGCTAGCGACCGATCCTGTCACCGACGAAGAGATCGATCCTCATAATGATCCTGCATCTCTTCAAACGACAATTTCCTCACTCCTCCCACATGATCAACTCGGACTTCAACGAAGAAAAGGAGCAGCTTTCCACAAGGGCTGGCGAGAAGGCCACATCACATTCTTGCCGACGTACAAATACGACGTTGGGAGTGTGGCCATGTTTGATTCGAGCGAGAAGCAACGGGGTCCCAGCTGGTGTGATCGGATTCTGTTTCGCACCCGCCGGGACAAGCTGAGACATGAGAAGCTCGACGAGGAAGCGGAGGTGGCACGAAAGAGGGACGAGGAGATGAAGGCAAGCGGGCTGGACAAGGCTGTTGCCGATGATAACGTCTTGTTTGAATATGACCCTGACGCAGACGGTGCAAACAGTGAGGAGTATATATCAGACGAGGATCAAGTCGATGATGACGCAGTTACAATTGCATCATTGGACTCTGCCTCCGATTCAATTCGCTTGGACCATTATGTGTCTCATCAAGGCATTCTTTCGTCGGACCACAAGCCCCTGGGTGCCATCTTTACCTTGAGTTTTGACGCGGTCAATCGCGATCTCAAAGCAAAAGTCCACCAAGAAGTGGCCCGGGAATTGGACAAGGCTGAGAATGAAGCTCGGCCCGATCTTACTGTTGTGGTGGACAAATATGGCGACCAAAAGCATTCAGACCAGGAACCTGGCGCTATCGAATTCGGCGATATTGCCTTTGATGTGCCAGCTCATCGGTCCCTAACTATCGCCAACACCAGCAGCACTATAGCCACTTTTTCGTTTGCGGAGAGGCATAATGTTGACGACGAGGCCATTTCACAAAAACTCTCGTGGCTTGTCATGCATATCTCCAAGTCTGCAGAAACCACCCATGACACTGGCCCAGCGATAGTTTCTTCGTCTGAGAGCCACACACTGCTCCCCGGGGAAGTAGCGAACGTCGACGTCACGGCTAACGTTCGTAGCATTGAACATGTTCGACTGCTAAACGTCGGAAAGGTCAAATTAGAGGACATACTGGTCCTACATGTTGATGGTGGCCGTGACCACTTTGTCTCTGTTCACGGCCGTTGGCTACCCACCTGCTTCGGTTGCAGTATTGACGAATTGACCCGTATGCCAGAAGCAGGTGCTCGAAGCTTGGCCGAATCAGACACCCCTCACCCATCCAGCACAGATAGTTCCGCGGAAATTCGCTTGTCCGCACCTCGCGAGCTTTTCCGCTTGACCGAGGCGATATCCGAGTTGACAGAGCGTGCTGTTGCAGAATGGAGCATGACGAATGGTGAAACTGATGAGCATAAAGCCCCATGGGCAACAGATCTCTCTGGGGGAGCATGGCCTTTCCAGCCTGATACATGGACTCTAAAGGACCCGCAGGCGCGTGCTGCACTGCAAACTTCCGTGCGCGAAGCCCTTGACACCAACACGCCTCTTGGCTCAATCTTTGCCCCTGAATTATCCGCTCTGCATCGGTTAGAGGTCCTATCTGAAACCCTTCTCACTTTCCTCAATGCCCTCAAAGATGGCATCGTCACCGCGAAAGTATGGCAAGACATGGAGCAGCAGATAATCGCGCGCGAGAAAAACAAATTACCCCCTCGCAACTGGGAAGAAACCCAGGCCTGGGTGCTTGAGCACTTGGCATACTCACCAGCACACAGCGTATCATTCACGTTTGTCACTTTCATGCTCGCCCGCATTGCCAACGAAGTGGCCCCGGTGACTTCCTCTGCACCGATGGTCCCATTATCCAGTCAAGGAAAACACGGCAAGTCCAAAGAGCCAGCAGTTAAGCAGCCTGAACCCGAAAGTCCGGATCAAGCTCAATCTCCTACTCCAGCTTCCGCTACTGCCTTCATAACCAGCGGCAGTTTCCGTCGCAAGAACCGCTCCACAAACACATCCATTAGCACGAACCCTGACCCCACGAGTCAGAACCCTTCGGTAGCACGCCGACAAGCAGTCGAGACTGCTCTAGCATCTATATTTTCGCTCGTCCTTATTTCTGCCTCTGCTCCACTGCCGACTAAAGAGAAAGAGCGCCGTATATCCGAAGAGCGGAGGCGATCAATCATTGAACCATTCTTAAAGATGATCGCGGTGGATGATCGAGGTCCATCTGGGGGTCGATCCTGATTTTTTCATCAGATACAGTCGCGAGGTTTGCAGGCGTGTTTTCCCTCGTCTCGTCGCCCGGCTCTGAGCTATTCAAATTTGGACCCTGGACATGTTTTGACTCCCTCAGACTTGGCTTTCAAGTTGTTCGATTACATCACGTTGTATCGATGTGTATAATGCTGTACAAATGCTATATCTTCATGCTTCCCTCACCCATAAATATTAGTGATGAAGGCTGAGAAACCTCGAATTCAAACTCAAGTCAATATTCTCATCCTATAGTTATGATAGATCATGCCCTGGAAGTGCTCAAGTCCATACATAAACGCCATTACCTCAATCCCTCAGCCCGTACCAATGCCCATTTCCCCAATAGCTCATAGCGCACTAAAGATCTTCAGTCAACAATAAAAACAGAAAAAAACTCCATGCATATCTACATCATGCCCCATCCCCATTTCTCATCCCAGGCCGCCGCTGTAGTGCCGCCAGCCCACCACTCTGCCGATAGGCACCCGATAATTCCACTCCCTCACCCCCACTTCCACTTCCAGTCTTCCCCTTCGATCCAGACTTGGACTTCGATCTCTGCTGCGGCTGCGGCTGTACCCTAACCTTCCGCCCCATCACGATACGTCTCACGGCATCCCACCACCCGGAGACCACGCGCCCAGGCCAGCCAAGAACTGACAGCGCAATCTGAGCAGGGACAACGATGCATGCGCAAGCCCAATCTAACAAGACGAGCGCATAATTCGGCCGACGCGACTCGGCCGACCGCTGCGCCGCAGCAGCCAGCGTAAACGCGTCCGCGGCCTTGGTCTCGAGGTGCGCGAAGCGCTGATCGGTCTGTAGGGTGAAGAGGGCGGAGCGTTTCTCGTAGCGCCTAACGGCGCGATTCAGGGCTTCGATATCGGGTTGTATGGCTTTGCGGGTTTCAACAGCTGCGTGAGTGACAATGGATGAGGATGTTTCGAGAGGGTCTTTTTCTTTCGGGGAGACGTTGTTTTGGGTAGCGAGGCGGGCGGTTGCTGTCTCTGCGACGTGAGCTTCGAGCTCTTCGAGGCGCTTTGTTAGGTCATCTAAAGTCGTTGGGTTTATGACTGGGTTTGCGGAGGAGGCTATGATGCGTTGGAGGTGTAAAGTGCGGTTTTGGATTAGTCTTAGGAGGTGTGCGGCTGGGCGGACTTCGGAGGCTAGGAGGAAGATTGTTAGGTTGTAGTTTGATACTAGGCCTTCGGAGGGTCGGGAGAGGCTGGAGCGGATGGCGTGCAGGAGCCAGGTGCCGATTATGGGGAATATGAAGCAGGCGGCTAGAGCTATAAGCTCGTGTATTTGGAGCTCGGAGGTGGCTGTTGCTGCTTCTTTCTGTTTGGGTTGGGGTTCTTGTTCTTGATCGAGCTCGTATGGGGGATCGCCGGGCGCTGGGAATCCACTTTCTTCTCGTCGGATGGCCTGGGCCGAGCGATACCAGTCCCTATTATGTATGTAGTTAGTGCTTGTACTTTTGCTCTGGAAGATAGGTGGATGGTTTAGGGGAGTTTATACCAAGGTAACCGGACAGACCAGTTGAGAAATATCGCAGCCAAGCCTAGTAATGTGACGTCGGTGACGACGGAGCTACCTTCATGAAAGAAAATACCCGCAATTGCGGGCAGCAGGGCCAGTCCGAGCGGTGCAGAATGCCAATTCGATTCTTCGGCTGAGAGTGCGGCATGACCTTTCGTGACGCGCGGTAGAAACAAGTCGTCGGTCGATGAGCGAATCGAGTTGCGGGCCTCTGAGAGGGAGTCTGAGAGGGTCGAGTTTCGTCGTTGACTCTCCTCGAAGGGACGAAAACGACGTGTATTTGAGGGGCGAGTAGGCGAATCAGCCATGATGACTCCAAAGGTTGGAAGAGGAATATGTTGCCTCTCACTCCAGAGTATACAACGGGGTACATTTACCGAGGTTGGGGCGATGATGCAATGAGACCTAACCGGTTCGCAGATCCTCGACTGATAGATATAGATTATGCAGAATATTCAGAATATTCAGAAACATTAAGACTTACATAACATGCAGTACATGGCACTCGAGACCTTTTCTATCTCGGTGCTCATCTGCCGTTATGCTGTTATGCTGTTGTGCTGTTATGCCTATTTCCCCCGGGATAATTGGGGGTCTAGGTACCCCGGGCCGGGGATTGCCTCAGGGCCCCAGGGGGTGTTTCTACCCCCGAAACCCCCTAGGGTCCACCAAATGACCAAGTCCAAGCCCAAAAACCAAAAAGTCACTCAGGAAATCCAAAAGGTGGCTTTGTATGGGGTTTTTGTCGTGCACAGACCAGCTCCATACAAAAATTGTCCGGAGCAATTTCTAGCCATTTTTACTGTTGTATGCAGTTGGACCAAAATGGGGTGAGTATGTGTAGAGAGGATGGATGAGGATGTATGTGGAACCCCTTGTACTCAATAATCTCCTAACCACATTGGATATCTAACGTGTGAATTGTATACTAAATGTGGCTATGTACATAGAATGGAAGGAATTTTTCAAGAATGTAATTGAAAATGATCAAGTCTTCACCCCCAGTCTCTCTCGCTTTACATAGTATGGATCCTATGATAGGTAGTATCGCACAGCACTTGTGAACAGAAGTCTGATGATTGGTGTATGATGTCTTGTCAGGTAACTGAGGCTTGTAGAGTCAATGCCAGCTAGCAACTAGCCTGGTGGACACCCTCTCAAGAGTTCCTGATCTGCCGGCGCAACACATTGATCCCTGCATCATGTATCACGATTCTAGTGGCAGATTGTACATGCGGCCATGTAGGGGCATTTCAATGGTGACCCATACCCAATGAGGGAATGGAGATCAAAATCAAGGAACGTGCGATAGGAGAGCTCTGGAGTCTGTTTGGGACCTTATGCTTGCTGCCCTTCTCACCTTCATCTTTTCTCTTCACTCCTTCTACTTCTTCGTCTCCTTCTAACACCCTCTTGTATGACACCTCTGTCTGCTTAGCTAGGAACTAGCCTTGGACTTCCAAGCTTACTTGGTTGTACCACCGGGTGACCTCTCAGTCAGTCAGCCACTGACGCTGCAATGCATGCCATCGGGTAAGAAGGGCAGCCCAGGCCCTTGGGCTCTATCAAAAAGCAAAACTACACTGTTGCCAAGGAAATGCCCTGGTAAACCAACAGTCTTGTCATTCCGAACGAGAAAGGACCGAGCCGCAAGCTTATGGATCTTACAACATTGGTGAAACCGCCAGGCTCATCCCCTTGACTATGCTCTGCGAGGATGCTATCTATCATACTGGTACGGGGGATATAGTGTACAAAAAGTGTGAAAATAAACATGCGTTGAGCTTGGATCAATTATATCACACTGTTCTGACATTACACATATTGGAAAGATCTTCAATATTGCGACAAACTTCATTTTTTTTTTTCGCAGTGTTGTCATGTTCATTGTACTTCGTACCCCATCGAGGATGGATGCATCAACTCCCTCGCCCGAGGTCACCTTAAGAATCTGGTCAATCTGGTCGATCTCTCCTGAACGTCTAGATCAATAATGAATCATGAAAATCTCCCCAGACAAAAATATCAGACGGATCCAAATGAATAAAATCCCCGCCCCCTTGGGGCCTATTGACACCCCAATCTGGACTGGTGTCGCCTCACACTATTCGCTCAATCACAACATTCCAGCCCATCTACTTCACGTTGCTTTATTCAATTTCTTTCAACTTCTTTCATCTCATTATTGTAAGTTCTCTAGTCTAACTCAATACTAATCCAATGGATAGGTTTCTCTGCCTGTCGCAAACATGTCAAGGCCAGGTACCCCCGGCCGCGGATTTTGCCTCTGCGGCCCATACATTCTTCGTGAATAGTACATGACTTTGCTCAAGGCATGATGTCTTGAGCTATGAATCAACCTCCTGATTCTCACTATTCAGATATCAATAAGACATCGCCGTTCCATGACCTCCCCCGGCTAGCTATACATTCTATATCGAGAGAGGATGGTTTCAACGCATTCTTCTTTCTGTCACCCTATCTCTTCATTTCCTTGGTCAGTTTGCAGAAGAATTGGAGGCTCAGATTGGTCGTCGACATAGTCTTTTTAATTTCAATTTTACATCCACTGCCGCCATGGATATTTACCAAAGGCGCCCACAGGCTGTGGTTTTGCCAATTCTATCTTCTTTCTCCATTGCTCTCGCCATTCCGCCTCTAATTCTGCATGGAAAGAATCGCAATTTCCCAGCTACCAGTCTGATATTCTGGTCAATCCTACTCAACTTATTCAACATTATCAATGCTCTCATATGGCCCACGGACAACGTGGGTTCGTGGTGGGACGGGGCTGGTCTCTGCGATATCGAGGTCAAATTTATGACTGCTGGCTATGTTGGCATCCCAGGAAGCCTGGCATGTATCTTTCGAAGTCTTGCAATTGTACTGGACACAGATCGGGCTACATTAGTCCCGAGCAAAGGTCAACGCTGGCGCAATCAGTTCGTGGAAATTCTGTTCTGCGTGGCTGTTCCAGTCATCGCAATGATCACGCAAATCATCTGGCAGAAGAGCCGATACTTGCTATTCGCTATTTCGGGGTGTGTGAACAACTTCGACGAGAGTTGGGTCAGTCTCGTCTTTGCGTGGATCTGGCCGCCGATTATCTGCCTCATTGCAGCATACTATTGTTGTAAGTATATAATCCGAACTTCGTGCAAAAAACCCTCCATTAACAGGAACATCACAGGCCTGGTCATTATTCGTGTACACAAGTACCGAAGCGACTTCGCAAACATCATTCGCGCCTCCAGCAGCAATCTCAGCAAATCCCGCTTCCTCCGGCTCTTCTTTCTTGCCTTATCAATGCTTGTCTGTATCCTCCCATTGCAAGGCTACGTTGTCTACAATGACATTGCCCTCTCCCTGCCCTGGCACTCCTACTCCTGGGGTAATATCCACAACGGAGAATGGCACACCATCGTCAAATACCCCATCGGTGGCACCGTCTTCTTCGACCGCTGGACCCCTGTCGCATCAGGCTTCATGATCTTTATCTTCTTTGGCTTCGGCCGCGACGCAACACGCATGTACCGCACAGTCTTCTGGTACCTCGGATTGAGCTACTGTTTCCCAAGCATCGGGCCCCCAACAGATACACACAGCACGCCGGCCCCTGGGCACGCCTCAACAGCAACCACCCTGGTCGGCAGTATCGAATCCCGAGCCAGAACGCTATTCTCCCGCCAGAAGGAATCCGTCGCTACTTTTATCTCGACACATAGCACCTACAACGATCTTGAAAAAGGCACCTCTTCGCACTTGTCCCGACGCGGCTCTGGCAAATTGACTAAGAAGTCTCGATGGAGTAGCTTGCCCTGGTCGCTTTTTAATAGACGTCAGACTCGTCGAGATACCGATGGAACCCTGTTGACCGACCTCGCCACTCCTTCACAGACCGTATGCACGAATGCTTGGGCTAGTCGCCGTGATAGTCATGATTTGTCCAGCGGGCCTACTTCGCCGGAGCTTAATAGGGATTACATTCATGTGCGGCAGGTCATCAGCCAACAGAGTGAGGTTAGGGTTCAGGTTTAGTGGGCTTGTTCTTCGAGACTGTATCTGGGACTGCAGTGGCTTTTTACGGTATTCTAATCTTGCCTTTGCGTTGATCCCGGGTCATGGGATTCTACTGTACATCAGAGTACTACTAATTAGGTATCATAACACATAATTCGTCGCGAAGTCGGATGGCTCTCGTGCAAAATAAAATATGAAAAATGGAATGATTTTGAACATGTGTCTTCGTAGACATCGATGCTCGATGTTTTACATGTGTAGCTAGGGCCAATGGAGGAACTCTTTATATCTGGAGTTGCCAAAAGCGTGGCCTTGATCCAATATCCACTAGTCAGGCCCCAAGACCCTAAAATCTTAGTACATTATTCCTTCCATGCTACCTAGCTAAAAGTTGTCTTCGCCCTGCAACCTTATGTCCTAGGCCTGTTCCAGTACAGTGGTAAATCCTTGCAAGTATATGCGAAGATCTGCAGATGATCCTATTTGTCATTGTGTACATACCTAGTTAGGTACACCTGTTGCTTTTGTCATAACCGCTCCCAGTTAGACTGCAGCCTGCACTAGTCCGCGAGTTGGCGATAGGTTGGCATAGACTTTGTAGATCTTCGCACGATCAAGTCAATCAACAAATCGTATATTGAATCCAAAAAACCAATGGTGTTCAGAATACCTAGGTATACTACACCACATGCTACAAGATCGAATCCATCCACTACAAAACGAAGTGTATTCAGGGTATAATCGTACAATACTAAATCACACCGCAAAGGAGGATTCAGTCAATCTCGTCAGCCCCAAAATGAAACTAGCAACAAATTAGATTGATACAGGGCCCGGGCTAAGCCATTTAGTGAGATTCGTCGTGGCCACCGTTCTCGGGGCGCTTGAGGACCTCAAGAGTGCCTAGAAAAGTGTTAGATTTAACTTCCGTTCTTCCCATATTCCCGGAGAGGGAGAGCAAATTGAGAAACAGAGGATCGACATACGCTGCACAATGTTCAGAGTGGACCGGGTCTGGCCCTCAGAATCTTCCCAAGTGGCCATTTTGGCATCGCCTTCGACGTACAGGAGGGTTCTGCGGAGGAAAAGTCAGTTTATCTGCATGTTCAAGCGCAACTCTGCTGCATTGGCACAAGTGGATAGCGGGCAATTGGGCAGGGCAAGTTTGTATCATAGCCGTCACTACCTAGCCACGAACATGACACGAAGGATTGATGTCCCCTCCAAGCGTGCATTGCCTGACCGCCGGGTATACATCATATGCTCAAGCAGGCTTGCACGATCCCCATGCAGCCTTCGAGCGCGAGCCTACGCTCTCGCTCTCGCTCTCCATCTGTATAGACCGCGCGCCTGCCGATGTAGTGACAACGCACCCAGCGGAGAAGACACAATCGGAACAGGCAGCGTTGTGCCCCGCGTGATCCAGAAATGTATCAAGAGCGTTGACTTACCCCTTCTGCAAGCCAAGGATGAAATCGCGCTGGGGTCCCTCGGGGACGAAGTTCGTGATGCGCCACCAGCTCGTTTGGCGGTTATCGCGGTTGCCGTGAGAAGTGGCGATGTTGTACTTGACGATCTCCTGGCCGGAAGAGGTGGCTTGGAGCTCGGGCTCTGCGCCGAGGCGGCCGGTGAGGGTCAGACGGGCGATGGAGTGGGCGGGAGAGGAACTGAAGGCGCGTGCGGTCTGAGGGGCACCAGCCATGCGCATGGCTGGGCGCAGAGAGGAGAGGAATGCAGACATGGTTGGATGGAGGATGTGTGAATTATGGTTTGCAGTATGGATTAGGATTTGTTTTGGCATTGTTGATAGGTGTCGATCACGACACGTGATTTGGACACGGGCTACCGCTTTCGGATGTGACATGGCATAAGATACTTGTTAGGGTTGATAATTGATTATTTATTATTGAGCATGAAGCAGGGAACTTGCTTATAATTACGACCTCCTTGAAATATAATTGAGCACAGAGTGGTTATTTTGGCGAAGCTCATCTGCTCATGCTGGGAAGATATAGCTATAGCTTTACCCCGGAGTCCCCCTGGTGCAGGATTCTAGCGGGTGCAGACAGCTACAAACTCCAGAATTATAAATCCAACGTATCAAGTCTCGAGTCAAGAAGAAAAGCAAGGAACGAAAAAGAAAAGAAATGCAAATCAAACGAGCCTATTTTGTAACTCTATTACTTTGAAATCCATCAGACGCTAATGTGAATGCCAACAGGAATACGCCAGCGGCCATACATATTTTGATTGGAAAAAAAAAAGATCTTGCCAGAGGCTAATCACGTCACAATCCATCACATCCAAATGGCCCGCAAAGATACAATTGTACATAAAATTGTACACGGCACAGTATTCTGGAAATGGCAGCCGATAAGAAGATCGCCCAGGGGGGTAGATCCTAGAGGTGCTGCAATACCGCTGATTGATTGAACCAGACCGAAGATAAAATTAAGATAGCTGTTGTCTCAGATGTACTCCTTACCTCGTCAATTAGCGGCCCAACCACGTCGCCGCAGGGGCGTTTGCGAGGCGTCAACAATGGCTAACACAGCCTGGACCTGCAGGCATTACAGAACAATAGTGAGATTGGTCAAGTCAGAGGTCTACGGTCAAAGCCAAAGTAACTTCGGTCACTTCGGTCAATTCGGTGAAGTTGTCAAGTTGCCAAATTGTCAAATCTGCATAGATCGACTGCGATAGTCATGGGGCAGCGCCACTCGTACAAATTGAGAGTCTTTAGGGCTATTTTTCTTGTTCGTGGGCAAGGAATTTGCATATAAATGACGGCGAAGTGTCCCTTAAATGCGAGGTATGATATGACAGCTCACTCTTGGATCTGCAATGCGTTGTTCACACTTTTTTTTTTTAAAAAAAAATACGATAGTTCCAAGAGCCCGGAAAAACACGTTTTGTGATTGAATGGCAATATTCGCCGAACTAAACAGACAATTCCGTCACAGTGTGGAGACTTGAGGATCCTTTTCTCTCTCTCTTTGGTCTGTGTAAGTGATTGTCGAAGTTGATCGTTACTAGATCGGCAATTGCGCGATCGGTGGAGACAAAATAGATAGCCCAGGTACACTCGCGTGGGTAATCTTAGTGTCCTCTTATATTCCTTGTTGCATTCAGGCTGGGTTCCCTATTCTGGACTAATAAAATTCAAATCCATGCGATATGGGCTGTTTTCCCAATCCTTTTATATGTAGGGAGGCTTAGGGCTATCTCCGTTTGCTGTCCATTTTTCTTCTTCTCACCATAATGCGTCTCTGACGCCGCGTCAATTAATTCCTTTTTATATTGTTAATAATTAATATTCGTGTCCCCCCCCAGGTCTGCATCTCGTGCGTGAACCGTGTGACTAACATCGCGGGATATGTGCAAGGTGTGCTGGTCTTACAATAACCAAAGACATTTCTCTACGAAGGTCGATTGCATTTTGCTTTAGAGTCCAGCCAAGATGCGGTGGCCTCTGCTGTTGACCTTAATAGTGTCTCTATTCCTGTTGGGGACATTGGCAGCACCGGCTTGGGGCCCAGGACGTCGCGATGCTGGAGTCGCTAACCTCGAGGCCAGGCAAGAGAAGGAAACGGATCTTACAACGGCAGATAATGCTGCCACCGAGGTCGAGGCGGCAACTCGAACAGATACATCGAGAACAGTAACCGATACGTCAACAACTGCCGAAGCTACAACGACAGGCGCTACTGCCTCGACTACTGGCTCAACCACTGCTATAACACATGCCACAACCAATGCTACCACCACTTCTTCTGCTGCTTCTGCGACTTCGACTGTGCCCTCGCTCGATGGAACAACTGTATCTTCTCAGCAGGACGCGGTGGACTCCACTAGACCAACGTACTCCGGGGGTCTACCAATCAAACCGACGATCACGCCGGCATGGGGTGTTGGGGGGGTTTATACTGATAGCTCTCGGAGCCGTGCTGACTTTCATCGGTGTCCGCCAACAATGGTATTTATGTTGCGATTCCTTGATGATGATAACCTTTTTACTAAAGAAGAACAGGGTCCAAATCTTCCTCTCAACCGGATTTCTTAGCGCCTTGGGAGTTACCGTAAGTTCCATTCTAGGAGGATAACAAAGAACGCAACTGATATCCCATATAGGTCCTCATTATCTATGTCATGAGCCCACCGGTAAGCAACGCCGTTCAGGGGGGCTATCTCGTCGCCGTTTTCTTCACCGGCGCAGTATTCGGTGGTCTATCACTTGTTTTCAGAGAAATCTGCGAGGGACTGGGCTGTCTTCTGGGAGGTTTCTGTCTGAGCATGTGGTTCCTTGCCCTAAAATCCGGCGGTCTTCTAAGTGAAAACGGCCCCAGAGCTGGTATGATCATTGCATTTACCGTGGGATTCTATTCCCTTTCATTCAGTCACTATACAAGACCATACGGGCTGATCGGATGCACTTCGTTTGCCGGTGCAACTGCGTTGGTCATTGGAATTGATTGTTATAGCAGAGCTGGATTGAAAGAATTTTGGTTATATATCTGGGGTGAGTCTAGCATTTTGTATTTTCTTTTCAACCCATTACTAGTTGCTGACGCATCCAGGATTGAACCAAAACGTCTTCCCCCCTCAGAACGGACACATATCCCGTGACACGTGGTATTCGTGTTGAGCTTGCCGCGACTATAATCATTTCTGTTCTGGGGGTCATCTCCCAAATCAAACTTTGGAATCTCATCAAAGAACGCAGAGCCAAGGAAGAAGATTCCCGTCGAGCACACACTCGAAAAATCGAAGAAGAAGATGCCGAAGCTGGCCGCCGCCTCGAGGAAAAGAATATACAGGAGCGCGCTGAATGGGAACTCATTTACGGAAATGGAAAGGATGCGAAAGGAAAAGTCGCCTCGGTCTCGGAGACTGCTGTCGGTGACTCGCGACGGGGCTCCGATGGATTCGAGTCCTCTGACAATGACAAGGAGGGGGAGACCGAGCTCAAGGAGGATCCGAGCCCGGATGCCTCTGGCAGTGGCAGTGAGAAAAGCAGTCCGGGTGAAAAGAATACTCGCGAACAGGAAGATGTTCCGGAGGAGGATCCATCCCAGCAGGGTCAACCCCGAGGTACAGACCAGGAAAAGGCTGCCGAGAAGAAGGTGGAATCAGAAGCAAAGACGCCAAGGCCTTCTACACCTGTTGTTACTCATGTCCTTGGCGAGGGCAACGATGACTCCTCTGAGAACGGTGCTGACGTCGGCTCAGAGGTTGGCACGCCGCGCTCGAAACGGTTCTCTGGCAGAGAGATGTTGAATCGGCTCTCTTCGCAAAATGGCAATGATGGAATAACTGCTTCACAGCCTCAAGGAAATTTGATGGATCATGACGATGCTAACTCTTCTGTATTGGGAGTCATTGATGATCTTCATGATATGAGCGTCGGCTGTCCAAGTGTTATCTCAGATGCGGATGTTCACAATCGTGTTGAGAAAACTGAGCAAACGCAGCCAGCGCAGCCAGTGCAGCAAGAAACAAGCACCGCCAAGCTAGCTCCAGAGACGGACACGACAGACGTTGAGATCAAGTCAGAAGTCGGTCTACAAGCTGCCCCAGAGGCTGAACTCCGTATCGATACAGCCGTAGCCCAAAAGGACACCGACAAAGTGATTACTAAAGAAACTACTGTCAGCCACACTGTTCCGCATGTGTCTCCTGTCGAGAGAAATGTTGTTGTTGGATGTCCTTCGAAGAAATTTGACATTTCCGAAGTGTCAGAGAAGCCCCAATCACCGGAAATCCCCACAACCCTTGTTCAACCAGTCACTCCATGTGGTTCTAGAAAGACCGAGGAGGTGAAGCCCAAAGCTACATTGGAGCCGTCACCTCTGATCGATGCAGAAGAGGAAAAGGTCCAAGAGGCCACTGAAGACCAATGTGCTATTGATAAACACATCAAACCCGAGTCCGTCCCTGAACCGAAGGTTGTATCTCTGCCCAAGCCCAAAACTGAGCCAAAGATCAAAGTGCTCAAGAAATTGGACGCGTCAACTGTAAAATGCATCCCGGAGCAAACATCACGAGTGATTCATTCTTACCGCACGAACGAATGGGCGAAGCATCTCGCAGATGCCGACACCCCTGATATGGAGCCAATCGAGTTCGAACATGAATCGGAAAGATACTCAAAGGAGATTCACGAGACTGCAGCATTTGTTGATGTAGGCGGTCTTCTCCAGACGCCTCTCACTGCACAACCACCACCAATCGTGAACAGGCCTGAATTTAATGATGTGGACAATCAATCACCTACCTATATCTCATCGGTACCCACGCCAGATATTTCGAAATCCAAGACACGGACCGGTGCGCAAGGCCTCACCACAGCAAAGCCAATTTTAACCCGTAATGAGTCAACAACTTCAGTCAACATGCTACGTTCAGCTTCCGGCCCACTTCCAACTCAGGAATCGGTATTGAGATCAATGCGCAACACATCAACTCCTCTGTTGACAATCACTACTCCCAACGAGCCCAAAGAAACGGAGCCATCACCGCGTTGGAATGGACCTCCTCCCCTCCTCGCAGTCCGCGAGAACATGGTGCGAAATCGCATGTCATCAACATCCAACCGCTTCGATCCCTGGCCTGAACGCAACGCATCACGCCAGTCCCTACCTGAAATGGCGCCTGTCGTTTCCTCAATTTCACCACCGCTCTCCACCCCCGAAGAAAATCAACAAGCCCAATCCAATGAGGATGACATGCCACTTTCCAAGCGGCGCGCCCTACTACGGCGCCAGACAGCACAGTCACCTGCAACAAGCCTTGACAGCCTCGAGGCTGCACCATTCTCTTTATATTCCCCACCAGCTCCCGCTGCCGAAATAAACCGGTCTGCTTCAAGAATGGCAGCATGGAGACAGTCGGTCCGCGAGGAGATCACTCAAAAGCGAGATCCTTTGGCGCTTCAATCCCCACCCATTAGCCCGGTCAGCCCCGTGGACCGGCCGCGCACTGCATGGAACTCTGTCCAGCAGATGCGCGAGGCCTCGTCTACTCAACTGGGTGATGCTATTGCAGACGGCATGCAGCGTGGCAACATGGCGGATCTACACCGTCAGGCAATGCGGCGCATGCAAGCTTCAGCGAATCGACAACTGTAGTGCCCAGTCATCGCTCATTCATTTTACTCGATACCCTCTGATTTGTGATCTTTTTTTCTTACATATATATATAACTAGGTGTTGTTATTACACGCCATGGCAATTGTGTCTTTCCTACGACTCAATGAAGTATCTATTGCATCGACGTCTATAATCTCGACTTGATAATGTATATTTTCCCGATTTGTACAGGTCCTATGCAGTAAATAAAACGGGCTAACTGGACCTTGCCGAGACTTGGACTGAACTGAAATGCATTTCGTCATAATAGTACAATAGTACCTCTATTAGCGTTTGCTAGAGTGTGCATACTATACCCAATAAAGTCCGAGGATGAAACAAGGGACGGTGGATTAATCACAGTGAAACCCGGACAAACGACTCGCATATATATTGTTATATTATTGGATGTGCATCCCTTTCGAGTCACTGAACCTTTTGATATAAGACTCTTTTTGATATCCCAATTTCATGTTTCTGTCATTTAGCCAGAGTCCAGATTGTATACGCCAAGCAAGCTTCTTCTATACTAAGGATTTATAAAGGATTTCGCCTCAAATTTCAGCTCCTGCAAATTCGCATCTTTTCTTTTTCCTAATTTCTTTTTTATTCAATCTTGTTATCACACTCATTTGTCGCATATTTTCCATATAGGACCTTTGTTTTTTTTTCCTTGGCCGATATCTCCATCTCCGCTCCAATTCCCCCCCTCCCCTTTCTGCCCTCAAAACGGCGTCCTTAAAACCCCACGGACCTCTGTCGAGGGAGGAAGAAGCATTCTGTTATCCACGCGGCCAACAGATACTGCGGCCTCCAGCCAATCGCGCCCCCGTGGAGTCAACTCCGTCATTCGTTCGCGCCCAGCGGCGACAGTGCGTCCCGATTTCAGGCCCGCCGTCGCTCCTCCGCCCACCAGCAGTCCGACTTGCAAACCCAGTCAACTACGTCCCACGAATAACCCCAATAACTGTCCACCCACACCAATCCGACGAGAGCCTCCCACTTGGCTTCGGCCACTCACGCGACGCTCATCCCCTACTCAGCGTCCCAGAGCGACGCCGCAGCCGCCTAACCCCGTCCCCGAGCAGCCTACTTGTTGAGCGCAGCCAGGGAGAAACAGAAAGTGGCCGGACTAGCATTGCCCTGCCCCGAAGGCATCGTCGCAGCGAAGACTTCGCCAGCACAGAAATGGCGTTTGCGGGCAGTGCAGCGCGGGAAACTGAAAATCTGCGCCCTCCCGAAGCTGTCCATCTTACGCAGAACGGGACTCGTCAGAATGACCGTGTCCGACATGCTCAGTCACAAACCTCCCTACGCTCCCAGTCTCAGGTCGCTTCAGTCCCCTCAAATACCGGTCTTCCCCCTGCTGATGTCGCTGAGGAGCTTGCTTGGGGCCCGGCTCACCCCTGTTTCCCGCATATGAATCCCCATGTGCCCATTGGGTCGCGGGAACATGTGACAACGCGTGTGATTCGTATTCGGCGTGATTGGATGATTAAGGGTGATTTGGCGCCGACTTTCTCGAATCTGTACCCTGAAATTCTTGATCCATTGTTGTCGGAGCAGGAGTTCCGGAGGGTGATTTCTACCGTTAATGATGGTATTATCAAGGCTTTTGATCCGTTCAGTCTTCGCAATTGGTTCGATGGCGTGGTTGGCTTATTGACTGGCTGGGTATGGGATGATCTCAATGCCCCCGGGACAAAAAGCCAGTTGCAGCATGTTGAGGATTGGTTGGAGACTTGGAATCGCGAGGTCGGCGCCAAGGAAAGTGTCCATATCTGGAGCTTGAGGCGGACGGCGTATATGTCGCTTGATATCCAGATTCCCGATCCCAAGGTTGGCATTGTACCCAGTGAGGCACCCTCGGCTCCTAATACCAGACCGAGTACTGGTATCGGGGCTGGGTCTTGATGGGGCTTTTTCGGGCTGGCGTGCGCCGTTTTCCTTTTGCTTTCTGATTGTACATCTTTGTGATTTGTTCCCTTCCGGGGCCCTCTGCATGATATCCATCCCGCGGCATTTTTTTTTTTCGACACCAAATCTTTCCCTATATACCCTCGCCTTTTGAGTCGAGCGACTTTCTCTTAATCTTTCTGTGATTTGATACCTTTCTTTTACATTTCTTCTGTCAGCTTCGTCTACATATCCCTGTCGATTCTCCTACGGGCTACTTTTACCCTGATTTCTTATTGTCATCTTGACCATGCCTCTTTGTCCATATCTGGCTGTCTCTCTTACATTCTCACCTTTAGACTTGCTAGTGTTCCCAAAAAGAATTACATTGCGGATTTTCTTTCTCTCCGCCTTAATGCTCACTTTATATCTATATCGGTGTTTCATAGAGGTAGAACATCCCGTTGTCTATATGATGATTCTATATTTCACTCACGCAAGTTGGTGTATACTTTGTGTAACAAAACCATTCTACGGCAGTTCATTGGCTTCTCATGTGTTCGGCTCACGGCATCGAATGATGCAATGCAGGACTTGGCCTATCTCACACGTCCGAAAGCCAGCATAGGGTATTCAGACAACTCCTGGTGTCAACCGAGGCAAGTTTGAAGTGAATATAGCATACAAACTTCAACACAGCCCAAGATAGATTGATCAAATTCATTCCAGAACTTATACGCGTCGACATCAAGTATATCGGATATAAGCTGTCTTCGTGAGCTGCGCATTTGGCTTGGGATTTCTTTCAGTTTGACAATAGGAGGTTGGTTATCGAGGGGACAAAGTGCGTGTTGGTTTCAGACGAGAGAATGTCAGTGATGTAGTTGGCAATGTGTGGTCTCAAGGGCTTCCAGATGGTTAAAACATCCACCATGAAGAACGCACGTACTGTGTCCAGAATTGTCATTCATTCTTGGTTCGAGTAGCTTGTGAGCTGGATATAGGCAGGTAGGCCCATGCTCACTTCCAACGTTTGTTAAGTGAATCCTCCCTCGTATGCAGCGAGAGTCTTGCAGAGAGAATAGGCACACAAGACTTACTAGCGGACTTGGGAGACGGATGTTGTTCTACAGGCCTTGTGATACCTAGTCGATATAGTTACATCCACGATATCATCTTAAGATCTAGAGAAGTGAAAACGTGAAATGAAACGGGCATCTACTTCTACGGGCTGTTTACCTAGTCTTCGCCTTACCGCCCAGAGGACCTACAATATAGTGTGGAGCCTGGGCTTCGATGGTCGATGCGTATCATCATGTAGGCCCTCACTGCAATGCCAAGAAAAAGAATGTTTTTTCAAAGTCTTTAAGATAGCCTCTCCAAGACTTCCCGGCCTTTCTCATCCAAATCCGGATATTGTCTTAGGTTACGCAAATCTGTCCAAAACGCCTTGGCATCTTCATATGCCTCGTCATGTATGCCCAAGCGTTCTTGTAGTAACATCTTCCATTCGACGTCCATTTCTGTAAATCCGAAAGAGGCCGAGACGTATTCATACCAGACAGGAAAATAGGCAGCGTACTCCCAGTCAAGTATACTGATAACTTTCCCATCTTGGACCATAACGTTGCCCAAATTGAGATCACAGTGGGTGAGGACATAGGGCTCGCATTTCGGAAGGCGCTTTTTCAAGTTTTCTAACACTTTTGAGGGTACACAGTGAAGCTTCAGGCTAAGGGCATCCCAAAGTTCTTGGTCGGAGTGAAACGGCCCACGGGGTTCTAAGTCACTGAATGGTAAGTCTGGATAGCTCGGGCCATTATCGACACATTCAATAGAGGTCGATGTGACGGATCGAAGCCGTTTACGGATTTGAACGACTTGATCCGCGATAGCTATCTTTTGGGATTCTGACAACGAAGGCCATGCCTCCTCGAGCGTTTGGCCATGTATACGCTCGGTCATAACAAAATATCGATTGTCTTTATCAACCCAGTCACGCAGGACCTTTGGAACTGGGATATCGGTATAGGTTGTCAGGTAGTTCAAGGTTTTAACTTCAACTTTTGCCTTTGGACCCTCATCTGGGCGGTCTTTCAAAATCACATCAGAACCGATAGACCAAACTCCCCGTTTAGATGCGCCGTAGAAGAGTTTAAGATGGCTGGAATAATGGCATTTTGTTTGTTTTTCGACTGTCCAGCCGCATGCGATACAACCGGTGTCAGATTGTTCAGCCATAGGGGTTGGGGGGCTTAAGAGAGGCAAATCTGTGGCAAGAGATGAGTGTTTGATTGAGAATGAAACGGGGAAATCTTGAAAAAAGCACAAGGCCCTGACCCTTTCGTGGACCGCCATGAGTGGTAAGATGGTCTGGATTACTCTGTACCTATTGGTTATACCATGTGCCTTGAGCCTATTGGTAGGTATTCTCCACATCATTGTGACCCAACATACAATACAAAAGACCAAAGAGCTGGCGCTACCTAGGCTTTGCTAAGAGATCTAGGAATCTGAAAGTGTGGATGTCCAAGGACAAAACGGGTGATATACGGAACGATGCTAGATGTCAGGACACTACTTTGGTCGGGCACTGTCAATTGTACCAGTCTCCGAGCCCTGCCAGCAACAAAAGAAGGGATCAGTGTTGACGTATGTTCGACAATAGTGTCAGACTACCCTTGCAATTCTGCGAGACAATTCAGTTGCCTCGGTCAAGCTCGCCTGCCTCTTGGCTGGCCGTGGTGTTGACCTGATTGACCTGCTGAATTGTCCAGCTCAGGTGGTGACTTCGTCAAATCCGCGACCGCCATGAAGCCGGGCCTTCTCTATCGTACGCGTTTGATTCAATGAATGGAGAGAGCCATGAGAGACAATTTGCTGTTCTTGACGGTCGGTGTGATCGTACCAAGTTCTCTGTCCGAGGATGTGGTGCAATGGCAGTACAAGCGGGATGTTTCCAATAGAATCGTAGCTCAATTGGTGCCTTTATCAATGGATTAAAAATTCAAGGCGAATTAAACGGCAAGTTGACTAGAGTTTTGAGAGTCCTGGAAAAAGAAAGAAGACTGATGATTGAACAGTTAAACACAACCGTAGTCAAGTAGTCGATGGAAGACCTCCTTTATACCTCAGGTGTCGATCCACCCCACACCCCTGTTTCCGCAGTTCTCCAACTCCATCCCAAATAACTCGACTGACCTCAACAAGATGCTCTCAGGGATTCTCATATTCAATCAGAAGGGTGAAAATCTCATCTTTCGCGCCTTCCGCAGCGACTGCCGCCCTCGCCTAGCCGACATCTTCCGCATTCAAGTTATATCCAATCCCCAGGTGCGCTCGCCGATCCTGACCTTGGGCTCGACGACTTTCAGCCATGTTAAACACGAGAATATCTACTTGGTAGCTGTGACCAAGAGCAATGCCAATGCCGCGCTTGTGTTTGAGTTCCTCTACCGGCTGATCGTGCTGGGGAAGAGCTACTTTGGGAAGTTCGACGAGGAGGCCGTGAAGAATAATTTCGTCCTGATTTACGAACTGCTCGATGGTAAGATGTGGGAGAGCCCCAATAGCTTAGAATCAGGCCCTAACAATTGATGATACAGAAATCCTCGACTTCGGATACCCCCAGAACACCGATCCAGATACCCTGAAAATGTACATTACAACCGAAGGCGTCAAATCCGCTATCGCCAACTCCCCAGCAGACTCCTCCAAAATCACCCAGCAAGCGACAGGTGCCCTCTCCTGGCGCCGCTCCGACATAAAATACCGCAAAAATGAAGCCTTCGTCGACGTAATCGAAGATGTCAACCTTCTGATGTCTGCAACAGGCACCGTCCTTCGCGCCGACGTCAACGGCCAGATTGTCATGCGTGCCTACCTGAGTGGCACACCAGAATGTAAATTCGGCCTGAACGACCGTCTTCTCCTAGACACCGGCGAAACCTCCAGCAACATGAAAAACCCGGGCGGTGGCAACGGACTCGGTACATCAAAGACAACTCGCGCTGCGGCAGGCTCCGTCACGCTGGAAGACTGTCAGTTCCACCAGTGCGTGAAGCTGGGCCGGTTTGACGCAGATCGCATCATCTCCTTCGTGCCGCCGGACGGCGAGTTCGAGCTGATGCGCTACCGCGCCACCGAGAACGTCAACTTGCCCTTCAAGGTGCATCCGATTGTGCGCGAGATCGGTACCACAAAGGTCGAATACAGTGTTGCTATCAAGGCGAATTACAGCTCCAAGCTCTTCGCTACGAATGTTGTTATACGCATCCCCACGCCGCTTAATACTGCCAAAACTACGGAACGCACGAGCCAGGGCCGCGCCAAGTATGAGCCTGAGCAGAACAATATTGTCTGGAAGATTGCACGCTTCTCCGGACAATCGGAGTATGTGCTTAATGCCGAGGCAACGCTTACCACTATGACGCATCAGAAGACTTGGAGTCGCCCGCCGTTGAGTCTTTCGTTTAGTTTGCTTATGTTTACCTCTTCGGGTTTGCTGGTGCGCTATCTCAAGGTCTTTGAGAAGAATAACTATAGCTCTGTCAAGTGGGTGCGCTATATGACTCGCGCGGGGAGCTACGAGATCCGGTAAGTGTTTTATTATTCCACTGGCTATGGTCTTTCTGGCTAACTCAATTACTCATCTAGGTTCTGATCATCCTCGAAATTTCGAGGTTGTTTTGTTTCGTGCGGGAGAAGATCCCAACGAGCAGTGTTGATATCAATGGACTCAAGTCCGCTTTCATCTTGTGATTTGTACTTTGCGCAGCACAACGGGTGTCTGGCGTTGGATGGAGCCTTATACATACTGGATTTTTCACAAGTATCCATTTTTTTAATTCCCGTACCTCAAATATATGTTTGTAGGTGAATTTTAGGTCGACAATCAGGGAGTATCATGGCAAAGAGTTAAAACTATGGTAGCATGTTTTCACTCAACTCTTATATATACCCATACTAGGCCGCATAGGGTCTTATAAACTGGCTGTGTCGACCACGCCATGAAAGCTAGATGGCCCAAAGCCATATAAATACGACGGGTTGGTGTATGCATTAGGCAGTAGTCAAAGTCTACACTTCTATCTTATGCTTTTGAGAGGAATAGAGAATGAGAAATATGTCAAGTTGGTAGTAGATAGTAGTACAATTCTCAAACAAGCGCAAACCAAAGCTCGAGAGAAAAGAAAGAACTGATGTGTATCAGTAAGTCACACGAAAAGGACGGTATATGAGCAGGAAAACAAGTAGAAGCATATTCACATTAGCCCGAGTAGAGCGAAACCCACAACACCGGACAAGATAAACGAAACAAGCAATTTGTGCTGGTCAATAGACAATAACCCGAAAAGAAGATACAGAATTCTCACAAATACAAGAAGTTTGATAATACAGGGGTGTTTTGGCAAAGAAACCAAGGCCAGGTCAGGCCAATAGGAATGGGGTCAGTCACAGAGTGGTACAGAGGTCATATAATACATTTAAAAAAGAGGGTGATAATTGCGAAACAATGTTCAACGCTGACGCGGGCGCAGCCCGACACGACCCTCGCCAACGAGGGACTGCCATCTGAGCCCAGCGTGGCTGCGACCTATTTGGCGCGCGCACTCATCCCATTCTTGTTGGGAGAGACGAAATTTCTCGAGGACCAGCTCGATCAGGTGTTGATCTTCTTCGGCGGTCCAGTCTTGTGGAGCCGAAGGAGCACAATCCTCTGTCACCTCGATGGAAGGCAGAGGCGCGTCTGGGTCGATGCGTGGGTCAGCCGAGATGTCGTAGTCCACCCGGCGACGAGGAGGAGAGGGAGGGGATTGGGTGACAGGAGGAGAGTGTAGGGAGTAGAAGTCTGTGGAAGAAAGGCCAAGAGGCATATTGTAGGGAACGTGACGGCGGCGTTTGGGAGTCGCGAAGCGGTTGCGTCGACTCATCTCCACGTCGCTGTCATCGTCATCGAGAATGTCGCGGCGGCGCTTGTTTGCGCCACGCGCGGGTGCAGATGGAGGAGGCGGGGGTGTGAGAGCGACGGGTCTAGGTGGTGGTGTTTGTCTAGGAGAGACGGGTCGCGCGGCCTTGTGCGATCGCGGCGAGCGACGGGGTGTGTTGAGGGGGAGGGGGCTCTGGAGTCGTTGGGTCTTCGCTGATCGCAATGACGGAGTGGGCGATCTGTTGAGTAGAGATTGCAGTGCGCGGCAGGTGCCAAGGAGACCGTTGCCCGATTGGTATCCTGTGTCGGATGGGGGAGGTGTTGAGAATGGGCGACTGGGAGTGAAGCGAGACGACCGGCGCACATCGCATGGGAGGGCGGATGGGAGCAGCATGATTAAATATATAAACTTAATGCGCTGATGGAGTGATTTGAAGTTGGTTCGAAACCGAATGATATCAAAGAAATAGTTGACGTCGAGTTGTTGCGCGTTGGCGCGATTTGTGGGCAGGCTGCGATTGCGCCGGAGGCGGTTACGATGCGCGACGAGGGAGTTGGGGATGCGAAAATGAATGGATGATCTTGTCGTTGAAATGCGCTTCAATTTCCACCTTTTCCGGGGGATGCGACAGCAAGTTGGTGATAAGGATGTTTTGGAGCGAGTGTTGTAGGGGGAAGAAGTTGGAGGGGGAATGCGGCGATAAAAAGAAAATTGGGGCCGCAAACGGTCAAGCGAATGAATCTCCCGTGCAACGTCAGGTTTATTTTAGGTCACAAAGAATGTGTCTGATCTATTATTGATTTCAAGTTCGAACAAGCTCAAAAGAACTTATGAAACACTTGAAACAATTGGGGGAAAAAAGAAGGGAGACCTCAAGAAGAGTTAACGAATGTGATAGGAGTGATAGGAATACTAGATAGGAACAGGAATGAAGGCCGTTCTATTATACTTGGATTTACTTGAAGGACTTGAAAAAGTGTAGTGTTCCAGTGAAACAGTATACTAAGGAGTCGAGGACCAGAGGGATTACCTGCAAGGCGCATACAAAGAGAGCCCTGAAGGGCAACAGGCACGAGGCACCCCTGAGACACTTTTCGTTTTCCAATTACATTTCCTATTTAGGCAAGAGATCGACCCTATGCATTCGAGGTTCTCTGACCATTTGCTTCATGATCACGATTGTATTGGTGTATTGCAATAGAATTATGTGAGGAACGTCAATGGTGTGCATTGAGCAGTAGGCTGCTAACCAAGTGTCCAAGCACAGCCCTAGAGCTTAAACGCGCTCGGTCATATATCTCTTTGTTTTTTCTGATCTCTATCTTTGCCACTGGGGGATAGTCGCGTTTTAATAATGATCTCAAAGAGGGTGAGCTTCCCTTTCTACTATCCTCCTACCCTTCTCCTACCCTTCACCAGGAGAATTGTTCCCTGTCACCCTCTAGGACTATACCTTTGAATGCTGCCACTTGTATGATCCTGCTCTTAGACCTTGTAAATATCTTAATTGTGAAATGGTAGAATGCTAGCATTCATAATTTTCAGGCGCGTTGACGCGTCTCGTGTTTCGCGTAGCGCGACGCGACACGCCAAGCATTTGGACAGCCCTAAAGAGGTCCATACTGTATGGAGTATAGTAATTGACCTATAGAGTATAGTATGCATATTGTGAACAAAGGACTACTCGTGGGTCAATGCTCAGAATGCCATGTGCCCTGTAGGATCAACAAGGGTTATTCTACTCGGGGGATTTTCTATACTGTACTGTAAGAAATTCTGACTACCCTTGCTTCTCCTTACTGGCACTGAGGCCAGCTCGTGCAAAGATACAGCCTGCATTATCTTGCAGAGCGTCTGCATATCCCACATTGTGGGGTGCAGGTTGGCTGCACACTGCCGCCCGACAAGCCTTCTACAGATCCATGATATAAAGAGTCATCGCTGCGCTCATTACGATATACAGATACAGATAGGTGGTAGATAACACTCCATTTGTATTAATCGAAAGGGGGCACCTGCTCCTGCTTTTTAGGAACTTAGTTAGCTAAAATGCTGGCAGCACTAACAGACCCATGACTATCCAAAGGGGCCTAGCCCTATCTACAATACTGAGTGGGGAGCCTTTGAGGTATGCCGTAGCCACCCTCCATTCCAAGACCCGTGCCCCCAGCCACTGATCAAAATCCAATCTCATGCAAGGGGTAAGTCGGATTAAACTATTTCCACCAAGAGTTACAAGCTCACACAAGGTTGGAGTTCAGGAACTTGGACACAGAGAGGCAGAATAACAATTCATATGAAGTACGCCATACACACAAGATCTAGGATGGACAGAAGTTTCTAGCTTCCAAGGTCAAGTCAGTGCCATCCATGAATGCTATCTAAGCTTCTTCAGACGTCCTGCACGACCCTCGTTCATGCAAGACATAGCCCCTTCCCACGGGCCCTCATGTCGATCATCTCCACATTCTTTTGACGGGCTCTTGCCCTAATGTGGCTGGGGTTGTACTTGCCCCTCTATGCTTTGCCTTTGGGCTTTATAGGGCAAGATACTCGTAATGTTTCACGCCCTCATGTTGAGGGCCTCATCGCCTCAGACATTTCTCAATGTGGTAACCCCATCACTCTCCTTGTCTTGCCTTCTGAGCCAATGGGTGATTTCGCTGGCGGTCACCCCTCGAAGCTCCGGGTCTTCCATACTATTCTATTGCTGTTTTTCTTTTTGTCGTGATTACCATTGCAGCCGACAGAGAGCTCTGATTGGGCATGGAGCTCTGTACTATTGTCTCGCCCCATATGGGTATAGGAACCCTTCTGATGGAGGGAATGGAGAATTGGAATTGATGTACCATGGCTTCTCTAGCATTTCAATTCCTACAAAACAAGCCTGGCTTATGACACTCAAGGTCTACCACTCGACTTGCAACCCGAGGCCATCTACTTCTGAGTCCGAGCTATGTGTACAACCAATTAATCTCCTTTTATCACTTAACCACCCATCGGCCCGAAAGTGAGACACCCTCGCTACTGATCTGCACTCCCTATTTCTGTATCGAGCTTCCCCCTCTTCTCTATCCCTCTGCCCTGCGCCGACGGTCACACGATAAGAAACCTGCTATCCTTTGCGTTAACTACTGACCCTACCCAAGACTCAGGGATAAGGATAAAGAGGCTACGCAAGCAGTAGATGGGCTTGCTACACTGGGCCCTGACTCCATGGTGCCCAATAGAAAGTGGAAATGCTTCCTTCCTCTTGACGACCGTGTGATCTAGTAGGAGCAATCGTTGCCTTCCCTCGCCGCCTCCTATCCTTCGGCGGGTCGCGGCCCATATGCCCGGAGGATCAAGCAATATTGCATGTAACCTGCTTCCTATGTTGTAGGGATGGGCATTAATTGGTGACGAAGTAACTTCCAGCTTTGCTGAGGATCATTCCCGATCATCCTGGTGTTCTTAGCTCTCAGTTTTTCCAATACCGTTTCATGCTTGCTCCAAAGTAGAGAGTTCCTAGCTCATTGCTAGGAATATTGACGGTGACTACAAGTGGTTTTTTTACTGACATATTGCAGCGGGTAATTGCCGGACTGGCGATAGAGAGAGATGCTGAATGATATTTTCTTCGCCCCGTGGCAAATCCAGAGCCAGTATGTACTTAGAAATGGGATATTCATGGCGATAGTCACGCCGTCAAAACTTCAATGCTCAAATGGTATACAAAAGACCTCATTGACCTTGCATTCTCCGGAAGCGCTCCTCCGCAGCCCTCGCCCTGCGTTCCCTCTCCAATCGCATCTTCATCTCAGGCGTCATGCCTCTTGTCTCCTCATCTCTTCTTTCGGCCACAGATTTTTCAACAGCGCCCACAGTACGACCACCAGATTTAGTCGTTCTTGACTGCGCCGCCTTCTCGGTTTCCTCACGTTTCAGGAGATCTAAGCTAGCCTTGCGTCGGGCAGATTCCTCCTGCTCGGCAGTTTTGCGTTCTTTCTCAGCTCGGCTTTCGGCGTCGGCTTTGGAGACCGCGGATGGAACTTTGGCTGCTTCCCAGTCCCATCTGGACTCACCCAGGTCGTGGCGGGCAATGCGGAAGGCGTCGCGCGTGGCTCGGTCGCCAGTCAGCTCAAAGGGAGTTCTGCCTTCATTGTTGACTGCCGCTGGATCAGACCCGGCTTTTGTAAGGAGAGCCGTGACTACGGCTGGTGCATCAAGATTTGCGGCTAGATGGAGGGGTGTGGGGCATCGGAAGTTTTGTGGTGTGTCGGCGGGCGTAAATGTGAAAGACGAGGGTATGGAGTTGTTTGAAATATAGGACATAAGGGCTGGAACCTTCGAGCGGCGAATAAGTGCCTGTAGTTGGGATGTGTGCAACAAGGCAGCTTCCTCTTCTTTTGACAGCTTCGGCTTCTGTGGTTGCGGCTTTTGGACAGGCGTAGATGGTTTTGATTCCTCCTCTCGCCGCTTCGCTTCAGCCGCAGCCAGTGCGGCTTGGTCCACCTCACTGACCTTCAATCTGGTTAATTCCTTGAAGGACCGCATCAGCTCGCCTTGAGTCGCGCGCCGAGTATTGAAGGGGAACCCTCGAATTCGGGGGTCGTTCTGCCTGAGGACCTGTCCGTCATATTGACCGAAAAGAGTCTTTCGGTTTGTCTTTCCCGTAGCTCGGACGAACAACAGCTCAGCTGTGTCAATCATCTCTTTCCAATCTGACAAAACCTCTCTGATATCCTTCTCGAGCGCAGCCTCGTTGTACCGGCGCAGACTTGAACCAGCCGAATGAGCAGCACCACGCGACGCATCACTGGCAGACTGTGAGCCACCCTGTTTTCGCCGAGTCGTGTATCGGTGGAACGTTTTGTGCGCGATAACCCGTGCTTGCCTATCTTCCACTCCTCCTTGTTTCCGGTGAATCTCTGGGGCTAGCGAAACCAACATAGCCGCGAAATGGCCACCGCCGATCATACACATAAAAATATGTGGGCCCGAAGAAGCGGGATCTGGCACATTGCTTGCCTTGTTGGTGCGCGCTTTGATAGGCGCAAGCTGCTTCCGCCGCAGGGCATCAACCAGGTGAGCGGGATTGTCCTGCTCGGCATTTGAGAAAATGGCCCTATAAACGCCTAGGGACTTGTTTGATGGCAATGCCGAGCTAGATAGCCAAAATATGGGGTGCTTTGGAGCGATTGGCGTCTCAGTCATTTCCGGATCCTCACTAGGGTGGGACAGCTTGGCCTGCTTTTTCAGCAGGGCGGACAGCGTTGTGCCCGCGGCTCCTTCTGCATCCTCCTCCTCTGACTCCTCTGACTCTGAACCGGATATAGACTCGTCTAGCTCTCCGATTGCCTTCACAAATTCGCCCTCTTCCAGGGGCGCATTCCCGCGCAGCTGGGCTTTGATGTTGTACCGGTGATGGTCCGAGCGGACATGGCTGCGCTGTTCCTGTACACTGCTGTAGGAGACCCTGCATAGAGAGCATAGGTTGGAGGTTGCGATCGCAGATTCCTGCGCTGCTAGTTCGAGGTCCGTCGGAGAGGGTCCAGGTTCTTCTTCGGCGACAGGTTGGCTTGTGGTCTTGGCTGTTAAGCTTGCAAGAAGTTCTGGCGGCAGATCGTACACTGAGAAGATCAGCGGGATAGATCAATGATCATACGGGGTCTCAAAGACGTACCATAGAGAGGCCTTTTCAAGAGCTCTTCCATTTGAGTCGTGTCGACCATGATGGGCTAGACGAAGAATGTGTATTGTGATCGTGGTGCCCCTCCAATGACGCCGATAAGTGGGCTCTTACCGCCTAAGAGCAATGCGGGCACTATGTGGACTCTATGCGCTTCGCCGTCAGTTTTATGTCTAGATATTGAATATAGAATGGTCCTGAGTCACATTTTGAGGCTGTGCTCATCCTCTTTGTAAGTCCACGAGAATTTTCTTTTTCCATATATAATTATGGGCCTGTAGGCTGTGCTCGCATATATCAATGAGTCGGCCTCCCGAATAGGAAATTAGATCCATGGACTTAGATTTCGTGTCCTCTCGGTGTTTGATTTGATACCTTTTCAAAGAGTCATTTGTCACAATGATTTTTTTCTGCGGCCCTATTCCTATCGACGTCGTAAGCGCTTTTTCTGGTACCTGTTTCCATCACGTGATTGGAGAGTAATATATATCGGTGACGTCATAGCACTTGCACGGCTAGTTCTATACGATGTCTAGTCAGAAGTTATACATAGCAAAGTCGCTTGCACAAAGTATGCTTTCTCCCCCTTTTCTGTCGTCTACCTATAGGATTGGAAAGGGAACCATGAGGACATCTAAGGAGAACATCGGAGAAGACCGCTGAAAAGACCACTTAAGAGCCCTGTAAAAAAAAAAAAAAGACATCATGAGGCCGCATGAGCTGCCGTCTACTCTTGTCCATATAAATGTACGTATTGATATATTTTGTACGATGATATACCTATCTTTCACTGGTATTCAGTATAATGTATTAATACAATCTGAATATTTCTCGGTCCTGGTGTTGTATATTGAAGTATTGAAGAGGCTGAATCTGACGAAGACCTCTTACAAATAGATAGGTTTAAGTGGGAAAATTATTAGGCTTTGACAAGCATCAAGCTATAGTCAAAGTCCTTCAATCTGAAGAGATATTGATACCAGAGCTACCATGACCGGTTTCTAACACAATAGGTCTCAGGAGACAAATTAAAGCGGAGATCTCAAGATGCATGGAATACTGATTAAAAGCGAGAGCTTACGATGTTATAAGCCCGTCACTATAAGCACTAGAAGCTTTCGGTTCTGTGAAAATGTGGAAGAAGGCTGCTCCTCGATCTGGTTCTACTCTATACCGATTCGAGATCGGAGCCTTGAACATTGGGTTGAGCCCTTTTACTCTTCTTCCGTCGACTCTCTTCTTATTTCAGCTCTCTTCCTTGATCTATCTTCTTGGTTCGCCCCACATTTATTCTACCGGCTATCCACCAAGTGCTCATTCTTCACTTTGACCTCTCTCTGTTACATTTGACACTTTCGCTTTACTCTTTCTTCACTTTGAGCTTACTTCTCCGTCAAACTTGGCATTTTCACCCTTCGCTTCCTTCACTTTGAACTCATTTCACTCTTTTCAAACTTAAGCTTAACATTTTCGCCATGTCGTCTTCGTCGGTTGCCGCTACATCTTCCTTCTCACAAGTGAGCGCTCATTCTATGGGATTCTGCTCAACATCATCGGCCTCATCACCGTTCGATGGCCCTGTTATCGTTGATAAAAATGGATTTCTACAGTCAGCACTCCGCGCTGGAGGCCCTTACTTGTGTTCACTACCGGCTCGTACGACTTCAACTAGTTCTCATTTTGATGCCGACACTGTGTATCAGATCGAGAGATATGCAGCACAAGTCTTGCGTGGCATCAGTTTGCAGTATCAAGGCATTCGACTTGTGGGTAGACACTCTAAGATCGACCCCGAACCTGAACAAGTCACAACCTTGCTTGTCAGAATGCCAAATCAACCACAGCCAGAATTGTGGTATCGAACTGCAAACGAGATCCAACAGCTGCTACTACGCCACCTTGATCATGGAATTTCGGTGGAGATCATTGAAACAGACTTGTTCAATGGAATATACTGTTCTCCCGTTGAGTCGAGCCACTCCATCGTTCCCAAGTGGAAGAGTCTCGTGCAGGAGATTGTAGCCCGGTGTCCCAACAAGGATGAGTGGCTTGGAATGGACTGTTTCCGATATGGAACAAATCCCCATCGGAGTTCCAATCCAGTGACAGTAATCATCCGTGTCCAGAAAACATCTGAGAACTCGTTCGTCACGGCTGCACGTTATATTCATGGTATTCTTGCAGCATTCAAAGAACCTGAGGTGGATGTTATATTCATGAAAGATGGAAGCAAAGCTCTGACCCTGAATTCGACCGTTCCACTTGAGGCTACCAATGGATCAGTGTATCCCGGCGTAAGTATCGGAATTCATCAAAGTTCAGCGGGCTGCTCCACGTTAGGTGGCTTTGTGCAAACCCGATCCAAAGACCAAAAGAACTGGGATACATATGCTCTTACCTGCTTCCACTGCGTTTGCCCGCCAACAATGTGTCACGGAGATCGCTTTCTTCGAAGTGAGGATGCCAGAAGAGGTAAGTGGCCACAAATCATGTACAGAAAGTTAGCTAACATTGCCATTATAGGACTCCAGAGGTGGGAAAGACACCCCTTGACAGTACATGACGATCCTTTGTTCCTTAATATCGCCAAACGCATTCTCCGAATTGACCATCCAGCGCCTCGGGATCTACGGACCACGATCAAGTCACTAAATCAGTCAATAAGGGGTGTGAAAGACGATTCTTTCTACAGATCCAAGGCGGAGGTCGACAAGGGAGAAAATGGCTGGCTTCCAGATTCTGCCAGAGGTGAATATGAGGCTACCCTAAGGAGCATTCGACAATGTGAAGAACAACGCGACACATTTGCAAAAATGCTCAACAATGGAGCATACTACCTCGGGCATGTCGTTGCCGGAAGTGGCATGCATCGCACCCGACAAGATGGGGACAAGCGTCGGGTGACCGTGGATTGGGCTCTGATTAAGATGTCGAGCAATAGAATTTACCGCCAAATGCATGGAGATCGCGTCTCTGGCAACAGTGTGAGTTGAATGTTGTCTGTGTCTTTCCTCTGGCTAATATATGGGTCCCTAGGGGTTTCACTATTACAGCAACCCATCGCAAAACCCCCCATATCATGGTGGGTCAACCCTGGACATCCGTAGCGGGACAATAATTTACAAGTCTGGGCGATCCACTGGCATCACAGCTTCCGTGTATCACAGCTTGGAATCTGTTCAGCTTGATCGGCTCAAAAGCGATAAAGGACCCGGATACACCTTTTCCATCATATGGACATACAAGACGGCAACTCCAGAGAGTTCCTTTCCATTCGCAGAACCGGGTGACTCTGGGGCTTGGATAACAAGAATGGATGGCAAGGTTTTGGGGATACTGACTGGGGCCGACGAGCGGCAGACCACGCATTACTTCTGCCGGATAAGTGACGTGCTTGACGATATCAAAGATATCACTGGCGCAGTTGAAGTCAGAATCGCTCCAACACCAGTTTAGATTTGTTTCAATGGAGCCTTCATAGGCGTTTGCTTTACATTTGCGTTTTTTTCATATCAAGAAGAATAGGTCTGTAAGATTGGGACGAAGCCTTCGCTGGGAGGAGCGCCTGATGGGACTGTGGTCCCTAAGGGTTCTTAGGGCCTAGTATGTATGCCACTGCAGTGACAATCAAGTGTTCCAATTGTCCCTATGATCTTTTAACCCGGTTAGTTAGTGTCAAATTCTTCTTATGTAATCCATCAACTGGGATTAATTACATCCCATCCCCTGCTGAATCTCCCAACTGGGACAAAATCCAATACGTAGAAAGACAAGAACTCACCATCGCTGAGAGAAACATGTCTTCACAACAGCAACTTCAACAGCAGTTGATGCTGGATGCATGCAGACATCAAATACAGATGGCTGCTCAACAACAAGTGAGCACCAGCAACAACAGTGACACTTCTTTACGACAGCAAATGCAGCCGCAATCAAGGACAATGGGGTCCAAATATGATGATCTTCCCATACGAGAGCCCGCTGACATTGCCTTCATTGGTGAAAATCCTAAGTCGGTTGGTGCAGCTCCCGCGTTCTTCGGGTCCTTTGAACACGCCTGTCAGCACGGCCCCCTCTCCACCATCCAGTCCATTGTCGCACCTAAGAATCTCTCGCCCGCTTTTCTTCACCATGGGCTAACATGTGCCCTACGCTCTGGCAATATTGAAGTCGCTCGTTATTTACTCGATAGTGGTGCACCGATTGTTCGCGAAACCCCAAGCAATATCTTTAGTGTATCTTTGGAACGACAAATTGCCCTCTTCGAGCTTTTTATTCAGCATGGATGGACTCCCAACAGCCCAGGCTACTATGGAAGTACCCTGCTCCCTCGAACTGTCAAAAGCCTTCCTCTTCTTCGTTGGTTCCTCGACCATGGAGCCAATCCTAACCTTGGTGTGCAACGAACCAGCCATGATAGGTGTGGTGGGCCAGATGTTTCCTCGTGTGCTGCACTTGAGGCAGCTGCTGCTCATGGGAGTGTCGAGGCTGTGTGTATGATTCTAGATGCAGGTGCTAGGATTCAAAACGGTGTACCACTACACTACGCCGCCGGGGCTTGTCCTCCCGGCATGAATCCACATGCTGGCCGTGTGGTACCGAGTTGGGACTTTGATAACAGCAGAATTCCAGTAATGGCACTTCTGGTCGATCGTGGGGCTGACATTAATCAAAGAGAAGAGTCAAGACACATGGTCGCACAGTATGCGATTGTATATGCGGTGATGGCAGGAGCAATTGAGCGAGTGAAATGGTTGTTAGAGCATGGGGCAGATCCATATAAAAGGGGAGCTGGGGTAGCGCAGCTGAATATGCACATACCTCAGGAAATGAAGAAATATCTAGGCTCATTCAGGAATTTGTGAAGGAGAAGTCATAAAAGATGGACTTTTTGTACATAACCATGACATCAACCCAGAAATATATTGTGCTGTGATCTTCGGAATTCGGTTCTTTGTAGACAAAAAGGTGACGGACTCATTATACACTATATCAATACATACGAACACATCAATATCGCTTTCATGGGCAGCATTGTAAATAGTTCTGGAAACCACCAACGGGGCCCAGCAGAATACAATTGATAAGCCAAACCTTGGAAATAGCCGCATCGGTCTTAGTGTCTGCTTATCCCCGATGATTACGTCGGTCCGGGTCACGTGAGATTATACTGGGGATTTTGTAGGCATGAGGTTATTCAAGGTCTAGATAATTTGTCAATATGTTAGGCAAATTTCATGCAAGAACTCCAGAGATCCCTTTTCCATGTGTACATATACGACGTAACAAGACCGACTTTATAGGAATAAGCACGGTAAGTAGCCCCGACCTCGGGATTTCCCCATCGTAAAGTGGAGCTGGGTTCTTGCTTTTAGTCAGCAGCCTAGCTCTTACACCAATACCTCCATTCTTCCTTTGAGGTTCTCCGACGTTGTATCTTTTCTTGCTTGTGCACAGAAAGGTATACTGGGACGAAGTCACTAAGAAAAATGCTGGATGGCCAATCCCAGGTGGTCCTAGAGGCGTCCCGCCCGGGGCACCTCTCGCATTCCCTTGGATCGGCACTTGATTCCCGGCGACAGCCTTTCTGTACCGATAGCGAGGGCTGGGGCCCTGTCAGCTCATTGAGATTCGATCTGACGCCATGCTTTCTTGACGTGACTGTGGCAGTGGTGGCTGTCTGGGGTACGCTGAGCGGACTCGCTGCTTTGTGGTTATTACTGAGGAAGCGGATCCCGCAGCCCGTGTCGAAGAATTGGCATTTCTACACCAAGCTGGTAAGTACATGCCGGACACCCTCGCACACCCCTGAAAATCACTGATAATGTACTGACTGGAATTTTGTCGATAGGCCGTTCTCGCCGCTCTCATTGTCGTCACCGCTCTTCAAGCTGCGATCCAAGTCGAATCAGACCCCAAAAGATTTTGGGCTGATTTCCGCTTCTGGTCCTCGGTTCTAACGATCATTTCGTTGGGAGTGATAACTTCCGTACAGTACTTCGAACACTGGCGGAGTAGACAACCCAATGGGGTTGTCCTATTTTACTGGCTCTTCTTTATCATCGTCTATGCGGTCAAACTCCGGTCTCTGGTTGCGCGGGAGCAATACATCAACCAACTCCCTTACTTTGTCTGCTTCAATGTCAGCCTGGGACTAGCAATTCTCGAGTTTGTGCTAGAATATTTCGTACCCAAGAAGCAAAGCGCTTACGATGCGCTGGGAGACGAGGATGAGTGTCCCTACAATTATGCCGATGTTTTCTCGGTTCTAACCTTCGGCTGGATGACCCCGATGATGAAGTATGGATACAAAAACTACTTGACTCAAGATGACCTCTGGAATCTCCGCAATCGTGATACTACCCGAGCCACGGGCAATGCCCTGAAGGAGGCATGGGATGAACAGCTTGAGAAAAAGAAACCATCTTTGTGGATAGCGCTTTTCAAGGCTTTCGGTGCCCCCTATGTGCGTGGTGCGATAATCAAATCCGGAAGCGATTGTCTTGCCTTTGTGCAGCCGCAACTCCTACGACTTCTCATTGCTTTCATTGACTCGTATCGGGGCCCAAATCCGGACCCGATCATCAGGGGTGTCGCCATCGCCTTGTCCATGTTTGCTGTTTCTGTCGTTCAGACCAGTTTCCTCCATCAATATTTCCAGCGTGCTTTCGACACTGGCATGAGAGTCAAATCAGCCCTGACTGCTATGATTTATGCCAAATCCCTGAAACTATCAAACGAAGGGCGCTCGGCAAAGACGACCGGCGATATTGTCAACCACATGGCAGTTGATCAGCAGCGCCTTTCAGACCTGACCCAGTTCGGCACTCAGCTCATCTCTGCACCTTTCCAAATCACCTTGTGCATGGTGTCCCTTTATCAGCTTGTTGGAGCGAGCATGTTTGCTGGTATCGGAGTTATGATTCTTATGATACCTCTGAATGGTGTCATTGCGCGGATGATGAAGAAGTTGCAGATCATCCAAATGAAGAACAAGGACTCGAGAACCCGATTGATGACCGAGATTCTGAACAACATCAAGAGTATCAAGCTCTACGCCTGGAACACGGCCTTCATGAACAAACTTAGCCATATCAGAAATGATCTTGAATTGAATACGCTCCGCAAAATTGGAGCGACTCAATCCATTGCCAATTTTACCTGGCAGTCTACCCCTTTCCTTGTGTCTTGCTCCACATTCACCGTTTTCGTGTTGACAAATGATAAGCCCTTGACTACTGAGATTGTTTTCCCTGCCTTGACGCTCTTCAACTTGCTCACATTCCCGCTTTCTATCCTGCCTATGGTCATTACATCCATTATCGAATCTTCCGTGGCCGTGAAGCGATTGATTGAATATTTCACTGCAGAGGAGCTACAGACGGATGCTGTTGTCTTCCAAGATCCCGTGGCGCATCCCGGTGACGAGTCTGTCCGAGTTCGCGATGCCTCGTTTACATGGAACCGTCATACTGGTGAGACTGTGTTGGAAAACATCAATCTCAGTGCACGCAAGGGAGAGCTCAGCTGTATCGTTGGCCGAGTCGGTGCTGGAAAGTCTTCTTTACTCCAGTCGTTGCTGGGTGACCTGTGGAAGAACCAGGGAGAGGTGGTCGTGCGTGGGCGAATCGCGTACGTTGCCCAAGCACCGTGGGTTATGAATGCCAGTGTCCGAGAAAACATTGTCTTTGGACACCGATGGGACCCCTCATTCTATGATCTCACTGTTGAAGCCTGTGCTTTGCTCGATGACTTTAAGAACTTGCCTGATGGTGATCAAACCGAAGTTGGAGAACGTGGCATTTCCCTTTCAGGAGGACAGAAGGCACGTTTAACACTCGCCCGAGCTGTCTACGCTCGTGCTGATATCTATCTTCTGGACGACATTCTTTCGGCGGTTGATCAACATGTCGGACGTCACATTATCAATCGAGTGCTTGGGAGATCTGGCCTTCTTGGTGGCAAGACCAGAATTCTTGCAACAAATGCAATTACTGTACTCAAGGAGGCTGACTTCATCGGCCTGCTGCGTGACAAAACCATCATCGAAAAAGGAACGTATGAACAACTGATGGCCATGAAGGGGGAGATTTCCAATCTCGTTCGCTCTACAACGGTGGACTCGGACGATGAAGGCACTGCTAGTGGCTCTGAGGACCTTGCTAGCCCCGAAAGCTCAGTCACGACCACCATCATCCAGGACGATGGTGCATCGGACAGCGAGGATGTTGAACAGCCTGGTGACCTTGTTCCCATCAGGGGAGGTGGTGGTCGTGAGGCCCGCAGAAGAACCAGTACCGTTACATTGCGCCGTGCAAGCACTGTGAGCTGGCAAGGTCCCCGGCGCAAATTGGGAGATGAGGAGAACATTCTCAAGAGTAAGCAGACCCAAGAAGTTTCAGAGCAAGGCAAAGTGAAATGGGGCGTTTACGGCCAATATGCAAAGGATAGCAATGTTGTGGCAGTCGTGGTCTATTTGATTGCCATGATGGCTGCTCAGACTGCTCAAGTCGTGGGTAACTACTGGTTGAAGCGCTGGACTGAGTGGAATGAAGCTCATGGAACCAATGCTAAAGTTGGCATGTTCATTGGTGTTTACTTGGCGCTTGGCCTGGGGTCATCTCTCTTGGTCATTGTGCAGAACTTAATCCTGTGGATTTTCTGCTCTATCGAAGCATCTCGAAAACTTCATGAGCGGATGGCCTTTGCTATCTTCCGCTCCCCCATGAGCTTCTTCGAAACCACACCATCTGGTCGCATCCTGAACCGTTTCTCTAGCGACATTTACAGAGTTGATGAGGTACTGGCTCGCACTTTTAACATGTTGTTCGCAAACTCTGCCCGCGCGATATTTACCATGATTGTCATTTCGACATCCACCCCAGCCTTCATAATATTCATCGTTCCTTTGGGTTATATCTACTTTAGCTACCAGAAGTACTACTTGAGCACTTCCCGCGAGTTGAAGCGTTTGGACAGCGTCACCCGAAGCCCTATCTATGCGCACTTCCAGGAATCCTTGGGCGGTATCTCGACCATCCGTGCGTACAGGCAGGAGAATCGGTTCGCCCTTGAGAACGAATGGCGCATGGATGCTAATCTCCGGGCCTACTTCCCGTCCATCAGTGCCAACCGCTGGCTCGCCGTTCGACTTGAGTTCATTGGTTCGATCATCATTCTTGCATCCGCTGGATTGGCCATTATGTCTGTCGCGACTGGCACTAAGCTTTCGCCAGGTATGGTCGGTTTGGCCATGTCATATGCTCTCCAGATCACGCAATCTCTGAACTGGATTGTTCGTCAGACTGTGGAGGTCGAGACAAACATCGTGTCCGTTGAGCGAGTTCTCGAGTACGCCAATCTCCCAAGCGAGGCACCCGATGTGATCTTCAAGCGTCGCCCGGCCATTGGCTGGCCGGCTCAAGGTGCGGTGGAGTTCAATAACTACAGCACCCGCTATCGGCCTGGACTTGACCTTGTGCTCAAGGATGTTAATCTTAACATTAAGCCCAAGGAGAAGATCGGTGTTGTTGGCCGAACGGGCGCCGGAAAGAGCTCGCTCACGCTGGCTCTCTTCCGGATTATCGAGGGCGTTGAAGGAAAGATCAAGTAAGAGCACATTACTCTCTCCCTTTGCATCTACGCTCTAGGCTAACAAACGCTTAGTATTGATGGGCTTGATGTGTCTACAATTGGCCTGAATGATCTTCGTGGACGTCTCGCTATCATCCCTCAAGATCCCGCCATGTTCGAAGGCACTTTGCGTGACAACTTGGATCCTCGTCATGTCCACGATGATACCGAGCTTTGGAGCGTTATCGGTTGGTTTTAACTTGAGCCCTATTCCATTCCAGCGACTAACCGT